ACAGAATAAGTTAAATATTTACTACTAAGTATATTAACTATCCTACTAAGTACTTTATAAGTAGTAGTTAGGGAAAGGTCCTTATAAGTAACTATTATAATACCTATATTATCTTAAAAGAAGATGTTTCTAACGCTATCTTAGCTAACACTGCTAATATTTAGCTATATAAAGAAATAATCCTTTATTAGGATAGTAGGTTTTATTACCTTTATTAACTACTAATTACTAACTGTACTTATTATTAGGGCTATAGTCTTATTCTACTACAGCTAGGTTAAGTTAACGTATATTTACTCTAGGCTTTTAATTTATTATTATTAAGGAGATGTAATACTAGACTTTATATCTCTTTACCTTTTCTTAGTAATTAAACTGTAACTTTTTAGGTATTAATATAATTACCTTTTATATACATAAATCTTGTGCTTATATTACCTTCCTTGCTCTAGATTTAGTAGTAAGTAAGGCTATTTAAAGTATATTTAAGCTTTACTTAAGTATTAGACAGGAAAGAGTTACTAAGAATAATTACGTTAGTATAGTAATTAATAATAAAGAAGTTTATCTAAATAGAGATTAATTCTACTATTATAACAGCTCTCTATACAATTCTAAGAAAACTGCCTAATATACTATTAGCTAAGACTATTTTTATATTTCTTATTTCCTAAGGGAGTGTTATAATAGGTAGTATTATGTTATTAGCAGTTTCTTATTAAATAGTATTTAGCTCTACTCCTAAGTTAAAGAGACTTAGGAAGTAATTTCTTAATATACTAACTAGAACCTTTAGGTAGTTATAGTAGATATATTTAATACTAGCTTACTTATTATACTCTCTTTTAGCTAAAGTTTTTAATTATATATTAGCTTTAATCTAGAAATTATTTAGTATTTAATTAATACTTAATTAGACCTTATTAACTTTAGGCTTATTCTAATAGACTGCTAATATTAAGTAATATTAGTCTACTCTACCTAATAAGGCTTTAATAAGAATATAGTTAGGAACTAACTATATATTTACACTAGATACGTAGGACTTAAAGGTAAGTTAGAAGTATTCTTCTTCTATACTTAACTTATTATTAAACTCTACTTCTATTACCTAAATAAAGTTATTTTAGATAGCTTTAAACTCTTCTTAGGTATATATATTTTAGAATATTTTCTTTTAGACTTCTACTATATTTTTAAGTAGTACTCTAATAGGCATTACTATAGGTACTAATATAATAGTATATATTACTTTATTAGTAGTACTTAGGATATATTTAGAGAAATAAGCCTTCTTAGGTCTAACTCTTCTTTAGGGTAGAGTATTAGTTATTTTTAAATCCTTAATATAGTTCTAAGGGGTTAATATTAGTGTAAAGGTTATATTTAGGGTAGGCAGAGCTTAAGTCTTCTGCTGCTAGCTTCTTAGTTAAATTAATTAATTATTAGTAGGCTGTTTAGTAATAGTAACTAGTACTAGCTTTACTACCTTAGGAGTACCTAGTACTTTCTTATTAATAGGCTTTTATAAAGGTCCTTTTTATTAGATTTAAGTAGCTAAAAGCTTAGCGTTTAAGTAGTAGAACGTTAGGTATTAAAATAATTAAATATTACTACCTAAGTTTATAGAGGCTTTCTAGAAAGCTTTATAGTCTTTAGCTAATATTATGCCTAAGTCTTAGTTAGAGTTTAGACTAGTAACTATAGAATTATTCTAAATAGCTATTAATCCTACTAGCCTTCTCTAATTAGCCTTTATAGTAAGAGGATTAAGGTCCTATTTTAGCTATATCTACTTAATGTTTAAAAGGATAGGATTAATTTAACTATTTATACCTAGGTTTATAATACGCCCCTAGAGAGAGGAAATAGTGCTCTAGATAAGTTATTAGTTAGTATCTTAGTAGTACTAGCTATTCTTAATTAACTAGGTAATTAATAGGCAGTTAGCTTTTCTATAACTAACCTTCTTATATATAAAATAGGTAAATAGTATTTAAGCGTTTTAAGTAGCTTAACTTAGAGTTTCCTATTAATTATATCTTAATCCTAAAGGAATAGTATTCTAATTTACTATTATATTATAGAGAGCTGCCTAATTCCTTAGGTAGTAGTTATTACCTAGTATAACTATGCTTTATAGCTAAGCTTTACTAACTCTCTAATTTAATAGAGTTTATATATAGGTTATAATACTTTAGTTTAATAACAGCTTAGTCTTACGTAGTATCTATTATACTAAAATAAGGTTAGCCTAACTAATCTTAAGTTAATATAACTTATTAGTTAATAAGTTAACTTTATACTAGGTAGCTAGAACTCCTAGAGGTAATTACTAGGGTTTCTTACTAATAGTTATTTAGAGAACTTAATAGGTTGTTAGAGGAGCTAATTAAGACTAAGTTATTCTAATAATATCTAATAGCTAGTAGTCTAAATAGGTCTTAGAGATATAGAATTAGAATTCTTAGGTTAGGCTAAACTTTTTTATAGCCTTATTAAGGTTTAGTAGGTATACTTCTTTCTTAATATTTACTTAGTAGCTAAGGAATTTACTAATCTAGCTAAACTTAAACTTCTAATAGCGTATTATAGATAGACTAAACTTACTTAGGACTCTAGTAGCATAGTTAAGAAGAAGCCCTTTAATAAGGTAGAAGCCCTTTTTCTTACTTTTAACAGTGCCTATAGAGATATATTACTCTAATCTAATTTTAAACTCCTTAAGGTATTATTAGATATTAAGATTCTTCCTTAACTAATATTTATAGAGCTACTATTTAAAGAACTTAATTTATTTCTTCTATTAAGTGCTATTATTACTCCTAAATTTGCGTTAGAGAGCTTCTTTTAGTATATCTTAGTCTTTACCTTTAAGAGCTGTTTAGTATTCTTTAGAGTAATAAATAATATTCTTCTACCTTTACTAGTAGTAGGTAATTACTTATTAGATCTTATTAATCTCTAAGAAGCTGTAATATAGAGTAACTTTCTTATATTACTTAATAAAAATAGTAACTTTAGTACTATTAAAACTTAGTATATACTTAGCAGAGAAAGGTACCTAGCTAAGCTTTAATTAGTTCTAAATAAGCGTTACTATTATTTAAGCTATATTTACTAGAAATAGGGCAGTTAGGTTTATTAATTTAGTATTAGGCTTTAGAAGTTTTACCTTACCTTTAAATAGGCTAGGAGTTTTGTTATTACTTAAGTTATTTCTAGGTTTCTCTCTCTAGGCTTACGTTAGGAGAGCTAATAATTAACCTATATTAAATAATAAATACTTAGTAGAAGAGTTAGTATTTAGGGTATAACCTATTAGTAAGAGATTATTAGTTATCTTAAAAATAAAAAAGGTATAAATAAGAATTATAAAGATAAGTAATAAGTAAGTAGTAAGAACTATCTTAACTGCTATAGAAAGAAGAAGTAAAGATCTCTAAAAGGTCTTTATAGTAGAAAAGATTATAAGAAAAGTTATTATTACTATTATATATCTATTCTTTATTAGTAAGCTTCTTGCCTTATTTATTCTTTTTCTTTTTATCTATACTTAGCAGCACTTGCTACTCTTAATTCCTTTCTTCTAATTATTTCTTAGCTAATTCTTGTTACTAAAGAGTACTTAAGTATAACTATAAGTTATATACTAATTATATAAGTTTTATAGTAGTAAAATAATCTCTAAGAGTTGTTTAAGTGTAACTAGTATACTAGCTATTGTGTTAATAGCTTCTTTAGGGGTAACTTCTTAGTTTTCTAGGTCTAGTATAATCTCTAGTTATAAGGTTACTAAATTTCCTAGAGGTATACTAATACCTTGTTAAGTTCTTAAAGTACTAATTCTTAGGTACTAAATATAATCTAGTATTATACCTATCTTATATTAGTCTCTTAATTCTTAACTTAGACTTACTAAAGTCCTATTATTATTACTAAAAATTAATTACTCTCTAGATAAATGTATTATAAGAATAATTTAGTATTATACCTAAATAGCTATAAATAGAAAGCTTCTTTATTCCCTACGTAGGTTACTATATATAAAAGAGAGGTCTTTAACGCCTCTTTAGGCACGTGTAGCTTAATACTAGATAGGATAAGTGTATTATTAGTTAATACTCTGTTAAGCTCCTATTAGAGGCTTAACTGCTATATACTAATCCTAGATTATATAACCTATGTTATATAATCTTACTCTAATACTTCTTTAGATATACTTTCTATATTACTCTACTACAATAGTAGCTTATTTATAATTATAGACTTTATTATTAGAAGAAAAAAAACTTTAATATTAGAAAAATATATTTCTAATTTATTATATCTTTAGTATTAGAAATTAGACTTATTAGTAAATATTAAACTTAATATTAAAATTAGTAACTAATACTAAGTTATAAGCTTTAATAATAAATATAGCTATATATAGTAGTTAATAATAAACTTTTATATTAGAAAAAGTAACTTATAGCTAATTATATACTTTTATAGTAGAAATTAGTAACTTATAGTAGTTAAAGAATAATTATATTTAATATAAAACTTTAATATAAAAGATATATATTATTATTTATTTTAATTACTATATAGAGCTCTATTTTAAAATAATATAACTATTTTATCTTTAATTCTTATATACTTAGTTTTAGTTTTAATATTAAATACTAATTATTATAGCTCTTTATTTACGCTTTAGCTAATATATAATAGAATAGTATAACTAATTATCTAGCTATATAAGTAATAAATTTCTAGTTTACTCTATTTCTAATAGTATATTAGAGTTTTCTATTATAATATTCTTTTACTAAGCCTAATTACCTAATACCTTTTTTTTATATACCTTTAATAACTTATTAAGCTTAATACTACTAGATATTACTATACTATAATACTACTTTACTATTTAAAATATAGGTTTTCTTCTATATTTTATACTTTATAAAGCTATAGAAAATATTACTTAACTTTATATCTTTTTACTAGCGTATCTAGAAATAATATTTATTATAGTAGGTTTATATAGTTATAAGCTATGTACTAAGTAATTAGTTAATTAGTATTTTAGTCGCGATAATATTTCTTTGCTTTGTAACGTAATTAACATAACTAACTTAAGGGCCTACCTGGTAGCTATGTTGCAGTATACCTTAGAGTCTGTTCTATAGTAGTCCCTGCCAGCTCTGCAGTATACCCTGCCGCCTGTGTTAATAGCGCTTTCTCTGGAAACAAGAGCGTAAAATCCTCTTGTAATTTACGATTTTTCCAATCTTTAATAAACTGCCTGCATCTGGGTGTAAACTACGTGTACCTTTTTAGAAACTGGAGTACAGCTCGTCTACCCTCGTTTATGTGAACAGAAGACTGCTTTTGGGAAGTAGACGACTAGTAACGTTTATCGTAACACAGGAACTCAATAGGTATCCAACCATTCTTGTTTCTTGCTTTGACGTTGGCTTCGTGTGATACTAGTCGTTTAATCACGCTGATATTAGCCCATCGGACCAGCCAATGTAAAGGAGTATTCTTGTCGTTATCGATTTCGTGGACAGATCCTTGTGCCTTGACCCAGTAATCTACGATATCGGGATGAGCAGCCCAGTGAATGGGGAGTGTTCCAGAGACTGTGTCGTTTTGTTGAATTGGGATACGTTTCCTCAGGTGCAACTTCAACAATATGACCGCTTGAGACACCACACCGACACGGAACGCATGATGTAACGGGCAGTGGCCTCGAAATTCACCTTTCTCCGTTCTTACCGTGAGGCTCGCATTGTATCTCACCAACACCTTGACGTTTTCGACATGGCGAGTCATAATTGCTTGAATCAAGGCGGTGTTTCCCTCAGGGCCACCCAGAAGGTCGATTTCCTGGTAAAACGGGCACAATTCCTCTAGTATGGTCGGATCAGGAAGCCTGGCAGCCAGATGGAGTGGGTATTGATTATCTTCAGTCGAAGACATTGTATCAGCGCCGCTCTCAATAAGTTTGTCCAATAGTCCTCGACGACCCTGTCTTATAGCCTCATGGAATGGGGACGTCCCTCCGATCTTTGAGATGGCATTGGGCGAGGCCGATGCGATGAGCAATATAACAGCTATCGCATCAGCTTTGGTGACAGCAACTTTTGGCTTTGAACAAGCAAGCCACAGGGGCGTTTGCTCATTCATGTTGCAAGCATGGATATTGGCGCGATGATTTACGAGACTTCGAACGGCCTCTACCCAGCCAAAGCTTGCAGCGTAATGAAGTGCAGTGTTCAGATCGTGTCCAGGAATGTCGGGATTTGCTCCGGCATCGAGAAGAATGAGCTGTATAGCTTCATTTGGGGATTCTGTCAAAGGAGTCTGTCCAACATCGTCTGTCGCGTCAAGGTCCGCGCCTTTGTTGATCAGAAATCGCACGACTTCGGAGTAGCCTCTCCTGACGGCTAGATGCAAAGCGGTGTACCCGCCAGGCATCCGTATGTTGATGTTTGCTTTGTAATCCACAAGCAGCTTTACCGCTAGTAGATGACCTCCTGCGGTTGCTGCATGGAGTGCTGCCATTCCAGCATCCTTCAACTCTTTAGCTGTAGACTGGTGGTCGATGTTGGCCCCGTTGTTTATGCAATGCTTCATGAGATCTACCGCATTGTTGCATGCAGCTTTGATGAGCTCTCGAGAGTATTTGGTTTGGGGGCGTCGCGATGGTAGCCATGAAGTCGAAGTCGAAGGTCGATGCTGGAGCCGGGATGAAGGAAGAGATATCTCTGAGCTCTCTCTCAACCCCTCCAATGCGTTTTCGATTGACGCATAGCATAGTGACGGAATTTGTTTCGTCGCTTCTGCAAAATACATTCGCTGCTCTGCAGGAGCCGCTCTACAGTTAAGGTTGTTAGCGTAAACGACATCTTTATCGTAGTGCATAGAGCCTTACGTAGCATAGTCAAAAGCCTTTTGAACAGCATTCAGCTTTTCGACTTGCAGTTGTATGGCTGCTCCATATTCGCGTATGGAATCTTCATTCATTGACGGAGGCTTGAGCTTTTGTTGTCTCCGGGTGAAAGCTGTAGCTTCTCTCAACCAAGATTGATAGTCCAGGAAGACCATGTTTATGCTATTGTGGATATCCGCGGGGAGTAGTGGACCTCGTGTCATCAGTCCATCACGTATCCCCTGGAAACAGTTCTTGGCTGTCTTCAGCTTGAGATTCCATGCTTGCCATGATTTGAACAGGTTCCATGCCGCCAAAGGAATCTGGGGGTTCTTTCGCAACAGCTCGAGTACGATTTTGCCAGCCTCATAGGCGTTTACTGTCATACCGCAACAGGTTTGGATCAACTCCACGAACGACCCTAAAGCCATTGTGAAGTGGGTGGGTATAGCAACGGAACCTTGGAAAGGCCTGGGAGGTTGCTTGTCGGGTCGTAAAAGGATACAGACAAAATATGGTACTACAATAGAGTGCGATCACATAGAAATTTAAGAAGTATAGGGGCAACCTTGGAAGATACTGCATTACGTTGTAGACACAACCAGGTCGCATCAAAACGTGCACCCAAAAGTGTACATCCCACCCCCAAGCGCTGCATAGGACTGGATTCGAGCGTTTGCTCCGCGCCCTCAACGAATTAGCGCCCTTGGACATCGTTACAACGTACGGTGGGTGTATTTTCAAGGTGGATCTGGGAGGGGGTGGCTGAACGCTGCACCTCTTATTTGTTACATGCAGTGACGCAAGCAGGTTGATTCAACAGCAGAATATCTTGGCTGTGGCTGCTCCAGGATCTACCTTGAAAATATATCCACTGTACGTTGTAAACCATGCTCTTTCGCTGGGAATATGAAGGTGTACACGCAGTCTCCCAATGTAGCGGTAGACCTATAATCTATCCACTGAAACGATATGCCACAGCAGGGATTTGCTTAGCGCGAGTCCTTCTACCACATAAGCTAGCCTCGCAATGAGATACTGGTACAGAAAATAAGCACGGGATACTAGCGAAGACTACATATGTCGCATAGTGAACTGTAAACGAACCTTTGCACCGAAATCCGCTAGTCTGTCCTGTAGAACCGATGGTCATTGATTGCTACTGTACCTAGGTAACCAATTCGTGTGTAGCACCCCAAAGGCTTACAATATCGGCAACGTACCTGATCCCGATAGCCAAACAATTGTAGCTTGCTTTCGGCCCGCGCTTGGATTCGGCTATTCTGGTGGAAAACACCATCCAGCGCGTGCGGGAATGCTGATTTCTCAAGCTGGAGTAGCTACTCGTTTACCCTTGTTACTTACTACGCAATTCGTACCGTCTACAACCTACTTACTCTGGGTATTAGTGCAGCGGCGGTAGGATATGTGGCTTTGTACATACATGCCTCGAGTAACAGAAAGTACCGAAGTCACAGGCAAAGTCACAGCTTCACTCGCGCTCGATACTACCTATAGGCTATTGTAATCATTGCTTTTGTACAGGCTCTAGCGCGTAAAGTGGTGCCGTGTTAGAGGGTGGGCTCCGTTAAGAGACGCTAGGCTGCTCCCGTAGTCTTGTTAACTTGTATCGCAGTTGCGCCGCTATTAACCAATCTATCCTTAAAACTATGTGCCGTGTGCTATAAATAACACCACTACCGTACCGTGCTGGGAGCGCCATGGGGGCGAAGACGACAAGGCTGAGACCGCGGATCTCAGCCTTGTGCCTTCGAATGTGGAAAATGTTGATGTAATCTATAGCTATCAGGCTATAACGATTTGTAAGAACAAGGCAAGGTTTTGAGGTGGACTAAAGCTTTGTTTAGGCGGTCGTTGTTGTTTCACTGTATCTTAGGATGTGGTGATTCAGAATTCAGGTGAAAAATAGTGCAAAACACCCTAAAATGCCCTGTTGCTGGCAAAAGCCTGTACGAAGCCCCAAGTGGACGTGCGTCACGGTTTCTGGCCACTCAGAAGTTCTGCAACTAGGGTTCTCGCACTAAGCACCCGAACAGGGTGTGGGTGTACCTGGAGCTGTCCGAGGATTGGTAAAGGTTTCCGAAAAGGCCATTCAGAGACCCTGATCAAGAGGCGCGGTGCTGACAGCAGAGCGGGGGCCCCCTCCAACAATTGACTAAGAGGTGCACGGCCTTCCTGCGTTCTGTACCAAAGCTATATCAACAGCGAACCTTGTCTAGTGCACACAGTACCAAGACTTTCTTCCCCTCAAAAGTCTACACCGCACCATTAGCAGTGTCAGCCTCCTCTGCCACGAGGGGCTACTTCTGAAGCATCCGGGATCACCAGACCTGCTGCATCCGCGTTGGCCTTTGTTGTCGATCACTCTGAAGGGAACTAGGTCTTTTTAGGCATGAAATTGAATGTTCGTTCGCTAACGAACATCTGTTGCGAGCTACTCCCCGTGTTTATTTATATCACCATGCATCCACCAGCCTGAAGAGTCCTCCCACTCATCCTCACCACTCCTGCGTCATTCAGCGGTCATTCGAACGCATCGAGATATCCCTCACAAACTGTGACCGTGCATCTGCAGATAATTTCGTTGAGGCCTGACTGTGACCAGTAAGCTTACTACCGAGTAGGTGGCATTATCTTCACATCGCTTCGATGACGTGTGTTTGGAGCCTGTTCACCCATGTCGACCATGACGAACATTCTTAACGATGGTTTGCCCGGTGAATAGCATGAATCTTACACAACCTACATAGTTGTTTGCGCCCATGGTCTGCGCAAACGCGTGGCTAGCCGACGTCCACGCTGCAAGCGGCGATTCAGAGCCGCCGCCCAAACCTGATATCCCTACCGAGTACGCGCGGAAGCCTTGAAGGTGCCCCGCGCCACAGGCCAACCTCTTTTCCTCTCCGCCCCCATCCACGTGCACATGGTTCGCACGGAAAAGACGGCGCGCTGCGCTTTCTGAGATCTGTCCGCCGAAAGAAAAGCGACAGCGAGTACGCATTGCTCCTGCGCCACCCCACCAGCACCACCTCCAACTGCCGCCGATCGCTTCGCCCTTCTCTCTTCACATGCCCATGCTCAAACGCGCGCGCTCGCCGTCATCGCCGCTTCACCTGCTCCTTCCCCCCTTCAGGCGGCACTCAGTCCCCCCACCCTCGTTTCCTTCACGTGCGAGCGACTTGCCTTCCACGAAAGCCTCGCCGGCGAGACTGTCGTGGAAGAGCACAGGATCTCCGATCTATTTCAGTTCCGTCTATGGAATTCCAAGAATCTGCGATAGCAGTAACGGTAGGGCTTTAGCAACCTGCTCGACAACATGTCGAGGTACTCGACCGTCCCAGTAATCCAGATATACCCTTCCATTAGCGCCGTAGTCGTCTATATTGAGAACCAAATCAGACTGTTCAGGTTCGAGTTAGCACAATGCTGGATACGCCGGAGTGAAAGTAGACTTACCTCCATTCCATCTTCTCCGTGAAGAAATTCAAACGACAATGCCGCTTCCCCAGACACATTTGTCGCTTGTGCTCTGCGGTAGTTGATCAATGTATTGAAAAGGTGTTGCGACGGTGGCGTGAGCTTGAGCGTGGCGAGCGCACGCAAAGCGCCGGCGGAATATAGGATTGAAGAAAGGTAGTCTACCTGGATTGCGGCTAGTAAGTCGATAGCGCGAGTGTCAGATTTGACCTCTACCGAGCACACCAGCAGGTTCAGCATTGCTCCAATCATCTTTTCGGTACCGACGTTCGCCTCGTGGCGGCCTGAGTCGAGATAGCCAAAGGTGATGATGCCAGTGTCGATCCAGCTTCGCAGTACCAGCACCCAGGCTGCTTTGAACATCGTGGGGAGCGTGATGCCATGCTCCTGAGAGAATGCTTTTAAAGGAGTGATGTCATGCCAGTCTACCCCGACGCGACACAACTCGCCACGTGCGCTTTCGGGGGAGTCTAGCACGGGAAATAGGCAAGGAGTTGCATGTTGAAGGCGTTGGACCCAGTATTCCGTTGCGTCATGTGCAGAGCCGAGAACATGCTTCACATGTTCGCTATACCGAGGAGCTTCCTCGGCTGGTGGCTGATCCGCGTACAGAAGAGACCAGTCGGAGAGGAGAGTGGAAAATGAGATGGCGTCCATGATGGCGTGACTGACATCGAGCCTTATCATTACTTCCCCAGATGGCAACGGAAGGACGTGAAGGCGATGCGGGAGGTTCTTTCCTTGGTTGTCGAGACGCGGGAGCGCCTTGAAAGTTTCGAGTATGTCCTTGGTCGGTTGCTCGATAAGCACAACATCCGCAATCGCTTCTCTTACAACAACCTGGATCAGGTCTTTGTCGGTTGGACCGGACACAAAAACAGTCCGTAGTGAGGTATGGCGACAAACCAATTTCTGCCAAGATTTCATCAACTTCTTGATGTCAATGAATCCAGGTCCAGGTTTTTCGTGAAGCGTTAGTTTACCAATCAACTGGGTTACGTAAACTCTGCTGTCTCTAGAGTTGCTATCCAACATGTAATTCTGGATTGGCAAACAAGGGTATGCGTCCTCAACCTCACTGGGGGAAAGTTCAAGGTCTGCCAACGTTACGTCGAGGAATTGATCGAGGCTTCCATAGCTGAATGGAAGCAAGGGAAAGTCGACAAGCGTGTGTCTGGGTTTGACGCATGTCAACTGCTCTGCTGTTTGTCGGAGGCAATCTTCAAGATTGGCGATCCACTTGAGGAGAGAATCTTGGCGTTCCATCTGTTGATTGTACAAGAAGGTGAACTGAAGACGGCCGTTGACGAAAGATGCTGACACTTCAATCAATACCCAACGTTGAGTGTCTTGCGCCGCTTCTGCAGAACTGTCTCCTTGACCATGCACGCGTTGAAATAGCGCACCTGGTCGCTCAAGTTGTTGATATTGACCTTCATAGTTAAACAAGATCTCAACCGGACCGGACTGTTCGAAGGCAATCTTACCCCTTGGATTGGAGTAGCGAGAATTGAAATAAGCCCAGCCATTCTTTGGTATGCGCCGTCGACCGTCTTTGGTGCGACGGATGGTCTCAAGAATACTCTGTTGACCATTTCCAGAGATGACAAGCGGATATATTGTCGTAAACCAGCCAACCGTACGAGATATGTCAATGTCATCATCCCATGATTCTCGTCCGTGTCCCTCGTTGAAAATGGTGGGTGCAGGACGATCAGTAAAGGTGGTTACGAAAGAGTGCCATAGTACGGCTTGAAAGAGTTCCACAGGCTGGGTCCCTAATGGGATATTGGCAGAGCCCATAAGCTGGTCCGTGGATTCTTGGCTGAGTGTAAAGGAACGTTCTAGAACGTCCTTGTACATGTTGGAAGACAATGTCTTACCCCAGTAAGCGGGCGGTGCTGGCGTAATTTCAAATGGTAGGGAGCGTTCGGGAGACAGGTGTTTGTGCGCATATTGAGCCTGTAGACGGCACCAAGTCTGGAAAGAGAAGGGGCTTGGACTTGGAAAAGTCCCCTTGTTAAGCACGTTTTCCAGGTCGTCGAGAAGGATCCGCCACGAGACCAGATCAACGACAAGGTGGTGAGCCGCCACGAAGACAAAGTGACCATCAACGGCTGTCTTGATGACATCCACAGCAAAGAGTGGGCCCGCCTCGATGTCGAAGGATGTCTGACTGATACGCATAGCATCATGGGCCTGCTGCAGGGACGTTAGTTCGTGGTCTGTTATACGGACGCAGTTGTCTGTGCCTGCTGCCACGGATTGGACCCAGTCGCCTTGGGCTGTCTGGGTGAATCGAGCACGCAGCATGGAATGGCGGACTACGAGCATCTCCACAGCACGACAAATGTCTTCAAAGGACACGGTCCTCGTCAGTCGGAGCAGGAGGCTCTGGGTGAAGCAGCCATGGCTTCCCCGCGGCTGCAAGTCACAGAACAGGCGCTGAATCGGCGACAAGCCAAACGGAGTATCGCACGGCTCCTCAGCATGCTGTTGGGTAGCAGTCTTGAGGTGGGTGGCCGCTCGTGCTTGCTCAGCCAGGCTTTTGTTGCTGAAGATTTGCGACACGGTCAGACGCAGGCCAGCCGCCAGGCACCGCGCAGAAAGCTGCATGGCCGAGATAGAGTCGCCACCGAGGCGCAAGAATTGGTCGTCCATGCCTATCTCGGCCGCGTCTATGTTCAGCACGCCTGCCCACAGCTCTTGCAGTGAGCGCTCGACAGCCGTCGAGGGAGCGCGTTTAGCCCGGGGCGAGGCGTCAGAGAGGGCCGCAACCAGCTGCAGACGTGTGAACCTGGCCACCTCAGCACGCAGCCGGCGCCGGTCCATCTTGCCTGTTGCCGTCCTTGGAAGGTATCTCAGTCGCACAAACGCGTCGGGCACCATAAAGATAGGAAGCGAGCTGGCTAGGTGCATCTCTGCCGCGCGCGCGCGAGTCGTGAAGCGATCGCCCGCTATGTGTATGATAGCTGCATCCCCGGCGTTGCGGTAGGCGCTGTCGTCGTCGCCATCATCACCGTCGCCGTCGCCGCACCACACAAACGCCGTTAGCAGCGGCGCCTGCTTGTCTGCCGGCTGCACCACAGCGGCCACGACATCGCGTGCCTCAGCAAAAGCCAACCGCACATGCTCCTCGACTTCGCCGAGCTCAACGCGCTGCCCGCGGATCTTGACCTGGGCGTCGTCTTTGCGGCCTAGCAATCGTAGCGTGCCGTCTGCGTCATAGCGCGCCATATCGCCAGTGCGGTACAAGACGCCGCGACGTCCGGCGTGTCCGGTCGCGCCTTTTCCAAGCCAATGCGGGTCCTGGACGAAGGCCGCCGCTGTCTTGGCCGCGTCGCCGAGGTAGCCTTTCCCGACCAGAGGCCCCTCCAGCCACAACTCGCCCGCGGCGCCGATGGGCACAAGGCGGTCGCCGCGCTGGGCGTCGACGATCCACGTCGCAAGTCCAATACCGCGCCCAATGTTGCCCAGTTCGTCTGCCGTCTGCACCTTGACGCGCCCTGTGGCCGAAACGGTGCACTCAGCGGGCCCATAGATGTTCATGAGCGTAGCGTGAGATACCCACATAGCAATGTCCTGCGGCCGCATGGCTTCACCCGCCAGCATCAGCGTTTGCAGCGTCGGCACCTTCGCCGGATTGAGCAGACGGGCGACGGACGGCGTCAGGTCGGCGAAGGTGACTGCCATGCGCGACATGGCACCTTCTACATCATCCTTGCGTTCCGCCTCCGAGGGAATGCACAAGCACGCACCTGCCGCGGCCGATTGCACAAAGTTGGACCATGCCGCATCGAAGGCATACGAGGAAAAGTCGAAGATGCGACCTTCTGCTGGCGCGTATCCCAGCTCCTGCTGTTGGTGCTTGACTGCGCTGCTGAAGTTGGCGTGGGTAAGCATGGCACCTTTGGGCGTCCCCGTGCTCCCAGATGTGAAGACAACGCAGAGCGTGCCCGCCGGATTCACGCTGGGTAGGTCTGGCCTGCTCGCCACGCTGGTTGCGTCCAGCTGGCCCGCGTCTACCACCTTGCACAGAGGGACTGAACATGCAGCGGCCAAGTCTTGCATCGCGGCCGAGCAAAGCATCACCTTTGCCTTGACTTGCCCTGCCATCAGTCGCAGCCGTTCCTCGGGTTGCGTTACGTCCATGGCCACAGAGGCTCCGCCGGCTTTCATGACTCCTAACATGGCAACAGGCATCCACTTGGACTTTTCGAAGCAGAGCGGCACCACCGACCCTTCCCCAACGCCGTCTGCCACCAACTGGTGTGCAAGGGTTGTTGACAGATCGTCCAACTCGCGGTAGCTCAAGTCACCGTCCCAAGCACACACAGCTTGCTTCTCCGGATGCTGCAGCACTCTTTCGGCAATGACATCGTGCACACAGATCTCGACTGCCGGTGGTATGGTGGCATTCCAGTCCCATATCTGCCTCAGATCCCGCTCATTGATAGCTCCAATTTCCTCCATCGTGACCTGGACATCTTGCGCATCGCACAACTGCCGCAGCAACTGCTCAAACTGCTCAACTATGCGCCGCGCCTGGCGCGCGCTGACAATGTGAGAATCAGTGTTCAAGCGTATTTTGAGACCGGTGGGTTCCAAGACACACTCAAGCATGACGGCATACGAGTTGAAAACGTTCAGCACGTCAGATTTGTCCTCAGTATCGGAATCATTGCTCTGATACATGTCTGTGGCGTGACGCATAGCATCGTCCGCTTCAGCAGGCTGGATGACGAGTAACGTCTGAAAGAAGCTCGACTCGCTGATTTGGGAGATGCGCTGCAGGCCCGTCTGTTCGAACGGGATCATCTTCACTGACTGTTCTTGCACTTGTCGTAGAAACTCAACAACATTCATGTCTCTTCTCACCTTGACTGGCAGGGGAATCGTCGCAATGGTAGGCCCCCCGATCCTGTCAGCCCCGAAGATAGGCGCTTGCCGCCCGCTGACGGTCACCCCAAAGACTACGTCCGGAGAGTTGGTGTAGATGGAAGCGAGGATAGCCCAGGAGGCTCGTACAAGGGTAGATGCAGTGATATCGTGATTGCGAGGCCATTGCAATGCCGAGATGTGATGTTCAATTGTGTGATCTGCTCGAGGTTGGTATGCCGGCGATGGTAGCGGGGGAAAGGCCGCCAATTCCAAGTCCTGGAACTGAGTTTTCCAGAACTCATCAGCTTCCTGCCGCCTTTGTGTCAGGTACGCTACAAAGTCTCGGAATGGGGCCAGTGGTTCAGTGACATCCCCGCGGTAGACCTTCTGCACTTGCTCCAGAATTTGTGGCTTGCACCACCCGTCGTATAGGGCATGATGTACACTCCAGATCAAATACGTGCATCCTCGGTCATTGTCATGCAAGAGGCCTAATCTCATCAACGGTGTTCCCAACTGCATGTGCTCCTGTCGATCGCGGGAAAGATACTCCTGGATATTCCCACTGCTAACCCGCCAGATGAAATCGTTAGCGATCACGACTTGCACTATTCCCATTGGAGATAGATCGATAATGCGAGTGCGGAGAATTGGTGTCATCTGCACAACCTTGCTCCAGGCATGCTTGAGACGAGGGACGTCGATATTCCCGCTGAGCTTGAATACATTCTGGTTCACATAATCCCCTGGTCGTTTGATGGTCATGGCCAAAAGGCCCTCTTGTAGTGGCGTACACGGCAGAGCGTCCTCGATTAACTCTGCGTTGTCGAGGTTGCAGCGAACTGCAGCCCGAGCACGTATCTCCGCTACTTTGATGGAAGCCGCATGTAGGAGGACGAATGGTTGAACGGAGGCGGATTCGTCACTAACATCGACTGCAGCTATGTGAACTAGTCGTGCAAGCTGGCCTAACCGTGTCGAACGAAACACATCTGCGACGTTAAGGATCAATCCGCGATCACGAGCCGCACTTACCAAACGCATCGCATGGATCGAGTTCCCTCCTAGTTGGAAGAAGGAATCTGTAGTCGCGATGCTTGCGGCATCTATCTGAAGAACCTTCGCCCAGAGTAATTGGAGCTGACGTTCCATGTCAGTTGAAGGGGCGGTCCGGGCCTCCTGTGACCGTGTCTGCAGCGCAGCTAGCTGCGTGAGGGTCATGGATGCGCCGATTCGCTTCAGCTGAAGGCGGTCGATTTTTCCAGTCCTCGTTACCGGGATCTGTTCGATCGGGATCAATGACCCCGGCAACATGTACGTGGGGAGTTGCTCGGCTAGTCTCTCCTGAACCTCTTGCCTACGGGTTCGTAGAATTTCAGCGTCGAGTGTTGCAAAAGCAACCAGTTGAGGGTCGCTGCTACCCTGAGGAGTGATTGTTTCCGCAACAACCCGTGTTGTGTTGCCCAATATCTGCCGCAGGTGGTATTGTACTTCGCCCAACTCCACTCGTTGGCCTCGTATTTTGACCTGGGAGTCTTTCCGTCCCAGATATGTGATGGTTCTGTCTGGATTCTGCCGAGCAAGGTCGCCCGTTTTGTATAAGCGGTTGTGAGGTCCTGGCCGGACTTCACTGAGCCAATTCGCCGATTGGCAAAATGGCACAGTTGCTCCCTTTCCACGGTTGAGATATCCGCGTCCGACACTGGCACTCTCAATCACTACCTCACCAGTTCCTCCCATTGGTATTAGTCTCTCGTTATTCTCCGCATCTACGATCCACAAAACTGTCCCAACGCCGTGACCTATATTCGCAGGATCCGAGTCAGAGCTTGTTACATTTCGCAGTGAGCTGATAGCCGCGCATTCGCATGGGCCATACGCGTTCATCAATTCGACGCGCCTCGCCCATGTAGTCGTAACATCGGCAGTCAAGGCCTCCCCGCCCATTAGCAGATGACGAAGAGTCTGAACCTTTGTCGCATCGAGAAGAGACACTGATGTCGGAGTCAAACTTGCCCAATTTACGCGATACCGATTCATGAAGTTTTCGAGGTCAGTCAACCGCTCCTGGTCCGAGGGTATACAAATACAACCCCCAAACATGAGTGTCATGAGTACATCGCGGTTGCCGACATCGTAGATGAAATTAGCAAATTGTAGCACTCGTGACTGTTCATCCAGGTGTAATGCAGGGCCGTTGGCCATGGCAGCTGCGTAAAAGGCACCATGTTCCATCGTCACACCCTTTGGCTTCCCACTCGATCCAGAAGTGAACACTCCATACAGAGCGTTGTATGGTTGAGATTGGGACTCAATATAGGGCCTTGAAGATGAAGTATCGCCATCAATAGCACAGTCGTCCTTGAGACAGACAACCTTCATGCCCAAATTTTTCCCAACGGAGTTGGTTCTCGCTGAAGTGACGAGAAAATTTGCATGGAGATCATCACAGATGCTCCGCATTCGAGATACCGGATAGGAAGGGTCTAGAAAAACATATGCTCCGCCAGCCTTGATAACTCCAAGAAGAGCGACAATAGCCAGCTTCGACTTTTCGAAGCATAGCGGTACATATACTTCCGGACCTACGCCTAGCTGCTGAAGATGCGCTGCCACCCGCGAGGAATGCTCGTCAAGCTCGGCGTAGGTCATATCCCCGTCCCACGCACTGACTGCTATGCTGGTACCTCGCTTCCTGCATTGCTCTTGAATTACAGCATGTATACACAGTGGCGAAAACTTTGGTGGAGTTTTGTTCCAAATGGCTAGTTGTGTTTTGTCCCGCGGGCTGCAGATATCCAGTTCCCGGTAGGTTTTCAGTGGATTCTGCACCATGGTAAAAAGTACATGCTGGAACGTTTCAGCAACTCTGGATGCATAATCTGTATTGAGAACAGAAGTCGAATAGTTCAAGACGACATTGAGCATGTCTCCAACGGAGACATGAATGACAATCTGTAGGCGCGTTAGCGGAATTTATTTACGTGTCAGTTTCCGCTTTCACTCGCCTTGACATTTTCAAAACTGGGTGTCAATTGTGCTCGGTGATGAGCTGACAACCAGGACACTTGATGGTTGGCAATGACTGTATCGAAGTCTGTTCCAAGGGCTTCTTTCATTCGCTCTTGGTAGGGAGGATCTTTTACTAAACCTTGGAGCAGGTCTATAAGGGAAGTGTTGGAGTCCAAATTGACACGGCACACTGAAGTGTCAAGAGCGCTGGGATCCCCTTGGGCTGTGGTTGCGTAGCCAAAAGCTACTTGGTTATCTCCAAGATATGCACCAAGGACTATGCTCCATGTGACTTGGAGAAGGTGAGGCAGACTGATGTTATTCGCATCGCAAAACTGACGAATTCTGAGGCCCCCATGATTTTCAAGAGTGACGGACTCGGTCTTTTCAGTTGTTGGATGGGGCGACCCTCTGGTCAAGGATGGGAATGGGCAAGTCATGTTGTTTTGACGTGATCTGCCACTCGCAATGGCAGTCATGGTACTGTGAGTAGTGAAGCAGGTAACGCTGAGTTAAAGACAAACATGTCCGTTCGAGATTTTATTCTGTCACTTTTTCAACACTACTGATGCATGGAAGCTTAATTACGTAGGTGGTATATTAAATAAGTTTGCACAGTCCGCTGTCAGCTAGACGGCTCGTAGCGAATCGAGTCGACATACTAAGGAGCTCGTTTTTAGTGACCACACGCTTTGACCATAATTTGGCGAGCTCCGTCCGGTCACTAAAAGCGAGCTCTTTTGTACAAGTGGTGGAATGGGCACGGCCACTCTGCGCCACTTTGTGCACCCAATCACTAATGTTTTCGCTCCGTCACGACGTCTGTTCAGCTATCCGCGGATTGTTCATACTTATACGGTACCAAGCTACCTGTACGGCTACGTATTAGCACATCATAAGCAGTAGTGGAGTCTGTAGTGTAGTGGCTTACAGGATTGCGAATACTGCCAGTACAGGCCTTGCAGCCAGTCGAAGAACACGCTCCTGCTCCCGCTGTAATTTCACTGTTGGCTACTACTGCCCCCACTGTACACTGCTTAGTTGTATGCTGGGCACCACAGTTTCCCATGATGCGGTGGATTAGACCTGCAGATTTCGGCCTACACACAATTAAACCTCTACACCAAAAAGACTCTAATGCGGGGCACAACACTGACTTGCTGACGCGTATCAGCTAGCCAACAACTACGCAAAAATCTGCGGGTTTATTCCACTGGATCATGGGAAAGTCTCTCGTATGGTTCTGGCTCGCCTGTCGACTTGCACTAGCCAAGCTCAGTATTTAAGCGTGTCTACTTTTTCTCTAGCGTCAACGCGAAAAGTAGGAAACAGAGAGACAGTGAATGTTGAGAAAATCAGCGATGCCAGGAATTAGACAATAAGACACGGGCTTTTGTGTTGATGCGACTAGAAATGATGTCCGACATTTGGAGCTGGGCGGTTTTCGCTTTCGCGTTGACGACAATAAAGCCGGTCTCTAGCGTTGTTGATCTTGACGCCAATTGCTGATCTAGCGCCAAGGATACAGATCTCTACGGTATGACACGGGATTGGTTACTGATAACGTGATCCTCTAAGATCTAGTTGTTACTAGATGGACCTATCATATGTCGCACGTGTCAGTGCACTACCAACCTCCTTTCTCTGCTTTCCTCCATGCTTTGAGCTGCCTATTCAAGACGTGCAGAAGAGTTTTTTCCGCCTCTGCGCTCCTTCCCAACAGCATACTACTTTTTCGTACAGCGAAAATGGCACCAGCTGTGCCTCCGCATGTACGCGGTCTCGTTGCAGTGTGTATCATGATGTGGGGGGTGTACTGTGGTGAGCCGTCTGATGGTTACTCTTGGAGCTTATGTTGATACGATCAGTGTACGGGATGCCCGGCACATTATCGAAACCGCTTCAAGCGCACCTCTCCCTCACTGACTCTCAATATACGTACTTTTTATCTGCTATGTACACCGTCTTCGCTGCGCCCAACACCGTGCTTCCGTTCTTCTCGGGATTCATGATACAGCGATACGGCGAAAAACGAGCTATGAAAGTCACGGTTGGTTGCGTTGCCTTGGGGCAATTGACGTTCGCACTTGGCGTAGAACTGCGACAGATCTGGATAATAATGCTAGGTCGTGTCGTCTTTGGCCTCGGAATGGAAGTCCTAGGCGTCCTGGCCAACATTATTGCAGCACGTTTATTCTCGTACGCACATATTGTTTCCTCGATATTACTATTTACTGATGATTTATCATAACAGTGACAAAAAACTAACGCTTGCGCTTTCCCTGGTCCTTGGTGTGGCTCGGATGGGAAGTGTATCTAACTCAATCATGACACCTTTACTTGTCGCGCGTAACGGCGTAGCCTCAGCTACATGGACTATGTCGCTTTTCGCTATGAGTTTGACCTGTTTATGCAGCGCATACCTTCTGCCCGGTCTGCCCGCACCTGCGAACAACGCAAGTCGCTCATTCGATATCGCCTCCATTTGGCGCTTCTCACCTGTGTACTGGCAGTTGATCCTTATATGTGCCGTAGGATACGGTGGCATTGGCACGTTCACCAACTCTGCGCAGCGTTTTCTTGCAGCCCGCTTTTTCAACAATGATCAACCAGCAGCCGGAAGGGCCCTCAGGTTCGTTGCATCACTCGTTATAAGGTCTTCTTGCTGACTACATGCATACAGTATTACCTACACACTCGCAGCTGTCCTCGTTCCGCCCTTTGGTATTGTGCTTGAAATGCCCTGGTTCAGAATACCATTCGCGCTCCTCATCTCAAACGTACTCATGACATCAGCGCATCTTGCTTTTTATATACGTTCTGCTGGCGCTATTTTACCCCTTGCAATGCTGGGAACCGCATATGCTCTTTATGGCACAGCATTTTGGGCTGGCTTGGCTCGCAGTATTCTCGATGCTGGCCCTTCGCAGCCTGCACAGCGCTCTGAGAGCAGGGTAGGGCTTTTAGAATCTCAGGAACATGACATCTTGAGTAATGAGACCTTGAGTGAGTCTCATGGTTCGATGTTGTTGGACACGAGTAGTGATGGGCAGCCTGATAATCTGATGGCAGTGGGTTTAGGGACAGCGACGTGCTTCCTAAATCTGAGTACAGCTCTCGTCCCATTGTTGCTTGCTGGTGTTGAACAAAGATTCGGTTACTCTGGACTAGAAGTGGTGTTCATAACTTTGGCTGGCTGTGGATGCTTGGCTTCGATTAAGTTGGCGCACATGCACAGATTCGCGCATACCGAGACAAAAAGGCCATAAGCCATGGTTGTGCTGGTTCAGCATTATCAATAGCGATTCAAAGACATCCACTATTTCGTACTTATGGGTGAAGGACCATGCAATTGCATTATCTAAATAAGGGCATTTCGTTTCACTAAGACCTTACCTATGTTCACATGGTAAAAGCAGCCGACCCCCCTTGCGGGTATAAGTCTTTTCACAACGCAACATCTAATGAAAACTATAGTAGAGTTACATCAACACTACACAGATTTCGGTAACAAATTTCTGTCTCAAAGTGTTCTAGATCTCTATTCGTAGTATTATCTTGTTTCCAGTTCGTTGACCTCACATACTAGTAATTGGGGATGCGAGAACCTTCCTGACCAAGACGTCGGTCATTCGGTTGTGAAACTCTATTACAGCGATATCCTTGTACCTGGACGGCGAGCCCTCGGGCATTGAGTGAGGAAGGGCACCGACCAAGGAATCCCGGTGAGCATTGACGAAGAAAACAGTGGATGTTCTCTTCGAAAGAACCTAATCCTGCCAAGTCAGTTACTTTTCCGTCAAAGACGGCAGCCAAAATTGATGCACGCCCGCTGGAATGGTATCGTTTGGCCAGCGTTGATATGCGTCGCTTGTAATTACCACAATCTCGTCTTGAGATTCTCTTCGCTTACTTTGGTGTTTTACTTCAGCGGTCAGATGGATATCAGTGGACAGATGAATGTGGCAAGAGCATTGTTGGGGTGGTCGACGAATGCCTCGTTGGGGTAGTCGACAAATGCCTCGGGCCTTACTGGAGTTCATGGACAACATGGCCGAGAGCGATAGTCGGGTAAGATAAAGCAAAGGGGCGCAAATTTTTTGATGTGAACTATGATGTGGTTTTTAGTTGTATGTATATTGCGGTTTCCGTGCGCAATGACGGAAGATTTCTATAAGACATGGCCATCAAGAGAGTAAGTATGTATGACATACAGCAGATGTTTATGAAATCCCACGATCTGATCCAAGTCATGCAGCTTCTACGACATGAATGTTTTGAAGGAACAACTTGCGGAAAAGAATAGAATTGAATGTAATAGATTCAGGTGATTTATCAGTAAACCTCTGCCGTATTAGTAAATACAGGTAGAGCAGCCAGTAATCCGTGAATAGAGCGCGGAGAAAAGAATCTCAAGCTTCTTCGCCTGCCCAAAGCGTGATAGACGGTCATTCTATCATTTGACACAACTGCTATCCAAGATGATCCCAGAAACGTCGGTTCCCCTTTTTTTGATAAACGATGAAAGTTTAACACATGTCGCTTAGGCTTGCACAAACCTTTTAACAGCAACTCAGATACTATCTTTGCCAGCGAACTTGCGATCCATATTGGCTCAACTCACAACTATAGGAATAGGTGACATCACTTCGTTTCAACTAAAAAGTGTGGCCTGATCAGAACCGCTTCTTAAGAACTATCTAGTTCACCACTATCTTGGAATTGTGTGAAGGCTACAAACAGGTCGTTATTTACACATCCTAGGCAACTCAGAGTACTCTTGGACCTTTAGATGTGCAGATATGCTCCTCAAGGCGAGAGAATGTTGGCGGTCAGCAGCCCTGGCACGTGATTTAGGATCTCAGGGATGAGACCATTTACTGGGTACGGCTATACCATGGATTAGTTTGAGACGACGTATCAGGGGAGGCACAAGCCATGTCGTTATTGGTAAGTACATGTCGGCCGGCACCCTCCGAACCGTTACGTGGACTATGTTAACTACATTGGCTACATACAGAAACATGTACGCAAGAAACAACAAAATATTTATTGTTGAATACTTGCCTAATTGTCATGCCGCACTTATGGAAAGGCTCCCCCTGATTCGCTGGCGTCGAGGCCACATGCAGCCACGCCTTCCAGGCCAAGCTTTATCCCTGGCACGCGTACATCGGCTAATCGTTGTTGGGAATCCATCGCACAAAAAAACTCGGTATGGCTGACAAACGTCTTCCAACAAGAATTGGAAACAGAGGCACGTCTAGTAGCGGTTGCTGAGATAACGAGCACCAATCATCGATATTGCACTATCTCCAGTTTCTCTAGGCGCGGGAGTATCCGCTGGAAATAGTGACAACAAAATATGCAGGGCAATATATCTAATCCTAAAGTTGTCCAGAATAGGAAACTACATGTGCAGTCTAGCACGTTGGGATCGCTGCCAGGCTTGTTTTGGGTCTTTACCCGTTGGCAACCTTCGCTTTTGCGGCACTCTTGTTTCCAACAAACAAAAATCGCAGATGTGATACCGAATCAAATTGAGTCCATACAATGAGTACGTCACTGCTCAAACTTGTAGCGTCACTAGTAATTATTGATGCCGAAACTCAACAGGTCGTTTTTCCAAGAATGCCGCGATGCCCTCCTGACAGTCGGCAAGAGAGAAGCTACTGTAATACAACGCTCGTTCAAGCTCTAAGCCTGCTCTGAGCGTCGTCGTCTCGGCTTCAATGACATGAGTTCGGCATTCCAACTTGTAGTGTAGGGGCAACTCACCCGCTTTTACTGCCTGTTTGGCTAGTGCAATTGCAGGGCTCGAGAAAGACGCGATGGTCTGTGCCACCACCATAGCCCTGTCCAGGACACGGTGCCCCACTGGAGCAATACAACTCACTACGCCAAGACGTTCCATCTCACCCGCTGTTGTTGGAGTCCCAGTCAAGATCAGCTGCATTGCCTGTTCAGGTGAGTATTTAACGTTACATACGTGGAGTTTGAGTACCATCTCCGAGACGCGAGAGCGGAAGGGATGGATCATGGTACGGACCTTTTGCTTCCCAATTGTCTTGGTCAAACGCTGAGTGCCACCAATTCCAGGAATGGTACCTAATTTGATCTCTGGAAAGCCAAACTGGGCGTCTTCCGAAGCAACGATCATATCACACTGCGGCCTGTCAACTTTTCGAGCGCAGATCAATACAAGAGATGTCACCCACCATCAACGCAAGCTCGAATCCTCCGCCAAACTTGTGGGACTGTCATCAGCCCCGCTTGGTCATTATCCTTTTATCCGACACACTACTTACCGCATATCCCTGCACTGCTGCGATAATGGGTTTCTGGAAGCCAGTGAGAGCATCGTCGAGACTCTTCAACCAGCTCATGCGATATGCTACCGCCGTTGTCACCTCGGCCAGTTCTTTCAGATCGGCCCCAGCTGCAGTCATGTGTCAACCCAAGAGATAGATCAACCCCCAATTGAACGGACTTACCACAGAAGGGAGCCACTCCGGAACTGGTCAGAATAACAGCGCGCACTGTTGGACTTCGATCGAGTTGGCGAAGAGCTTTTGTGAGTTCATCTATCAGATCCTGCGACAAGGCATTCCTTTTGAGCGGGCGGTTCAGCTCCACCGTTGCTACGCCGGTGCCCTTGAGAGACACGATGAGATTTGATGGTGGAATCATCTCAAGGCTGATGGCCAAGAATGTGCTGGAGGCCTTGATCTTGAAGGACAGACCAGCCAATTCCTCTCCTGCTTCTAGGTTTTTTTTGAAGTGAAATATCGGTCAAAACCAGATGTCGTGTAAGATAAGTGATGGAACAGCTTCCTCAGAATTGGCGACTCTTATCATCTTTATGCGCGGCACATCATCCGAGCACTAGCGGCGTCATTTTGGCCAACCTATTTCAAGCTAGAGATGCAAGTACGTTCGTATGCAGATTGGGGATCAAAGGATTCCCGGTCCTGCAGCTTGGCTACCCGCTTACGCCATCTCACTGCAACGCTTCGAAAACTTCCATGCGTTATCTCTTCTTGTTCACCTTCTGAATCGGCATAGCTGCCGCAAGACGGACACTAAATGACTAATATTTTATACCTTCTACTTACGGTAGTTTTCTAATCAGCTCCGCATGTGATTATTGATCTCAGCCAACGCATTTACTTCTGATCCATTGCATGTGCCGGACACGTCTAGTAAAACGAGCCTATCAATGTCCCTAGAAAGGACGGATCCGCGCCCACAGACAACCCTGCGCATGTTGCGGCGATCACTCGTAACTATGCAGGTGGAACGCCCGTCCGCAATGCATTACCCATGTCAAACTGACAGGTCAGATCACCTTTACTACAGTGAAGACGATTGTGATTTCATGCACTGTGACCTCTTTGTCGAATCTTTACTCGCAGTGTAAGTTTTTGAGCTGCTGTGTATGGGGTGGTCGCTACATGAACACTACACCACTGGCAAACCAGGTGCAATCGGACTTCTTGATAGATCTCAGTAGCAGTTGTTAGATACCTATGACTACTGCAACGTGATTACACAATCAAGCTTTTTTGGTAGTAGCTTAGATGCAAGGGCTGTAAGAGCAAGGTGTCAAAAGTCACAACTACACCTTCCACATTCTCTACGCTACCCAGTCACTCTCTACCATCTGTATCGCAAATGACCCCTGGACCTTTCGAGCAACTATACGCTTTCAAGAGAACCACCGAGATGGAGAACCTTGGAATGTCCAGGGTCTTTACTTGGCTTACTGCGGATCACCCTACTTTCGTGGCGTTTCCTGGCTTTGCTATCAGTACTCACATAAGATACACCACCGATACATTGGGACTGTGATAACTACAATGGGCAGGAGTTACAACCTCCTATCAGTACGACTGTCGAATACGTCACTAATCGAACAGGAGAGTGATATCATGGTGGAAAGGAGTACTGGCTACAGATTAGAAAGAGTATCCACATTGCATTCATCAAGCATACAAAAGGCCACAGATGTTTCAGCATCTGGCTCAATATCAAAGTTTTCTTGCCGTACTCTTTTGAACCGGTGTTACACTATGAATTCTCAACAGTGTCTCACAACGCTTTCTGGCCTTTCCACAGGAGACCAGGCCCTCGTTTCTCAATATGGACGCGGCCCATCTCTTCCAGTACCTCATTCTCTGATACACCAAGCGTTTGAGGGGGTTGTGGACAATGCACCTACAGCAATCGCAGCCAAGTTTGGCAAGAATACGATCACGTATCAGCAATTAGATATAGCCGCCAATAGACTGGCTCACCACCTGATTGAATCAGGACTTCAACCTAAACAACGAGTTTGTTTGGTTGTTCAGAGGTCTCTTGAGATGCTCATTGGCATCCTTGCAATCCTCAAAGCGGGATGCCAGTATGTGCCAGTGGACGGTGGAGTGGTATCAGAGCAAGCGCTTCAGCACATCATTACTGATACAGAGACTCGCTTCGTTTTGTGCTTGCCTCAATTTTGGGACAAAGTTCGACGATTTTCGAAAACAAATACTATCATTGTTGCGCTTGGCATGGATGTTGGTGCTTTCTACTCAAATGAAAGACCCAAGATAGATATCTCTTTAACAGATGGTGCATATGCAATCTACACATCAGGTACATCCTATTTACAATCGACGCAGTGTAACGGCTAACAATCTCTCCAGGAAGTACAGGCAAACCCAAGGGAGTGGATGTCTCGCATGGCAACGTTACGAACGCCCTGCTATTAAAACCCGCCAACTTGGGTATTACCATCGGAACTAGGGTCGCTCAAGTACTCAACATTGCCTTCGATTTGGGTACGTATATTCTGTCATTCATTGCTTTAGTCATCCTAACATCATCACCAGGTGCATGGGAGATCCTCGGCTGTCTCATGAATGGTGGAACCCTCCACATGCGCGGATCAGATTGGGTAGCCACGCTTCAAGAGGTTCGAACTGAATAAACCATCACATGCGGCATGCAATCGCTGACCTCTGAAGATTGAGACATTGATCTCTACGCCATCAATACTTTCACACTATCGACGCAAGGATTTCCCCAACATCAAGACAATTGTTACAGGCGGAGAGCCATGTCCTCAATCGTAAGTCATCTACTCTAATCATTACACTGCGTTCGTATTGACCATTTGCAAGCCTAGCGGACGAATGGGCAGAAGGGTCGTGCTACTACAACATTTGTGGTCCCACCGAGGTCACTATTCTCAACTCGGCCCACCAGCACATCCCAGGGCAATCATTATCCATTGGCAAACCTCTGCCAAACACGTCTTGTTACGTCTTGGACGATGATGAGAGTCCAGTGCCGGTCGGCTCGAAAGGCCTCATGTGGGTTGGTGGAGCAGGTGTGTCGCGGGGTTATATCAATCTGCCTGAACTTACATCGGACCGCTACAAATCCGATAAATTCGCCAACGATGGGTGAGCATCACATAGAACTACGGTCTTACAGCTGCTAATGTATCTTCAGGTCACTCATGTTCAATACTGGGGATATCGTGAGATGGAGAGAAGACGGCAGCCTAGAAACCTTTGGCCGAAATGATGACCAGGTCAAGATAAAAGTGCGTAACCTGATACTTTGTAGATCTCGTTTCTGACTTCTCCAGGGATTTCGAGTTGAGCTGGACGGTGTCACAGCTGTCATCGAAGTATGTGGCCCTCCTCATGGTACCGTGGATGTTCACTAACGGGTTTCAGAAATTCCCGGGCATCGCTAGAGCTTCTGCCATGGTGGTCGAAAACGTCTTTCACGGTTTCTACACTGCTCAGATACGTGTCGATGAGAAAGAACTGGACGCATTCATCCGCCAGCATCTCCCGTACTACTCCGTTCCAGATAAGCTGAACTACGTAACCGCCATTCCCCTCACTCACAATGGCAAAGTCAACAAGAACAAACTCATCGCACTCTGCCCTCATGTGAGCAGAGAGGACTCGGCTGCGGACCTGACTCCAGCGCCTATGAGCAATGCCTTGGTCGCTACCAAGGACTTGAAACGCATGGCGGCACCGTTGCCACTCACGAACTCATCCCCAATCACCTCCGGAGACTCAGAGAAAGGGTCGTTCATGATCCCAAGCATCATGTCTGATCTCAAAAGTCCATCATCAGACCCCAGCATCGCCGATGTTCCAGAGATACTGCCAATCAAGAATGGTATCCATGGCCAGAGGTGGCTTCGATACCGAGCATTCATTTTATATCGACGTTTTATGTCAATCGTCGTTCTCGGCAACGTCGCGGTTGCTTGCTTCCTCATCTACCAGATGGCCAAGAAGTCCAAATGGGTACTCGGCGATATTGCAACAGCGACGGCTAGCAACCTCTGCATGGCTGTACTAATGCGTTCGGAACCCGTTGTCAACTTCCTCTTCACCGTGTTCAGCTCTGTTCCAACATGGCTGCCGCTCTTTGTTCGTCGTGAATGTGCCAAGATTTATCACATCGGCGGCATTCACAGCGGGTGTGCTATTGCCGCGACGACCTGGTTTGCAATTTTCACTGTTGGAGCTAGTATCGAGCTCGCAAAGGCAAAAGAAGAAAGGCGTATCTCCTTAGCTCCGACGGTACTCTCCTATCTGATCCTGGTAATTCTTGTCACAATGGGCTCGATGTCGTACGCGAAGTTTCGTGCAAAGCACCACAATATCTGGGAGACTACTCACCGATTCGGTGGTTGGACGGTTCTCATCCTACTATGGACTCAAACGTTCCTGGCAACCAAAGATCTCAGCCCGGGTGTTGCACCGTCAAAGGCGTACCTTCATTCCCCATCTATCTGGCTCCTCACTGTCGCTTCCATGGCCGTCATATTTCCGTGGATCTTCCTCCGCAAAGTCGCTATTAGGTCAGAGGTTCTCTCCACCCATGCTGCGCGCCTCTGGTTTGACTACGCTACACCTGTTCCCGGCTCAGCTGTACGATTGGCCGAGCGCCCATTGGTCGATTGGCACGGTTTTGCTACCATTGCCAATCCCAATGGCAAAGGCTTCTCAGTCATTGTCAGTAGGGCAGGTGACTTCACAGGGCGGACGATTGAGCGCGCCCCAACTCACATATGGGTTCGCGGCATGCCCACCTGCGGCGTTATGCGCGTCAACACCTTGTTCCGTTCTGTTGTTCTCGTTGCTACTGGTTCCGGCATAGGCCCATGTCTCCCTGTGATACTTGCAAAGAAGGTTTCCTGCCGCGTCCTATGGACAGCACCCAACCCGGAGCAAACCTTTGGGAAAGAGATCGTAAACAACGTTCTTGAAAGAGATCCCCGCGCAGTCATCTGGAATACGAGGACTATGGGCAAACCGAATATGAGTCTTCTCGCTTACAAACTCTGGAAGGAGAGCGGCGCAGAGGCGGTAATAATCATTTCGAACAAGAGATTCACGACCGAGGTAGTGTATGCGCTAGAGACAAGGGGTGTTCCCGCATATGGTGCGATCTTTGATTCGTAGTGCAAGATCTAACATGATTCGAGTGGACGTTGTTCTAAATTTGTTCAAAATTGTAAGATTGAGATCCTGGTTCGATAGTTAAGATGATAGATTGTGGGAGTTTTGGATAGAAAGCATTTGGTCTATTAGAATCATACAATAGAGATTGTCTATACACCCATCTGGTCTTGTAAAATTGCTTTTGGCATGATAATGGTCCGGCGAGGTTGCACCAGCTTTATAGACTCGGTCTCCCTCAACAACCAACTTTGAAGTGTCTGTTGTTGTTTCAGAGGAACATTTCAATAGTATCACAAGCGAGATACACGCCAGAGTAGCTAACATTTCTTCCCATCGTAGTCAACGTTCTCGCAGGATACTGACGAAGGGCGTGATTCAAGCATTTCTTCTGGATATTTTCAATTCTTTCACTTTTTTCGCAACGTCGTCGTTCCAACGTTCTCGCGGCAGTTCGAACGTCGATGTAATGCGTCCATACGACTTCCCGCCAAGCTGAGCCACAGGCCTCAAGACATTCAAGTCGATATGGCTTAGGTCCTCATCCACAGCATCTTCTCTCACCCAAAATCGTGTAGCTTTTATCAAAACCATGCTCGCGACGCTGTTTCCATCTTGCTTATATTCCCCGAGCTCTTTGACATCGGCGACTTTGCCCTCAATGGAGAATATCGATTCCTGGACCCTCGATGGACGTACGGTAGAAGAAGGTGCTTCATTAAGTCCAGCAATATCCCATTCGGACACACCATACGGGGCGTCTATAGATGTTGCGTTGACTGCCTCGATCATATTCTCGGAAACTGTGTTGATGACGCATTCTCCCGTTTCTTTCAGATTACGATATGTGTCTTTGACTCGGCCAGTACGCGAAGAAAAGCCTATGACAAACATCGGTGGATCGTGATCGATGACTTGGAAATAGCTCATAGGGGCGAGGTTCTTGGTGGCGCCGTCTTCAGACACTGTACTGATGAAACCTATCGGCCTAGGTGCAATGCCAGATACGAGCAGCCGGTAGTTGCGGATCATCGATCGATTCGGCTCATAGGGGTCGACTTCCACATGGGTTTTGGCTGGGTCATAGCCTTTGACACCGTCGCCATATCGCCAGTTCGGATTGGGATGTTTTGTGACTTCGATGGGCGTGTTCGAGTGATCGAAGTCAGGACGTGTGGCTTGTATTTTGGCAAAGTTTATAATGTCACCCGCGATGTGATGGCTTTGTTCGGCGGTGGACGCCTGTTCTACACGACCAGGGTTTGGTTTGGATGCAAAGTTTCGAGTTGCTGACAACGTGAGGCGTGTTGGTCTTTCTAGTCGGTTAATACTATTGAGTGTACGAAAAGTCCGATGTACAATTTACCTTTGCAACATGTGGACAATGTTAGCCTTTGCCGTAGACCAAGCCATGGCTCTCATCTTCGGGAAGACACAGCGTATGTATTATCGCAGTTGCAGACACCTTGACGCAATACAACGGTAATCCTTGACGGTTTACGTGTAAGGCTGAAAGCAAAGGGATTCTTGAAGTTATGTACAGATGATGTACAAATGCTCTACTGCTTGGTTAGCTTACTCGCATCGGCTAACTGCGGCTAGTCTCGGTCAAATCTACATGGCGGCATCGTGACTTCGACAATACATGTATAGGGCGTAATTCCTCATCAGCAAACTGGGGGAATACTGAACGAAGCTTGATACTATTTCTGCACTGTCAAACCGTTGACACTTGACAAAGTCGATGCATTGCTTACCAGCATAGTGACGTCAGTATTCCCTTCTACATAGTCCTTCATGCATAGTCCTTCGAATGAGCTGCAATTGCATGTAGTGTCTCAGCCTCAGAAGTTGCGGCGGCCAACCATGCGTCGTGACTTTCTGCCTTGCAGACTTGGCAACATCTCCAACCAGCTCAGCCCCGTAGCCTTGTTGATGCCTCAATCATGTATAAGTAGCTTGCCCCCTGGAGCTGGGCTTGTGTTTCCAAACGTGATCAGCACACCCTCAATCACTTAAAGATCAGTCTTATAAACGATATCAATGGGTAACAGCTTTGGCTTCTTGAAGGTTGAGGCGGAAGGCGGATTCCAATTCACTGTGGTAGAAGCTTGCAAGGCTGAAGCCATCGATTTGGGCCAGACTTGCAATCTGACGTTCGGGACTGATCAGCAACTCATTTCCATTGGCAATGTCACCAGAGGGGCGATGAAGCCGATGCCAGGCATAGCGGGAATAGGCGTAAGTTGAAAGCTGCCCTGCAGTTCATCACTGCTGACCCAAGCAGATATGGTTCGCAATGCTTTTGTTTTTCGGTGTTGTTGTTTGTGCCCTGCTATTTGTAGTTGTCGAGATCCTAACAAGATCCACTGCTCCGTAAGCTATCATTTGAGATCATTTCTGGATTTGTACTTACCATCTGGCACAAACAGTAACTCTGGTATTGTTGCTTATTTCAAAGAGTCGCCAGTCAACGACCCCGATGAGCTGAACCCGAAGAAAAGAAAGAAAGGTATCTTCCGAGCAGCTGGACGAACCTTTATCCTCGGAGTGTCGGACACGCAGACTATCTTCGTTGGAGCCTTTCTTCTTGGTTTTGCTGGTCAAAGCAAATGCCAACTTACGAGCTACCACTTCACTGTGGCTGTGAACCAAATGATGATTGCCTTGTCCGTGATGACCTTCTCGGTCGCGCTGATACGAACGTATTGGCGCAATCCGCTCGCGGCAGCATTTCGACTGATCTTATCGCTCGGAGCTTTCGTCGGGGTCGGCCTCACGATATTCAGGAAAGCAAACTACGCGCCTGACTGGCCGCCACCCAATACTCGAAATGACAGCGCGATTCTGCTCCCCGTAGCTTGCTTGCTCGAGTCTGATCTACGATCACACGCGCAAGAACAAGCAAGGCAAAGCAGAGCTGATATTGGTTTCGGAGAATTGGATACATGGCCGATTGAGAGATGGTTCTTTATAACGTTGGCTATCGCCTTCCTTGTTGCGCACGCCTCTATTCCCATCCGGTTCGCGGAGAGAAGAAACCACGTGCCCGAGAAATGGAAGAGATTTCGTGCGTTTGTCACTGTTACGTATTGGGCATATATGCTACTTCCTCCGACAGTCACATCTGTGGTGTGCTGGGCGCGTGTGTACCAAACGCGAGAATGGGTCAAGCGTTCGGGCTGGATTGGATCTCCCAACACCGAGTACATCATCTGGGATTCGGGTCAGTTGATTGCTATGGGTGTGCTGATATCAGTCATCATGAACGTGCTCTCTGAGATGTTAACCAGGGAAGACAAAATTGCCAAAAGAAAGAAGATGGATGAGTACCGACAGGTAGGAAGTGTCTATCATGACAGCGACTACGAGCTGAGGTCAAGGCTTTAAATGTGTACCTTCAACGAAACCACGAAACAGCTGTGTTTTAGTATCGAGTCTGGGCTATGTAAATATCTGAGCAATATGACTGTAGTTATTGGATGTTACAAGCAAAGATTTGAGGCGTCATGATTGTCGCGACTGTGTCGCGAGTGCACACCGGAGATTAGCCATAACCTTAACTCCGGGCCGATAAGATAATCCCATTGCTGGTCTCGAACTTTTTCCAAGCGCAACGCCCAGCAAACCACCACAATGGCGATACAGAACTACCCAAAAGGGCCTGAAAAGCGCAAGAGAAAGAGGAAGGCGCGCCTCGACAGTGCGTATGTTGCCAGACACAAAAGCCAAGTTACTTACGACCAGCGCAGTTTCGTCGAGCGAAAGCGACAGCGACAGCGATGTATCGACGAAGAAGAGTCGGGAATCCGTCGCAGTAGTGGAAGATATCAAGGTAGATTCACATTGTCCCTGCGACGAACATGTGCTTATGAAATACCAGTCCGCATCGCCCGCGCCAGAATCCGTCGCAACTCCATCCAAGTCGTCCCAGAAGGAAAAGAAGGAAAAGAAAGAGAAGAAGGACAAGAAGCCAAAGTCGAGCTCAACCTCGACACCCGCACCAGAGTCGTCTGATACACCCATGCGCGACGCCGATAAAGAGTCCTCGCCTGAGCCAACACCAGCACGAGCGCCGGTCGTCGCAGCATCGAAATCGCAAGCCCAGCGCCAGGAAGACGAGTTCAACACAATATACCTGCGTAAAATCACAACGGAGCTAGCAGACGACCTAGACAAAGTGCGCGAGGCGCAGGACTTCAAGGCGAGCAGTGTGCCGATGTTGATTCACGCGCTCAAGCAGGGTGGGAGTTTGTTTTCCAAGGTGGAGAAGAGCCGGGTTGTTGGAGCTTTAGGATCTTGAGTTGGGAGCAAATTGCATGGATGGCGTTTTCGGGCTCAGGGAATACAAACTGTCTCTGCAGGTTGAGATTTGACATGCGAATCTACAGCATGTCCTCCTATGGTGCATTGGTCTTCGTTCTAAAACTTCCAGAGCGTCATTCGTTCTGCGATGCACCCGTGTGCTTGCGACCTTCAAGTTCAGTATGCCTCCACCTCCAACGCCGAGCGCCAATCCAACTCTATCTGCCATGCGAGCAGGTAGGGATGTCGAATAACTACCATGTCGTGTGCCAGCTTCATCACCTTGTCCCTCTTCTCCGCCTTCTCGCCGGAAGGTAATGAGAGCAGGGTATCATATGCCCTCTCCAGAAGTTTCTCTTCGTACTCTCTCCGCAGCTCATCATCATTTGTCCAATTGATGATCTCCTCGTATATACCTTCCAGCGGACTCTTCCCATAGATCTCGTTCTTGACTTCCTTGGTGGTGCCATCGAGTGTCGCGCCTAGACGCGTTTTCCGCTCCGCAATCAACCTCTTGATATCCTGCGTTTCCTGAGTCTCGTGGATCTCGGCGATACGCGTCAACGTGTGAGAAGGATTTGGGAGTCGGCCTTCGAGGTAGGAGTAGACTGGCGAGGAGGGAAGTTGGGTAGCGAGGGCACGCGCATACTGGGGCTTTGTGCCGTGTTTGCGGGCGAGGTCTACGAGCTTATCGATTGCGGACTGAGATCGATGCGCGTCGTCGCTGGAGCCGTTAGCTGTGAGTTCCTAGGTCTATCGCAGTAGAGTGCGTACACATTCATGTAGATTTCGGCAAGTTTGAGCCCCACATCTGTGTTCTCATCCACCTTCGACGGACCCAGTGCCTCGTACATGCCCCTCAGTCCCAGCCATGCTTGCGGATCGTCAGGCTTGATCTTTGTCGCGTCATTGTATGCCTTGGCTGCCTCATCAACTCTGCTTAGTGCGTCGTTTGCGCGTCCCAAAAATAGCTTCGCGAAGTAGTTGTTGGGGTCCTTCTCGAGCACTGTGTTCGCCTGCTCCTTAGCCTCATCCCATTTCTTTGAATCGATGGCAGCCTTGGCGGCTTTGAGCGCCGTTTTGGTGGACATGGCGATACTATGAAGGTAGCGAAAGGGTGTGCCGTCCTACCGCGGCGGAGCTTTGGGTTATAGATATGCCATTTGGAGGTGAGACAGAGTTCGGAGGGGTTTGTTGGAATCTCGAAGACGGATCAATGACGTGCGCTAGCGGGGACCTTCAATGCAGCCCTACAGAAAGACAAACACCACGTCAACCATTCTGTCGCATCGCCTGCTAGTGTCTTGTCACTCTTTTGCACCCCTGCTCATCCTTTCTACGTCTTGCGACTCTTCCTTGAACACCTCCGGAACTCTATTCAGCTTCACTCTTGATAGCTTCAAGGCTTCTTCGCCGCCATGGCGTCACACGCGGACAGTGCTCACGACCTGCTGGATCTCGATATAGCGACATTACGGCAGTTCGTCGAATTCTTCCCGACTGAAGGTCTCGCCAAAGTTATCACGGGTTATCTCAGCAGTGGCGCATCGAAATATCCACTCTCAGAAAACACAGATGACGAGCCATCCTCGCCAGATTTGAGCGAAGGCGGAATAGCATTGAACCCAGATGTTCCTGTATCACAAGAAGACTGTCTAGTGTTGATGACTGTATGTGTCAATCTCCTCCGTGTTGAAAGTTTGTGTATACTTTGTTTTGAGATCATGAGACATCCCTTCTCTTTGCTAACGCCGTCACAGGAAGGCATCTTGGAAGCTAGAAAATCACCACTTGCACATTGTTTGTTAGGGGACTACTATCTCTCGTTGGAAGAGTACGAGAGCGCTGTTGAATGCACCAGAAAAGGGTTGAAGCTCGCAGCTGCCGAAGCTAAAAAGACCGACCTGTCATTCCAGAGGTAATGAATTCGAGTGTCCATTTGCAATCGCAATGTTGACAAGAGTAGAACCTTGGACGCACTGAGTAGTACTCTTGCGACAGCTCTGGTTTACTACCAGGCCCCAAAGAATCATCCCGAAGCCAAAGAAATATTCCAATCAGTGATCAAACGCAAGCCGCAATTCACCTCAGCTCTCATTGGACTTGGCTTGATTCTGGAGGAAGAGGAGGAGTACGAGAAGGCTTATGCGTTCCTCGACCAGGCTTTGCAACAGGACATTTCGAATGGACGCATTGGTGCCGAGGCAGCGTGGTGTCAGGCGTTGAGTGGCGAGTACAAGATTGGACTAGACAAGCTTCAAGGCTATCTCGACTACCCGCAATTGGACGCCTCGAAACAGCGTGGCAGAGAACTCCGAGCACAGACACTCTATAGAATAGGTGTTTGCATATGGGAACTCGATCCGTCCAAGGCCGCAAGAAAAGACCGACAAGGAGCTTACGCAAAGCTGCTCGCTGCGATCAAAGCAAACCCGAACTATGCACCTGCATATACGCTGCTGGGCATATTCTACGAAGATTACAACAAAGACAAGAAGAGAGCAAGGCAGTGTTTTCAGAAGGCTTTCGAGCTGTCCCCGTCCGAAATCGTCGCAGCGGAGCGTTTGGCTAGGCTTTTCGCCAATCAAGGCGAATGGGACATTGTCGAAGCAGTCTCCCAACGAGTAGTCGACTCCGGCAAAGCTCGACAGGTGCCGGGCTCGAAAAGGAAGGGTGTGAGCTGGCCGTTTTCGTCGCTTGGTGTCGTCCAGATGAACAAGCAAGAATACCAGAAGAGTGTCGTGTCATTCCTATCGGCGCTACGTATCAGTCCTGATGACTACTACTCATATGTTGGTCTCGGCGAAAGCTACCACAATTCTGGGCGATACAACTCCGCCTCACGCGCCTTCAACTACGCGGAAAACCCAACTGATGGTGTCGTGCTAAAGAAGACCGACGGTGAGAGCTGGTTCACGAAATACATGTTGGCGAATGTCAATCGCGAACTGAGCGAGTACAACACAGCGCTCGAAGGGTATGAGGCAGTTCTGTCTCAAAGACCAAAGGAGTTCGGTGTCTCGATCGCTCTACTTCAGACGCTTGTCGAGAAAGGCTGGAATTGTGTTGAAACTGGCTTCTATGGAGAAGCGGTTGACAGCGGTGTGAGGGCTATCGAGGTGGCTGTCACAATCATTGACTACAAACCTGATGCGTTCAACTTGTGGAAAGCCGTGGGCGATGCGTGCAGTTTGTTCAGTTGGACACAAGAGAAGCTGAGCAAGTTTCCTTTTGAGAACGTGGAAAAGTTACTGCGCAGTGACTCAGACGTTGGTGTTGATTTCGACGCACACAAAGACATTGATGGGATCGGGAAGAGCGACCTGGAGATTTTCTCCTCGGACAAGGTGTCCAGCTTGACGAAAGTGCTCAAGGCCTCGATTCTAGCCCAGAAGCGAGCGATTGCCAGCTGTGTTCATGACATCCATGCACAAGCGGTAGCATGGTACAACCTTGGCTGGACTGAGTATCGTGCGCACGTCTGCCTCGAGCAGGAGGCTAACGATGAGCAAAAGCTGACTACTTACCTCCGAGCAGCCATGAAGTGTTTCAAGCGTGCCATCGAAATGGAAGCTGGAAATGCCGAGTTCTGGAATTCACTCGGTGTCATCACAACAACCCTGAATCCCAAAGTTGCGCAACATGCTTTTGTTCGTTCTCTACACCTCAGCGATCGAAACGTGCATACCTGGACCAACTTGGGGGCACTCTACTTACTCCAGAACGATCATGAACTCGCCCATGTCGCGTTCTCACGCGCACAGTCACAAGATCCCGACTATGCTCTGGCTTGGGTGGGCGAAGGTATCGTTGCTCTTCTTTTCGGCGACGCCAAGGAAGCGTTGTCTCACTTCACACACGCGTTCGAACTCTCAGACTCTTCATTACTCCTCACCAAACGACAGTACGCGGTATCAGCGTTCGACTTTCTAGCTTCTTCTCCTTCGGCCACGAGTGACATCACCAACCTCATTCAGCCTCTGTTTGCGCTTCAGCAACTCAACAATCAGGCTCCCTACGATCTACCACACAAGCATCTTGCTGCTCTCTTCTTGGAACGTGTAGGAAACCCCGAGGCCGCCGTGAGCGCGTTACAAAGCGTGTCCGAAGCTGTTGAGCAAGAGTACGAGAAATCCGAGTCGCTCCCTGCACTTGCTCGTGTCGTACAAGCCAAGACGGATTTGGCGCGCAATCTGCTTGCTGCTGGCTCAAACGAAAGTGCAGTCGAAGAAGCAGAGACAGCTCTTGATCTCATTTCTGAATTCGACGGGGATGCAGGCCAGTCCACTTTGTCTTCCGAACAGCTGGCGAAGGTCAAACTGTCTGCACGACTCACCGCTGGCCTAGCACACTACTTCAATGGCGCTCTGGACGCAGCCATTCCGTACTTCCGTACTTCTCTTGAAGTTACAAGCTCGAATCCAGACATCATCTGTCTTCTTGCGGAGGTCCTCTGGGCTAAGGGTGGAGAAGATGAGAGGCAAGTCGCCCGCGATCAGCTATTCACCGCCATTGAGAAACATGAAGGGCATGTCGGTCTACTGACGCTCATTGGAGCCATGACGGTACTGGACGATGACTTGGAGACCATGGAGGCTATCAAAGACGATCTCGATCGCTTACGGGCTGACAAGAAGCTCACTGACGAACAGCTTGCGCGCGTGGAGAAGGTTATCGAAGCCATTTCTATTACCATTGGTGGCGATGGACAAGCGCTCGATCAGGCCAGACGAAGTGTCATGTTAGCGCCATGGAAACATACGGGATGGGCGGAACTTGCTGATGCGGCTGGGGGTGACGTTTTTGCAAGTACCCTTGCGAAGGAAACAGCTATGAGAAATGCGCCACCCAATGGATCCCTGAATGCCGTTGGCTTGGCGGGAGCCATGGCTAGCACGGGAGATGTGAGGGATGCTCAAACAGCGATTGTCACTGCGCCTTGGTGTAGAGAGGGTTGGACGGGATTGGTCGAGTGTGTGCAGGGCGCTTAAATGATGACTGGGTGGGCTGGAAACAAGAGTTTGACGAGCCTCATCAAGCGACTTGGCCCATTGAATAAATCACTTCAAGTAGCGAGAATTGTCATGTCTTATTTGTCTGACTACTGTTAAAACATCAGCTGCTTTGCTATATTCACACCTATCTCGTGACCTCGTTGCACGAGTGGCTTCTTGGCCGCTCCCATCCTCTTGCTCCCAACATCAACGATACACCATCACAGTCAACAAACTAAGTCAAGATGTCAGATCTCTCAGCATCGAAAATGCACCGTACCACATTAGTCGATGCGACTGAGACAATTGAAATGCCCGAGTTGGGGACACCCACATCTTAGAAATGTAGATGCACGCTAACCATGACAGCCTCACCAGCGAGATAGCCTTAGTCCTTGTCGGCGAGAAGAAGTTCCGCATCCACAAAACTCATCTTAGAAGCAGCTCAGACTTCTTCAAGAACGCAACCAAGGCCGAATGGACAGACCCAGACGACCCAGCCAAGCCCATCGATCTTTCCGATGAGAGTCCCGACACCTTCGAAGCTTATGGACACTGGCTATACTCCAGAAAGATCCTGGCGAAAGAAGAGCTCGGCGCAACCTGGAACCACCTAGCTCATCTGTACGTCCTGGGCGAGAAGCTCATGGATAAAACATTTCAGGACGCGGTGATCGATACCATGATCGGGTTCAACGGCTCTAAGAGAACAACACCGGCTAGCGACGCCATAATCATCATCTACAAGGGAACACCCGGAGGATCACCTGCGCGGCGCCTCATGGTCGACTTCTATGCATACATGGCAACATCCAATTGGTCTGGGCTGCACCTCAAGAACATTTCGGAATTCAGGGGAACGGAGTTCTTGGAGGAATTGGTGCCTATGCTGATTGAGCAGCGGGAGGTACCCCCTCTAAGGGTCATGCGACCGTGGCGCGCGTTGCCGGAGTCGTATCGGTTTGATGGGGGGCGGTGAGGGGGAAGGCGGATGCGGGAGTCACGGTGAAGGAGAAGGTGGTGTGGTAGAGCAGTTTGAATGGAGTTCGAAATGCAGCATCTCAACAGGATTCTCCAATATTCTGATAGGGTGGATGTGATGCTGTGTTAATTAGTGAGAATAACGTCCTCGATCAGTCTTAATGGTGATAGTTTTTGAAAATCGTTAGTTTGTCATTCTATCTCTTCTCCTTCATGTTCCAGGATTACTTGTTTGCTATCGTACTAGCATTGCGATACAGATAGAAGTGGACTTTGCGGTAGTTTTATACGTCATAAATGATAATGAAAGCAAAGGACGTGTCAGGCAGCCGAATGATGTAAGACGTGCGACTCGCTCTCTCTCACTTCTCTTTCGATACAACGCTCTACCTCAACACTATCACTTGCCTTCGCTGCAAGTTCGCATTGCGCTGCATAGCACAACCATCAGCTGATCGATCTACTGTGTGTGTCACTATCTGCAAGCTATATGGACTGCCTAACTAATTCATTCTCCTAGCTATCGCAACATGTCCGATCAGATCCCGTCTGACAAGACGTGGCGAGTGTTCGTAGATCCTGAAGTGTACATAAACATGTCTGAGTAAGTTGCATTGCCTACGTTCAAATTCACATCGCACTTGTTAAGAGATCTAGCTTGACCGGGCCAACCATCCCAGTACTGGTTGGTCAGGAAACGTTTCACCTCCACAGAAACCCCGTGGTTAGCAGCTCCGAGTTCTTCGCAAATGCAACAAAATCGGAATGGAGGAATGATGCTTCCAAGCCTATTGACTTGTCAGACGAAGAACCGCCTATCTTCGAATGCTACCAGCAATGGCTCTATACGAAGAAGGTAGCCATGCCTGAAGATACCGAAAGCGCATATAGGGTATTGGCCGCTCTATACGTGCTGGATGAGAAAATTGCCGACCAGACGTATCAAGGGGCCGTCATCGGGGCAATCATAAATCTCAGTATTGATACAGGAAGCTACCCACAGCAAGCCGCGGTGCGAAGGATCTATCAGAACATAACTACCAACTCTCTTGCACGCCGCCTGTTTGTTGACTTCTGGGCTTACAACGCGATGCCTGGTTGGTCTGGGATCAACAAGCTACGCACCGCCACCTGCGACGAGTTTGTCGATGATCTCATTCCTGCCATGATTAAGGCGCGTAGCAAACCTAACAAAAAGGTTGTGAGGCCTTGGGTTGAAAACAGGGACTCTTATTATCCCCGTGTTGCCATCGAGCCGAACGAAAACTAATAGCCATGAAAGCCTCCCAACCAGAACAACAATGGGCGCAATGCAGATTGTAACTTACCCATCAGGATCTAATAATGCTTCAAAGAAAGCGTGTAGCTGACCAAAGCAGGTCGGTCTCTTCACGGCCCCAGTACATTGGCGCACAGCTCAGAGTTCCTCGAGGTTGTGCTTATGAAAGGCTTTGTTCACACATTCGTCATACAATATTGCCAGAGGCGGAACAGAATGAATGAATTACCTTTCTTTGTTAAGGCATGTTCAAACGCATTCAAATCCTTGGTACACAACTAAACTTGGGGCATCACAATGAAATATCCTCGAAATGATTCTTCTCAACCTATGGTTATGAATTCAAGTTTGAAACTGCTGCACCCCATCCAAATTCTCCATCTTCCATCGTCAAGTTGATTAGATTGATAGTACTTCAGTCACGGCATAGGTGTGATTCAAGGTGAAGGTCACGTCAAGCGCTCGCATACCAATAGTAGGAATTCCGTATTCCCCACATCTTAGACTATATCCTCACCACAACAACATTCTTTTGGCGTGGAGTAGGCCCAGGTATGCCTAACTTCTGTCGCGCTTTTTCCACGGTGTTAGATCAACTCACGATGGTAATGCTCGAGTGAGTGAACAACAAAATGTAACGGGATCCGCAAACTAACTATGCCAGCCTTACCAGCGACACGTTCTCAGTTGTGGTCAGGAACGAGATATTTCATATCCACAAAGCCGTCATCAGCAGCTCGGAGTTTTTCAAGTCCGCCATCAAGCCCGAGTGGCGCAACGAACCTAAGCCCATCGATCTCTCTGATGAACGACCTGTCGATTTCGCCTACTACAGCCACTGGCTATACACGAAGCGAATCATATACAAAGACGATACTTCCACTTCATCACGGCGCTTAGCTCGCCTATATGTCCTTGGGGAGAAGCTCATGGATCAACAGTTCCAAGCCGCCATCATAGACGCCATGATTGAATTCGTTGAGGAAAAAAGGCTGCTTCCATCTATGCACTGTATCGAAATCATCTACAACGGAACTACTGCGGAGTCTCCTGCCCGGCGCCTCATGGTTGACATATGGTCTTTTAACGCAGATCCAACGATGAGCCAGATAGTTCAAACGATGTCTCACGTTAGGGAGACAGACTTTCTGAACGATCTGATCCCCGCACTGTACCGCGTGCGTGCTATTCCGCATATCGGAAATGTCCCACGAACTTGGGTTACGGACCCGGGTTCTTACCACCCTGGGAGGCTCAAGGAAGAAGTCGCGGATACCGCCACAATATCTTCTCGTCACTGAGTGGACAGTGGTAGAGTTGTCTACACGATGACATGGACACTTCTGATGTATACATGAACATGTTTTGGCGCGTTCGGGATCGCGACACGCGAACAAGTCACGAGGAAAAAGTGAAACTGGAGAACGGTGGGATCACTTGTGGTGCATAATGCTACTCCCCGCTCGCCGATCGGGACGTTTTCTTCTCGGAACACAAACGGTATTTACATTGCGATAATAAGCAACCAGGGGTCTCTGCTATGTTTGTTTCAGCTCGAAAGAATCTAGGTTTACGGTAGTAGACAAGGTCAATGAAGAATATAAAAGAATCAACCGGCAACCAACGGGAGGCAAGCGTAGCGGATCATGTCGATCAACACAGTGCGGATGTGCAGTGAGGACTTCTGGGAAGCATATTGACTTATAGTAAAGGTTATTGAGTGAATTTGCGCATCCCATGTGCTGGAAACATTCTTTGGTTGGCACTAATGACACTGATACCATCCACACCAGCTCTGCTACTGATAACCTGATCCTCACAACAGATATCATTTGCGAGATATGACATCTGGTCTTCGATCCTTGTTACACAATCTCCATCACACCCCTCTGCAGTACGACAGTGGAAAGTTGATTAGGTAGGTCAGAATCGACCCACAAAGATGACAAGTCATAGGGGCGAATACTTTGAATTTGGGTCGATGACTCGGCTCAGCCTGGTGAATCGTCCAGCACAATGATTGGAAAACTGGTTCCGGTCAAGGTAGTTACTTCTGTAGGCTGAAATGTAACAGGCACACGACAAGAAATGAGGGTATGATGTGGTGTCACTCAACCTCACTACTCAGTTACACAACTGCGCCATGAAACTTGCACAGCCCAGGCCATTTCGATTCGAACCTGACATTGAATAAGTCGCTATCGCCCGCTAGATGACATTGCTCACAACACATTTTGCTAACGTCGTGCGTTACTTCCTTGCGCTTACAAAATGTGGGAACCTTTCGGCACATCGCTTGCGAATGAGACGGCTTCGTGGAGATCTGGTCCTAACGAGAGAGGAACACTCCGCATCCTGACCACATGTATTCTTACGCTTGTTCTTTGTGTTTGGACGACGTTACACCTCAACATTCCCGATCACACGGAAACGCGCTGGAGTCGAAGATTGATGAGAGGGCCGCTTTGGGTACTCATCGGCATATTCGCTCCCGAATTTGTGAGTCTTCTTCACATGAGCGAGTGTCAGCCCTGACGAGTTTTTCAGGTCGCGTACATTGCTTGTAAGCAGTGGTGGTACGCAGGTAGCCTTAGAAGGAAAATGTGCAAACTTTTCGGAGATCGTCAAGTTAAGGTTGATCAATCTTTGTTATCGGTTGTGATCGACGACGACACCCAGCGAATTCAAATGCGAGACCAAAACGTGGAAGTTGAAGAACCGCGTGCGGGCCCACTACGGAGACATCTTTGGACAAAGACACACAGCCACCTCGCTCTCATGGGTGGATTCGTATTCGATACAAGCAAGTTGGAGAAGAACTTTTTTCCACAAGGCCGAACACGACTCACGCTGACGGCGGCAGCTCTGCGCACACTTGCTGAATATGACCCTGACCTGATCCCGGATATATCAGAAGGCGAGATCAAAGACAAGAGTAAAGCTGACCATCTTGGTAAAACTCTGGTTTGTCTTCAGGCAATCTGGTTCATTGTTCAGACTGTAGGACGCATGGCAGCGAGCTTTCCCATCAGCCTACTGGAGCTTAATACTTTTCTTCATGCCCTTTGTTGCCTGGTTGTATATACGGCATGGTGGAACAAGCCGCTCGATATCCAGGAACCCTTCATCATCGATGTCTTTGAAGACCGCACTCGCAAGATATGTGCGTCCATGGTAATGAACAGTCCTATCAATTATGAACGCCACGTTCATGGTGCCAAGGGCATGACAGCAAGGATTCACCACTTCAATTATATGAAAGATAAGTGGCCAAGTAGCCATAATATCACAATTCCTGCGAGTAGCGAAGAACAACCGTTGAGACTATATTCTGGCCAGATGTGTTTCAATTTCCGTCTTGATCTCAGGGGTGTTCCCGACAGCGCATACATCAAACTTCACCCCACAGACATAGAATGCTTCCGACTAGCTCAGAATTATATGAACGACGAGGACAATAGAGGACGGGACCGCGAAGAGTACCGAGGTGCGCTTTCCAGGCCTATAGCGCCTATGACATATACGTCAGACTACGATTTGGACTCGCTCTCTTTCGGCATCTTGGAACGATTTGACTGGCCCCAGGAACTCTTTCCACTTTTCCATGCACATAGACTAGACCACGTCTTGAAAGCAGGCTCAATGATAATTGCCATTATTTATGGTGGATGTCATCTGCTTGCCTGGAACGGACCATTTCGTACTACGGCCGAAAAGACAGTCTGGCTCGTATCCTGTTTTGTTATCATTAGCCCGTTGCCTCTCACTATACTCTTCTTCGCTCTTGTAGCGCTACTTCTGTGGGTTAACGACTTCTGGAGCTTTCTGGCAGATAAAGACTTCGAACGCTGTAGAATAGCTAAATTGTCTTTTAAGTCGGTGAAGCTGTTGAGAAGCCAAGCACTATGGGACGATCGGTGGATTTACTTGTCTCTTCTATTCTGTTCTGTGTCCGCGATGTGCTACATCGCCGCAAGAGTCTATCTCATCGTAGAATGTTTTATAAACCTCGCGCATCTTCCCGACAAAGTATACGAAGAACCGGAATGGAGTCAGTTTCTTCCCCATCTTGGCGCTGGATGAAACGTGGAAAAGAAAAGAGCACGCTGCATTGGAGTTGGCATTCGAAGGCACGACACTTGTATGTACGGCTGGGATGATGTTTCTTTCGGTTGTTCATTTTTGTTGTTTGTTAGACTATGGTATCTGCGATGGCACATGTATGGAATTGTTATCATCAATCTACACTTCTTTGCTGATCCAGAAAATGCCTTTGTTGTGTCGTGCCCCAGATGAAAACTCGAATAATCAGAAGAGGAACGTGATAATCATTGTGCTTGCTGTCTGCCGAATGCCTTCAACTCTCTCAAACTACACATCCTCAAAACAGTCCACTCAAGCGCTTTGCTCAATCTCAGACATGTGCACCAACGCTCTGCCTAGCAAATCCCTGGAAAAGATTTCGAAACAAGAAAACGTCATTGAGGGTTTTAACAGACCCCAAACCAGTCACTGGCACAGGAGAAACACCCCGTCCGCAACCTCACCCCTCATACAGCGCCGCCATACGCATCTGGACATACCCCCACGCCGTAACCGGCTCATACTTCTTCGACTCTGGATCCGCCTCATCCCAGCACCCGGGCAACGCATCAATAACAGTATCCATATCAGCCGTCGCAAAAAACGGGATAGAATACCTCTCCGGCACCATCTCGCCACCCCCCTCCCCCGGCAGCCCAACCCGATGCACACTACTCCTCCACCGATCGTTACTCCACCGTGCCAACAAATCCCCCACATTAACCAGCACCGCGTCCTCCACCGGCGGCACGGCGCGAAACACACCCGGTGCATGTGGATCTTCGATCTCGAGCCCCCCAACCGCGTCTTGGAAAAGCAGCGTCAGCGTGCCGAAGTCTGAATGCGCGTTTATCCTCGCACGCGTGTGGTCGCGTAGTTCCTCTGCCGGCATGGCGGGATAGTGCAGGAGTCGGAGCTGGAACAGACTCTCCGCATGCGTACTCCCCAGCCCCGGCGCTGGGACATCAAGCGCAAGACTCAGCGCGTGCAGCACGCGATGCACCAGCCCCGCGCACACCGTGAAGTACTCTTCCATAAACGGCCTAAAACCCGGTAACTCCTGTTCCGGGAGCCAGATATTCGGTTGCGCGATATCGTTCACATTGCCGCTCTCGAAGGATTCCTTATAATCTGGCACCTGGCGCTCTTTCTCAATCTCGACGTCGGAGTACGTGTGCTGGGAGACTTTTTCGAGGCCGGGGGAGGAGTAGCCGCGGTGGTGAGTGCCGCCTGGGGGGTGGGGGGCGAGCATCTTAGTTGCGGGGGGCAGGGCGAAGAAGGTCTTAGACTGGGGGAGAGGTGGTTAGCTTGGGTGTCCGCTGGGTGGGATTATGTGTCCATTTGTCCCGTCCGTCTTCCAGACGTGTGCTGGGCAAGATAGGACCGCGCTTAATCAGGGGGCCGTTACTCACCCATGTGAACGCCTCCCGAACCATATCCGCGCTCACACCATGGCCTGTGAGGTAGACGAAGCCTGCGTTTTGGAAGGCGGTGTCTATTTGCTTCGCTACACGCTCTCGCTCTTTCTCCATCCCGTTCTCTTTCTGTCCTCCACTCGCATCGGCATTGCCGATATCATTCCCCTCTAGGAAAGCAGAGAAATCCACAACAGGTATCGAACTAGTCGTCGACATATTTGTCTGATGATGAGTGTTAGAGAGAAGATGGAAGGTAGAGAAAGAGTAGTAGGGGGGTAGAACAGTCAAGGTAAGCATTTAAATCTTTGAACGTCTTTTTAAAGCCCATGGGTTGGTTGCCTGATGACAATGATGATGTTGGGGTAGTACACGCTAATCGGTAAGCGTTACGATATTCACTGATCTGCATGCATGCAGCTGCGAGCGTCACCAATCAGTCAGCACACGACAAAACCAACCAATTTCAAAGCAAGCCAACCAATCAGCAAGAAAGCCACGCGTTCTAAGTCATACTGTAGATCGACTTGCTATCCATATCCAGCTCCATATCCATATCCATATCCATACAGAAAGAAGATCTAGTAAGGTATATACCCCAGACGCGCATCTCCAGAAAACCACTTCCCAAGCTCAGCTCAATCAAACCGAATAAAGTCCAACCGACTAATCCCCAAATCCAAGCGACAAAGCTACTTCCCAAATCATACACGCACGAAAAGCCCAAACAACCCACGCAATGCAAACCCCATCAAGCGCTCCACCGCCGTCGTCGCTGAGAACCCATCATGAACGAATCCCTCCTCCCATTCATCTTATTACCGCCATCCACCCACACGCAATGTAAACTCATCCCACCTACACAGACCCTCGATTAGCTTCTCATTTACCCCGTGTAATAACCCAGGAACTCAAGAATCACCAAACATATTCGCCACGCCCGCCAACTCGGGGCTATTACCCCTGACAACCACCGTCGGCTGATCAACACTCATGTACTGCTCCTGGAACGCGGATCTCTTCTTCGGGGCCGCGCGTTGGATTTTGCCCTGCTCGTGGATGCTGACGCCCTTGATGCTGCTGAGGAGGTCGAGCACGATGGCGCGCTGCATGCGCTCGTCCTGTCGGTTTGCAGTCTTGAGTTTGGCGAGACGGCGGTCGACGCGGTAGCTGTCGCCCATGCCTGGTAGGGAGAGGATGATGGAGCGCGGGATCTCGTCGTCGAGGTGGATGACGCCTGCGATGAGGGCGGCGAGCTCTTTTTGGCAGTCGACGAAGTATGGTTCATGAAGGGAGGTGATGGCGGATTTGAGGATGTCGTTGCAGAAGTAGTCGCGGATTGGTGACTTTTCCTTAAACCGCGGGAGTAAAGAACGCATAACGCGTACGACCGTATTGACTGATCTTGTGTCGCGGACGCGGATGGTTGAGTTGCAGAACATGAGAATAGGCTCGAGTACGGATGGCATGGAGAGGATGAAGTCGCACATGGGCTGGTTGTTTGCATCGCGACGATCGTGCTCGTCTTGACGGGAGAGTTCTGCATTCGTTAGTGCTAGTCATTGAGATAATATAGGGGACAGAGGTGAAGTCACTATGGTAAGAGCGCGCCTGTATAGTACAGTCGACGTACTTGCGCCAGTGGTGCACGATTGGCGACATACCTTGTCTGGGGTCGAGTAGAACCGCAACAAGCGAGACAGACGAGTAGGTAAGCTGACGAAGTATACTCTCTGTTTTCATCTCGCCTGTCAAGTCGTCGTTATCCCCCGACTCCGCTATCTGCCGAGCAACTTCATTCCACTCTGAAGAGATCTTCCTGTCCAGTTCCCTAAAGAGACCTTGTACCATCGGTGGTAGGAAGTGTTGGCGCAGCTGCACTGGGCACCCTTCGATGAGATGTGTAGAGACTGTCAACAAGACTGACAGGTGGTGCGCCGTCAAAGCATGGGCATGTCCAAATAGTGCTTGGCTGAGCGGTCCTGGCAAGTCCTGTATACCGTAGAAAGATTCTCGGAAACGTGTCAAAGAGTACAGGATGTAGTATGAACTCTCCCTGATCTGTCGCACAGTTCCTCGCACTGTGGATGCAAAGCCTTCGTAGGTCGATTTAGACCCACTTACTCGACTGAAGAAGTCGTCTCGGCTCTCAGTTGAGATACCGGCTTGCCAAAAGCGATCAGTCAGCACTCTACGAATGACCTGCTGCAGTTCGATTGGAAGATGCGACCAATTGCTATCAATATCATTGAACGCTTGGGCATGGTTCACGAGTTGGAGGAGATTGGGAAGAAGAACTGGGATTGCCTCAGCCCACAGCACTGCGGCAGTTTCATAAGCCGGAGAGCCATCTTTGAGCTTTTCTGTCGAAGCAGCAAGAAGAGTCTTGGTAAGTCGCAAGGGCAAGTGCTGGGATTGCTCCAACATGGAAGCTTGCATAGCCTGGCCATCGCTGTTAAGGGGTTGTTCAGACCAGTCTTGCACGCCTCGAAAGTTGCTTGCAGACAGAAAGTCCGGTAACCGCCTCATACCAAGAACACCACAGAAGGACTGGAATTCCGACACCGACTTTGTCAATTCTTCACTTCGCCACGCGTCTTTGACTTGGTTCAGCATCTGCCTCATGCGCTCCTCTTGCGTCCCTCGGTCTAGTGTTGTGCACCGGTGGATGATGATAAAGAGGAATGCCGAGTATGCCATTCGCTGTCGTTCATCAGTAGTGGGGTCAGCGATCAACTCGTTGACCTTGCTTTCTAACTGTCCATACACGTTCATGAAGTCATCGGCAAACTTCATCGCCAGCTTCTGCATCTCCAAACTGCAGACACGCTCTAGCTCCTTGACTGTCTCAGAATACTGTGGGAACGTTGTGTTGTCCGCAAGGCGTATGGTCAGCATATACTCAAGGAATGTGAGAGCGAAAGCAGGCCGATCACCAAGCGCTCTTGTTGCGAGCGTTGACATGAGCGTAATGATCTTCTTCGCAATCTCGGGATCTTCGAAGCGTGCTTGGAGGATCTGCCTACCCCATTCCTCGAGCGAGTTCTCCATTGCATTTCGTTTTCGCTCATCCTGTTGCGGATCTTCCCCCTGCGAGGACAACCACTTAAGATACCCCTTCAACGCTGCCTCTATGACTGTGACTTGAGCATCGACTCGCAAGGCAGGCGCCGAAGTCTTCGAAAACGTCTGCGGCTGAAACGGTGGATGATCACTGTAGAGAGTTTGGAGCATGTTCGTTGCCCGACCAAGGATGTGCTCCATGGCCTCGACTGGCGTTCTCCTAACAAGCACTTCGACTACGTCGGCACAGAATCTGCGATAGTTACCTAAGAAAGCATGTCGTTCAGGCACAGTGTCAATGTCTTCGTTCAAGAACTGCAGTGTGACGTCTTCAGTGTCTTCTGGCAAGGCCTCGTATCGGATCAAGCGCGCGCAGCATGTCTCGAGAAGACCACCGACCATTGAGTTCACCACGCTCGAATCTCGGACGACTGGCGAACGTAGTAGTTTGGTCCAACAATGAAGCACGGGTATCGACACAACGAGGCTGGGATTCTGCAGAGTGTCGAAGAGAAAGCCAAAGATGCCAGCAAGATCACTGCCTTCTGGTATCTGTTCAGGTTTCTGCTCGATGAACAACCCAAGGTGATTTGCCAGCTGATATCGTTAGCAGGTTTCAGGGGCAGATAGGGAAAATCCGTACCTCGGACAGCTTCTTGCACAATGTGTATTTCTGGTCGTCCAGATCGTTGATGTTCATATCTGACAGTGTCCAGTTATATACATCTCGCAGTAGACTGACGCTAGCAGGCGTGAACATGGGACATACGAGCTCGACGAACTCATCGTCGTGGAGATGGTGTCGGCTGTAGATGGCCTGCAAGACGTCGACGGCGGCCTGATTTGAAGTCAGTATAATGACAATACAAGGTAATGAGGTAGCAAACCAATTGTAGTTCGACCACTGCAACCGAAAGAGCCTTGCAGACAGATTCAATGACGTGTGTGGCAGAGATGGCTTTGGGAATGATCCAGGGCATGGCAGCCCTGAGCGCATTCATCGTCTTGATTGCGCCTGTCCTGACAGCCTCCTGGTTCTGGCAGTCCTGGCCCAGACACCATCCCAGATTGTCACACAGCCTCGTGAGCCATCCCTCCTCACCATAACGCACATTCAAACTCTTGTCCCGCGAAGGAAGATGTTCCTGCATGACTGCCAGGGGCGTAAATATGTCGACACACGCGCGTCCCAAATCGCTACCTCGCAGGCCCGCTGTGGGATCCTCGCGGTTGAAGATTTCCTCGGACAGGGTCTCGAGGATATACAGCACGATGGCTTGGTGGTGTAGAGAGGTGGTCCATAGCGTGACCAGCTGCTGGTCCATATCCAGCCATTCCGCGCCCCAACTACGCTTGGCAATTTCTGTCCAGAGCTGCGCGATCTTGTTTCTCAAGTATGCGGCGTCGTTCTCGGTGACGTTCCCCGCGAGCTCGACGACATAGCCTCTCAGCATGAGTTGCCCGTCCGCAGAGAATTCTTCCCAGTTGTACTTGATCGAGTACTCCAGCACGGTGAGGCCATAGTGGCGAAGCTGTGCGGGCTGCGACTGGTCGAGGGCGAGGGTGTGGCCGTGTAGGTGAGCATCGGGGTGCCGCTTGGCCTGCTCGAGATATTCAGTGGCTTGCCTGCGCGTGTCGTTGCTCGAGGCTGGCGAGTAAATGGCCTGCAGCGCTTCGAGGACTTGTGAGAGGTCGGATGGCGAGGTGCCGTTGGAGTGGTGCTGTTGCTGGGCGTGGCTGCGGCCGTTTGTTTGCGGGGCCCCAGCGTCCATGGTGGAGGCGGCGTCGATGGCGCTGGCAGTGGGTCTAGAATCGCTGCAGTAGCCAAGGCTGAGGCCGGTGAAAAAGTCCTGTGCGGGACGCGTCAGTGGGGATCGTCGTGGTGGTCGTGGTGGCTGTGTTGCCAAAGGAGTGTGCAGTTGGGCAAAATGTGGTACCGAAAGCGAGGATGGAGGGACGATGCTGCTTGAGAAGCTTTGGCGCGCGCCGTGACCCCCAGAACCAGACACCGAGCCCGGCGGTGAAGAATCGTTGAACACCTCACACGAGCTCCTAGCGTCAGTGCATAGTGCACCGCTGCCTGCGAATACTGGCAGATGAGCAAGACTCATCCGTGCCCGTCCAGGTGCCGCCAACGCGCCGAACAGGCTGCCGTTCGTCTTGGAGGTGGACGCGTTCGAGCGACGCGGTGTCAGCTGTCTGTCCGGCTAGATCGATCCTTCCCTCGAGACTACAGTATATAACGTCATGACTATCATATATAATATAGAGAGATACCGCGGACGGCGCACACGACAATTATACGTGCAGCGGCACAACCAACAAATAGTAAGCGCGACAAATGCGCTGACATCGTGACCTGAGAATCGAACGACTCGGATTACATAACCGTGCATCGCCAAATCCACCTCTCCAAAGTATACCAAACCGTGACTGCGTTCCGTCTACATTACAATACAGCTGTTCTTCTGGCACTGCTTCAGGTATCCCTCCTCCTCGTCTGTCCCCACGGGATTCCCAGGCTTCCTCACCACGCCCTTGACGCTCAACGTCTGGTCACCTTCCGCATGCCACCACCTCATTATCTGCTGCTCGGTGCCGTTGCTAATCTCCGAAGTGATAGTCCAGTTGCCACCACTGGCTTCGACGCTGGTCTCTGGGAAGTGGAATATCGGCAGGTAGATGACTGTCGGGTGGTCTTGCGGTGTGGAGCTTGGCGCGGTAAGGTTCAACTTGAATGTGCACGTCTTCAGATCAAACCCGTAGTGTGACATGTTACCATGCACAGCGAATGGTGTTGGACGAATGAACGCTTCGGCTGCGCGCAGGCCGCGGACGGTTCCCTCTTTCTTGCTCGAGCTCATGCGTTCGGGTGTTATTGTCTTCTTCAGCGTGTCGGGCGTGACGCTGAGTGTATCTGTTGAATGAGCGCGAGAGAAAGCGGGCGAGTCCGTGTCCAACGATGCGCGGGAGTCTGCTGGCGAGAATGCACCTGCGGGGACTGCCTTGTCGTCTAATGAGTAGATGGAGAGGTCCTCCCCGTTCCACTGATCGCCCCAGTAGTGGGTGTTCTAAGGACTATGAGTATCATGTCTTTAACAGCATACACCGCGTTGACTTACTGTCGCAACATATGTCCACAACGCAAACCCACTTGCCTCACTCTCTTCGAGGGCGAAATGATTGGCGTCCAGTGCCGCGATCTGACTGCTGTAGTTGCCCGTCTTGTATGCGTACTGGTCGTCCATGTCGTAGGGAATACCAATCTCGGTGAAGACGCAGGGGTGGACGCCCATGTGCTCTGTGCCTTCGTCCCTTATCGCTCTGAGTTGATGAGCAAAGCAGTTTCGGATGGCGTTCTCCCCAATTTTGATGGCGAATGCTGGCGTGAGGTACTTTCCTCGCAGCACACCAAACACATCCACATTCCATACACGGTTCCTAAAGTGGAAATTAGTTATGCTTCATATCAAGTGCGCCAAACACGCCTACCATTTCTTCGTAATCAGGGTTATGCCGTCGTAAAAATGTGGCGAAAAGACCATGTTCGGATCGTCGTCCGCAGTTCCCTTGATAGTGGGTGGTATCTCCAACACTGGGGGCTGACAAAACATTATCGCGTCTGGGAACACTGATCTGACCATCTTGCTGTACTTGCGGTAATGTGCTAGGTAATAGTTGTTCGTAAAGTATTCGTAATCAATCGAGGCGCCATTTTCTGGATTCTTCGAAAAGTAATCTTTCTTGAGGAGCGTGTCACTTGTTGGATCCCAAACGCCATGTTGAGCCCAAAGGCACTCCCCCAACTTCCAACCAGGGTCGCGTTTCCAGCCGTAATGCGATTCGTCGTAGTCTGCGGGCAACCAGGCCGTCTTGCCTTCGGGGTCGATCAGTGCTGAACCGGACTTGAATGGTCCCATGCCGCCAAAGTCCCACGTATCGATCTCGCAAGCTCTACCAGATCCGGTAAGTATTGCCTGCCAAGCGGTAGGCGTGGTTCCCTTCTTAAGCTGCTGTTCTTTGGGGATGACGGAGATGTCAGAAAAGCCAATCAAGCCCCTGTTGGGCTCGTTCATGCTCTCCCATCCAATGACTGGATCGTATTCCAGATCACCCGCCGCATGGATCCGCTGAGCAAGATGCTCACATGCGCCAATGTAGTGGTCTTGCAGATAGTCCTGGATGTTCTTGCCGTCGATGATGGCCTTGGGGGCGAAATTTTTGCCGCCAAAGAACAGCGTGAACATGACCTGACACACCATTCGTGTGTAGTTTGTCGCCCAGATCATCTTGGGAAATGTGCTCGGGTCGGGGTACGTGTTTTGTACGAGGGCGGCTTCGGTGACGGCAAAGAACTGCGGATTCAGACCGCATGCGTAGAGTGTCCACATAGGTGCTCCGGAACCTCCAGAGAATCGTGACCACTACACGATATATCAGACTACAGCACTATGTACTGGTAAGAATGCTACCTACGACATCCTGGTGGGGATCCATGAAGATATAGAACCCATATTCTTTCGCCTTGCGCAGAATGGATATGGTGTGTTCGATCCACTCCTCGTCATATATCCCCGGCCCTGCATGTTCTATTGCTTCCCATGTGAAGATGTAGCGGATCGTGTTGTATCCCCAGCTGCGCAGTCGCGAAAAGTGCTCGGCCGAGTCTGAGAGAGAAAAAGGGCGGTTTACGAACGAGACGTTGTCGCCGTCGAAGAAGTTGTCGGAGACGTGTGAGGGCTGGTCGGGGGTTGCGGGGAACTTTGCGTCGGCGGCGCAGTTGATGCCGTGCAGCGTCACCTCGCGGTTTTGGGGATCCCGGAACGTCCGGCCGTCGATGCGCAGTCTGAGCGGTGCCATAGTGAAGGTGGTAAGAGGGAGGGAAGAGAGAAGGAGAAGATGAGAATGGAGGAGGTAGAGGACGCGATCATGCACGTACACGACGTGCAGGCGACTTACGTCTTGAGTTCTTGGTCGTTCGTCACTATTGATAGCGTCGACAGGGATGTTCGCTAGCGGCGCGCGGGACAAGGGTCCAGTGCGGCAGTCGTGAAAGGACAACTTTCAATTCATTTATTCCAAGTCGCATCGACCACGTTTCACCTCCAGACTCGCACTTCTCCATGTTCTAGGTCGCTCCTTCCTCGTGTATATATCTGCTCTGTATTCTTCCACCCAACCTCCGTCACTCATTCACACATCCACTCCGTCAACATGATCATCCGGCTGTCCTCGCTCGCCCTCGGGCTGCTCCCTCTAGCCTCCGCCCTCTCTCCCGCGGACATCCCAACAGACACTCCCGTGTCGCAACTCATCAAGGATGCCAGCGTGAAACTCGCCACTGGAAATGCGCAGGATGCGCTCGTCTACTTCGACGTTGCCATTTCTCGCGATCCCCAGAACTACCTCACCTTCTTCAGGCGCGGTGCCGCTTACCTTTCACTCGGAAAGGCCGCCCAGGCGCAACATGACTTCGACAGGGTGCTGGAACTGAAGCCCGGCTTCGAGGGCGCCCTGGTGCAGCGGGCAAAGATAAGAGCAAGGAAGGCCGACTGGACTGCAGCGCGCAAGGACTACGAGGCAGCAGGCAAGACCGACGACGTCAAGCAGCTGGAGGAAGCCGAGAGCGCTGCTCTACTCGCGCAAGAGGCAGTCGAGAAGGGCGACTGGGAGAACTGCGTCACACATGCTGGAACGGCCATCATGATCGCCGGCGCAGCCTACGACATTCGCAAGACAAGAGCCAGGTGTCGCTTTGAAAAGGGCGAGGTCATCGAGGGCATTAGTGACCTGCAGCATCTTCTCCAGATCAACACCGGCGACGTTGAGCCGCATCTCCAGAGCTCCGCCATGGCCTTTTACTCGTTGGGTGAAACCGACAAGGGTATCAAGCACATCGCGCAGTGTCTGCAGTCAGACCCCGACTCCAAAGTGTGCATGAAGCTCAGAAGACGCGAGAAGAACCTCGAGAAAGATCTGAAGAAGGTCCGCGCGCACTTCGACAAGCGGCAGTTTGCCACTGGGTCGAAACTCCTGATCGACCGTGGTGAGGAGGATCCCGGCCTTCTCAAGGAAGTGAAGCAAGACTTCCAAGACTATGTTGAGATGGGCTACATCTACAAGAACTCGCCCCAAGGTCTCTACCAGAGCCTAGTCGAGATGACCTGCGAAGCCTACATCGAGGTGAGTACATATCTCGTCCATGCACTCCCACCCCACTAACCTCCCCCCAGATGAACAGCCTCAAAAAGGGCGCCCCCTACTGCGCCGAAGCCCTCCAACTAAACCCGGACTCCCTCCACGGCCTCCTCCACAAAGCCCAACAACAGCTCGACACGGACCTCTTCGAAGAAGCGGTCCGCACCCTCGACCACGCCAAAGAACACCACGCCAACTCCCAAAAGATCCAGGAACTCCTCCAAAAAGCACACACCCTCCTCAAACGCTCAAAGACAAAAGACTACTACAAAGTCCTCGGCGTCGCCCGCGACGCAGACGATCGCGACATCAAGAAAGCGTACCGCAAACTCTCCAAGGCGTACCATCCCGATAAGGCGAGCGCGAATAACATGACGCCCGAGGACGCGCAGAAGAAAATGGCGGCGGTGAACGAGGCGTACGAGGTTCTTAGTGATGAGGAACTTAAGGCGAGGTTTGATCGCGGTGATGATCCGAATAGTCAGGAGCAGCAGCAGAATCCTTTCCAGGGTAATCCGTTTGGGAACGGCGGAGGTCAGCAGTTCCACTTCCGACAGGGTGGTGGCGGTGGGTTCCCCGGTGGGGGTAACTTCAAGTTCCAGCAGGGGGGTGGCTTCCCTGGTGGGTTTGGCTTTTAGTTTGTTTGGGTTTGCGGCGCAGCGGGGCTTGGGCGTTTGGGTCGCGGGCTTAGATAGCTGGGTGGGAGGCATTTCCTGGCGTTTCTTTTTTCTTTTTCTTCTCTCGATGTGTGTCGGCGTCGTTGCTGAAGCTATTCCTGAATCGAAATTCAAGATTTTTTCTTATGCACATACACACACACCATGCTCTACCATCTTGTCTATTCCCTGGAAGCTAACGCGCGTTCCAACGTTTTCTCATAATCTCCGAATGATACTCGTAGATGTAGCGGGCAAAACTCATGTTTTTACTAAATTCTGTATACGTGTACTCCTCGCTCACCGCGCATAGCACTCGATTGAGCCCTGAGACGTGAACATGGGAGGTCTTCGATGTACAAGCATGTGTGTCATTTAACCTTTGGAAACCCATCCGTAGATATAAGACTGGACTCAAAGCGCAAGACTCTGATACTGTAGTTTCCCTACCTGATATCACCGGCGGTGTGCTATGGAAGCAGTCTCGGGGGAAACACACACTCACTCATCAGAGCCATATGGACACTCAAGTCTACCGTAGTGAAGAACTCTCCGGAATGAGGAGAGGAGAAGTTACGGTGGTGACACAATCTCGTCAGGAAGTATTGATCACTCTGAATTAGGTATACATATGTGCATTCTTATTCCTTGTAGGAAGATTTGACTTGATCGAAGGTCACAATCTCTAGTACATGTTCCTGTAGACTTGCTACTGTTGTTCACGTCGAAGCTCCTTCTTTAACTAGTAGAAACTTTCTTCGAAAGCCCTCGAGAAAAAGGCGAGCCAGTATTCTTTCCAGATTCCCATGCACCTTCCACGTGTACAGTCGTGCCGTTCTGTCGTCTTCACCCTGTTATACCTCAGAGCGCCAGATATCTTCAGTCAAACCTCGGGCATATCCACCGCATTCTAGGTGGCCACCTCAGACTGGGAGTCGCTGTTGCTATCTGTAACGTCATCGAAGCCATCAGTGTAGTAGGATTCGGGACTTGCAACCCAAGGTGGTGATTCCGCCGGTCTCATACGATGTTTGAACAGCATAGGAAGTAGTTCGATCAGGAAGTCGGTACTCATAAGTTCAGAAGGGTCTTTGACGGTATTCCAGCTAGGAGTAGCAGCAAACACCCAGAAATCGATCATAAGGCGTCGTGCCGGAGAGTTTGCAGGAGTACCTTCATAGAGGATTTTGATTGTTGAAGCGGACGGATGGTTTCCGCCCTGCATTTTACGATCGATGGTTGCGTGAATGACAGCATCCTTGAATTCCTTATCCAAAATCTTCTCACCAAGGACGTATAGATGTGCGAGGTCTACGTATGTGACCCTCGAATTCGTGGTTGTAACAATTCTTCTCGTGTACAACCAACGACTATACTGTTCGAAGGTATCTGGGCGCTCATTGGAGAGATTGATAGGTTTGGTAAGGTCAGTTCTCCATTCGGGTTTCATGGCATTCTTGAAGAACTCCGAACTGCTGGTGATGACGGCTTCGTGGACGTGAAAGACCTTGCTACCAACAAGCACTGCGACCGTTTCGCCGGTAATACTATCGACATGAACTTACGCAATTTCAACAACCATTCAAAGAGCTTACTTGGGTATATGTCTCGCTTGTTCAGCAGCTATAAGTGTCGTGAGGCGTTCATTGGGCGGTGTTGAGTCTGACATCTTGCGGAAAACAGCTAAATGTATTTCAGTATCGAGCGAAGTGAGCGAACTTAACGGCGAGGCTTGGTCCTACCGGGTAGACTTGCACTGTTTAAGAAGACAATAACTGGATGATGGCAGTCGGGCTGACGTTGAACGTTGCGGGGTATCTATGAGTAGTGAGAACATGCACAACCCTTGACTCAGATCAGGAAATAACTTTGATTCGCGGAAACACAAGCTCGCTTGAGTAAGTTAGCGATTGACAATGCGAGCAAAAAGATGAAGTATCAGTACAGCCACGAAGGGCACTATGAGTGCTGAAGTCCTTGCGACAAAAAAGAGAAGGACTTGACACTCTCTATTATTACTTATTCATGTTGTCCGCTCCTCTATGGATATACGTCTCAAGAATACAAACCCGCCAAATCAAACACGCAGGCATACAACCTACACGCTCCGATATGTTTCGAACAAGCAGCCAAACGAAATGTAACGAATACAATAATACCGCGCACCTAATTAGCTTCACCGAAATCGGTGTGCCCTGTTTCGTTCGCGTGCTTCACTGCTCCGCGCTCGCCTGCACCCTTCCAACCACATGTGTTACACTTGATGTCGAACTTTTGCGTGTCGGTAAAGTAGTGCGCCTTCTTCAACTCTCCGCAGAGCTGTCTCGCCGCCTCTAGCATGACGTCATCTCGTGCGTCAAACAGCTTGACGTCGTTGTCTGGGTCGAACGTGGAAGACCCAGCTGGAACGAACGCAATAGTGTCATAGTGTATGCCAGAGTAGACGAGGATACAGCGCTTCGCTTTGCCCTCGTTGAATCGATCAACCCTCAGATCTTGTACATTGACGCTAGCAATCTCAATATCAAATTCCTGAGACAGAATGCTCAACTCAATCCCACCACCCCATGAGTCGGAGTAGGATATCCATTTGCAGTACTCGTCGGGTGCTTTCTGTAGGACGGCCTCGTTGTAGAAGTCTGGATCTCGTTGAATAGCTTGTGCTACCAGAGACCGTAGCTCTGTCATGGAGTCGAGAGTATCTGTAAGAACAGCACTGCCTACAGCTCGGAACATGCAGGAGTTGTCGTCTGGCATGACACGCAAGACAACAGTGCCACCGCGGTCAGGAACTGGGATCTCGGGCGTATCCTTGTCCTTGAGCGCTGAGGCCTGCTTCCGTTGCAGCGAGAGGGGCGCAGACTTTGACTGTTCCTCCTCCTGCTTCTTTTCACTCGGGTCCCCGGTGGCTTGTCCGATGACGATTATTTGCGCGCCATTAAGCTTGAGATCGGTGTCTTTCAACAGTGTAGACAAGCCGTATAATGCGGGGTCGAGAGGTTGAGGTGGAAAGCCCCACTTGAGCTCGAAGAGAGGCAAGTCCGTAGAGGTGGATATGGACGAGAGAAGGTCGGAGACGGCAGCGTTGTCCTCAAGGGAGAGGGTGTGCTGGCCGTTGGGCGCTCGTAGCCGGATTCTAATAGGCATCTTGCTAAGAACAGTGGAAAAAAGTAAAGCTTTGAGAGGAGAGTTGAAGGACGGGAGGGAGAGGATGGAGGCGAAGGGTGATGGTGGGGCAGTACGAAACAAGCAAGCTACGACGTGGTATGAGTTGGTCAATGTGATGGGTCAGTGGTATCATCAAACGCGCACAAGGCGAGAGTAAAGAGGCGACACAACGCTCTTTGTCATCTTAAGCAGCATGGTCGAAGGCGGTCAGGGCTGTGAATTGTGGATGATGTCGCAAGTGAATGTTCCGGAATCTCTGAACGCGCCGCGGCTTCGCTGGACCCCTGATCCCAGTCGAGTCGCCAAGCGCGCATTGACCAGTTCGCGACTTCTACATGCGAACGACGCGACACCTCCACGACTTGCGCATCTTCAATTTTCCGACGTCTTGAGCGCAGAGCCATTATACAGACAAGATGGCGACCGTACGCGCGCCAAGCTCGACGCCCGTTCCCACGACCGAGACCGCCGAAGCCGCAGGCGCAAAGTCGACCGTCACGCCAGAAGAATGGAAGGCCATGTCGACGGTGCTGCACAATATCTACGCCTATGAATCGGAAGAGTGAGCATTTTGCGCAATACACGTGACAGACAATTCGAGTACTGATAACTATTTGCAGTGGATACGACCCTACGAAGCTCTTCCAGCGCAAGGTCAATAAGCGCGCGGTGCCCGACTATTACGATATCATCAAGGAGCCCATGGCCTTGAGTACGATCAAGCAAAACGTCATGCACAAGAACTACAAGGACTTTGCCAGCTTCGTACGCGACCTTGCCCTTATTCCCCACAACGCCCAAGTCTACAACAGGCAAGATTCGCAAGCATACGTGGATGCGCTGGAGGTCAAGGCCGTCATCTTGCGAGAGCTGAAGAAGCTTGCCGACGAAAAACTCATAACCGAGGAAATCGCGACATTGCCATATCTTGGAGAGATCCCAGAGGCAGAACCGTTACCACTGGAGGAGGAAGAGGAGGAAGATGACGAAGACGACGAGGAGGAGCTTGAGATTGACGAAGATGAGGATGAGGACGACGAAGACGAGAGCAAGCGCAAAAAGAGGCGCGGCCCACGGTCCTCAGCAGCCATTGCTAAGCGTGAGAGTGGCGTGAGATCGAGAAACAAGGACGCAGATGATGCGAAGAACGACGACCCGGAATCGAGAAAGAAGCGAGGGCGGCCTCCGCGTGTCGACACACCCATGGAAGCTCGAATCAAAGCTATCATGAAGGCCATTCGCAAACCTCGAAATCAGCTGAACAAGCTGATGGTCAGCGCCTTCGAGCGCGTGCCTGACAAGACTGCCATGCCCGAGTACCACGCTGAGATCAAGGTCCCAATGGCCATGGACATCCTCAAGCGGAAGCTAAAGCGGAAGAAGTATAACTCTGTGGACCACTTTATGGTCGACGTGGAGCTTATGTTCGAGAATGCGAAGCAGTACAACGAGGAAGAAAGCCAAATCTATCAGGATGCTGTATATTTGCAGGGCGAATCCCGGGTCATCGCAAAGATCGAGAAGGACAAGCCTGACACAGACTTTGTCATGGAAGAGGGTCGCATTCCTATGCCCAACGGCATCATCCACAATGGCGAACTCTGGAAGGTCGGCGATTGGGTACATATCCAGAACACAAACGACCTCACGAAGCCCATCGTTGCACAGATCTACCGGACATGGCAAGACACAGAGGGTGGGAAATGGGTGAATGCGTGCTGGTACTACCGTCCAGAGCAGACCGTCCATCGTTTTGATAAACACTTCCTCGAGAACGAGGTTGTTAAGACTGGCCAGTACCGCGATCATCGTATCGACGAGGTCGTTGATCGATGCTTCGTCATGTTCGTCACTAGATACAACAAGGGTCGGCCTCGCGACTTCCCTCCAGACAAGGAAATCTACGTTTGCGAAGCACGTTACAACGAAGACGCCCACAAATTCAACAAGATCAAGACGTGGGCAAGCTGTCTGCCAGATGAGGTTCGCGACAAAGACTACGTGATGGATCTGTTCGATGCTCCTCGCAAGCTCAAGAAGATTCCCAGTCCAATCGCGTACCTGCTGAAGGACGAGCAGACCGAGGATGACGATCTTCCAAAGCCTGACTGGGGTGCTGAAAACGCTCCGCCAAAGATTGGTGCTGTTCACCGTCGTCCACGTGATGCTAAGGTATGTTTTCACTATCTTTCTTCTCGTGCAAAACAAATGCTCACTATACTCACAGGACTCGCCACCCCCTGAACCCACACCTCCTCCTCCACCGACACCTCCACCAGCACCACCAATGGCAACTCCACTGCTCGCTAGAGCGCCATCGAACGGCTACGGTGCCGAGTTACACAGAAACCATTCCTTCCCGCAAGCACCTACCATAACACCTATGCCCGCACCAACACCACAACAACATCACGCTGCGCCAGCTTACACGCCAACACATCCAACACACTATCACTCACAGTCGCCTGCCCCACACCTCCACCAGCAAGGATCCCAAGCGCCAGGCTTCCAACCCATTACACCACATGTCCCGTTCACCCCTCAACCCACCGCACCAATGCAATCATTCCAGACGCCCCGACCCACACCAGGCTATCCACAACAGTACGCTCAGCAGCCATCAGCCGCATACAAAGCCCCTCAACCAGTAGAAGTCTACGTCTTGAACGACCACGCCAACGCCAGTATCCCCCAAGACATCCGCGAGCAATTCCAGCGCGACGAAAAAGGCCGCATCTTGTTCTTCACAGCTCCGCCGCTCAACGTCGATCAGCCCCTCACAAAAGAAGGTCGAGCCCTCGGCCACTCAGCACGCTACCTCGCCGCGCGCGCAAAGAAAGAACAAGCCAAGGCAGAAAAACGTAAAGCCGACGAAGCCGGCGCTGTGGAACGCGACGCAGCAGCCAAGAAAGCAAAGGCAGACGAGGAGGAGCAATTTCGAGCCGCCGTTGCGAAACTAGGCATTAAGGCTGTGCGCGCGTTGGAAGATCAGCTCGCTATCACGACGAAAATGGACTTTGAGCACGCTTTTAACGGGCAGGCCAAGCAGGGTGTGGCGACGGTGCTGGACCGCTTGGTCACGGCGCAGGAGCAGGCGAGCACGAGGAATCTGCTGCGTGACGAACATGTGCGGGAGCGGGAGGCGGGGAGACAGACGAGTGTTACGGGTATGACGGCGAGGTTGGAAGAAGACATTTAAGGGGTGGATGTGTTTTGGGAGGTGAGCTTGAAACTCTGTATGGACGGTCGAGTGGAATGTGGCGTTTGGTGGTTATGGTGCTACACTAGCATCTCCTCAATGGAGTTTGAAGAAACACAAATATCTCGTTCGATACTCTTCTTTTTGCACTGCTCAACACATGGCAAGCCAGGTACATGCTGGTGCGGCTTGGCCTTTGGGATTGCCAGTGAGAACAAGTAAGACTGCTCTTTTCACATGTTAGCAATTACAACACCTTGCTGCAGCTTAAAAGTCTAGAGATAGAATTATAAACTCCTTAGACGCGCTTTGAGCATTTGCACCTCTTAGCATTTGCTAAAATAGAATTGTTCTACCAGTTATGTGCAGTTCGTCAAATACATTCTACTACACTTCTTCCAGGTTTTGCGCTACCGCGAGAGAACGACATCAACTCATTGGTGCGTGATACCATTTCAGCAGAAGGATGTCAATTGTGAGCACAAGCAAAGCAATCAGAGATTGATTCGTAGATGTGTAGTTATTGCTGATTCGTAAAACTGAGAAAACAGACTCCATGAAGGTAAAATCCCCCATGTATTTGTAGCTGATGTTACATGAGAAGAAACGCTTTCAAAATCCCCTGCCCATGTGCTACGGTCTGTCGTTTTCGGGAAACACCAAGTCTCGATTCTTCGCTTCTGTGTCCTGGAATTCTGTGCAGATGGACGTATCCAGCAAGTGGGACAGTAAAACTTTTCCTGAAACGAATGCCGCTTTGAAGAATACCATATGCCATTGGAAGGCGATGTTTGATCGTCGTATGGTCGGTACTAGCCTGGCGGCCAAGAAGAGTGCGTGTTGGAAGGTCCATGGAGCATGGAGCATGCAAGGTGGCGCTTTGAGAAGGTGACCAGGGAACCAAGATGCGGAGAGACGACTTTGTCAGTCCGACTGAAGACAGATGATCAGTCTTTAATTTTTCCATAGAGGCCAATGTGTTCGTTCCGGACAATCGCCTCGTAGTCGTCCCAAGTCCTCGCCAGTGCGTCATGTCGGTGCAATTGCCAAAACTCACGCCAGGCAGCGCGATCGAGTTTCTGGCCTTGTGCATGTACCTTTGCCACCTGAATCAACCGACATTCTATACAGACACCGACAGAGTCTGGGTTAGCACCATTCTCAATGAGAAACTGTATAGCCGGTATGTAGCGACGGTCCACTGCAAGCTGTAGAGCAGTGCATCCTTTGTCGCGCATCTCTATATCAACGCCATGATTTAAGATGACATGTGCGAGATCATAACGGCAAAAGCGAACTGCTTGGTCAAGCGGCAAATGGCTACCCATCCTGTTTAGGTCGAGAATACCGACCCGGAGAAGAGCAATGAGTCCGCTGCGACTTCCCTCTCGAAACAGAAAGGACACCTCCTCCGTGGATATTGGTAGTCCGTTCGAAGCCTCCAGATCCGCATATGATGGGTCTACAGTCTTCCTGTATTGTAGAACTCTTAGCAAGAAGTCGATGTTGCCGAACTTCATACAGTCGACGACAACTAATTCCATCCTCCAGGAAATTTCCTCAACCTTGGAGACGTTCGCGCGAAGTTGGAATTCGGCAGAGAGAAAATCCAGGATCAAACCTCCTGTCTCGTTGTTGAAAGTTTGAGCTGCTAAAAGAAGAGGGTCAATCAATTCGATGCACAAGCGAGGATTGTCGGTTGGTGCATTACTCAAGATCCATTCCACGATTTTGAGTTTCCCGTTTACGACTGCTGCGTTAAGTGCGCTTGCAAAGTAGCGATGAGGGTCTTTAAACAAGCCCTTTGAAAAGGTTACCAATGACTTTAGTAAGCTTAGATCGCCGACTGCAGCTGCAGCAGGCGGTAACGTTTTTCGAGTAGACCATCCATCAGTGACGCTGCTTGGAGGATTCCTCAAGAGGCAGCGGAAACCTGTGAATCGAGAATCACCTAAGATGACATTACAGACGTCGTTCATATAACGACCTCGCACTGGTTGTAAATGCGAGTCTTCATAACTTAACAACTTGTCGACTAGCTCTTGAATAGGTTTGGCTATACTGGCAAATTCCAGTGACAGTCGTTTGCGTAAGATCGTGCCGCTGTGCATTGAGATAAAGTGATTCCTAGGACCAATGGCAAGAAGATCCTCGATGTTCTGGCGAGTGATGAAGTTGGCATGAATTCCTGTGGCGAAGGTTTCTAGAACAGTTAGCTGTTTCCAATCTTAATATTGCATGTGTACTCACTGCAGACCAGTCGGTATCTTGCTGCTTTGGCGATACCCACGTCCTTCACCAGAATATGTGCAATGTGCTGGCACAGCTCTGGCGGAAGATCGAGCAACTTCATGACCGACGGATTGCTGTTGTGCTTGTATGATGAGTGAGAGGTGTGAGTAGTTGTTGGTGGATGGTAGAGTGTAGAGGTGAGAGTGGTGGTTATGTGAGACGAAGCTGAAAAGGCCTTCATAAACACTCCTCGCTTAAAACGTTGTCATGCGCGACTTCGCGTTCAGTGAAAGACTGTGACGTCAGTGTCGATAAGAAGCAAACGCTGTGAGTGAAAGCCTTCACCTTGTAATCTCTCGGCATCGTGGACTACCAAAGTTTAACGTCTGTGCTATTTCCAAGACGCGGTCAAGAAAACCGAGTATTACGCAGCACTGAAGGCGCCAGATATGATCAAATCGTACCAAGAACAGGCTGGGCCTATGTGTCGGTCAAGCTCAGCAGCAAAAAAGTTGACACCGGATGAGTGAACCTAGTGCAGTAATTCTCAAATCCAAGTCTATTTGAAAGTTCGTGGACTCGAAACCTGATAGCTAGAGCAGGTAGTGTAAAAGTCGAAGCAGACAACATACTACTACTTAGACAGATCAATTACACAGGAAAAAGTCGCATCACGTTAATATCTGGATCTGGCAGATTGCGACTACTAGGATTAGGGAGAAACGAAAGATAATAGATAAAAAGCGAATACTAGAGTATATGACTTGAACCATCCCGTGCTCCACGGCCTCGTAGGTTCGAATCACAATAAACAACTGATGTCTGCTGACATATGGCGGACACCAGAACACGCTTTACTCTGCGATTGAGACCCGAAATGTAATACGCGTTTTGAAGGAAGAGAAGACAAGACAAAGATTTCATCAAAGAGCAGATGTCAGACGTCATAACGCTAACTACTCTCAGTTAGCGAACTTGTCACATACATGAAATCACGTTCCTCTTGCTAGACTCTTACAACTCATTTCCTTGAACATCTGGCTCTCCTATCGACAAAGGTAGTAGCCTGAGGGGTATATCAACTAAGCATCTTCATAGTTTTCACTTGTTCCCTGACTTTGGCTGCAGGTTTATGCATATCTAACTTGCCTCTACTCGCTTCGTCTAAAACGCTCGAGTACCTCGCCATGAAGAGGTCTTTATATCTTGAGTAATTGTGCCAAATATTAAACATCTTCAATCCGAATTATTAAATGGCTGTAATAGAAAAAGTTAGTCCAATCAATCATCACCCCTAGAGAAAAAAAAGAGCACGAGTACAGAATCCAAAAGAATCGAATCAAGAACACTCAACTACCCCACAGTGATGACACTATCCAACCAACTTGCAGAGGTGCCCTTCCCTACCCCACCCCTCAACGCCCACCCCTCACCTCAGCACATTGCCCTTTGCCCCTCCGGTAGCTCCGCAATCCACACTTGCCCCAAACCTTCCCTATTAGGCATTCTCCCCTCAGCGCGTCGTGCCCTGCATGCCCTTACATTTACCCCGTAATACAAAAAAGGACAAGTCGAACACCAATCCACGCCCACGCCCACCCCCATCCACACCCCCTCCCTATTGGGTGAGGCGGCAGATGCAAAAAAATGCTCCCTGCCAGACTCGAACTGGCGACCTTCGGATGTCTACTCTTAGAGTAGTCATGGTCTTAATATGAGACCGACGTGATAACCAACTACACCAAGGAAGCGTGAGACGAATCTTTTTTTTTCCGATGAGGATCTGATGGATTTACGGTATTGTATTTTTTGAAAAAAAATTTCTTGCGCGGATGGGCCGTCTGGTCGATTTGTAGTACTGATTTGGGCCTCGGGATAGTATATTTGGCTTATGAGGGGCAGGTATTCGGTGCGTATGGGGGTCAGAATCACGATATTCGTCAAAACCCATTGTATATGTTTAACCATGTCAAAATGCAAACGCTGTCATTCATTACGTATTACACCCAATATCTATACAACCCAAACCCAAGCCCGCCATTTTGCCCTTCATAAGATGCCCGAAACGCCACAAAGCCAAGCCGCCCAAATCCATCCATTACCCCGTTCATTTTTCTTCCAACAACACATTCCTTTCCCGCCCAACCCCAACTCTACGGCCCCAGTCTCTGCCCAGGCTCCGGCGTCCTTGGGATCCCCGTCATGGGGACGCCGACGCTCGCCGTTGGCAGCACGCCGTAGCGACCATATGTCTTCTGATCGACGCTGACGTAGTGCGGTAGTCTGCCGAGGAGGTTGAGCTTCGTCTCCACCCAGCGCAGGATCTTCTCGTGCGGGACGAGGAACTTGATGTAGCCTGACGCCCAGAGGTAGCCGATGCCTGCGCCGCAGAGGTGGCCGATGAGACTGACGTTTGGGACGATGAGGCTGGTGGCTAGGATGAGGATGAGGGGGGTGGACCATGTAGGGATCTTGTAGGGGCCGATGCTGGAGGGGTGTTAGTTGGAGGGTGGTGGTTGGGGTGGGGGGTGGCGTACTTAAAGGTTGGGTTTGTCTTGTGTGTCTTCATGACCTCTGCGGAGAGGAGGAGGAACACCCATATGCTGGTTTCTGTCAGTTTCCTTCTTCACAAAATGTTAAGGCGCTGCCGCGTACCTTGACCCCATGACTATGGTGTTGCTCCTCAGAACGAACTTCTCCAGCAGCACGTATATGCCGCCTGGTATTGTCCCGAATGCTGACGTTTGGTCAACCGCAGTCCTCAACTCAACATCTAGTAGTTTGCTTACGTCCGGTGAAAAGCGCCAGTGTGACCAACGTCCCAAATTCTGCTTCAAAACGCTCAATGAGGGGTGTTACGGCGAAGAGGTTGAAGATCATGTGGAAGAAGTTGAGGTGCATCAATGGGAACAGATTGAGCCGGTGCACTGCGCAAATAGTAAAGTCAGCTTCTGAAATAAATCTCGTAGCATGCAGTCCTTCCCAAAGACCCAAATACCACGCCCATTCTCTCAAAGGAGGCCCAAGAAGCCGCAGGTCATTCTTCAGGATTTTGAACACCTCCACCACTCCCCCTTCCCTCGTCTTTCTAAAATCCTCCCCAAACTTTGACAGCAAAAAAATCCACATACTCTGCGTAAGATCCATCTTAGCCGGCTCGAGCCGCCCAAACTCGCGCACCCACGGAAACGGAATCGTCGCTATCCATAGCCCAACAATAGCAGTCGCCAACAGTCGCGTGCAGAGGGGTAAGCGAAAGATATAGGAGCGTATGCGCGCGGGATTAAACTGCGGAAACGACGGCATGGCAGTTCGCGACGGGGTGTAATACAGATGGGGAACATGTGCAGGCGCGTCGAGAGAGGAAAGTACCATCTAGGGTCCAGCGCCGCTAGCGCATGTCTTGACCACCAAGACGGCTGCGAGGGATGCGAGGGCGCCGCACACGACACTCGTTTTCCCTGCGGTGCAATTGAGAGGCGGGCAGCATGGCTCTGATATGTGGGTTTCTTTTGTAGATGTATGCCAGGCGAGAGCTGACCTGAATAGCATCGATATTGGCGCTGCGGAGAGATGCCCGCATCCAGAAGATCCCACCTTACCTCTCCGCCTTCTGCATCATCGTCGGCATAGCATGGCTCCTCGTCCTCCCGCTGAACGAATACTCGCGCAAGACGTACGTGTCTGAGAATGCCCTGCTGCCGGGGCAGGTGCACACGTACTTTACAGGCAGTGAGCACAACGTCTTCCGCGCATACAGACATGAGGTGGATGCGCTGTCTGGTACGAGTGTGGAGGAGCGAACACGCCGACTGGCAGAGATATTTCGCTCGCAGAATCTCAAGGTCGCGACCCAAAAGTACAACTACCACGTCTCGAACCGCACCATCGCAAACGAAAACGTATATGCTATCCTCCAAGGGCCCCGTGCCGACGCTACAGAAGCCATTGTCCTGATCGGAGCATGGAAGAACATGGCAGACGAGGTCAACACCTCGGGCGTTGCTCTGGTCCTCACACTGGCCCGCTACTTCAAGCGCTGGAGTCTCTGGAGCAAGGACATCATTTTTTTGGTGTCAGGGGACAGCACGAGCGGGCCGCAAGCCTGGGTCGACGCATACCACGACGGACACGACGAGCGTTATGTTGAAAGCTTGAAGATCAAGAGCGGGGCATTGCAAGGTGCTGTGGCTGTCGACTACCCTGCTGGGCCATGGGGCCATCGATACGACAAGCTACATGTTGTGTACGATGGTGTGAATGGCCAGCTTCCAAACCTGGATTTGTTCAACACGGCTGTGCAAGTAGCAGGCGGCCAGATGGGAGTCGGTGCCGTCATCCAGCGCATGTGGAAACACACAGACACATACCAGGAGCGCCTCACGACGATGCTCCGAGGGATGGTTTCGCAAGGAATGGGCCACGCAACGGGACCACACTCATCCTTCATCCCCTACCACGTCGACGCCATCACGCTTGTCACAGTCGGCGACGGATGGCATGATGAGATGACGCTGGGGCGAATCATCGAGTCGCTGTTCCGCAGCTTGAACAATCTCCTCGAGCACCTGCACCAGAGTTTCTTCTTCTACCTGCTGCTCCAGGCCAACCGCTTCGTCAGCATTGGGACGTACCTCCCCTCGGCTATGCTGATCGCCGTCAGCTTCAGCATCACATCAATCGCGCTGTGGGTGAAGAGCGGGCGTCCAAGCGAGCCTACTGCGAACTTTGCATCCACAAACCCAGAGAGCAAAGCCGCCTCCCACCCCATCCCATCACCGTCCACCTCGGAAAGCGTAGAAGACGATTCCACTCCCGCAAAGCCCTCAGAATCCGAAGAACCCCCCACGGCCGAAGAAACACAAAAACCCGCCGACCCCCCAGTCCTAATCCACACCCCCTCAGGCTCCCTCTCCCTCCTCCCCGCCCCCTCCCTAAAAATCACAGAACGCCACCTCCTCTTCCCCCTCCTCTCCGTCCTCCTCTCCCACCTCCTCGGCCTCCTCCCCTTATACCTCTTCAACACCTGGCCCGCCCCCTCCCTCCCCCCCCTCTACCTCACAGCCGCAAACCTCACCACCCTCCTCCCCCTAGCCATAGCATACTTCCTCGTCCTCGAGGCCCCGCCCACGCCCCAGCAAACTACCCTTGTACAATGTTTCTCCCTGCTACTGCTGGGAATGTGCCTCGCCGGCCTGGCGACGCTGAACTTTAGTCTGAGTTTCCTTGTTGGGGTGTGTACGGCGCCGTTGAATTTCGTGCATAAGGCACGGAGTAAAGGGGGGAATGTGGCGCAGTTGGCGGGGCTGATGCTGGTTAATCCGCTGGTGGTGGTGCAGGTTGGGACGCAATTACTGGGGGGGCGGATGGAGGAGGTGCTGGTCAAGGCTGCGGAGGGGTGGGTGGTGTGGGGACTGTGGACGCAGGTTGTTGTTTGGGTTGTGTGGTTTCCGGCGTGGGTTTGTGGGGCTGTTGTTGTTGCTGTGGGGGTGTTGGAGTGAGTGTTGGCATGGGAAGGGAGTGTAAGATAGGGTTGGGAGGGGAGTGTTGGGGTTATGTATGTTTTGGTTTATGGCAATGTGCTTGGCTCGTGAATTGTTTTGTTTTCGTTTCGTTGGCCATATGCCTTGGCTGGCTCGTGACTACGTAATTGCCTGTCTTATGGCATTCTGCTTGCCGCTGTTCACTAGGCGGAGACAGTTATCTACTCCACGGCATCTCCCGAATAAAAGGCGTTATTCAAGCAGCCCAAACATCTTTACCCACCCCCTCGATCCAGTTGCCGAGCTGGTTGACGCTAGCATCCCACTCCTTCAGCCGTCCCCTCATGCTCTCAATCTGCTTCATATCCAGCACCTTCGGTTGCACCCAGTTGATGCGTGCAATCTCCGCAACCTGATCGATCTGGCCCCTCAGCAAACCCAAGCTCAGCGCCTTCATAATCAGGTGCTCAATCTCCTTTGGCTGCACCTTTGTCTCCTGGGATATCTCGGTGAAGGTCATGGCGCGGTCGTGTGGTGGGCGGCGGAAGACAGTCTCGGTGAGGGCGGAGAGGGAGATCTTCTGGTAGAGGAACGTCTGGTGCTCTTTGAGAAGTGGGACTTTGGAGATGTTGCCTGCAAGCACGTCGTATGCGATCAGGTCACCACGGTTGAAGGCGAAGAGGAGGTCGCGCAGCCATGCGTGAGGCGTGTTGACCAGCGAGTCGAGGATGGGATGTAGGAGCAGCTCGCCGAAGTTGTAGATGGAGTCGGAGACGAGGGCGGCGATGCTGAGGTCGTAGGCGCGGGACTGGCGGTCGCGCAGCTCCAGGTCGTTGAGGTCGACGCAAGCGAGGAAGAGGAGGGCGTTTTTGTAGTAGGCTGCAAACTCGTGCTTTGACTGGGGGGTGTTAGTACCTCGACATGACACACTGCAGAGTATAATGGTACCTTGTAGTACTCTGCGCTTGTGCGGTAGAAGGACGCGTGCACTACTGTCTCTACCGAGTCGAAGCCGTCCAGTATCTGCTCGCACTCGTCCAGCTTCTTCTTGGCACCCTCCTCGTCGCGTATGGCGGGCCGCAGCTGGATGCTGGCGGCAGCGACTGTGGCGTAGACGTAGGCGTCCTGTGAGGCGGGCTTGTTGACGCTCTTGGCGAGGTTGTCGACGAAGGTGAGGCGCTCCTTCTCGTCTGGGGGAGGAGTCAGCATGCACACCAGGACTGCCTTCTTCTACATGTCTAGACGCACCCTTGATCTGCGAGGCCGCGTTGAGCCCCAGCGTCACGAGCTTGAGCTGATTGATCTTGTTGGCGAAGCTCTTGATGAACGTCTCGAAGAAGGGTATCCGCTGCTTGGCACTGTCGGGGTGGTCGAAGAATTCAATCAGCTTGTCCGTCAGCTCGTGCCACAGCTTTCGCTCCCAGTAGTCCTCGAAGGCGATGAAGTACTCCTGCAGCTCCTCGGGCGCCTGGTCCCGCGCGTCGCCCAGCAGGTTTGGGATCGTATCCGTATCCATGGCCATGGTTGTGGTGTGAGTGTGACGGGGAGAGGGAAAGTGGTGGCGGCGAGGTTGCGTGCACGGCGTTTGTCAGTGGGATGGATGCTTGCTAGGTATGGCGTTGCGGCGGAGGCTAGCTATCCAGCCGCGCCAAGGCTATCTTGACGTCCGCCCTTCAATCCAACTGCCTCACCACGGCTGCATGCCACCCTCCTCCCAGCCATTGAACGTCGCAACCATGGCCCTGCCACTCCGCTGTGCGCGCTCTCGAACGGCGTTGTCGGCGCCCTCGCCCGCGATCCGCGCAGCAAACTTCTCGACATCCATGTACCGGCGCCAGCAGCAGCTCAACCACGACGTCAAGATCACCCGGTACCGCACGTGCTACCCGCATTGTGATAGAGGGCTAACACGTGCCCAGGACTGGAAAGCCCATCATCACCGTAGCGGGCGGTAGATCCTCGCTGGGAGGTGCGCAATAGCCCCCATCCACGCCCAACACGACCGCTCACACAAAGGCACAGGCTACACGGCGACCGTCTTCGGAGCCACGGGATTCCTGGGACGCTACATCGTCAACAGACTGGGTGCGTGAATCCATGCCAGAGGAGTAGGGGGATGGTGCTAACGGGAGGAACAGCGCGGTCAGGATGCACAGTGATCATCCCCTTCCGCGAGGACATGGCCAAGCGCCACCTGAAGGTTGCCGGAGATCTGGGTCGCGTCATCTTCATGGAAATGGACCTGCGCAACACGGCCTCGATCGAGGAGGCCGTCCGACACTCTGACATTGTCTACAACCTCATTGGTCGCGACTACCCCACCAAGAACTTCGACCTGGAAGATGTACATGTCGAGGGAACCGAGCGCATCGTCGAATCCGTCGCCAAATACGACATCGACCGCTATGTCCATGTCTCGTCACACAGCGCACACCTCGACTCGGCCTCGGAGTTCTACCGCACAAAGGCCAAGGGCGAGCAAGTAGCGCGCTCCATCTACCCAGAAACCACCATCGTGCGTCCAGCCCCCATGTTCGGCTACGAGGACCGCCTCCTCAACCGCCTCGCCTACCCCTCCAACGTCGTCACCTCAAACTGGATGCAAGAGCGCCTGCGCCCCGTACACGTCATCGACGTCGGCACAGCCCTCGAGCGCATGCTGCAAGACGACACCACCGCCGCCGAAACCTTCGAACTCTACGGCCCCACCGAGTACACCATGTCGGAAATCAACGACCTCGTCGAAAAAGAAGCAATGAAGAAGCGCCGCCACGTAAACGTCCCCAAACGCATCCTCCAGCCCGTCGCCCACTACGCCAACAAATTCCTCTGGTGGCCTGTCCATTCCCGTGATGAAGTCGAGCGCGAATTTATCGATCAGACGATTGATCCTAGTGCAAAGACGTTCAAGGATCTCGAAATCGAGCCTGTCGAGCTGAAGAGCTTGACGTTTGAGTATCTGAAGGGGTACCGCAGCTCGTCGTACTATGATCTGCCGCCCATGTCGGAGAAGGAGAAGAGGGAGGAGAAGAAGTATTTGCATGTCATTGATGATCAGTAGATGGCTTGAACTTTGTATATATTTGTGGGGGTTTAGTACCGCGACACTAGGTAGTCGGGGAATTGACGTTTTCGTTTGTGATTTGCATACATGTGTGGTTGTGGTGATGTGGTTCAGTTGTGAGTATATGAAATTAACAGCACGGTGAATACTAGTATACGTATCTACCCCCTACAAATCAAACGCCCAATACTCCCTGACCCTCATGCATCTGACATCAATTTAGCCAAGTTCCTTACTATCAAACTCTCTATTCTACTCCACTCTCTGAACAACGCCCCCCACTCCTTTCAAGCGTCTCCCCCAACCCCAGGTCCAGTAGATAGGATACGCTGGGTACGTGGCTATGTAGTCATCCACCACAACCTCTCAATTCACGAATGTAGGCGGATGGATACCTTGGTGCTTTCTTGTTGAGGCTGTAATGTAAGGTGGGGTGGAGGGTGATTTGTGGATTGAAATGGGCTGAGATAAGATGATGACAGGTTGGTGACGGGGCGTTAGATGGGTTACGGATGTTAACGGGGCGTTAGATGGGTTGCGGATGGTGACGGGGTGTTGGACGTAGTGTGTAGGTAGAACGGTAGGCCTTGCGCAGAGGGTTTTTGCGTCCGAGGCGTCGCGCTCCGGGATGCTGCCGCCGACGAGGTGCAAGTTACGACGCTGAGATATGTGTCGAGTTCAATCCCTAGGCGACAGGAACATGAATGTAACATGCTGGATTTCTGGAAATGTGTAGCCCGTCGTAGTTGGCCTTGATGGGCCTCTGGGTAGATGTTGGGCCAGGTTCAACCGATCCTGATCTCGCGCCTGGTGCTCGGGAAATGATGCTTGAGATCATCCAAAGTGCCGGGTTGGGGGTAGGCACTTGACGTCTGCCGATGTGGGGCCATTTTTAAGAGGCCAACTCTCTCGTATACACCGTTTTGCATCCAAACAACTAACCCGTATTTGCTGTTGAGAATTATACAAGAAAAGACACGGTGATCGCGCAGTGCGATGTAAAGCTCGTCCTGTTCATCAACCTTGGGCGTGAGGAATAGTTCCCAATACTTTGTATCATGCTCAGGCTGTGGTTCGGTACGTGAGGACATCGTACTTGTTATCGCATAGTTCATATACGAGAATACTTTGGACGTACCCTCCCGGAAGTAGCTGAACTTGACCTCGAGAACCAACGCTTCGATGCGCAAAAACTTTGTATATCCTGACATCTCGTATTCTTGTTCCAGCGAAATGCTCGCTATGAGTTCTTCTGTTAGGACTTCGGTCGTGCCGTTATTTTTCTCCACATAAAAACAGCTTGGTGCGTTGTCGTCGTCGTCGCTCAAGTCCACGGACCAAGCCACAGGGCTGTTCCAGCCAGCCCAAGACCAGCTCGGAAATTCTGAGCCTCGCGTCGTGGCTTGATTTGTGTAGGTGTACCACGCGAGCCCGTGACCCAACGCGAGATATGTTTGGTTTTTGCAATACGGAACCTCCCTTTCCACACTGAAGGCTTCGGGATTGATTGGTATTCCCCAGTACTGATACACTGGTTTAGTGCTGCTAGCAAATGACCTGAGCAGTCCTCGCATAGCATTCAAGGCATCGGAGCTGTTGGTCAACTCGCGTCCCGTGTAAGCAATAAGGTGTTCACTGAGGTTCATCCTAGGGACTTTGTGACTCATGCCGCCATGAATCAAGCCGTGATGGTAAGAGGACATATTTCTCAGGTCGATATCCAGAAACTCGCAGCAGCTACCACCGCCGCACTCAAAAACCACTTGTTCCTCGGTGAACATCAGACTTCGGCGCGAGAAATACGCCTCCTGGTATGTCCAACCTCTCTTTGACCAAGGTGATTCCTGGACAGCGTCCTTGAAATTCAATGAGCCTGAAACCCAGGTCGTGCCATTGATGTTGACCGAATGCGTGATTCGGGGCCGACTCCCAACGCCAGGAAGTCCAAAAGATGAGTTATCGCCGGCTGCAGCAACTATTGTGAGAGAAGCCCAATTGTAGATCTTATCCATAATTGACAGCTGATGTTGAAGCTCACGAACCACAGATTGGTTGATACAGTACTTGTCTACCCATAAGTAGCGAAACCCCAATTGTGTTGTGACCTTGATAGCATCCTCTATCGTGTTTGGCAGAGGTTCAGGCAGTAAGTCTAACGAGTCTTCGCAGGATTCGATTATCGGGTTTTCTTGTGTCGGTGGTCCCCCCCATACATAACTGAGGGCTACATAGCGAAGATCAGGGGGCGCTGGAATTATCTTCCTAGTAGTACAGTCGATGACTTTGACATTTGAATTCTCTGGGTGCCACCTCAAATTTTCCGTTGATGGTGAAGAGCAGAACGAGTGATGATCCTCGCAGAATGTGATCCACTCCTTCAGCAAATCGGTATTGATATAATTCTTTTCTAGGGGCCGAAATCTGACTAGCTGGCCAAAAATACCATCATCATCATTAAGTGGATGAATAAATCTTAGACCGGATACACTAATACAAGCAGGATATTGTCTCGATATTTTCCCTCTTGGATAGAAAGGATCCAAAACAAATCTTAATTTAACAGCAGTATCCGCAACCGCTTTGACATCTCGAGCTAGCGCGATGGAGGCGAAGAATAGGCAGAGTGGACACGTTGAGCCTTGTTCGATGCGTACACTTCCCGTCCTGATGGTTCTGAGATCGATGGCTCGACATTGTGGACAGAGGTCCTCTGTGTTCCACTTGGTAGCTTGGAATTCACTAACGGCCGTCGCAGATATGCTTCTTTTCGACCTGAGAGGTACAGGCAAAAGTGACGTGTTCGCAGCCTTAGCCATGCTGCAGTGGGCAAAAGTTCAAGGTTGTAGGAAGAAGAGACCAACGAATAGCGTATGATTTGAAGGGGAAATGACAACAATACTGGAATTGTGTTCGAATGCTGCAGATATATGTAGGCAGATAGAGTTGGGGCAGTGCAGTTTCCAGCTGAACCGTAAGGCTGCCGTTCGAGAAACCAGGCTCAGCCTGATGGCCAACATCACAAGATCACTGTCCACTTACATCATACACCCCCAGCTTGTTTCACAGCGTAAGGCCTAGAACACGATTGGTTCTATAACACACGTAGGATAAGCAGCCAGAGGCTGAGCTCCAGCGGTATTGGTGTGATTGACTACGTGTCATTCATTGATAAGCCTGAGCTGAAGCCTCGAGAAAAGATCGCGTTCGTGTGAGGTTAGCCTTATACCGATAGTGTTGCGATGTTTGTTTGATCACATCTCGATGCTAGAATGCGATGCAAGTCAAAACCATGTGTCGTCATCGTCACCCGAAACTAGCGTATTTGTCCAGCCGAGCGCTAACTAAGCCTTGCAGATCTACAGGTCCAAGCTCAACATTAGTCTTCTTCAAGACCATGATATTCTCTCCCAGATCTACACAACCGCCAACATGGAATTCCAACGAGGAGAGCGTGTAAACCTAAACTTTGACACCGGCGCAGTCGAGAAGTTGGAACCAGAGGAAGACTATGAGGCCCCAGCATCTGCATTTCCCTCCTTTGTAGGCGACATACTGGAGCGCGATTCTGCTTCAGCCAGCCCACCAGTCGCGCCCTCACTCAAGACGAATGTAAACGGATTCCCCGCGCACAAAAAGCGCGTTCCTAGAGTTTCGGCGTTCAAGCAGCAACGCGCTGCAAAGGAGCAACAAGCTTCGTCGATAGCAAAAACGCAAGATGCACCTAAAGCAGGCACAGGCTTTGATGCAAATGACGAGAAGAAAGCTATAGATGAGGAGAATATGCAGCGGCTTGATGCCATGTCTGAGGAAGAGATTGAAGAGGAGCGCAGAGAGTTGATGTCGAATCTCAGTCCAGCTCTGATACAGAGACTGCTTGCACGGTCTAATATAGATGACGGGAGCAATGAACGAGATCTTTATCCTGAAGACGCAAAGTCTCCACCTCCTGCGACTAAGATCGACAAAGTAGAGCCGAAATCGCCTAGTACGAACACAAAAAAGGTCTCCTTCGCGCCCACAGAAACTCCACAAGAAGCTTCGCCTCAACCACCGCAAACCACAGCCTCCCCATCCACATCCACTACAACCCCCACACCAGACGCCCTCCCCACAGAGCCCACCGAATCAATACACTTCCCCACGCCGCCCCAACCCCCCGACCTCGACCCAAACGACCCCTCCTTCCTCCAAAACCTACACGACAAATACTTCCCCACACTGTCCCACAACCCCAACGCCCTCACCTGGATGACGCCCATCGACCCCACGGACAAAACCTCCGCCTACCACCCCTCGCAAACCGCGCTCAACGCCTCAGACCTACGCTTCGACTTCACCGGCGCGCTCCTCGCGCCCAGCGTCGCGCGCTCGATACCCAGCGACAGGGGCCTGCATCATCATGCTGCCGCGCCCGAGGCCGCGGGGTACACGATCCCGGAGTTGGCGATCACGGCACGCAGCGCGGTCCCGGCGCAGCGGTGTGTTGCGTATCAGACGCTGGGGCGGATATTGTATAGATTGGGGCAGGGCGAGTTTGGGGAGGAGAGGGCGGGGCAGAGGACAGATGGGCCGGTGCAGGTTGCGCAGGATCCGGGGTTGGCTGGTGATGAAGAGGGGGAGGATGATGAGGATGAGGTGAGGAGTGCGATGGCGACGGGGTTGTGGACGTGTATTGATGAGGGGCGCGTTGTTGAGACGATGACTGAGGAGGCGGGGAGGGAGAAGGGACATCTTACTGCAAGGACGTTTGCGCAGGAGGCGCTTTGGAATTGGAGGAGGGGTGGGGGGCGGAAGAGACATGCTGTTTGAGTGGGGAGGTGGTTGAATGGGAAAACGGAAATTACTGGTTATGAGCCTTGATGCATTGGGTGGAGACAGGACTTTCCCTCATATACATTCGAGGGGATGGACTATCAATCAACCTTCATAACATCTATCGTACTGCGCAATGGCCACGAATACCCAACACCTAGTAATACCAGTCGTGAATGATATGTAATGAAACCCTGCCGAATCCATGCAGTTCAAACACCCCATCTACAACCCATCCAGGGCGCAAAATCTCTCATTCTCAATATCATACCCGTCGCCCGCATGTACATCCAGTCGAATCTCCTGCACAGGCTCCTCGTCCACGTCGAGGTCCCAAGGGATCCGAAAATTGTCCTCATCTTGCGGCACAGGCTGGTCCTGCATCTCATCGACCCCTCCCAACAAAGCTTGTGTCTGAGCTCTCTTATGCGGAGACGCCAAACGCCCACCACGCCTTTTCCTATTCACCATAGAAATGTAGTTTTCCGTTCTTCGCCAACGCGTAATGGAGACCGGGTTGTTTCTCATGGGAAACTCCCTGCAACACGTCCACGTTAGAATCGGAATTGAGAAGAGGGAGGTCATGAGAAGGCCCGCAAAAGCGAGCTTACTCCACGTCCACGCCATCCAAGACCGGGATGTTGGTGACAGTCGGCTCCATCAGTGGTGGGCGATCGTCATCGGCGTCCTGCATCTCGACGTCGTTGGCTGGTTCTCTCTTCACGGCCTGGGTGAGCATATCGACCAGGTCTTCGCGAATGTAAACGACACCGGTACTGCACGGTGGCGGATTGGTCTGCTCTTGTGTGAAGATTTCTTGCTCGTCGACCGCATCGACACTTGAGTCGTTGTATTTGCGCCACATGTTACTTTGGAAGTCATAGATGTATATCCAGTAGTGCCCACCGTTAGGGGGCCCACGATGTGTGAAGACGGCGTGCAAGCGGTAGGGGTGGTCGTTGCAGTCCTTGAATATAGTGTCGATTTCAGACTCCAAGCCGGCCATTGCCGCACTGATCTCTTCCAACTCTTTTCGAAGAGACTTGGCTTTTTCGTGGAGCACATCGGAAAGTTCAGGCGGTGGTGTGGGTAAAAGACGTTCTCCTGCGTTCCCAGCCTCCTTCGCAAGATCAGCAAGAAAGGAGCCAGTTTCCTCAACAGCACTTGCAAGATCGACTCCTTGGATCTCAGTTGTCTGGAATTCCTTTTGTTGTTCACCGAGCACACGAAGCTCTTTTTGTTTCTTCCACTGGGCACGGCGGAGCTCCAAAAGCTGCGACTCAGCCAACGATTTCGTTTCCCCGAGGTACCGGTCCAGATGCAATGTTGTTTCCAAATCAATCTGCACACGGTCATACACCTGACCTTGTTTTCGATCATATTGTATGCGACGAAGATTGATGATCTGGATTGGCGCAGCCTTGGCAATGTACTCAAATTTGGTTATACCATTCTCGAGGTCACCAAGCCCGAAATCATCATCCAAGGCAGCGTATATACTACGTTGTCGCCCTCCTGGAGAGACCAAGAAGTGGTCTCGGAGCTCGCTTAAGTTTAGCACTCCTTCTGGGGTGTTTCGGACAACGGTCACGTCACTGAAGAACAACTTTTTCATCAAATCGTCCTGTTCGCCATCGCGCAGAACGCCTTCGCCTTTGAAAGCACATGACAGCAGATCAAGGATGTTGGTCATGACTTCCGCAGCGTCTTGTTGTCGCGCGCTTTCTTCGATGTTGCCAAGTTTGGTTTTAGTCTGAGCAACAGGACGTGGCGGGATTGGAGGTGGACGTGATGGTGGTATAGGTTTATCGCTTGTTCCATCTGCCGCCAAATCCATGGGTTTTGTAGACGTATCGCTTTTCGCAGTTTCATCGTTGTCATCGCCCATGACTGAATCGGCAGGAGTAATAGTAGGTGGGTTCTCGTTGCCACTTGGAGGAAGTGTAGGACCAACGACTGCCATGCCATCGATGGAACCAAGACCAGCAACGTTGCCTTCAGCTTCTGGAGCCTTCTGGGAAGTTTCTGGACTGTCGGTCCGGCAAAGCGCCAAAGCTGCGAGATCAATTGCGGGCTGTACAGTATCGGTAGGCGCAGTGATCATATGCTCGAAGAACGTACGCAATTCACGCACGACTAGATAGGTTAGCAGTGTTACGAAAGAGATGATTGTCGAACCTACATTTCTGAGCAATATCCACCCTATGCGCAGTGACAGCGACGCGCCCCACTATTTTACCTTGCAGTGCCTCTGGTGAAGGGTCTTGCATGTGGTTGTCGCAGTCCAAAATGAGCTCTCGCAGAGGCTTGATGGTGAACAGAAACTGAAGAACGCTGTTCAGATAGCAGGTATTGCCAATATTGCGGCAGCCTACAGGCCAAGTATCCAGAGGGTAATCATTCACTCTCGCATTTGGCTGGTTGGACTTGTTGCCGAAGTTTTGGGCTTGATCGTTTTCGATCAGCGCGTAAGCTTTCCTAAGCTTTTCGACGTCGCCTGGAGCAGCGTAGGTGATTGCAGTATTCATGACATCGAGACTAACGCCGGAGGTCCTGTCGTTGAACTGAAATAAGGCATACGCTTCTCCCAAATCCATTTCTGGTTCGACCATGGTACCATACTTTAGATAGTGACGTAGTCGCTGGCTGTTGCGCTTCTCCGCTATGATGGATACTGCCTTCCGAGCAGTCTCTTCGCATCCGGGGCTATCTTGCAGCTGGTAAAAGTCAGTATCCACGTCAGATATGGCTACAGACAATAACGCTTAGGTGCCCGGATAGAACATACCTTGATAGTGTACAGAGCCTCAACAAAGTCATCAGGTTGACCAGGATCTAAGTTCAGCCAGGATAGTGCCTGCTCGTAAGTTTCAAGTGAGTCTGCGGCTTCGGCTCGGATCAGTGCGCTATCGCGCACATCGCCAATGATCCGAAGCTGTTTTCGTGCTTCTTCGACCAGTGATGGACTGATGTCAGAAAGACGAGACTTGAAGACACCTATGATATGGTCGTCGTTGATCGCGTTCGCATGAGCGGGCTCGATACCAAAGTAGCGATAGGCAGCATAGGCTTCGCGTCTGCTGACGAGACCCTCTGAGGCAAGTATAGCTACTTGTGTTTGTAAGAAGTCGCTATCACGGCCCATAGCAAGATCTTGAATGCATTCATAGTAGTATGAGATGTTGGAGAGGTCTGTTGCACTTTGTCGGCTGTACGCAAACAAGATCAGAGGATCTGAGAAGTCGCCCACCGCGCCGAGACTTGCGTAGTAAGGATGGTCTTCCTCTCGGTTTGTACTTCGCGTCTCGATGCGACCTTTCACCTTGTCATAATCATGGCATGCTAGCGCCCTCTCGATGTCGCCTCGCGAAGGTGTAGGATATGTAGGTTGGTACTTGGTGTCGACACGATCTACCTCTGGGATGTTTGTTATGATAGTGCCCAACTCGTACCGAGCATCTTCAATGGTATTACGCAACGTCGATTCCAGAGGATTATTGGGCTCTTCAGGCTTGGGCAGGTACCAGACTTCTACCTTGTCCTCGCCATCGCCATCTTCGCGACCCTGAGTGAATCCAAGTCTCTTGAGTATAGCATCGCAATCCCTACCAAACGCCGTGAGGAACTTGCGGTTCAACAGCGGAATGCGTGACTTGCCCCTGACAGGGTTCAAGGAATCCCCCAAGTATGTGTTGAGGAAGTCGGGAGCGTCGACTCGGCGGGCCATTTTCATGTCGGTACGATCGGCAGACATCTGTTGTGCAACCTCCAGCCTTCTCCTGAGTTGGGCCTGGTTGGTCAGGAGCTCTACGTCTGAATCGGAAAGACGAGGCGGCTTCATCTTGATCTGCACATTGACTGGGCACTCTGGCGCCGAGCAGCGGAATTTGAACATCTGCGAGCCTTGTTGGAGCCCCGAACCGTTCGTCGCATGCGAGACATCTTCTTCTTCGAGCAAGAAGTGGTGTATTGGGTATTCGTGATCACCCGTCTTGCACGGTCTTGTCTTGGAGCCATCGACGCTACTGAAGTCTACGACCACGTCGATGTGCCAGCGACATGACGAGCAGTAGGAGGCTACTTTGTAGACGGTGGTTTGGTCTGGGTCTTCGCCGGCGCGTGGCAGCTGGCACTGCTCAATCTTGTTGAGGAGGCCGTGACGACAGTTCCTTTGGGGCACCGCAGGCTGGGCCGGTCGATTGGGGTCGTGCTGTGGCGGCGCGCTCGTCAGCAGGTTGCGGCCTGCTCGCTCTTCGAATCGCGCGTCATATGTGAGGAGGTCCTGAAGTAGCCGTGGGGCTGTCTTGCCTGTAGAGACAGCAATGGTCAGCATGTGCTGGCAACCAAGCTTGCGGAGACTGTACCAGGCGCCATGACTGCTAAATATGGTGGTGGGGAGAGTAATAGTATGAGTGGTGCTATGGTGGAGAAGCAGAGAGTCGCGTAGGTTACGGATGGCGCACAGCGCACAGCATGCAGAAGAGTCAAGTAAACAGTGAGCAGGTGCGACTGAGGGCGTCTAGACAGAGAGAAGCTATCTGTAGGCGGCAACCAGGTTGCGACGTGCAGTATGTCTGCTAACAGCCGCCACACAATCACAGGCAAGCGTGTACCAAAGACGGGCTGCAAGCGAGAGCAATCAGCTTGTCACATGGAGACTGATATTGGAAATTTCAGAACACGAAGCTTGAGGCATTCAATGCGACACTTGGAGACGCAGTGTGACCTCAGGGCGATGATGCCAGAGCCGCGAGTGCTAGCACCCTTTGGCCTTAGTGTGGTGTCACCTCCGCCAAGCCCATCTCTCGAACCCTCACGACATCTCGACGGGAGCGCTCAAGACGATACCGACGCCCACTCTGCTCGCCATGGCCGACGAACACGCCACCTACCACCCGCAGGACGCTCTCGCGAACACAGGAAGCACAGTTTTGCAGCTCACCGCTGTTGGCGCCGTCATTGCCGGCGTACAGAACACCCTCCGCAAGCAGAATGTCGGCGCTATGGGCATCATCACTCGCTCGGGAGGGATAATCGCCCTCTATGGTCCGTAGCCATCCAGTCGACCTTGGTTGGAGCTGTATGGAGCTAATTGGCTGCAGCCGGTGTGGGAGCCGCCTACCAGTTCACCAAGGACGTGACCAGCAACCTGCGACACAAGGACGACGTCTACAGCGAAGCGATTGCCGGTTTTGCGGCAGGCTCCGCTGTTGGCGTTGCTAGTATGTGTGCAGAAGCATTGGCCTAAGACAGAGCTAATCGTGCACAGGGCGGAGTCTTCCTTTCATGCTCGGCGCTGGAGTGGCCTTCTCCACCGTTATGTCCGCGTACAGATATACAAATGGCTTTAGGGGTCCTGGGTCTCTCGAGACAGACGAAGACGAGGTTGCGCGAAAGGAAGCGTTGAGGAAGGTATACCGGCGACCACTATCGGAGACCATCGAGCAGCTGGGCGAAGGCCGAGGTAAGCACATCACTCATACAGGGAAATCTCAAGTTGAACATGACAGGTATCTATGCTCCCGGCTACGACGAGAGGAGGCGACAAAGGCTGCTGGAGAAGTATGGAATCGATGTGAAGGCAGCGCAGGAGTAAAGCTCGACACCACACTCTTTCCTTGGAGTTCACAACAATACCAGATAGCGATCCTGGAAACCTGGGGCTTTGCAGCCCTATGTAAATACTACCTTGATTATTCTGCATCGAAATTGCTACTTTCTCCCTTGCTCGACACGAACAAAGCCTTGAGCTTCACAAAGGACTTCCAATGCATGTGGAGGGTAAGGAGGTCAGGTTTATCTTTTTCGCGACGTGACAATTCCCCTTCTCATACAGTAATCTGAAACCTTGGTTCATCGTTCAATGCGTTTGTAGAGGTATACCTTCTCAATGGTATTGATAAAGTCCACAACGTATGGTATACACAGAACCTGCAGAAATGTTAGACACGTCTGTAGATCTGCATTTCACACCTACTCTCTCGTGTGTATATGTACTGCATCGTGGAACTGGAGCTGTAGTACCTATCAATCAAATGCGGGGTATGTGATTACCCCTCAACCTCAGCACCTTGAAGCTTTGTGTCGAATACGATACGATACATGACGCGTGACTTCACCCACCTAGACCATATTAACATGAATCTCTAGAAATTTGCCTTATACGTTGTTTTGCGCGATGGGCTCGTCGGCCATGGACGCGTTTTGTTCTTTCACCCCACCATCACCATCCCCAAACCTACAACTGTCTTTCTGACTTCAATTGTCCACCAAGCCGTGTGAAGGCTGCAAAGCATCTTTGACATCTCGCCTGTTTATCTGTCAATTCAACATAGATTGTAGTTTCCACCCAAGAGCATCATGGCAGCAACGCAACCGCAGGCAGAGGCCGGGCTGAAAGAGTGTTTCTTTCGCGACTTTCAGGTTGGGGTCACAGGTGAATATGCCAGTCCCGATCATATCTGAACTCTATCTCATACAAACAGCTCTGCAGGAGCAGATGGAGCGCTTGAACCAGACCCCTTCCGGGGATGAGCGCAGCAATGCCATAGACCAGTGTCTCGCGGGCATAGACCGTCTTTCCCATGAAGTCAAAGATGCTTCAAGCTACATTCCCGCATACGACCAACGGACATACAGCCAGGTACTGCTGTTCCTGAATTCCAAACGTAGCTTGGAAACTGATCTCTACAGACGGTCAAAGGACTCTCTGAGAAGCTTCAGACAATACGCAACTCGTTCAATCCACCCAAGAAGTTCGCATTCAAGTCGCGCAAGAGCGCGCCCGCAAAACCTGCGCCCAATACTACGGATTCTGACACGTCTGTATTGACAACCAATCCCTCGGATCAAGAAAAATCGATTCTACCCTCATCGCCTGGTCGACCGCTGTCAAAGGAGAAGGTTCAAGAAGAGGCCGATCCAAGTCGTATAGAAGAGGCCGATCCAAGTCGTATAGAAGATGACGGCATATCGGATCTAGCAGGAGGGTCTGGAATCCGGAGACCATCCTTCTCATCCGCTACCAAAGTCACCATATCAAACCACAAAGACCTACACATCGCGCTCCCTATATCAGCCTCCCACGCAACAAGCTCAGGTACCATATCGAACCTGCAACACTGCACCGTCGACTTCTCGGCCACAACTAAGAATGGATCACCTTTCGCCTCTCTGTATCTCAAGAACATCAAAGATTCCCTAATCATATGCGGCCGATCTGGTCCGGCGCATATCACAGGTATACAGGATAGTATCATAGTGACTGCATGTCGCCAATTTCGTATGCATGCTTCAAAGAACGTGGTTGTGTATCTGCACTGTTCCAGTCGGCCTATTATCGAAGACTGTGAAGATATCAGGTTTGCGCCGTTGCCGGAGATATATGTATGTGGAAAGCTGCGTGGAGAAGTGTTACTACCAAGATTCTCGCTGATGGGTATGTACAGACAATGCCGGAGATCTCAAAAATTTCCAATCAGTGGGATCAAATCGACGACTTTGGATGGCTGAAATCGGAACCGAGTCCACATTTCACTCTCCTGACTGAATCTAAGTGGACCAAGAACGAAGTGTGGGAGGACGTAGGATCGGACCAACAACAATTGAGCTTGGATGATGTGCTAAAGATCGTGAATGTGCGGCATTGAACAAAGATCCGAGACGATATGAAGGATTTCACGAGTATGGAATAAAAGTGCATCTACCTCCAACGCTGCATGGGATGCATTCTGAGTTCGTACGTGCTGCTTATTCTCACGAACTATTAAATCATTACCAAGTCCCATGTCATGCTTTCCCATAGGGCAAACTCGACTGATAGAGCACCAATCATCTTATGTTGTAAATCCGGTTATGTCGAAGCATGCTGACGTCAAAACATGCATGTTCGCTGAGTTGCTCCGGAAACCAAAAACAGTTTGGGCACGGACAGCGTTTATTTTGGGCAAGCGCCAACACAACGAACTCTTCTCCTTTGGACGCGAGACCCCACAACCCTACGCGCTCCACACATCGACAATACGCAACCATCACAATGTACCCATATACAGCGGGTACGCCGTGCCCTGCGCCGAATCCATCATTCTCGAGCAATCGTTATAACGACTATGGGCACCCGACGTCTGTTTACGCGCCTAGCTATGCACCAGACGACACAACCGCGAATATTGAATACACAACAGAGCTGCAACCACAAGCAACACTACACAAGGCTAAGCCACGAAGACCGATGCGCGCCATGCGCAAGTCCGCGTTCAACCCGTCGCTGGACATTTTCGAGGATGTCGCGCACGAGGAAGAACAGCAGGCAGCTGTTGAGACGAAAAGCAGAAGCCGCGCATCTGTAATGCCAGAAGGCGCAAGAGTAAAGAAGAGCACGATACTCGCGCATCCGGCGCAGAAGATCCACAAGGCTGTGGCGCCTGGTCAAGAGCCGCAAAGTCTCAAGCCACAACGGAGACGCGTCTCGCAGATGCTTATGGAAAGACAGACAGGAGATGTCAACGCGACTCTACAGCTCCAGGAGGACTTGCTGGAGAAGAAAGAGCTTAGGAAGCAAGGCCCAAAAAAGGATCCGCGTCGAAGGACTATCTATGTTCCATCAGACGATACCACGTTCATGACAATTCATCCTGGACAGTCTCTAAATCCGGCGCAAGGCTCAGGGGAGAAGTCACCTGACATGGGATTCGACCTAGTGACATTATCGGAGGAAGATGACAGCCTTGTATCCGCGCTGAAGAAAGAAGATAATATTCCCAAGAACCCGCTGGCCGTGCCACCCAGGCGTGGTCCTTTGAGTTCCAGCTCGCGCTCGGTCCAGAGTGTCTCTTTCTCGAGCGACGTGGCGGGGTCGGGTGGTGGAAAGGAAAACCTGCCGCCAGGCGCGGAGTTCATAGAGCGAAAAGGAGTCACCACACATATCGAGATCAACTTTACCAAGCCAGAGACGAAGAAACCTGCAACGAAGGCGCCCAAAGCTCACTCCAACCCGTCAAAGGGGTCTGATGCTATACTCCAGGCAAAGACAAAGTTGGAAGGCAGCCAGAAACGATTACGACCCCAGGCCAGTTGCGAAGGTATGCCGGCAAAATCTATCAAGGCTAGGGCAGACGGAACCGCCCCCACAGCAAGCAGCAGAACCTCTTCAAGAGCAACAGTCAAGACCACCAAGCCTAGGACCTCAAGGCCGGCTCGTGCGCCGCTATCGTCCTCCTCGCCTTTCCGTACTGAAAGATCTCCGCCTGCTGCTATACGCCGCCGCAAGGTAGAGCAAGGATCGCCCACCATCACCATGATGCATATCGTTGGCAAGCCGACAGCACCGCAAGAGAAGTACCCGGTTCTGAAGGAGGATCTGACCCGACCAGAGCTATACGAGGATAATTGGCTCACGTATCAGGAAATTGCCATTACCCAACTCTTGAACTCAATATTCGAAACCTCGGATCAGGATCAAAACACCGAGCAGAGCCCCAAGGAACTAAGAAGGAAGATGCTGGAGCTATATCACGAGCCGTCGATGCCATCATTGCACAAGCGCTTGCAAGCATCGCTGCAGTTTGGCGCGCTGAGTATACCCAAGGATCTCCTGGCCCAAACGCTACGATTGAAGGATGATGTTGGTCTGCGCAAGAAGTTTTTGAATCTATGGACAAAGTCATACGATCTGAAAGCGCTCCGAGCAGCAGCTGAGGCCATTGTTGGGCGTCAGATCACAACTCCATGCCGGCTATCGACTGGCTCTGTATGCTCCGACGATGGTTCCCGCATGTATCGCGCAGAGCGACGAGCAATCGAGAACTTTCTGGATGCTTTCCTCATCAAGAACGAGGATGCCGTTCGTGTCAAATCTGGAACTGGTAGCATCGCCAGCATCGCTCGCGGTGACAATGATTTCGGGTCTCCAGGCTGGTCATGGAGGCGGACTGCCATACGAAGCTTGATGCTTGTATTGCTTCTCGACAAGGCCAAGATAACCAACGTCGTTCCTGGCTGTCTCTTCCAGACAACATCGCCGCACAAAACATCTGTTGAGATCCTACACCAGCTGTCGACCTTGATACTTCCCTCGCTTGGCGATATCACCCGGCCGCTCAACCATCTGAATTTCAAGGTCGGGCATATGCAGTACCCACTCCAGGAGTACACATACAGTATCGACAATATTGCGATCGAACTCCGCGACGGCATCATTTTGACTCGGCTTGTTGAGCTCATGCTCTACTCTCCATCAACACTGGTTGCGCAACAGGAAGACACAGTCACGGTTACCATGCCTTCCGGCGAACTTTTGACCAGCTCTTTCGACTTCTCGCAAAAGGACAGCTGGGTGCTGTCGCAACATCTCAAGTTTCCAGCTATCGGACGCCCGCAAAAGCTTTACAATGCTCAGATCGCGCTCTCGGCACTTTCCGGTGTCAAGGGTATTCCAATTCAGGCAGTCGGTGGCGTTAGAGCCGAGGATATCATTGACGGACATCGCGAAAAGACCCTGGCACTTCTGTGGTCGCTCGTTGGAAAGTGCGGGCTTGCAAGTCTTGTGGACTGGCCGCAGATTGTGAAAGAGACGGAGCGCTTCCGTGAGACGTGGTATACCCGCTGCGACAACTACCAAGAGCGAGACCTGGATTCGGAAGACGATGATGCGACTACCGAACTTGGAGAGGGGTTGGAATATCATAAGCGCCTCTTACTTTCGTGGTCCCGATCTATCGCTCGCCTCCATGGCCTCCGCGTCACAAACCTGACGACTAGTTTTGCGGACCCGAAGGTACTTGAAGTGATTGTAGATACCTACCTCCCATCGACACTCACCACGACTATGGAGACTGGCAAGATGGGGCTGGTAGCAAAGTTGAAAGCAGTTGGCTGCTCCACATCCTTCATCTCGCTTTTCATGCCGCAACACGCCTCCGGACGTTCTATCCCATCGAAAGACTTTACACTTCTGACTCTCTCATTCCTGGCCTCTCGCCTTCTGCCACTCTCTCTCAAACACCGCGCCGCATCGATCATTCAACTCGCGTACCGCCGTCGTCTTGCTCGCCGCGAGATTGGACAACGCGTTGCTCTCATGAGGATTGCGCATGAGTGTGCCGCTGTTGCACAGAAGAGGGAGCGCTTGGTGCAAGCCGCTACCATCATGCAGCGACGCTGGAGGGGCGTTCTGGAACAGAGGAGACTCCAGTTGGAAAGCGATGTGATGGCTTTCCAGGCACTTGCCAGGGGTTGGGCGATCAGACGATGGGCGAGGAGGGCTACCGCTGGACGGGTTGGAGGAAAGGAGAAGGTGAGGCGGAGGTGGGGCGGGTGGTAATCTTGTGAGGACCATCGTTCTGGTGGAGATCGCAGATTGAAGTTCCATCAAGGTTTTCGGTTTGGTGTTTTGGTGTTGGTTGGGAGAGACATACTCTCGCCTTGGGTCTAGGTGTTTTTCCTTTGGCGTTGGATATCACATCGTACTGTCATGTCGCTTTTTCTGCTTTAATGCTGGATACCTCGGTCTGTTCATCCGTTTACGTTATTCAATACGAATTTGACGACTCTTGATATCAAATCTATGTATGAGGATTGTGATATGTGATACACTCATGTTTGCAATCATCGTGTCTTAGATCCTTCAATCAGTGAATACAGCTGTCTCATACGCTAGACAACGCCACAGTCCTGGAAGGAGCGGAGCTGTGACGCGTGCCCCGGCCAAATGTCGGCTGCGCCAATCGGATTGTTGATGAGAACAACCAAACACAAACGACCAAGTTGCGCCGCCTCCAACAGCGTTTCGCAGCCAACGTCGCCAGGGAGGATGATTCTGGTATACGATTCGCGACACCAGCATGGCATTTGAGGTGTCGTACAACCTCGAGAATGAGCAGCAGTTCTGGGATGGTGAGAGCGCGCCTGTGTTTTGTAACCCCACCAAAGAGCGTTCCTCGTGCTAACCTCCCAGCAGAGCTCGATGATATCGTGTCGACGCGCTGTCAGGAACAGGATCACGAGATAATCGATAATTCCCTACGCTCCTTCCTCAATGTCACCACAAACTACCAGGGTATTGCTCCCTTTGCCGCCTGCGCTGATCCACGTTGACCTCGAGCAGCCGAGTATCTCCAGACCGACTACAGCGTTGCGAAATGCGTCTTCCGCTTGCTGGAGGGTGACCTCTTCCTTACGAATAAGGAGTATGTTCGGCGACAGATAATATATTGTCTGCTGCAAGTACGTGGAAGGACATATCGAGACAACAACGGGCAAGGCTGATTGGACGTTAGGAAGAGGACAACCCCACGCTTCACATGGTCACTGCATTTCTCCTGTACGATGGTCGCAACAGTAGAGAGGATGCGACAATCTTCGAGATGATGCACGCAGAAGGCACCTTTCCCCGACTCGTCGAGTTGGTGCAGATGGACACCGTGCAAGAGGATTTGAGGTTGCATCAATTGCTGCTGGAGCTCTTATATGAATCCTCGCGGATACAGCGGCTCGGCCGGGAAGACTTCTGTATGTTGGAGACCTACCGCTATTTTGTATTGCTCATCAGCATGTCGACGAGTGCTGATACATTCCAGTGGCCGTCAATGATGCTTTCGTCCTGTACCTTCTGCAAATTATAGAAGGTGCTTCTGACGACTCCGAGGATCCTTACCATTACCCGGTAATACGCGTTCTGGTCAGTACAACGATGCGTGTCCTGCAATCTATAACTAACCAACCAATAGCTGGTTCTGAACGAGCAATATCTTGTAGCTTCCACTACCTATCACCAAAACGGACGACCCGGAGTAACGAACCGCATCATCAAGGCTCTTTCGAGTCATGGCATGACTTACAAGACCTTCGGGTGCAACCTGATCCTTCTTCTCAACCGAGAGTCCGAAACTTCCCTCCAATTGTTGATTCTGAAAGTTCTCTATCTTATCTTCGGAAACCGTTCGACTGCAGAGTACTTCTACACAAACGATCTGCATGTCCTTGTTGATGTCATTCTTCGTAACCTGATTGACCTTCCCCACGACTCTCCCGCTGCGAACGCTTTACGGCATACATATCTTCGTGTTCTACACCCAATCTTGACGAACAGTCAAATCAGCAAGCCACCGTACTACAAGCGCGAGGATCTTTTGAGACTCCTCCACCTCCTCGGATCGAGCGGTACGCACTTTGCGCCCGTCGACGAAACCACCCAGCGACTCGTCAAACGTTGCACAAGCGTGCGATGGTTACAGCCGCCGGTAACTGAAGCGAACGATGGTTACGATGGTCCACATTCTCCAACTGAACATATGGTCAACGGCCAAAAGGAGCTGGCGCGCCGTGCCCTGGGCATGAATGTACAAGGTGGCGGAGAGAGTTCAAACAGCGTTTTCGAGATTGCCACGCACACTGAGAAGCCCGGTGTTCAAACGCCAAGTATCGGAAAGATGGTGCAGTGACACAGTCGTCATCAGTAGGGGGCATGGTAAATCTCTATTGTGTGGGTGTCTCCATGACCATTACGTCGTTGTTGTATCTTATCTGTTTTGAAGTTTCTGTGCGATTTTCCATGCAATGCTAGCGATTTTCTTGACTTTGAACACAAACTTGCATGGGTGGCGCTTTGGATGTGTAGCGTTCTGTTCTGCTTTTTTATTTCTATCGCCTGCATTGTTTACTAGCGCTTCATTTGTTCAATCCCCATCACCTTTCTAGTCCTATATGACGACAGTAAACAGAGCACTTAATCAACCAAGATACATCCTTCGATATACTTGTTTTCCTTGCAACGCAACCCACCACTAACAAGCAGCGTGCACATTGACACACAGCACGTAGAACCTAGCAACTTAACCACAATCAAAGCACCTCAAGCCAAGACCAACTCTATCACCATCTACCCACATCCTCCCCTCCTCCCCCTCCCTTCCACACACAGATTAGGCACCGTGTATGCGTACAAGCCCACTCCCCAACCCCCAGCAACAGCCCCACTCCGCAGCACAACGCACTACAGCCACACAAACACAAACTCCCACACCAAGACCTTGGCGTAACCGCCACTGCATACGCACGCCCGCGACAAGAACGGCGGGGCCTTGGCTCCCGCGCGCCACTTTCGCCCTGGCGTAACATCGCGTTCGGCGGGCGAGGGCGTAGCGCGGGATCGGCGGGTACGACGGGTGGTTTCTGTGGCGGGTGGGAGGGTGTGTCTTGTCGTGGTAGGGCGCTGGGCGGGGAGGGAATGAGTCGTGGATGGATGGGGAGTGTGGCTTGGCTTGGCTTTTGGGGGTATGGAAGGGATGTGGATGTGAATGGAAATATGGAAACGAACATGAGAATCGATAGTGGATAGTGTAGTACGAGGTTTCTAGACCCCTTGAGAATCTGGTAGAGCCGTGCTGATGGTGCGAGCAACCCACCGGACTTTACTGCTGTTCCGGTACCCCATCTCCACCCAGATACCTCACCTCCAACGCATGATTTTCGAATCATCTTAGTCTCAGTCTGGCTGGCAAGGCGTGTTAGGTCTCCTCTCCGACTCCGCCCGCAGATTTGCCTTGCTCTTCCGCTCTCCTGATTGAAGCGGATGGTGGATCAAGGGGTACCATTCGCGGCTAGACATCGCGCCATCGCTCGTAGATACGGGGTACGCTACCCCGCCGCCACTGCCGTGTCGAAGGGCTTTGTGGAGGTGGCGGTCCGAGGCACTCAATATGAGGGGCGGGGCGAATGGGAGTATATCTGGAGAGGAGAGGAGTGGAGTGGATACCATTTGCTCGTGAAGAGAGTGCGAAATGTGCAGATCCTGTGGTTGAGCTTTTTGTGGTCGTTGAGGGGAGTGGATGTGGTTCAGCCAGTGAGGAGTATAGGGTTAGGGAACCGTTACCAGTCGTCTCGAGCAAGAATGAGGCCATTGTCGGACTAAGTCTTCCAGAACACCGTTAGGTCGCGACCGCGCGTTGAACAGAGCCGCGCGTTGGGCCGGGTCTGGGGCCATTCATCGCGTAATCGAGTCGTGAGATACTGGTTGTGCTGTGCCTGTCAAGAGCGTTAGTGGTACGTGATCAGCACTGGTCGATAGGCTCAACCGAATGAATCTAAGGATATTATAAGAAGCTGTCTGATTACAAGACCCGTCAGAGAGATCGCAGTGTAGAGTAGTCTTCGGCAAGACGCCATGTATGGAAGCGATTGAACAAGAAGTAATCGATTGTATATGTAAACTGATGCTCAACCCCAAGGGGGAGCTCCATGCGCCTACACGTCTAGCTCTACAAGTCTAGCGTCTATCGCATGGAGGAGGTATCATAGAAAAACATGCCAAGAACAAACCCTTCGTATCTTAACGCCTCTGAACACCTTGCTAAGTCGAATTGGAGACCAAACAAAAAAATCTTCTCAAACCATTCGCTCCGGCGTGTCGACCTTCTCTGACGATACACGCGGGGAAGGAACCATACTGGGAACACGAGTTTGCGCTTGCGAGAGAGCTTCGAGGTATCCGACGCTGTTTGCGCGTGTGTCGGTCCTGTCGAAGGTACGCGCAAGCTTGAGGGGAACAGTGTCACCGTCCTTGCATGGAAGATGCCATCTAGAAACTAGCATGCAGGCTAGCGAGAGCACCAGACTGGTACCTGACCACATTTGCACTGTGATGTACGTCTCGTACTTTGAAACCAAAAAACCGGCGATGACGGGACCAACTAGAGCTGGAATGGCGGCGAAGCTGTACATCATTCCGGTCCAGTGTCCGAGCTTTGACTTTGCATAGTGGGCTGTTTCCGGGGTGGTGTATGTGCGGCTCAGGATGTTGGCGATGGAGGCAGGAGGCAGACCAATGACCATGCCAGAGAATATACCGAACACCACACAAAAGGCAATGGCATCCGTCTCAGATCCGGCCAGCGTCCAGAGGATCAATGTAAGAAGTGAAGCACCGAACTGAGCGCCAATGTGCATGTTCATTGGGCCGATGCGGTCGGAGAAATGAGCTAGAGTCATGCGACCCACAGTCGAAGACCCGTTCATAATGGTCAACAGCCAGAACGTCTGAAGAGGCTTATCGTTGGATTCCTGTATGTGAACCGGTGCAGCTGAACCGTCGCGAGTGCCATAGCCTCGTGTTGCCGCCCACTGAAAGACGTTAGTATGTGAGACACGATGGGAGAACCACAAGGTACATACCTCTTCAAGGTTGAAGAAAACAGGGTAAAAGCCCAGAAACATGAAGGCAACGGCGGCCGTAAACCACCACCAAGCCTTGTTGCGGAAGGCGTCGGTATCGAACCAAGTCCGGATGGCTGTCCAGCTCTCCGGTTTGTGAGTATGGTGCTTTGGGTTTGGTGTGGCAAACAGAAACGAGTAAATGCACGTTACGGAAGTCAACGTCGCGACGTAACGCACTGCGATGTTGAACCCCAGAGCCTCGATCAGATAGCGGAGCATAGTGGGGTACACAACTCCAGCAACACTGGCACCGCATGCGACGTACCCTACAGCGAGGCCTCTTCGCTTGGGAAACCATGTGGAAGCAACTGTACTAAGTCAGTAAGGGAAAATTTATGTGTGGATAGAGTGAAGCTTACTTTGAGAGCTGGACACGAAGAAGGGTGCCATTCCAAGGCCCACGATAAGACCCTGTGTTACCCAGATTAGAGCAAAGTTGCCGTCGGTACCGTCGGCTGGATGCACAACGGAGAGCATGAAAAGACCGAAAGGTACGAGGAATGCGCCGACTCCAAGCACTTGACGGAAGTAGCCAGCATCAAGCAGGCGTCCAACCGGGTTACTGAGAGCTAGTACAATGAAGCATTGCGTAGATCCAATGAGGTTAAGTTGCAGTTGATCGACATGACGGAGGGAATTGCCAACGTAGTATGAGGACCAGGTGCCGTAGGCGTTCACAAGACCCCACGAATTGAACATAAGGAAGAAGCAGCCCAGCAGGCAGGCGTATGCTCGCCATGTCCTTGGCCAGTCCGGTTCGTCGTCTACAATGTGGACCGTGGTGGATTCCGAGGGGTGTCGCATTGATGGCGTGGTGTCTGAGGGAGCGTTTTGTAATGGCAGTGTCCACAGACTGCCTTTTCTGTTGTCCTTCTCGGAGGGAGAGATCATGGCGGCGGGTGGTGCTTCCATTAGATAGGATGGGTTATACCGAAGGAGGAAGGAATGCCCAGAGGAGATGGGAAAGAGCTTGTTGCTACCGGAAAGTTCCTTCGTGGGTGCTCAACACGTGGGTGTTGGAGGGGGCGTGCTTAATGGATAGTAATGATACCGTTTTATGCATGGTCGAGGAACGGGGTGATCAAATATAAGTACAATGATACTCGTGTGGCTCGAAACCTTCGGTCCGGGGTATAGCCAGGATGTCTGACTGACTGGTGGATTGTATGAGATCCACTTCCCCTAAGTTTGCGCGTACCCTCAACACGGACGACGTGTGAATGGCTCCGATTCATAGTGACGTGCTAGTCTACCCGGCCGTGCAATGATGGAGCGAAAACACAAGCACTCCAAGGACGATAGGAGACCTTCCGTGGAAAGCCAAGACCAAAATAAAGCATCCGTCCAATTCAAAGTACGTGACTCCGCTCTTTTGGTGCTGTCGATCAGAACTCGCCTTCCCACATGCAGCGAAGAAAGTGTGCACTGGCCAGATACCGGGTGATGCTCGGCCACATCTGGATAGACGTCTGATGGATGGATGTTAGCGTTGGGCATACCCCATGGGCTTTTGGAAGTGGATAAGAAGATACCCACTTCCATATCACGTCTTCCTACTGTGGGCCATCAGGGATTCTGTGTGAGATTTCTGGTGGTCGTCATTAGGTGCTCGGCGTTGCGCCACTGCCAAAGCATTGTGCGTAACCATGGTAGACGGCGGGCGAGACTTTCGGGGTACATTGGTGCATGTACACTGCCATCACGCATTCATGTGTGTAGACCGCAGTAGCTGATAGGCCGTCGGTGTGGCAATTTGGTTCACAAGTGTGATGACGCCCAGCAACACCCAAAGCCTCAATCAGCAGCGGACCGTCGCAGAAGCTTGCTTGGCATAAGCGCGGCGGAAAGCATGATCGACAATGTGGGTTCCACTAGCAAGTCATGATGTATCATTCTGACTTGGCCCTCTCCACTCCCTATCAGGAGCAAACCGCCTTGTCCTCTCTGGTACAACCGCTGAGCTTTTGGACAGTATCTGTCTGCGAGCAAAGAACTCTGGAAAGATTACGTGGAGGTACTGACGGGCTGTGCGAGGCGCAATCAAGCCTACCTCAATGAACTACTACGTCATCAGAGTCTTCGAGCCTTCGAGTCGTCGTCTTGCTCAACAACATAGCCGCCAAGCCCGACGTCGTAACAAGATCGGCTTGCGACCTAACTCTCGAGGGTCCGTTGCTTCGTTATCTTGGACACAGCCTCACCCGTGTGGCCCGGAATTTAATGATCGACGTAGTTGAGATTCACCGCCAATCTGATGCGTCAGAATCCATTTCTTAGCTGGTCGTCATTTCGTGGCGGAAAAGCGAAACATGCCAACGCGCGGAGCCGCATGGCATCCGGGTTGGCAATGCGGTGGTAATGAGTACATCGTTTCCGGTGCGGATGGACTCGTACACTTGCATGACTGTATCCCTACATTCGGTGTACGATGGCCACCCGATGATACCAGACAGCGATCAGTAAGATGGAGGGTCCCAGTCGCCAAGAAGACTGTTAAGAGCTGGTAGCGGGAACAATGACGGAAGAAGGCGTACGAGAGACGACACGACGCGTATGGAAGATACCGGAAGAGAGACGGCCGAGATGAAAGATGATCTGCGTGGTGTTGAGGCTTGCCCAGCAAAAATGCCAATACACTTTCCACCTAAATTATCACTCAGCCTCCTTTCCGACGGCGCTCTGACGGCATTTGTACTATCGCCCAACTTTCTTTTGCGCATGCTGACTCGCGAAGCGCGTTGCGGCCTGAACTCGCCGTTGTCTTATCTCGAAACGGTTTTGAGAACAACGACCTTTGTTATTGCGTTCAACTACGTCAATAATACCACACAAAGCCTCGTTCGTGGGGGAAGGATCTAGATCGTAGAGATAAGATCATAAGATCTCCGCCACCTCGACAATGCGAACGATCCTGATATGCAGGCCAGAACGCTTCGTAGCAAATCCTCCACGACGTCATTGATAGTTAGTTTTGGTTACTTTCTCCATACGCCTAGCATCAATTATAGAGTGCCGTTTTCTGGGGTAAAACGGCAAAGCCGACTTACAGTTTGTCCGCCGGCAATTACTGATGTACGTGCCGAGGATCTCCCAGGAGTAATCACAAGGATTGACGGACGGAAGATCTCCGACGAAAGCGACCCGTGCCTATCATCATTGGATTCGAAACATCCACGGGAGGACGGACTCCCGAAACTCTGCCCAGCCGTTAGATTGCTCATGCCAAGTGTTGCAGGCTTGTTGCATCTACAATAACTTTGGACATCTACACCTTAATTTATCATACACCTTCGCAAGCCACTGTGGTCCAGTCACTGCGCCTCTGCTAGTGATTGTGCAGTTACGCAAGTTTCTACGGTAGACCTTCCCAGAAGAGGAACACAATACCTATCCAAATATATCAGAACTACCACCGAGGCACACGATGGAAAGTGGTCGCGTGCTCAGAGCAACTAGCTGAACTAAGCCAAGTATCATCACGTGCCCGTCCTTCATCGCATGGTCCGGTGGTACGTAGAGAACACAATTCAACACTGATGATAGAAGCACAGACGGCAAGCAAGAGGAATGTGACAAGTACCCAATCATAAAGGCTAGGTACATCCACCAAATTATATTTCCCTATCCTACCCACCAACAAAACCATCAATCAAATAGCGCCAACAACCCACCCAACAGCCTTCTCATGCGCCTTGAAGATCCCCTTCAAAGCATAATCAATAAGATCCTTAGTAACATCCTCATCCACCGCCACATTTACACCAACCTGCTTCTCCAGCGGATTGACACCAAACACGAAACTCACGTCCTTGGGGCTCTGACCGGCCTGCACCGCGTTGGACAGGTTATGCACTTGCTGGTTCTGGACCTGGTAAGTCACATTGCAGTAATCCGGGCGCGAAACAAGCGACCAGTCGGTGGTTGAGACTGTGATCTGGCCCGTCACATGGCTCAGATCGACCGTCTGGCCGTTGACAGTCGTGCTGCCCGAGAGGCTGTACTTGATGTAGATTTCGGGGCCGTGGCCGGTGTCGAAGAGGGATTGTGAGGAGAGGTATGCGCTGCCTATGTAGCCGTTGTGGACGTAGGATGTGGCTTCCATGGGGAACATGGATTGTTTGTCTGCTTCCTGTTGCCGGCGGGTTAGTATGTGGGGGTCTGATTATGGGCGTGGACGCACTGATGTGTTCTTGTAGAGAGATTTGTGGGGGCCTTGGAAGCCTGGCCACCAGTCTGATCCCGGGACGGTGAAGGTAACGTCTGTGACGACGAGCTTGACGCCGGGGGGTAGGCCGCGAGCATAGAGCGCTTGTGTGATGTTTCCGGGGGCCATGGTAGCGATGGAGAAAGATATGTTGAAGAGATGGCACGGAGGAAGAGAAGGCTATGCAAAGCTTTAAACCATTCAACTCACCTATACTCCTTGATGACAGCTAAGAGATAATTACTACTGCTCAAAGAAGAAACCCCCTCTGAAGTGTGCAGCCAGATCACGTACTACAAGAAAACTACGCTCTACATCCCCTGCTCAACTAACCAAATAAAGCAGCTACGATCCATCTCTTACCACTTCAAGGACTGGATCAAACCGGTACAAACCAGACCATACGGTATTCAGCCGCAATACCCACTGCGGCTGAAGCCCAGCTGAAGAACATCGATATTGGAGCAACCAGAAATGGACTATACTGCATAACGAAGGGGACTACAACAGAGAATAGACGTACGCGAGGAGGCTGCTTTGTATTGCGCGCTTCGCATTGGCCTGTGAGAATATCGTGGCTGGCTGAACTATGCAGCGGCCTCTTGGTTAGTCGGAATACCCGGAACTAAGTAGGCTGCAGTGAGGTCTTGCAACAGCTTGACAACTACATGTAAAAACTCTGTGGAATTTCTACGCCTGATGTGTTGTTTGTATACGTCTACTACCTAGCATGTTTGTCTTTGTAAGTACTTTCAATCTTGTAGTTTAGGGTTTGTGGTGATGCTGCAAAGAACGGGCCTTGATTCTGGGTATTCCGACTAACCGAGAGGCGGCCTCGGTTCGGTTCGGTTGTTCCGCGGTGTTGCTACTATGACAAGAATTTTAAGGTACGTCTTGTCGTTCCTTGATGAAGAGCTTCTGTAGTGAATGTTCTTCTACGTTTCTATATCTAACTAGTATGCACATTCAAGCTACCTCCTGATGGCAATAGGCATATATACTGTACTACACCTACCATGATACTGCTAGTTCATTGTACACCAACCCCCCCATAAAGCCAGGGACAGAACTGATATAATATCATAACCGCATACAACTGCGCGAATAAAGCAAGAAAATTGTGTTTAGGTGAAGTTGTACAAGTGCACAACTCAACCAACTCCCCACTATGGGATACCAATAGTCTCTCCTGTCGTAGTTTGTATGTAAACGTACTACGACTTGACTCCCGCCATCAATAGCATTCCAACCAAGAACAACCCCACGGGGGTCATGCACATAAACACCAGTAGTGGGCCACGAGCATTTGCTGAAGTATCGTCTAGAAATTGGATTAGAGACGTACCTTTACCAGTGTGAAAAGGAAGGAGAACATCGACTGTGCTGCCCATCCCCTTCCTTATACTAGCACTGTTAAACACATGTAATGGTGCCAAGTAAACATCCTATTCTTTGCGTTCTACATAACCGCGCAGTGCAGGGTGTATATCCTTTCCATTCATTCATTCTATCCACCTCACCCGTTTGCAACCCAACCCGACCCACAGTCACATTCAACACATAACAAGAAAGAAGCCGTCGATCAGACAAGACAAGACACCGCCATCTTCCCACCTCCCAGAACGCTCATCTTAGTCTTATATCAATCTCCTCTATCCTTGCCTTGCATTGTAGCCCACCATAGAGTAAAGAAAGTGTACATGTCAGATAGATGTCCAACAGCTGTCTCAATCAAGTAAGAATAGAAGCGAAGGAAGCTGTACTGTATTTGATCTCTCCCATTTCCCCCTTCTCTACTTACACATCCACTCCACCACCACTGGAGACTTGTCCAGTAGTAATAGACCACAAGCAAGCCACACATCAGCCCAACTACCTCCGTCATTCCCTCCTCGTCATGAGAAGTGCCTTACCCAACCATCATCAAGAACCTAAATCAAGTTCAGCGACATCAAGTCACACACGCATGAAGAGAAGAGCGTAAAGATAGATATAATAGTAATTCATGACGCTAAACACGCTAGCCCATCCCGAACCCAAAACGCCATGCTCCAACCGCTCATAACGGCGACGACAACGACGAATAAGCGTATCCGCGCCGCACAGCCTTGCGTAAAAAAAAACGAAAGAACCAAACCACCAGCGTCATATGCCTGACGCATTACCTAACCCAAGTCGCGTAATCAAACGCCCTTAATAGCCACAGTCCGCTCACTATTCAGCCTCTCCGCATTCCTCTCATGGCTCTCCTTCTTACAATCCTCCAGACCCTCACACTTATGATCTTCCAACAACCGGTGCTTGCCGCAGTAATGGCCGTCGCAGAAGCCGCAGTCGCCGACGATGCGCTGGGCAGCGTCCTTGCACTGTTTGAACGAGCAGCGGATTTTCTTGGGCGGCATGCCGCCGCGCAGGGGCAGCGCCATGTGCAGGGTCGAGTTGGGCGCGATGGCGTAGTCGGCTAGCGTTGTGGAGGGCGAGGTGAGGTGCTTGCCGGCGTGCACGAGGCGCAGGTCGGAGGGCTCGGCGAGGTTGGTGCGGAGCGCGAGGAGGGTGCGCAGCGTGGATATGGATGTGTTTGGGGGGATGGAGAGGGGGATTGCTGTGGGGGGTGGTTAGCTGGGTGCGGTGTGGATGGATGTGTGGACGGAGGACTTACTGCTTGTGCCGGATACGTTCTTGACGAAGATCTGCATTGTGTCCTCGCTGTCGGAGCTGCTGGAGCTGATGCTGGAGATGCTGGACGAGCGACGCATGATGGCGGTGGTGGTGGCGTTGTTGAGTGAGTGCGGTGTGGTGTTGTAATGCGTGGTGATGAGGCTGTGGTTGGCGATGACGGATGGGGGTGGCGCAAGGTGGACTCGGGGCAGATAACGGAGATAAGTGGTGGTTGAGAGGTATCGGTAGAGTGATGAGTGTAAAGGTAGGCAAAAGGCAAGGCAAGAGTGATCAAGGTGCTCAGGATGAAGTAGGCAGCAAGATATACCCGAACAATGACAAATGGGGGCGGAGGGAAACCGTGGGCGTGCGAGTGAAGTGTACCAGAGAAAGAGAGGCAAAGAGCACGCCGACAACAATGCACGCGCCTCATTCTTTCCACACCATGCACACGACACGACTCGCTAGAGCATGAAGTCTGACCAACCTACTTGCCCTGAAATTCCACCGTGTTCCATGACCCGACCTGACACTGACCTGATCCCAAGCCCTGCATCGTATTGTGTCGTCGTGCATCGCCAGTCAGTCCCTGCAGGAACACTCACCATTCCACCCTTTGATATCGCCATCGCTTGCACTGATGTAGTCTTCACCATGCCTTTCACCCAGCATTACTATCCTTTAGTTGTACATGCATACATATTCCCTTCACAATACACAACACTGCACAACACAACACCCACCCATCCATCTAATCCCGTACCACACTCACTCCCTCGCCACACCTACCCTCTGCATGTGCCACGTACCCCCTCCCTCCCATTCCAGCGACACGCCACTCGAGATTGCATCGCATCGCATGCGCTGCACCGCACGACAACCCGTCGTCCAAGACATGTCGGTCATGGAACACGTGGACCGCCGCGCCTGGCGCCCGGAAGTGGCGGGTTGATGGTGTTGTGATTGGTGCGCGTGTCGTGTCATGTCGTGTCGTGTCGTATCGTCTAGTCCGTCGTGTTGAGATGTCGGTGTTGATGTTGGCGGTAGGTGTCGCGTGTGCAATGTCCAGAAGTGAATACATACATCGTGGTGTTGGGGTCCCAGTCTCTCCATCTCGATTTCATCAATCATGATGTGTGTTGGCGAGGTGAGATCAGTACTCTACTCAAGACTTGAGCTATTGATAGATTTCGCATATGCAGACAAATACAAGTCTACTTTCTCGTACATCAAGTCCACTCTCACCCTCAACATCGATCGATCGATTGATACACACAACCCACCCACACAATCAAGAACAAACACCACAACCCACCCACTCCCGCACGTAAATCCCCAAACAGCCCATCTGCCGAAAAAAGCAAAGTAATAAAGTTCCTCGCCCGTTCCAGAAGCCCTCCGAAGACCCTGAAGTCAAGAAAAAGCAAAAGAAAGAAAGGAAAAGGAAGAACGAGCATCACGTCACGGCTTTTGCGAAATCCCGAAAGAAACTCCGCCTTTGAAACTTTCAGAAATTCGATACGATTCACTTCAATTCAGTTCAATCCAACAACACCAAGCCATCCGTGAATATCCTACACACCCCTCCCCCCTCCCCCCTCCCCCCCCAAAAACCTACAACATACTCTTAGGAAACCCCCTAAACGCCTGCCTAACCCCCATATCCCCCAAAATCTCCTCCGTCCCGCCCAAAATCGCATCAAATTTATACGTGCGATGAAACTCCTCAATCACCTTCCCCATACCAGACTGCGTCAGCCCGCGGCCACCGAAAATATTAACGCCCTCGGAGGCGATTTCCTGCGCGGCGCGCGTGGCGTGCGCTTTGAGCAGGCCGATGGGACCGCCGAGGTGCTTTGCTTGGTCGGCGTAGGACATGTGGTTCATTTGGTAGGCGGTGGATTCTAGCCAGGCTTGGGTGGATTCGACGAGGCCGAGCATGCGTGCTAGTCTGTTGGGAGTAAATATATGTATGGGGAGGGGGGAAGATGACGGACTTTGCGCGTATAACAGGCTGATCGATGAGTTTCTTTCCAAAGACTATGCGCTGGTTGCACCATTTCATGCATTCCTCCGTCACGGTGCGCATGTTGCGCGCCACGGCGCAGACCATCATGAAGCGCTCGTGGTTGAAGTTCGACACTGCCGCAATATCAGTTTCTTTGTCCGGTCCTAACAAACATCCCACAGACGTGATGAGATGGGAAAGGAAAGGACAAACTTACTAATAACCGTAAACCCATTATCCTCCCTCCCGAGCAAATGATCCACCGGCACAACCGTATTATTAAACTCCACAAACGCCGTCGCCGCCGTCGTAGAATAGCTAGTCTTAATCTGCTTCGTCTCGACCGTCTCATCGCGCGGCACAACAATAACACTAAACCCCTTCTCCGTCTTGCACCCAGTGACGAAGTAATCGCAAAACATGCCGTTAGTAATCCACTTCTTCGTGCCCCGAATAACATAATGCTTCCCATCCTCCGTCTTCTCAGCCGTAGTCTTCAACCCCGCAACATCAGACCCAGCAAACGCCTCCGTAATCGCAAGGCAGATCTTCTTCTGCCCACTCAACACCTCCCGCGCAATCCTATCTTTCAAGTCGCCTTCAGGCATCCACTGCAGCACAGCCGTAAGCGAAATCACCATACCAGACATATTCCCATCCTGGAACCCGCGTGCATTAACCCGCGCGCCCTCCTGCGCAAACACAAGATCATGCAGGTAATCAAACTCCTCGCCCTGCATAACACCCAGCAGATTCTTCCCATGCAGATGTTTCCCCGGCCCGAGGCGCATGGCCAGCATATGGTTCGCGGCCATGCGGTCAATCATGCCTTGGCTGATATACTCGCCGCTTTTCTCCAGCGCGCGGCCCTCGGGCCCGAGGTGCTCGTCGACAAACTCGCGGATTTTGCGCTGCAGCGCGCGGTGGCTGGCGGTGTAGTACGGGCTTTTGAACTGCGGGCGGAGCCAGAGGGGTTCGGCGTAGGGGACGGGGCTTAGGTCGCCGATTTGCGGGACGATGACTTCGGGGGTTTCGCCGTCGATGGTGCCGATGCATAGGCTGGAGTATTTTGTCAATACTTCTTGCCGGTGCAGGTTGTAGAATGCGGTTGTGGCGTCTGTGCCGGCGAACTGCTCGAGGACGACTGAGCCGCCGGGGTGCGCGTCGACGAAGTCCGTCAAATCATAGACAGAGTGATCAATAATGCACCACAAATCATCAATGGAGTTGTGTTTAGCAACAGCATCGCGTGTGTGTGTTTCGGTGGTAGCCATGGTTAGGAATGATTCAGAACTTGCAATGAGAGGAAATGCGTTGGGAAAGATGGGACGAAATGGATAGGGGAGATGGACAGGAATAGCGATCTGTTTCTACATGGGTAAAACTCCTGATTCTGCATGTTTTCGCTCCTCGGCAAAAGTCCAGCTTGCTCCGCACTGCGCTCCCGCGTTGGTGGAGTCGCGGGTTTGGGGTAACAGCCGAGGCACGTTGCGGTAAGCAGAGCTGGCGCGTTGCTCATTCGTCGAACCTCAACGGCTGAGCGTTCTAACGCCATGTGTTTAGCGTCGTAGATGGACGAAAGGCGTTTGATGGGAAGTGTGAATTGGACGTGAGAAATTACACAATATAGCGAAGATGAGCAGTGCGGCAGTCCTCGATAATCCAATGCAACTAAAACTCCACCCCGCCTCACTATGATGCTAAAATATGCAAGCACAATTCTCACCGTAAAACAACTTCACAGGCCCGCTCAAGTTTAATTAGCCAAACATGTCCGCTCCACGTATATACACCTCATTCTCCACAGCCCAAGGGTGACCTGCTCCACACCACAACGAAGAACCCTAGTCCTCCCCCAGCATCTCGTCCCTCTCCCTGCAAACCACACAACCCCGTCCAACTGCGCTCTTGATTACATGTGCATGCGCCACCTTGGCACCCACGCTCCTGCTCCATCTTCCTCCACTATCCATCGCATCATTCGCGAGCTGTTGCTGTAACGTCGTAGCAACACTAGCACTAGCGCTCGTCTTGGGCAGTAGACATGAAAGATGGAACACGTGCCCACATGCAAACCCGACAAGTGTATCGCGGGACGGCGGCAGTGGACCATCGATGATATCTTCCTCCTCCGCGGTGGGCAACATGAACGGACGACGACAACCCGTGCAATGACCCGGCGGCGCCTCCGCTTCTGGAGCTTCTGGCGCAGGAGGATCGGGGACTGGGGCGTTGTTTGTCGATAGTGCGGCCGTGGTGTCGTTGTCGTTTTGTACCTTTGCAGCAGTCTTCGGATCTACACCCTTAGGCTCGATATCGATTCTCTTGCCAGGACCCGTATGTGTATGACCCTTGTGCGCCTCCAGCTCATCGTCACAAGCTTCGACCTCGAATTTGACACCACGCTTCTGTCCGGCCCGGAGCGTGTCCATGCCTGCTGCCACTTCACCTCGGAGGACCCTGGCGACACCCTCGGAGATGGAATGTTGGATCTCGTATTCGCGGACCATGCGACCGATACCATCTCGAAGACCCTCAATTTCGAGACCTTCGGGAATGCGACGGACGAGTTTGATGGGGTCGATTGCTGTGCCGACCTCCTCCAGCAAGCCGCGGATGAAGTGTGGCTTGTCCATGGAATATTCGAGCAGATCGTTCCATAGGTCTGGATCGTCTTGTTCTTTGGCGAAAGAGATAGCGAAGCTGACGTCGGATAGTTTTTCGATGATCAAGTACAGAGCGCGTTTTGTCTGGCCCGTCTTTGAGAGAATATGTCTGCAGCGTGTTAGGGGTATTCCAAAAAACGAGTGGATATACTTACACAAGCTCTGGAATGTACTCCCTCCTCTCGCAAATAGCGGTAGCCTTGTTCAGATCGAAACTCTGCGACTTCCGCAGGTACTCCATTAGCAGTGGACGGTCGTACTCGGCAAACAGCTCAACCATGAGGTCTGCAAATGCTTCCGCCACAATTTTCCCATCGGCAGCAAGACGGTCTTCAGCTACACGCTCCTTGGCTGTCTTGCCAGTACGTTCGTGCATCTCCGGCTTCCACAGACGTCGAAGGTAGAAGAACAGGAACGGTTGGAATGTCGGTCCGCGTTTTTGTAATTGATTCACGACGTCTTCTGTTGGAATTGTGCCTCTGCAGCCCTCTTCAACAAGAACGCCGATAGCTTCTGTTGACGTCTCTTCCAGTTCTGACAAAGGCGCGGATTCCATCTGTTCTTTCGAGACGCGCATCAGAATGAACCCAGGGATATCGTCTCTGACCGCCTCCACAAGATGGAAGTCGCGTATGAGACTCATCGCCGCATCTGCGTTCTGCAGACGAATATAACATCGAAGTGCTTCTCTTTGTCGGCCGCTCGCGAGGAACAATTTCGCAAGACCGTCCTGTAGGATTCGCCAGTCCCGGCCTTGCACATTCTTCTCGATCGACTCTTCCGTCACGTCGCCAGCGGATAGTTTGCTCTTGATAGCCTCTATGACGCTATTAATGTCGTAAAGTTCTGGATCCCAATCCTCGAGTAGGTGCTTGAAGCGTATTCGATCATTGATGATGTAGTGGCCCAGCACAACCTCATAGACCATCGATGGAAGTGGCGGCTGCATCGGTTTCGCGGGAACGTACGGAGATATCTCATTGAAGTGATTTGTCTGCGCAAACTTCCACACCCAGTGCTCCCATCGTGAAGAAGTACCAAGAACGCGACCGGCGATTTTACCCGCCTGTTTCCAGTCATCAGAGCTGACGAGCTGCTGCACCCACAAATCACCGATGCGTCGCTTCTCTTTCTCGACGGCCGAGTTCAGATTCGTCCGTGTCGCAGAGAGGGTTGTCTGAGAGTCGCTCTCGTCGGCGAAGAAGTCCTGCAAGCTTCCTTTCTTCTTCAAGGGGCTGTCAATCGGGGACGATTCCGAAGGTAACTGTGAAGGGGATGTGATGATTTCTGGATGGTCCTCCAGAAGTTCCCATGCGTCCTTGTAGTTTTCGTGTTCCAACTCCCAGTTGAAGTGATCCGAGAGTTCTCGCTTGATAGCCAAAACGCAGTCGTACGGGCTGTGGATGAACACCTTGAGGCCAGCCGTGGCGGCATTCTGATGGATCTGTGGTTGTCGCTTCGCCGGTGCTGATGATCCAGAGTTTCCCCCGGCGCTTGCTGAAGACATTGAAGGTGCTCTTGAGAGCGGCCTAGGCTCTGAACTAAATGGCATGTTGAACACGCTGGCTCCGGAGCTGAAGACTCGGGCTGCACCAGCGCCAACGTCCCAGATGCCACCGCCAATAGCTTCCAGCGCACTTTTCTGAGCAAGAGTCATTGTCTTGGGGTGCGGCACATACAGTGTACCCAAGTGGTAATCAGCAGCAGAAAGCGTCTCGTAGCGACTGACAGTCAGAGAGTCTACTTCAATCTCGTCCGAGGTTGCTGCATCGATGAGTTTGAGCTCGGGAGAGAGACCGTTTGCTCTTCGGTTCATGCCACGCCGTGGGGTTGTCTCAGCCGAGGCAACGGGGTTGTTGTCGTCGTCATGCGTCCGATATGCAAGAACAAGAAGTAAGGAAGGGGTATAAAGCGATATGCCAGAAACAACACAATCGTCGAAACGAAGGCTAGGGTAATGTTAGTCGGGGCTGGAGAGTGGGTGTGGGAGACGTACAAATGAATAATCTCGGCGCTCCCGACCGACCTCTCGCCAACATCTCTGCCAACACCGGCCCCACCAGGTTGAACATGAACAATCCAGGCAGCATCCCCCCATCCGATGACCAGCTTTTCAGTCTTCTTCGTTTTGGTCGCTTTTACAGGTTCGTGCACCCGATGGTGGGGGAGCGTAGATTCAGACTTGCCTGCGCTGTGTCTCCCATTCATGCTCATGATCGCATCGTCGTCAGACTCGAGTGATTGATCGTCAACCCACTCCATCCGTGCCTTCCAAACGCCAGCCATGTCTTGCCAGATTCGGCGATTTGGCTTGTCGATAAAACCGATCCTCTTCCAGGCGGAGTCGGAGTCTGCGCCGTCCAGGTATAGGTTGGTACGCATGATCCGAATGCCATGTTCGTTGGACCACGCCACGTATTTGCCAGATAACGACCACTTGATGGCACTGATGGCGCCTTCCCCAGAGTGCAAGACGGTGTCTTTGCCTCCATGACCCCCCAACCCGATTGCTCCAAGCCACCCTTGAGCCGTTTGAGACGCCGAGCTGGTATTCGCGTTGGACCGGACTCCCAGCTGGCCTCCCGTGGTGAGAATAAGCTCTCCAGCCAATCCTCCTGAAAGATAGGAGCGGTCTGCCTTGTAGTCGGGCGAAAGAGCCACGGCCTGGACAGGGCGCCCGAAGTTTCGCAATGTGACATCTTTCGGGTCAATCAACGAAGACACGCAAACATGCCCGTCTATGGAGGAGGAAGCGATGTATATCTGGTTGGCGGGAGTCGGAGGCACCTGAGCCTGGCGCTGCGCGCGTGGAGGTGTGCCACGGCCAGCTGGCGAAGCATTCTGCCGAGCTGTCGTGTCCAGGCGATCCGCGGATTTCGGCGGCGTGGGCGTCTGGAAGAAGGGCTGCGAGGGCAGCAGTGGCGAGACGGAGAGCGAGGTCACCGAGGCGGCTGGGTGGGCGTTGTAGGTGCGGAGCGGTTGGAACGACGGGATGTTGAGGGCGTGCTGCTGGGATCAATACACTGCATGGCCTGGGGAAGGCGGTGGGAAGACTCACTATATTGCCATTGTGCGTGCCCACGATCTGCCTAGAACTCAGCATGTGCTTTGCGACGTGTAGGGACTCCAGCGGGAAGAGCTTCGGAGCTGTGGCCATACCATTTTGTCCCCCGCGACCAGGAAGGCGCTCGTCGCGTCGCCATTCCGATAGACGGGCCCCAGGTTGGTCGTCAGGCGACTGTACTTGAGCTTGGGCTCCTCGTCGGCCTCGTCGTCGTCCTCGTCGTCGTCCGAGGCCTGCGGTGCGTTGTCCTTGGCGTTCCTGGCGACCTTTTCGGGGCGAGACTCGTCGCAGGCAGCTGCAAGCGACTCGTCGTCGGTCGATTCCACCGCCATGCTCGCGACATGGGCTGCGGCGAGAGAGTGCAGCGTCGGGGAGCTTGCGGGAGAGAGAGGTGTGAAGCTTGGAGTGACGATGCAAGCCACCAATGATGCGCGCTAACACCTCGGAAGAGTGCATGACGCTCCGCAAATGATCCACCTGGATTGCACCTCATCGTGCTTCGAGACCGTCTTCCACACACACAATGTTCAAACAGGCCTCACGCTGGCAATGTCAATTATCCCGTCGAGTGTACTGCACGGCTTGACCAAGCGTCTTGCTTGCTCGTCTCGACAATGCACATACACAAAACCACGACAACTTGAATCCACCCCACGGCCATTCACCTCAGCTGCACCACGGTTCAAGAAGCCTGACTTCACGCAGAAACAGGACGAGCCCAGCGTGAAGGATGAGCAGGCGAAGGACACCCAGCAAAAGGCGGACCGCAAAGGGCCCAGAAAAAATGCAGGCAAAACCTCGTCGCTGCGAAGAGTAGCCGTGGAAGCGCAGAGGTCGAGGGCCTTTGTAAAGTCACGAGGCAGGACCCGTTTCGTGGACCCAGAGGCTGATACAAAGGTACATTTCAACTGAACATGGCGAGGAAAAAAATCATGATACTGATCACAGACCAGACTGTGACCGCCTACTGCGCTGCAGAAACGTACGACATTTCCATCGCCGCCCGCCTCGTCAAAGCCCAAGGCTACGAGCTCGACCCCTCCCAGACAGGCCTCTACCCTCAAGTCATCCACGTCCAGACCAGCAACCGGCCCTCCGAGGTCAAAGACTTCCAGCAAGGCGACATCTTCATCTTCCCCTCGGGCACCGTAGTGACATGGAACGTCCGCGAGCGCGAGGCCCTGAAGCTCGTCAACCAAATCCTGCCCGCCGCAGCAGAGGGCTCGCACCCCAACCTCCTCGAAACAGAAGACCTCGACTACCTCGAAGACGCCACGCGCTCCAGCAGCGAAGTAGTCGGCGACACCATCGTCCTGGGCACCGCGGCAGAAACCTCCGACACTCCACTCCCCACTCAAGACACCAACACCAACACGCCTACCCCCACCCCCGAAGCCGCCACCATCCTCGCCAAAATCGCCTTCTCCTCAGGCCTCGCCCGCTCCACAAAACTCGCCGTCCTCGAAACCCTCCTCTCCTCGTACCAGCACTCCACCCGCGAAATCCCCGCAACCCTCGCCTCGACCTCCCTCCTAAAACCCCGCACGCCCTTCACCCGCTCCTTCATCCTGCGCAAAACAGGCGACCTCCTCTCCATCCGCGCCCAGCTAAACCTCTACTCCGAGCTGACCGACTCCCTCCCGGACATCTTCTGGGACAGCCGCCACGAGCTCGGTCTCGGCGAGTACTACGACCAAGTCGGCCGCGCGCTGGACGTCGGCGTGCGCATCAAAGTGCTCAACGAGAAGATTGGCTTTGCGCAGGAGATTGCCGCCGTTTTGAGGGAGCAGTTGAGTGAGAAACATGGCCTTAGGCTGGAGTGGGCGATTATCGCGCTTATTGCTGTTGAGGTTGTGTTGGAGGTTTATCGCCATTGGGGGGAGAGGGCGGAGAGAGAGGATCCGGCTAGTACCGAGGCGCTGCTTAGACGGTATTTACTCAGGTTGGAGGAGGGGAGGGAGGGGAAGTAGGTGGGCGTGTAGATGTGGGTACTTTGGATTTACATGGGTGGGTTGTTTGTTTGTTTAGATGCTTTGATACCCCTCCTCTCTTTTGCTCAATAGATCGCTTTTCATCAACATTTTCATTCTCATCCCTATATTAGGGAGCAGACTTGATCAGTTTGATTTTCTCCGTCAAGGTCTTGATTTATGCGCTTCTGCTGCTAACTCAAGGGAAGATCTTTCTCGTGCTCTACTTGATGTGTCAACTACGTTACTTCGGGAGCGAATGGAAGACTTGATAAAATAGTAAGGTTTATGAGGTCTTTGCTACTAGTGTAGCTACCGCTAAAGCAAATTTAGCTGCTCCTTCCACTTACATCGGACACGACAGCAGATAATTAACTTTCAACGAGAGTTTGGGGCACGACGTCACGATGTCTGCTGACATTACGAGGAATGAGAACTGTGAGTTTAAGCCATATAGTTCGATTTGTTGGCTACAGTGGAAAGCGTGCACATACTAATGCTCTGCAGTGCTAGGTATGTATTTGCCACTCACTCCACTTCCAAGCCCAGCCACACTCAGCGCAAACATTAGCACCGTCTGTCTGTGTGGAGCAGTCATCGTAAAGTCGTGTGTAAAATCGTCGTGTATCGTGCGTGATAATCCCCACCCACTAAACGCCTCAATCCCAAAGTCATAGAAAGCACAAGCCCATCAAAGCGGCCTCAACGTCCCTCTCCGATACCTCCAAAGCTGCTCCAAGCACACCGCAGCAGCGACATACTTCCAGCTCTTCAGCGTGACATAATTCTGCCAGCCCTCCGTCTCCAGCGCAATCTTGAAGCACGCAACCGCGCGCGGCAACGCCTCTGGCCCTCCATCGCCCTCCCACTCCTCGTCTCCATACACAATCCGCTTAACAATGGCGCCGACGTCTCTGTCAAACCGCTCCTTGACTTCCTGGTTGGCTTCGCGGATGTAGCGTGTAGAAGCGCGTTCCTTCTTGCCGAGGATGTTGCCGGAGAAGACTTCGAGCTCGGTGAGTGGCTTTCCACGATGTGGGCGGAGCGTATCCATGATTTCGAGCATGTTTTCTTCGTAGCTGGGGGTGTGTTAGCGTGGAGTCTAGTATGGGTGATTGACGACGTACTATTCTCTCAAGTCTTCGGCGAATGTGCGGTGGTGGTCCCATTGGAAGCCTCGGGTCTCGCGGTCGATGTATCGATCGACCTTTTCGACTAGAGATTCGCCGCCGTTGAAGCTTTGCTTTGCTTCGAATTCGCCTTTCATCTTGTTGAAGAAGGTCCTCTCGTCGATGTTGCGGTATAGTTGTCCAAGGACTTTGTCGCTTCTGTAGTAGCGAGTGCTGTCGAGACATTAATGTGATGTCCTCTAACGACAGTTCATAACTCACCTAGCTCTGTCTGGATCCATGACACCGATACTATCCGGTTCGTCAATATCATCCTCCTCGAGTTCTTCTAGCTCTGTCGCTCCTAGTTCGTTGATCACAAGGCCTGGGCCAGGAGCCATGAAGTCCGGTCTGATATGATCTGTTCCATGAGGTATCTGAGACATATCCGCCTGCATAGAGAACTGCGGTCAGCAATGCAGCATGCATGATAGAGGAACCAGGAGATTACGTACAGGATTACCAGACTTGCTAAAGTCCACCGCATCTGAGGCGAGCTTTGCCAGAGTGATGCAAGCAACATCCCGAGTCCCACCTGGTTTGATATCAGCCCGAATTTTATGCTTGTTGCTAATCTGCCCGAGGCGATCCATCTTCATAAACTCGATGAAAAAGTCGACGATATCTTCGCTTTGAACGGATCTGCCCAAGTCTCGCGGAGGAGCTGCCGTGTAATCCGCAGGGTACTCGGTCATGTTGGGTATCAGCCGCTTGTCCCAAATGATGTGGAACAAATCTCCATCAAGATCTCCGCCGCTTAGCTGTGAGGGAAGATCCCGCGCTCCCTGCTGTGAGAAGACTATGCAGTTGTGTAAGTTCCTGAGAGGGCAATCCGAAGGGACATTGACGGCTTTGACAACTTGTATATCGCCTGGGTGCAGCGCTGGTGCCCGAGTAATCTGAAGTCAGTCACAGTTAGTAAATGTCTCATCTATACTAATTGTTTGAGAAATTGCTTACGACGATGCGATCGCGGACAATGATTTGCCTAGCTTTAGGACGATTGTATTCGTCATCAATCTGCCTAACAATGTAGACCTCGTTCTCTCGCAGTGTGTTAGTCTCGTCCATGATACCGTAAAGAAGACAGCCTTCTTCGATCGGTATGCGAGCGCGGTACTTCAAACTTCTGAGGCTCGACATGGCCGCAACCTCGATTATATCCGTCAGGAACCTGTCCTCGTGAAAGGGGACTCCGATGTAGTGCAGGAGTTCGAAGAGTCTGGGGACCTTTGCGGCCTTGCCAGAATTTGAATAGTCTGAAGACTACATTAGCCTGGTGTGGTTTTTTGAATCACAAATAGAAACGTCGAAACCTCCAAATCTTTCCACTCGATCCGTGTCAAAATCATAACAGACACAAAAATTACTCATGTTGGTCTTGAAAAGCTTGAAATGAAGACGAAGAGACTCGAGAAAACAGACTTACCGAGAAAGCTGGCAGCATTGAGGGGGTGCTTGATCACCATTTCCAGCATGTCACGAGCATTAGTCTGTACCTCAATGAAGTTCCTCGCCGGTATGCCCAGATCTTCGAGGATCTTGACAAACTGGTGGTTGAGAAACATGACTAATGGTCTGTATGCTGCTCCGCAGAGCTCTAGATCCCTCCATCCTTCTTGTGCGATGTATTTCGTCATGCTCTTTCGAATATGCAGCTGTTCGCCATGGAGGGAGGTGTCGAGTGACAAAACTCCCTTTGCGCCACGATAACGAATCTGGAGAATGGTTGGGCACCTCTCTCTACGTTCGGGAGGAAGCGATCTCCATACCATCTGCAGCAAGTCCAGAGATATGGTACCGCAACCGTCCGAAAAGCACCGGTTATTTCGTTCGACATCGTCCTTGGTCTCTGTAACGTAGGATGTGTTTGGTATAGCGACAGCATAAATACTATCAGAGAATGCTTGTCCAATACGTGCAGCACACTTTGCGGAACAGTGGATATTGGAGAAGTCACCAAGGTCTTGAATGACATCCCGCGCAATGATGAGCTTACCGTCTTCTTCAAATGGTGCCATGAACCAGGTTTGATGGTACCGGAGAGATGCGTGACTGAACCCAAGAAATGAATAGGTTCGTCCCGCGACTGTGATACCCTGTCCAAGAACCGTTCGGAACCGTTCGTAGATCTGTGATTGAGACGAACGCGGATCGTGAAATATCGGCAAGCCGTCTTCGTCCGCGATGAAGACTCTCATGAAGCATTCCGTATGTTTTGAGTACTTGCGAAGAACTCGGTTTGTAACTCCCCAATCCGGCCCTCTGAGTATGATACCTGTCGGTGTTATTGTGGCCTTATACGTCAGCGCTAGATGTTCCTTGGTTCGTCCTTTACTTAAACCACGATTGGTCACATCTGCCTTCTTCAGGATCTGGATATTGTCTAGGAGCGTGCTTGTTAAGTTTTGCAGACTGAATTCACTTGCCGCAACATCTGGTGCTGGGGTAGAGACTTGGAGTCCGAGTTTTCTGATAGCGTTTGCAGTAAGTTCGGAACCATGTTGCTGGGAAATTCTGCGGACAACAAGAACTAGCCCAATCATCTTCAGTGGCGTGATTGTTCCTTCGAGAACGAGAGCTAGAAGTTGAAAGCGGACAGCAAAACTGAACTCTGGAAACGCAATTGGATCATAAACGGCAAGGATACGCTCGAGATCAGCGTACTCGGCCTCGATCGTTCCCGTAAGCTTGTTCGGTTCCATGGTTTTCCACCAGTGTACTTCAGGAACGGAAGCGTTCTTGACGAAAGTGAAAGCTTGGTAAGCCAGTGGCAGATTTGGGAAATACAGCTTGTACACCATGCATAAAGCAGAGTTCTTCGCGTGTGAGCGTTGAAGGGCGCAAAGCCGTTCAAGTCGAGGGACTTGTGCACGTTTGTTCGAGGTGCCCAGCTCCAAGCGTGCAAAGTCCGGCATTCCGTTGGGTATGAGGTTCGGCTGTGCTCCAGTATACAGATGAAGATCTTCCTCTGTTTGGATTTGATAGATCTTCGGCGGTGACTTCAGCGTGAACGTGATGGATCCTCGATTTCCATTGGTGATCGATGGTATTGTGTGCTCCAAGATGGTATACGGAATATCGATCCTACAGCGCCAATCGTATCCATGATAACTGCCCTTTTCGAGATATAACACGAGTGCGAACTTCCCAAAGGTCACAAAACCCGAGCGTGGGTCTTTGTACTTCTGGTCGAACACTAGCTTGCCCATACGATCGTAGTCCCAGAGCCCAGTCATCAAGGTCTGGAATTTGAACGTTGGTTGAGACGGCCCTGGTGTCGGCGTGTTTGGACCTCTGCTCGAGTGCTTCACCCTCATCTCCTCCTCCTTATGAAGCAGCGCGATGACCTTGAGAGCTTCAGGCTGTCCGGGCCGGTTGCTCCTCCTACACCTGAGGGTCTTGAACCGAAATACCAATGAATGGTTACCTCGGCCATAATTATTGAGAAACCTCTGTCCGTTGTGAAAGTTGGCCACAGTGATGGTAGCCCAATTGTTCTTGGCCTGTTTGAAGACATCGAAAGCCAGGACGTCGAACCTGCGAAGCTTGTCCTTCAGGAATATCCGTAGCTCGACCTGATTCGCACTTTCAGGGACCTTGAGTAGTAACAGTCAGTTTCGTACTCATATTCAGCCTGGCACTTTCAGAGTACCCCTCCCTCACAGCACCCGGGATTCCCAACATCTTATCTAGAGGTGTCTGCGATTGCAATTTGGTATTCTTGTTGACTTACATCTTGAATGAAGATATCCATAGCGGGTGTTCGATAGTGGTCCTACTCCCATCACGAAAGTGAGTAGAGTAAGACGTAATGGTGAGAGTGTTTGCGGCGTAGTGATACAAGGCTGTAGATCGTCAAAACAGGCAGGTGGGACCCACGCTAGTGCGACAGCATCGCGTTCTTAGGTGAATTCGTGTTCACCTTCACCTTAATTTCGCAACGCGCTATGGAGAGACGCGAGTGTATTCAAGTATGTTGTTTCGTGCTCGAGGCTGTCGATTTGTCCGGGTCCATGGCATGCACGACTACGCCGGGGCAGATTGGAAAGCCACCGCAAGTCGATCAAACACATACTGCAGTACCCCGTAGATGTTTCCTCAACTCTCAACCCCGCAAAAAGGACTTTCAGCAAACCAGATAGTGTGTTCTAGTTGTTGAGCTGATCGCGGTTGTCCCTCAGCTTTGGTACGTGTGGGGTAACATCTACCAGGCCAAAGTATCCCAATGAGCTTAGATTAGATGAAACTGACTATGTAGCTGAAATTCATGGGTTCTAACAGAGATATGTAAATCCTCCTAACGTTTACTTATTGCAGAGCTATGGATCAACTGTGACTGTGGTCTGAGATCGCACATGCGATACTCGCCACTTCCAGATGCACGGACCATATATCCACATCTGTACATAAAAGGTTTCCGTCCGACGTAAAGCACCAAAACGAACGACAAAAAATGAAGATAGTCCCTTGCTCTGTCGCCATCAAAGTCGCTAAAGCCACAGTTTCCAATAATGTTCTTCGGGGGGAAAATATTCAGAATCAGGGACAAAGGCAGCTTATTATCTTCTACCGTAAGCCAACCAAGAGAAGAGAAATGGCGGTAAAATCGACATTCAGGAGGCGGCGTAAGGTGGGTAGCGTAAGAGGGTGCAGTGCTACTGATAGAGTTGCGGGATGTTCGAGCGGCGGTCCAGCGACTACCATGTGCAGGTGAATAGGTGTTGCCTGGTTCTTTCATCCCGCCATTCGTCGCTCTCTAGTACGACTCCAAGTTCTCCACATGCTTGTTGAAAACTTCTTCCTCAAGTGGTCTCACGAAAACCCCGCTCCCTGAATTGGCCTGATCTCCATTTTCTGATTCGCTCGGAATTCGATCCATTAATAGATCCTCGAATTCAGGCGAATCTCTGATCTCAGTATCGCCAAATACCCGGTATCTTGGAAACGGAGACTTATATATGACCACGAGTCGAGTCGGAAAAGAATATTTGAGTTGACAGAGCCACAGTATTGTTTCCAAGACTTCCCTGCCATACACAACCTCGCTCTTGTGTGTTATCGTCATTTCGATGGCTCGTACGTCTTGCGAGCCGTTTTGTGTTCGGCGTGTTTGAGAGAGATTAAGGGCACAGATTCGGAGAAAGTTCCTGACCGCTTTGTTTTTACATAGGCTGATGTCCTCGTCCGTCTCGCCGAGGCAGCTTCTTAAGGCACTAGCTCCGACAAGTGCCCACGCTGCACTATAGTCTACTAGATATTGTACGGGCTGGGTATTACAATGCTGCATCTTGCGGTTGAGGACCGGACGAGCTTCCTCGTTCACGAGGTGACAGGTCATCAGGATCTCGAGTGGAATGCGCGGTCTAATGAGGGTCACACGAGATTCGTCGACCTGGGCTTTGGGAGGAGCTGGCCAGTCTCTTTTGTCGAGGAGGGCTTGTGTTCTGACTAGAACGTGCGAAGTGGTAGAGATTTCGATACTCTTGTACACCCAGCAACGTAGCTCTGCAGGCAGATCCAGAAATCGGAAGGGCTGTTGGTCCACAGTAGCTGGCGCCATATTTGAAGACCGGATGATACTGTCGGGAACGTGAGGCGGACGTGGATTGTTGTTGTCCAGGCTGCGGTATACAAGCGAATCTTGCTCCGTTAGAGACAAACAATCGTTCCTTAACAACTGGCTGCTTAATATACCAGTGCGGACGCGTGATCAAGAGCCCAGGCAGCTGCTAATCAAAGTTTGGTTCAGGTCGTGAACCCTGGCTGGATCATGAAAACTCTTCGATCGACCAGTAATGCTGAACACGTAACCAGAGCAAATTATACTAGCAGATAAGAGTCTTGCTATATCTGGGCGCTAATGCTTTCTAGCAACCAAGGCTTATAATCTATCTACAATTGATAATTCTGACAATGTTTAGTTATATAACAACCGGGTCATTTTTTCCTGCAATGTAGTGCCACCCCGGCAATGTTTTGGTCATATACACTACTTTTGCCTGGTACCACAGTATTCGAGAGTCCAGCATATGGCTGAAAAGATCCCCCGCATACTCAACCACTGCAATAGGAAAAAACAACAACAACAATACATTGTAAGAGGAAGGTAACAGTTGACAAGCAACATAAATGTGCCATATTGAACAAACTAGGTTCGCAAAGAAGAAGACGCACTATTTCTCCGTGCCACTAAAAGTCTTTTGTTCTTCTAATCTGTGTTTAAAAGACCTTTCAATAGTTGTGCAACCTTTTGGCCAACCGCATGTCCAGGTACGGTCCACAAGGCCGTTAGCCATACAAGAGGCTTCTAGACCAGGCAGCAACGCTAAAGACGTACTCAGATGTTACATTCCTCAAGATCTAATCTCAGGTTCATAATCATCTAGCTAATCAGAACTTGTCACTTCAAACCTCAAACTCTCTTCTTCCCTTTCCTCCACTCAGCCTCACGTCCGCTATATAACAAATGATTTTCCATTTTTAGACGCACGCTACGTATCATATGGTTAGCCTTGGACTTTTACCTAGGTAAAAAACCGGACAGATTCTGTCCTTTGTACTGCTGACAAATCACAAAATTGACCACCTTTCTTGACCAGGTGGTGGAAGCGCCAACTGGCGATCCTCTTAGACTCATCCCTCTCAAAGACGCTCTGCCCCTCCATCACTCTGCCACTTCATACCGCGATATATTGCATCTGGTTCGGCGGGTGAATAGCCTTGAACATCACAAGCAACTCAACAGAAACATATAATCTTAACAACTCATATAACCATCACTCTACAATGGCCTCCTCAGCACTCCCATCAAACAGCCGCCTCGTTAACATCGGCACTCACTCTCTGGCTCTCTACACTCATGGCCCAGAGCCTAGTAGCTCCAAAGATCCCGTCGTACTGTTCATCTCAGGCGTGGCAAGCGATGCCCTCAACTGGCAAGCAGTGGTGCGGTTGCTAGGGCTGCGAAGCTACACTTACGACCGTTCCGGCTATCACAACTCAGAGTCCTCGCCGCTCGCTCCCTCGGCGGAGAACATTGCTCTGGAGCTCTCCCTTCTGATTGAGAAAGCGCCTATCCAGAACCCTCTAATCCTTGTGGGTCACTCCTGGGCCGGTGTGCTCACGCACGAGTACATTGCCCTAAAGGGGATTGACCAGATCGCTGGTCTGGTGCTTGTAGACGCCAACCATGAGAGAGCATCACTGGTGATGGGCGTGAACGATCCAATTTTATGGACAGTTGCTGCGGATGTCGAACCATACTCTGCCTGGGGCGTGGAGGCGGAGCACAGGTTGACGCAAGAGGAGTGGGACGCATTCAGGGCGGCGGAAGCAACTGAGAAGTTCAAGCTAATCATGTGCAAAGAGGATGAGAATTACATGCCAAGTTTTGAGACACTGCGGAAGAAGGAGCTGAGCAAGAAGCAGCCACTGCTTACCGTCAAACCAGTTCATGTGATTGTGGGCACACGAAGCAGGGACTGGACAGGATTGTACAAGGCGGGCGTTGCTAAAGGGAATGGGACTGAAGAGCAGAGGAGCTATGTGAGAGAGTTGATCAAGGCAATTGATGCGAAGAATGAGGGTCTTATGAGAGAATTCTTGAAACTCTCTACGAAGAGCGAGCTTGTCTTCGCTACCAAGAGTGGACACTTTGTCCAGATGACTCAGCCGGAAATTGTTGTCGATGGAGTGAAATGGGTCCTGGATAACCAACCAGCCTCTTCTTAGTTGCGGAGAATCAGTAATTTTAATACTAAGCACCCAAATTTCGTGGACAGCATCTATGATGTGAACAATGGTGGAACGTAGCTACGTCAGATGGAATAAAATGCAGTGGACAAGTAAGGAAAGTTCAGAGACTAGCGGATAAAGGCACGTCAGACAAGATGCAAGGTACATAAAGAACCTGTGTTTTTACTCAAGTAAGAGAATATAGCCAGCTGTTTCTATTGTCTTTCCAAGCGCATTTGAAGTTCTCTACCATGTTTTGACTGTTAGTCTACTAGAAGTTTGCTCCTTCCTTGCTCAATGTATACCAAGATTACAATAACAAACTAATGATAAAAAATAAATGCTACTAATGCTTGCGACACATCTTTTGAAGACATTAATGTTTATTACTTTCGCCGATATTTGGTATTTAGGGGAGGGCCGACTCGATAGAAGTGATAGGACCGAGGCTTGTGAGATTGAGATATAGTGAATGAGATTGATTCCAAGTAGGGGAGGACTTGGCCGATTACGAATGAGAATAAGAGGTCTTGGTATCAGAGGGATTGGAAACGCTGACTAATGAGAAACTACTTCCGGGAATCTCCAAGACGCAAGCAGACAGTGTGCTGGACAATGAAGCGGATAGTGTTGTTCAAATGGTGCAGGCGTTAAACAAAGTGAGGAAAATGGCGGTATTTGAGAAAAGAGATTCGGATTGAGCGTTCGCGCAAGGAAGTTCCTCGCACTAGAAATGAATGACAAATGTTGAAGAGGTTCAATAAAACGACAGCAGGCAGTCATTGCATATGGTACTCATGAACATGTGTATGGCAAGACAGCGGAAGCACACTAGTCTTTACATTGAATGGCTTTCCTCGTACTCGCGAATATGCTTCATCACGTATCCTTTTGTGCCTTATATAATAGCATGGTCATTGGTTTTCTATCCTTACGTCATTCTTGTACGAAAGATCTATTTATGAGCGGAGATGGCCTGATACTATGAGACGGAATATAACGCACAGCTCAACGCCGCGTCAGAAGAGCCCTTTCGAAGAATTTGTCACAGACATTTGGTGTTGTCCCCGTTCAACACTGAGACCTCAACACCAATCCCGAAGTCCAAAGTCTAGTTGTCACATCTGTCGTAGGACCCTCTCCTGGTTCTATCAACACACGCTCAGAACTTGACATTCCTTATCGCGTCATCGACGGCTTGAGTTACCTCCTCTTTTGTGGCATCCTTCTTGATCAGAATTGATGTCATAACTCCGTGCGTTCCACCGTTCTTTTTCCTCCAGTCCTCGATTGAAGCTGGAATCTTGCCCGCATTGGGCTGTAACTGGTACTTGTGGAATGCCTGCCCATTCTGGATCACCTCCCCGTCGTAGTCGAAGCGAACACCGTATCGCTCAAGGTCGGGCTTGTTCTTTGGCCAAGCGGTCTTTCCTCGACTGACGGTTGGTTTTGCGAGTTTCTTCCAGGCTCCACTATCACTGACGCCCTTGCTGACGGTCTTGAGAGTCTTCATGGTTCAAGAGGTCGGTGGTTGATCGGCTAGTTGGTCTCTTCGAGGATGTGTTGGGAATGGGAGGAAAGGTACGCAGGGATTTTATGCGAGTGAACGAAGTAGTAAAGTATATCTAGTGACGCCCAACGAAAGAGTTGTGAGAAAGGCTGATAGCGAACTAGATACTCGAGGCATGAAAGATACTTATAGCCTTCCACTGATACTAAGCCGTATCCATTCATGCACGAGTACACTCTAATTGATGAAATCCATGTACGCGCGCGCCTCTGAAGCGCCATGATGAAGTACTGGAAGTGTGCGTTCTGTTCGCAATTTGTCAATATGTGGTACCCCCTGGAAGTATAATATATACGCTACTTGTAGGTGCCTTCAAGGAAGCTCACAGATTGGTCAAACTTCTCTTGATTGGGAGTCAAGACAAACTGAGAATTAGCACGTAAAGTGGAGAAGCCCTTATACTTCCGGGGGTACCACTGTAAAACAGTGGTGAAGGAGGCACAGCACAAAGTCCCACATATGTGTAAACTAGGCCTAAAGCAGGGAGCTCGTGTGGAAAGCGACGGGTATTAGATCGCATATATATGCCTCTGAGGAAGCCATAAAGCGAAAATTCGGGAAAAGAAACAGACAACAATCTTCGAAATGATGAAGATGTCTTACATACTGCTGCTAGCTGGAGATGATCAACTTGGGTTCGGCGGAGTAGCCCCGCCGCTAATGTCTATTGCCTCTCTTTCAGGACTAGTAATCTTTAGCGCCTCTTGCTTCTTACCTCGTTTTCCCCGGCGCGTAATGACACAAACTACGGCGGACACGCTTCCTAAGAACACGGGGAAACGCAACCGTGAATTGTCGTGCGATTATTTTTCGATCGCTACAAAATCTGATATAAGGCTAAAGCGACAAGTTCACGTCGCCCAAGCTGCGCCCAACCTAGTCCTTTCCTGCTTGCCGCCGCCCAGAGGCATACTTTGTTCAAATTTTCGCAAACTTCCTAAGGGTTATTGGTTTTTACAGGCATATCGATCCTACTGCTGAGGCGCGTTGCTGTTTTGTGAGCCTACATTGATGAGCTTTTGGTGTCCACTCCCTTCGCGGATCATGATTTCACGAACAACGCCATTTCGACGAAAGTTACAGCCATTGGTCACACAGAAAAAATCGATATTCAAGTCTTCTCGCAGTCTGGGTAGCACATTAGCTCTATCTCGAATTGGCGTACGAGACGCCATGGATCACAATCACGAACTGTTCGAATATACTTCGGGAAGATGGATGTAAGGCTGGACTAAGTAATGTGTTCAGTACCCATCAAACTTCTAACTACTTCTTCTAGATACAACGAAGATGTACGTTTAGCTGAAAGGCGCTTGTCCTTTAACGTCAATGAGCTCAAGAAAGTCGCCGCAAGCTCTGTCAACAAGCCTGAGTCTGATGTTAAGAGCCTTCAAAAATTGGCGGAAGGCGGTTTCAACCGGATCTTTGAAGTAGGTATGAGAGATGGAACATCTGTTCTGGCTCGACTGCCATATCCCTCGACATTGCCGCGTCGCTTGGCTGTGGCTAGCGAAGTCGCGACAATGGACTTTGTCCGCGCACATGGCATTCCGACTCCACGAATACTTGGATACGCTATTGATGAGAATCCCGTCGGCTCAGAATATATTTTGATGGAAAAGCTACCTGGACAGCCGATCGGAGATACGTGGTTTGATCTATCTGAACAGCAAAGGCTACAAGTTTTGCATGACATTGTCAAGCTTGAATCTAAGCTGTTCAACATCCAGCTGCCTGCTAGTGGAAGCATATATTATGCTCATGACCTGGATTCGAATACTCCCAGGGTGAGCATACCTGAAGCGGACGGTCAGTTCTGTGTAGGCCCGTATACTGGGCTTCGTTGGTGGTTTGGTGAGCGTGGGGATCTCAGGCTTGATCGAGGGCCACGTAAGCATCAATAGTGCCTATGATATCCATGACACTCACGTTGCTTAGATGTTGACACTCTTCGCGCCCTTCAAGCTCCTGCTGAGAAGGAGCTAGCCTGGGTACGCGAGTATGGACGGCCACGATATCCATTTCACCGGCAACACAGAGAAGCCTTCCGGTACGAAAAACAAGACCCAATGATCCACGCAGAATCCCTGGAAGAATACCTGCGTGTGGCGCTGCATCTCGTACCGACAAGCCCGGAGCTCAACCTTCCTGTCCTTCGCCATCCCGACGTCCAGCCGAATAACGTCTTCGTATCTGAAGACTACAAAGTCACTAGCCTTATCGACTGGCAGCATGCCACTGTTCTTCCATTATTCCTTGCGGCTGGTATACCGAACGCGTTCCAAAACTATGGCGATGCTGAGTCGAGAGCTTTCACGCCCCCGCATAATCCTGACCCGGCTCACCTTGACTCCCTAGACGATATCGAGCGTATCCAAGCTCAAGAGGAGTTTCGTCGCAGACACGTACACTTCTTCTATCTCGGGTTCACTCAACGATTCAACCAACGACACTGGCGTGCTCTCGATGAAGAGACAGACCTACTCAAGCGCCGAATCTTCGACCACGCCGGCGAACCATGGGAGGGCCTCAATACAGCTCTTCAGTACGACCTTGTTCAAGTCTCACAAAACTGGGATAAAATTGCTCCCCTGAATCACGATGGCACTGCACCAACATGTCCTGTATCTGTCACACAAGAAGAAGCTGAACGCATTGATGCTCTAGATGACTCGCATCGCGACGCGGATGGCGATGTGGAACAGATCAACGAGCTTCTTGGTATAGCATCCGACGGATGGACCCCACACGAACGGTTTGAGAGCGCGAAGAGAAAAGCAGCTGAGATCCGGGAGCAAGCACTGGCCTCGGCAGACGACGACCCTTGGTTAAGAGAAATGTCTGAGCGGCATTGGCCGTTTGATGACTATGATGAGGATGAGTGAAGAATGATTGACGATCTCATATCATGCTCTATACCTCGTGGACTGAATTATCATCATTGTGTGAAGTTGAAGTACAAGTTCACTTGCGAAAATCTAGTCCGCCGGCACGTCACTTAAATAGAGCTGAGCAAACGGAGAGCCCTATTTCAACATCCTACAGTCATATGTGAAAGGCCCTCAGTCTTTTGGAGTATGTATTTGTGACATGCCTACAGGCAAACTTGGCGTCTACGGTATGGCCTGTAAAACCACGATCGATTACCTATGAAGCTCCTACAAAGGCTTCACGATGATCCACGTAACCTTTGTAAGGCCGTTGGTAAAAGTCGCGCCAATCAAACGCGTTGTCTAAACGGTTATACATATCCACATATTCTCTCACGTCCATATACATCCACCCAACCTCCTCCCAATCTTCATCGGTTTCGCCGTCCTCCCAGTCCTCAGCCACCACAGCAACCCTGTCCTCTTGCCAATCTGTAGTTAGGATCTTGATGACCGGAGACCCTGACCCGATAGATGCATCCAGCGAGCGAAGGCTAGACTCGTCTACGAATAAACAGAAGTTCCACCTCGAAGGGAGACTTGACACGGGATGTTTCTCGTCATGAGCGTCGTTGCTGAGTAGCTTCGAACGAACCTGCGCGCTTCCACCATACTTATTTGGGTCGCGAAGCCGTGGCGTCAGGTCATCAGCAATCCAGGCGCGAAATGCATGGCGCACTGTGTGTGCGTCGGCACCAGTCAACATCTCTTCGTCCTCGATGATAGTCAGCTCGTGGCGGGGGAGGAGATCAGTGCGAGTCGAAAGCGACAAAGAGTTTGTGACGGTCGAACGTAGAAGCTTGAGCATGTGGGCCCAAGGTGCGTCGCTGTCCACGCCGTAAACAGTGCGAAAGACGACGAATCCCCAAGGTGCGTCAGGTCGTATTGCATAGTGGTTGAGACTGGCATCAATGTCATGATATTCTTTTGGAAACTTCGCAATCAGCGGTTCGAGTGACGACTTGAAACCTTCAATCGTGTTGAGGGCTTCGTCAACATCCTTCCGGACAGCCGACATCGTCGCTTCTCGATCTTTGGCGAGAGGTATGGATGAGCTGGGGACTGAACGATTGCAGATCAACTGTTTTTGGAGGTATTTCGGTTTGATGAGTGACGCTGAAACCCATACATGTGTCGTGCGTGGGAAGAAGAGGCCAGCGTGCAGAAGAGGCCGTAACGGGCAATGAATTTGCATTCTTAGCAAGAACAACTGGAGTGGTGGACTCCTACACGTCTTTAATGACCGTTTAGTACACCTGAACGAGGCGTTTTCGGCATAGTGTAATGATTTTGTTGTGTGTTTAGTATTGTGTTTTATCGAGTGTTACGCTGACCTTGGAGCTGCAGATGAAATGCATGTGAGTGGCAGATGACTAAGTGATTGTCTGTGCATGTGCATGAAAATGCTGTCAACCCTTCTCCGCAACGATGCGTACTACGAATTTGGACAATCAGCCTTCTTCAACCCAGTGGCAAAGCTTACCATGGGAAACCACGTTAGTCTATTTTACCCGGAGTCAAGTTAATTGACCCCGCACATGAGGGTAAAGTCACACTTTTACAGCGAGTCTACCTAGATGAATGCAACTACAGGTAATTGATCCTACCTGCGGCTTTTTCCTTATCCTATGATCCGGCATATGGAACCATTGGATTTCGGCCCGGCTATTAGCCAATTAGATAACGTTAGCAAATCAGTGTTTGACCCTGAGTTAGAGTTAGAGTTTTGATATTCCTTAGACTTGTACTACGCGATTCTATTGGCCGAATTCCGCGGGTTTATTCCACCAGATCATGGAATAGAGTACGGACTTTTTTATGCTATTGATAGAACAAAGTTGCGGGGTAAATTACACTCTGCTGTACCCGAACTTTATCTACGTCTTCATGATCATATCGACACAAATCAAATTCCTATGCAGACAGCATAGTCTGGCCACAAAGCAGAACACTCGCCGACGCCAGGATTCCATTTGTAGAAGTCCTCGAGCGAGATGCCAGCCGCATTCGCAATGCCCCAACAACCGTCACCGCTTACAACGACGTACCATTTCTTGCACGACGAGATTGCGCCTGGTTGGGTCTCAGCAGGTGGTGGTGTGCCGCCAGTGTTGGTCGGTGGCTGGGACGTTGTAGGTGTAGGCGTCAAGTTCAGAATGCAGTAACTCTTGCCCGACTGCAACACACAATTCGCCTTCGAAAGGCTCGGATTCCACGCTAACAGATCCTCCACCGTGACATCTGCCTGCGCAGCCCACACCTCGCAAGAATTCGCCACATTGAGATCGAAGACACTGGACAGTGACTCGTCAAAGGCATTCATGTAATGTAGACACCCGTCAACTGTGCCTGCCGCCTTCGCCGAGAGTGGGGGAGTCACGACTGGTGGGGGTGTCGATGTTGGCTCCGGCGTTGGTTTAGGGAATATAGTGCCTGGTGTGGACGTCGGATAGCCGTAGTAGGTAGCAATGTTTCCGACAGGCCTAACGCAGTAGGATGTCTCCAACCAGAGGTTTGAGCAATTGTGGTCGACCTGTGGGTTGAGGAAGTAGAAATCGTCCACGGTAATACCGAAAGCGAGTGATATGGTGTCACACAAGTCATCCGTTTTGGTAGCATACCACTGTCCACAATGCCTGTTGGATAGGTCCTGCGCATTTGTGGGGACAGGTGCGTCTGTGGCAACACTGTTGCCTTGACCGGGGTTGACGGCTCCGTCTGGTGAGCTGCTATAGTGGTCAGAATCCAAATGCTGCTGCTGACAGAAAACGAGGTGAATAAAAAGATTCTCACACCTTATGCACAAGTTCCAACCAAACCAACTGCCTAGGTTATTACAAAAGTTGTTGATCATGGGATTCCAGGACAACAGCTGCTGCTGATTGATCCGAGCGCCGGCTGTTATATCGTCGCATCTGTCGTACATGTCGAGTTGGTACGTGTTGCACGTATTTGGGAGACAAACCGTGGAGCCTGCAGGAGCGAGCAAATTGCAGCTAATATCGATACCATTCGCTACTATTAAGCTGTACGTCGAAACATTTTTGCTCAGAGAGATGGAGATGCAAGTGTCTCCATCCTGTACGGTATATGTGTTGGTACATGTACGAGAAGGCGGATCCGGCACAGTTGTTGCATTAATGGCATATGCCGCGGGCGTGGCGTATGTGTAACCTTCTACCTTACAGCTGGACGTGAGCGAGGCGAAATTGGCGGCGCCGTCTACATCATAGCCGAATGGCGAGGAAAGTTGCAGTTTCTGGACTCCGAGTTCGCAATCAGAGCAATTCTGTGCGACTGTCCAGTTTGCACTGCTGCTCTGATTTAGCCACGTTGAGACTATAGAGTCGCAATATTGTCCCGAAGACCTATCGAGCGCAGCTTATGCATCAGTATGTGAAATGATATATTGGAATCCGGAGTAGCACCTACGACTCGAGACAGCCTAACTGCAACGCATAGAGGTATCTATCGGCAAGGAACGTCGCTATGCGGAGGTCAGCATCGACAACCTATCTCTTATGGCTCTCATCAGCGTACCTGGATAAGCAACACCCTCAACAGGAACCATGACATCTGTAGCAGAAGTGCAAGCCTTTTGAATCGCCGCCCTTGAGGTTTCAAGATCTTGAGCGCAAGCTGTACCGCAGAGCTGGCTGAGGCGTTTGTCGTTGAGCAGGTCAAAGCTTGCGTCGCTGGAGACAAATACACAGTTATCTCCACTATCCTACAATGAATTCATGGGGCTGCCACTACGTACCCTTCACCTGTATGCTGTGGAAGCCATCTTGGACAAGAGCTAACAGTCTTGTTCACAGCAGTAAGGCAGCCAACGCTCAATTGTAGGAGGTCGAAAGAAAGCAGAGAGCCAGGAATCTGCTGCGCGAGAGACTGTAATCCCGTACTTCCAAGGAGTAAGACAATGGAGAAAATGAGCTTCATCGTAGTGATCTTCGTTGGACTTGGTGCGAGAGTTTGGTCTTCATTCCCTTGGTAATCGAAAGATCAAAAGATATAGCTACGGGGCCCTAGATCTCTTTACGTCCGCGAAGCTAAGTCCATTCTTTCCAGAATTCAGGAGTTGTGTCTACATAGTAAGCCTAAACCCTGGCAGCTCTCAACAGCGTCTTCTCATTTCGACGCAGGGACGTGCGGCAGTTGATCACTTCATTTAGATGTAACCTCGTCCGGTAGCTGACCTTCTCATCCAGACGCAGATACGTGGGTTCAACCAATCTCTTTGATCGAAATGATACCGCTGCCTTCCCGTACAGCGTAATAGCACTACATGGCTATCGTGTTGTGGGTCAGAATGTGCATTTGATGCGCGCTTATCACCATCACACTAGTGATTTGGGAAGTTTGTTGCTTCGATCAAATAAGATGCATAGAATTAAGATGACTCTCCATATGCCAGAACTTGGTTCACCCGAAGTTCATTACATTGACAATCAGCTTGGCATTTGCTCAGGGGATATCCAACCAATGGCATCAACCATCCATATTGCTGCACCATTTCGACGTGCACGAACTTGTTGAGGGTGGACACCGAAACGGATTCAGTAGCTTTTTATATTGCGGTACAGTTGGATGTGTAGAGTGGACGCATACACTATTGGTACCTGGTAAACCTTCTCTGCAACTATGTTCCATCGCATAGTCGTTTGCTGACTCTTAGGATATGAGGCCGAACGAAATCGTATGTCGCCTGTAATCATTGGCCTCTATAAGGGTTACTTTACCCTATTTAGCCAGTTTAAGGCTGGACTGTTTGCTTTATTCTAAGATTTCTATCAAACACTAAGTGTTTTTGGTTATTATTCCAGACGTGTTGTTGCTCTTGTTTCTCAGATCACTAACTCTGAGAGGCTTAGGGCTCATTGGCATCAACTGCCTCTTTGAGATCGATTACATCAAGGCCTTATCGTCGAGAGCAATCCAAGTCCAATTTCATGAAACACTAAACTCTAATGCAAGCTTTGATGGCTGTTCACAAACCTTTTACGCCCTGAATGTGATCAACTCCAATCTAATCGTGTCAATGAAGATCTTTAAGCGCTCACATACGCCCCGTAATATCGATAATGCAGGGGCGAGAACAGCAATGAAATTATAACGGCACCTCCAATACCCCCGATAATCACAGATCTTCACTGAGAACAGGTGGGGCGTAAGCTACGAATGTTAGGCCCAACGAATAATCTATATGGAGTAGCAATACTGATAGGGAACGTCCCGGCTCTGTTTAGATGAAGGCTGCATGAGCTTAACGGGGAAACATATAGGAACACGTGATCATCAGTTTGAATAGACATCACATAGGGCACATCAAGCTATAAAGGCGGAATGTGTTAAATAAAGTGTATATCCTCGGACTTCACTGAGTCTGAACAACCAGACGCTCATCTTGATTGCATTCAAAGTCAGCTTCTTCGATCATGGCTCGACGAGTTATAGTCTTCGTTCTCCTTGCCCTAAGCAGTATTCATAGTGCTCGTTCATGGCATGGTCACCGCCATGCTTCATATCACCACTCCAAGGACTTGGCTCGAAGTACCGGCAACTTGGTTGACACTTGTAGTCTTGAAAGTGAGTCCACCAGCTACCCATTGTTCAACCCAGCACATTCGAATATACGGCATGAGATAAAAGCAGGCACAGAAGCTGATCCAGATTTTCAGATCCTTGCCAAAACGGAGCATGTTGTGGAGGTAGGTGCAATTCGCTGTGACTTGTTTATGCACAGCACTGATGCTGACCCGAACAGAAAATGGATTGTGCGGATTCTCGCCAGACTTCTGCGGTGAAGGTTGCATCAGCAACTGTGATCAAGACCGGCCGCTCTCTACGAACGCATCAACGCACTTAGCACTGTCTCGACGGGACGACTATACTTGTGCCCCTGGAAGTCAGTGATACTATCATACCACAGTAAACATAGCGTTACATACTAATTTTTCGAGCAGGGCCTTGCAAAAATGAGGCTTGCTGTGGAGGTACGTTCATATGAGCTTTTCACTGGCTTTTCCAAGCTCTGAGAAACTGACACACCCGGACAGAGAGCGGTAACTGCGGATATGGACCTGTGTATTGTGGTACAGGCTGCTCGAGCCATTGTGACGCAACTGCGGAGTGCGGCCAGTTCTCCAAGGTTCCCGGAACGAAATGCCCTCTGAATACCTGGTATATCCTCTCACAAGCTACGCGCTTTAGATGCACAACAATAAGACCAAGGTCGCTGATGGATGTCTAGCTGTTCGCAACATGGCTTTTGCGGAACCACATCAGGTACACATCACCAGTTTGGGATGCTGCATGGCGTTATTTGATTGCTGACCTCATAAACAGAATTTTGTGGAGAAAAGTGTCAGTCCAACTGCGTCGAACACCCTGAGCCGCCTGGTGGTGGAGGTGGAAAATTACTCGATCGAGGTGAGAGAAACTTTTGCTCGAACCTACAAGTGTGCGGAAGCTTACCTCTTCAGTGATTGGATACTGGGAAGCCTGGAACGCCAGATCTGATTGTCATAACACACAAGCTACGGATCTTCCTCGTAAGTGACATCCATAGCCCCGTCTCAAGCTCAATCCTCATCAACGTGGGACAGTCGAAGCTCTCACGCACGTCAACTATGCCTTCGCCTACATCGACCCGAAAACTTTCGAAATCACCACTATGGACGCCCAAACGCCAACAAGTACGTTTCAGGATGCCGTCTCGCTGAAGGACTTGAAGCCAAATCTCAAGATCTTCGTCAGCATTGGCGGTTGGACCTTCTCAGACAACGGCACAACTACGCAGTCTGTGTTCGGGAATATCGCCCGGAACGCAAGTAACCGACAAAAGTTTGCAGATAACTTGTTGAAATTCATGAATGGATACGGTTACGATGGCGTTGATCTTGACTGGTAATTGATGAATAAACTGCTTCCTCCTGTGCACGCGTTGACTACATTTAGGGAATATCCCGGAGCACCCGACCGTGGTGGCAAAGAAGATGATACTCAAAATTACATCGAACTCCTCAAGACATTGCGGTCGTCTTTTGACAAATCCGGACGAGAACTGGAAATCAGCTTTACTGCGCCATCGTCATTTTGGTACCTTCGTTGGTTCGACCTGCCCGGCATGATGAAGTACGCTGACTGGGTTAATCTGGTAAGCTCGGACAAATGAACTTGTATTGCACCTACTGCGAATGGAAGCTAACAGCCCGACCAGATGAGTTATGACCTCCATGGTATCTGGGATAGTAGTAATCCCATGTGAGTATACCTCGGGACCCTATCGTTGGGAAAGTGTTCTCATGGCTAACTTTAAATGAAGCGGGTCAGTCGTCCAGGCACATACAAATCTCACTGAGATCAAGCTGGCTGTCGAGCTTTTTTGGCGTGTTCATATTCCTCCGTCGAAGATTGCCTTGGGCTTTGGGTTCTATGGTAGATCATTCACACTTGCCGACCCGAGCTGTACCGAGCCTGGCTGCCTCTTCAGCGTAAGTGAGCCTCTAGCAGAGTCTCTGGTCCGAAGTTGGCATGGTATTCCAGGATTGCGCTCATGATGATTCTACAGGGTGGCGCAAAGAAAGGTGTATGTACTGGAACCAGCGGATACCTCGCATACTACGAAATTCAGGACATTTTGAACAAGAACAAGAAACGAGCCTTATCGGTCGTCCACGACAAAGAAGCAGCTGTCAAGTATTTCTCGTGGGATGACAATCAGTGGATCTCGTACGACGACGCAGAATCTTTTAAACAGAAGAAAGACTGGGCCAACGACATTGGGTTCTCGGGGTCTTTAATCTGGGCGTCCGATCTGGACGACTACGACAACACAGCTCACAAAGCTTTCACCGGCAACAGCAAGATCGGGTCGAGAAACAGTCTTGACAAAGTCAACCACCAGCAGGAGTACACGGAGACTGCCAACTCCTTTCTCGGCCAAGGATGCAAATTCAACGAGACCGTCATCAACGACGTTAAGAGCTACGACTGCGGCACGGACATGGAACTCGTGAGCTATGATACGCATGGTTGCAAAGGGGACAAGGTGAGTCTTTGCCGCAGGGTTGAAATTGAGAAATCACAGATAGCTGACAGACAGCAACGATAGAACCACAAGGACTGGCAATGTGGATGGCCTATGTGCTGTCCTACTTCGGCACGCATGAAGGACAAGTGTACCTGGCGTGGAGGCGGTGGGGGCTCCGGTGGGGGAGACTGCAACGGACAGTGCCATGCTAATGAGGTGAAAATTGGCGGCTCATCCTGGGGTGGCTCGCCAGGGGAGTCAGGTACTGGTAGATGCAGCCGAGGAGGCAAGGCCCTTTGTTGCACTGTCGAACTCGAAGCCGTTACGAGCGGCTGCTACTGGACAACAGGATGGTAATAACAACCCAAAGCAACCGCAGGAATGATTTCGAACAGGCTAACCGGTATATCGCAGCGATAACAAGGCGTGTCAGTCTGACGAGGACAGTGTTGCCCACGCCTTCAATATCAACGATGAGTGCGTCGAAGAACTGCCCCCATTGAAGCGGCGGGACGATGGACTCTTCAGTCTGGTGTCACGAGCGTCCGATGTGGGACAAAACTACTGCTGCAAGAAGAGCAAAAAGGCCTTCGACACGTGTAACTGGATTGGCAAGGGTGATTGTGCCCAGAACACCTGTGACCGAGGAGAGGTCACGTTGACGACTGATTATTATGGGGACAGTGACATCTCCTGTAACTGTGCGTATCCTTCCGTTTCCAGGCATCTCCCCATACCATCTTCCGGAATATGCTCCTGTATCGATTTGAGACTAACATGCAGCCTTCGTCTGCTTAGGGTGGCGTAAGAAAGCACTCTGTTGCACAGCCAACCAGGACGCTCTGAATGACCCTATATGCGACGCAGATCTCTGCGATGGCAACGAGGATCAATGCGATGACCCCGAATCGGACGACACATCTCTCAGGAAGCGGTCCTTGTTCGGTAGTGCGCCATTGGGCTCATATCTCCTAGAAAAGCGTGCAGTAAGGCCGGGCGCAGCTAAGAACCGCCTCCTTGATCTCTCAAGATATGCTGCCGGTCTAGCAGTCCAACCTTTGAGTCTCACGAGCGCCCCATATCCGTCGGGGTTTGGAAAACTTTTCCAGGGCGGCGGTCTGAGTACGCTGCCGATCAAAGGTGGCTACATGATGAAAGACGCCATCTGCAAGAGCCTGGGCGTAAGTTTGGTAGTAGTAGGCAATATCCCAAAATCTACTGTTTCATACACTGGGAAATCGGCTCGTTGGAACACAGAGCATTGGAGAGAGGTAAGCCTGCAATCAAGACTAACTCTGTCGGCTCAAATTATCCCATCAACTCAAGACACTGTATGGTTAACATGTCCTGCAGATCAACAGCCTCGACAAGCTGCTCATAACGGCCGCGTCAGGCATTCTACTGTCGAGCAAGAAGATGTTAACAACACCAATGAAGGTGGAAGATATCATCAGCGCGTGGAATGCGGTTTACCCCGCGGGCGCCACCCTACACCAACTAGGCAATGCCTTTGTCACCGGGGTGGAAGGCTACGGCGACAAGCTCGACGAATGGGGCAACGACTGGAACACTCTCCGCACGCCGAACATGGTTTTCCATACTATTCTTGGGGCTCATTCCTACCGCTATGGCCTCTCCTACCTCCCCGCTGACATGAACATCATGAAGAAGTTGATGCTGCTGGGCCAAAATCCTATCGGCATTGACCCCTTCACCAAGGCGCTGGAAGCTGCGGCTGGGACCGATACGAAAAAAGCAGTGCAAGCTGTCAGCTTTCTGCTCACTGGACTTCAAAAGGTGCGTTGAACTCTATGATGCCCTTCCCCTTCTAACTTTCGAACTTCATACCTAACCACATGATCTCCAACAACAGACTTTCGGCACAGTTAATTACTACAATGACGCCTACCTAGCCCACTACTTTGACAAGGCCAACTCGGACTTATACGCCGCAGCGAAGAACATGGCTACGTATTACAAGGGCTGGGAAAATTTCCCGGCTATCCTCAAGGAGTTCGACGCCGACCAACTTGAGTACGCCAGCACCAAGGCGCAGGCCTTTATGACCGCTCGCGCTGGGATGATTCTCAACACGTTCCAGGACACCGACCCGGCTAAGGCCGCTGAACATGTTGCGCAACTAATCACTACAACCACACTGTATGCGAAGTCCATTAACAAGTTGAAATTCAGTACGACCAATGTGTAGGGGATGTGAGGGTAGCTCCAAGGATCTACTTGAGCCATTCAGCTTCAAATACGCGTGTCTAGAGAATGAGTCAGTTTTTGTAAGATAGCAAGTCAAATGTATCTCTTCTTCTATTCGGCACCTTGCGCCCCTCATGCACTCTTACCTCCTCGTCTGCAAACTTGAGTACCCCGTCTTTGCTGCCATTTTATTTCTTCGAAACACCCTCGACGTCAGTGATGTCAACATATTCATCTGATTAGTTTATAGTATAAAACGTACTGAACGCAGATGCATAGAGGCGCTGTTTGATCTTGTCAAGTAGGGTTCATTGGTAGAGTCTATCAGGCTAACTATCGATTCTATAAGTTTGTTAGTAATAGTCCTGCATGACTTATGTACTTATCACGCTCAGGTATGTAACAAAGAAATACGACCTAGTCGATCTACGTCATTGGAGTGCATTGCACTCTGACACTCCTCACTTTTTCTCTTCCTTGTCTGTAGCCTCCCTCCTCTCCAAGATCTTGTCAACAATGCCGAATTCCACCGCCTCCTGCGCGTCCATGAAGTAGTCACGCTCCATGTACTTCTCAATCTCCTCCAAGCTCGTCTTCTTCGTCAGATGCTGTTGATATATCCTGTTCAGCTTATCCCTGATCCTCAGAATCTCCTTTGCGTGATCCGCAATGTCGCTCGCCTTGCCCGAGTATCCTCCACTTGGCTGGTGAATCATGACCCTCGCATGTGGCAAGATATACCGTTCTCCAGCAGCGCCCCCAGCAAGCAACAAAGACCCCATAGACGCCGCCTGGCCCATGCAAATTGTGCTGACGGGACAGCGAATGTAGTTCATGGTGTCGTAGATGGCGAGACCTGCGCTAACGCTTCCACCAGGGGAGTTTATGTAGAGCGATATGGGCTTCTCCGGGTTGTCGGCTTCGAGGAAGAGAAGCTGAGCGACGATCATGGCGGACATTGACTCTTCGACTTCGCCGTTCAGACAGATGATGCGTTCTTGGAGGAGTCGCGAGAAGATGTCAGACGTTTTCCAGCCTCCACCCTACAAAGTCAGCTTGCGAAGATATACAAGGTTCTGAGGGAGACTTACAACTGTCTCCGTCACGTAGGGTATGGGCATGGATGCTGCACGCGGCAACTGCTGCTGTTGCGACGCCCATTGTGTAGGGAAACCGAAGTTGCTCGACATGCAACGCACGCCATGTCTCCGCGACGTCTGGGATAGTATCGGCCTTGCGGCTCTTTGTAGTAATGTCGCCATGACGTGTGTCTTGAAGTTCGAGGTTGCAACTTGGGGGCGATGACACACGCTAGATGCGGCGCTAGTTCCGCACAAGTAGATTCTCGTCGGACTCCCGAGATGACGAGTAAAACCTCCGCGACGCTCATCTTCTGCCTCATGCTCGGCAGATGCACCCCACATCTGCAATCATGCTTGAGCCTGGCTGAAAGAGCTCTCCGGGCTCGGTGCCGTCTCTATTCCACCAACACCTACAACTTGAAGGGAGATCAACTTGGTCCTACACGCGAAGATGCCCATGGGTCGTTTCGCGCCCGCAGAGATGGGACGTTAAAAGAGCTTCCACTTCCCCCGTTACTCGATCCCGTAGTTCTTGAGAAGAGATCGCGCTGGGAGCAGACGAAGCAACAGCCAGATGTTGCAAATTTCACGCCATTCCAGAAGAAGCTATGGGAGAACCCGTTTGGTACGTCCCCTCTTCGCATGTGAGTGAAGCTTGCTAATGACGTCCAGCACATGCTCTGGCATCTCCTGTCCGCCAATGCCGCGCAACCCAAGTCTCCCTTCCTGAGTCGCTCTTCGTCTCCTTGTACCCCCGCCCGCATCCTACAACCAACGATCCATGGCTCCTTCCCGTCTCGCTGACAGCAGAGGGAGGTCAACTTGGAACGCCGTACTACTTCCTTGGTCGAGAGATCATCGCCACGAGTCTGGGTAAGAAGAAGGCATGGGAGAGGTTGATGAATTCTCGCATGCTTCACAAACTCGGCAGCAGCGTGCGGAAGATGGTATGGAGAGAAGACATGCCCAGTCTGATCTTGGACCTTATGCGCAAAAGGCTGGTAAAGAAGCTGAGCTGGAATTTTGGATTCAAGGGACGCCTTACGCCTGTGGCCAGTGAGTGGACTGAAGACATCAAAGATGTAGAGGACGTGTCATGCGTTTTAGTCTTCCGTTCACTTCGCCTGCGCGCGGACGACCTGCAGGACTGCGCCGACGAAATTGCTTCGGAGCTGGAGAAATGGTCACTGTACTTCATGAAAGGTTTCACCGCGAAGCTTGATCCTCACGCGTCTCCAGAGGTCACGCATGCCTCTCCGACCTGGTACTTTGAACCCTTAGTCCCTCGCTTGCAACCTCGGCTGCAGTTCCCAGAGCTCGAATTCAAAAGCACGACATGGCGTGGAACAAAAGTCCCCTTGTACAGTCTGACCGACCTTCTAGGACCAGACAAGGCGCAGGAGTTGATCAAAGGGAGCAAATATGAAAAGGAGAAATGCGTTATCATCAAGAGAGCCAGGCATAACGTCCCAGTCGAGATGCTGTTCATGCAGCTACAGGCCTACATTGCGAAGCCAGGTCCCTAAAAATACCCCAACATATCAAATTCTGTTTCATCCTACTTTTCTACATGTTTCCTCGCTCTCCTTTCTTCCCAATCCCCCTTCACAGCCCCGAAAATATGCATATCCAGAAGCTTTCCACCCTTCTCATAATGATCCTTGAGCACTCTCTCTCGCTCATATCCAGCTTTCTCAAAACAGCGCATACTGCCCACATTTCCATCGAGCACCCCGCCCCACAACACACACAAGCCCCTTCCCTCCTGTTCCTTCGAAAAACACCACGCAGTAAATTTCTCCAACACCTCTGTAATGTATCCTCGTCCCCAGTACGCATCTCCAAGCCAGAATCCGACTTCTGCTGTGTTCGCGTTGGCATCTGGGTTAAACCTGAGGCCTACATTGCCAATCATGATTCCGGGGGATTCAGAGTTATAGATTCCGAAGCTGTTCGCGGACGCGCCGAGATTGAGGTTGATCCAGTGTGTGGCGTCGGAGGGCGTGTAAGGGTGCGGGAAGGAGGGGGACATGTATTTCGCTACCATGGGGGAAGTGGCATGCTGGGCCATAGAGACTGCGTCGAGAGGGTGCATGGGCCGGACTGTGATGCGGGAGGGTGGAAATAGAGGGGGTGGGAGTTCATCTTCTGTTGTCGGTGACTGGACCGGTGGTGTTAGGGTGGTCATTATGTATGATCTCTTGTAGAAGGACTTGTTCTGACGATTTTGCAGTCGTGACACTCTTGGGATCGGAGATTATCTTTTTGGCCAAGGTATATTTAACCACTTATATATTTCGCAGCTGCCACTTGAGTCATCTCTTGGTGACTATTAACTCAGAATTGTTGCAACCTACAATCATTGCGAGAAGCACCTTCCTATTCGGGTTGGCGATGACTGGTTGCCTGACGCGAGCTCCACCGGTCAGAAAGCCCGCATTTGACCAGAGAAGCTACGCCACAAACTTGTCGTCTCTTACAGCTTCTGGAGCACTTGGTGGGATAAGGGGTGACGTCGTGCTGGGAGTGGCCCCTGCGGCGACACGCTAAGACGCGTATCGCGTGGGGCATTTCACGTTCGCTGACATTCTTCAATATCACTATTCCGCAGCGCTACCATGTCGTCTTTCACAGCAAAGTATGTTTTCGTCACTGCACGTGTATGGCTTGGCTAATTCAGGTACAGGAAAGTCGTCCGGACATATTCGCGACAGAAGAAACGCCCGTTTTACGATGAGGAACTGTCCAATACCAAGCGAAGACGCGTCGAAAGCGCGTTCGAAAGTGTCGAAATCGAAGACGTGACAACCACCACTCTTGACACGCCTCTAAAGAGTCCTTCTCGCGCACGCGACAGCTCTGTACCTCCCACATCAAGCCCGAAAGAATCACCTGCGTTGTTCTCCGACAAAGTCTTTCGATCTACCCCTCCTTCGTCTCCAGGACCGCGTGGTTCTTCGGCGCCTTCATCTCCACCTCCGCGTAGCTCCCCTTCGCCTCTACAACGTCGGCGACCTGTATTTTCACTCTTCAAGAAGAAAGTCAAGCCTGAGCGGCCAGCGACAGAGCCGCTGTTGCAGCGAAGTCACAATGCGCAGAGCTCGCCAAAACAGCCACCCAAGAAGAAGCGCATGGTGCAAATGCAGCTAGATCTAGCAGGAGAACACCGAAAGACATGCAAGACCTGCGGGATGGAGTACATACCATCCAACGCTGAAGATGCGGCTCTACACAAAAAGTTTCATGCGATGAACCTTGGGGGTGTGGACTTTACGAGGGCTATGACCGAGCGCTTCAGGCAGCGTCAGATCTGGAGTGGGGGCGAGGGAAGCTTCATTGCGGTTATAGGGCGGAAGGACGCGCTTGTGCTGCGCAACAGAGCGAGCGATGTTCTGAAGGTTGTCAATTCGGAACTTGCGGCTGTGCCTATATCAGATGAGGAGCTGTGGAGTCAAGCGGGGGTTGCAGGATCTGAAAATGCGACAACACCCAGCGCGAAGGTGCAGACTTCCAGCGCAAGTGCATCGCCTACAACGGGGGACAGATTCAAGGTGTACCTCTACATCCGCGGTCAGAAATGCGTGGGCGCGTGTCTGACAGAGAGAATCCAGGAGGCTTTTACTGTGCTGGAACAGGCTGATGCGTCAGAGCAAGTCTGTCGGCTGCCTACTGACTCTGAGAGCTCGTCCGTCTCCATCAGCACAACGGCGGACCCGGCTATGCTGGGTATCTCGCGCATCTGGACGTCGACCCAGCAGCGGAAACAGGGCGTGGCAAGGAAATTACTCGATTGTGCAAGGAGTGACTTTCTGTACGGCATGGTGGTGGACAAGGAGAAGACGGCCTTCAGCCAACCGACAGAGAGCGGGCAGAATCTGGCGCGGAAGTGGTTTGGTTGCCGGGCTGGGTGGCATGTGTATATCGATTGATGCTGTCCTTGCAGAATGAGGCTCCGGACACAAGTTCCAGCCTCATTATGCATACCTCGTGTCGCCAATCAAGAGCGATACAAGTTTGGAGCGGAGAAGTGTCAAAAATGCAAGTCTGGATGGTGGGGAAGCGCCAAAGACTAGCATTGTCGTGATTGGAACCACGCGCGCGTTGGGAAGAAAAGCCATGTACAACAAGCCAAGCGCCTTGACATGGTGGGGGGTTCGCTGGCCCTGATCTACATTCGGATTGCGGATCGCAGGATCGCGTCAACCGTCAGCAGCACGAGCTGTCAGACCCCCCGCTACTCACACCGCTCTTCACGAGCCTCTTCCGTGTACATAGAATAATGCACTGTTTTTAAACTTTGGACATGTCATCTGCGAACCCCTTCCGCGCATCCCCCCCGCCCAGCAATGCTCCTTTTGTGGCTGTTCCGCAGGCTTCCTTGAGCACTCCAGATAGCACGCCCGAGGCCCGTGAGGATGGGCGTTTTGGTATATTCTTGCCTTGGACATGAAGCTTGCTCAGGGACGGAAGGGTAACTGTATCACAGTGCTCGACGACACCATCTCGCTGCCGCCCCGGACCAAGAAGCATGTCCGCATAGAGTCCTCGACCGTCTTCATCCCTCCGCAGTCAAATATCGACAGCCCAGACATGACTGCCTACGCTGCTCTAACCCCGCCACTGGGCGCAACTCACTCGATGACCTCGCCGTTTCCGACATACCCTGCTGGCTGGTCCGACGAGCGTATACAGGCTGCACAAGATGCACGGGTGAGCTCGTGGTCAAGCCCCGGAGCGTCGCAGCCGACACCTTATCCAAGTGGAGTGCCGGCGAATCCGTTTTCCCGCACGTTGGCCACGATTGAGCCACAAGAGCAGGAGGGAGTGGTGGAGCGGACCGCGGCGGAAGGGGCGGTCCAGAGCAACAACAGAGCCTCGCTGGATGTGGAAAGCTTCAAGAACCTCCTTCTCACGGGCAGGCCGAGTGCCCGTCCGTCTGCCCAGTCACCGAAGACTGCTGCATCCACCATCTCGAGCGCCCCCATATTCGAGAGCAGCAGTAGCACCGACACATCTATATCACGGCAATCATTATTCGACCACTCATACGAAGCGCACGCTGAGTCGCCGCGTACATCGTACGAGATGGCCGCTTCAGACGAGGACGAGAGGAATCGTCTGGTGTCAGAAGTGAGGAAAGAGAAGAAGCAGCCGCCGCCTGCGCCGAAGCCTCGCCATGGCAAGCCTGTAGCACCGCGACAACCGCAGACGGTGTCGTTCGACGATTTTGCTGTGAACGTGCCCGCACCAGCTCCTGTGTCGAGGCAGAACAGCTTCGACACGAACAAGCCGCTTCCTCCCACGCCTGTTGCATCGCAGCCGCCTCTTCACATTACTACACAGGACAGCACACAACACCAACCGGCGCCTGTGGAGCTCAGACTCAGCGATACGCCGAGTACGTCGGATGTTTTGCACTCCCAGAAGAGGGCTCCACCGCCTGTGCCTCTGGCTCGTCGACAGAGCCAGCTTCGGAGCTCTGTGACGAGCAATAGATCACGCAGCAGCTCGAGCATCACCATGTCGTCACAAGTCTCAATCGACGCTGTTCTTCCAAGCCCTTCCGCAAGCATCAACGATCCAATGTCGAGTATCAAATCACCGCCTCCTCCACCACCTCGCAGACACGGAGCTCGACTGGCAAACATGGACACATCCAGCGCAAACTCGTCGACAACAGAGCTACCCCAGCGCTCCACCTCAGTCCGCACAACAGCATCCTCACAGGGCCCTTCGTCCTCGCGCAGGAGCACGATAGATTCAGAACCAGCTCCTTCTGTGTCTGGCGTTAACCGCACATCATCCATATCATCAACACGCAACCCAACACGAACCACATCAGGCGAGAGCACAGGAAGCACGATGCAATCTCCGCCACCACTTCCCCCGCCCCGGCGCCGTCAGTCCAATCGCTCTAGCCTCGACCAACAGCGCCCCCACGTACCCTCGTCTCCCACAGAGAGTCGTCGAACCAGCATGGAGAACAGGAGGACCAGTGTCGAAAGCAAGAGGCGCACAAGCGGCGCAAGTGAGAGCTCATTGAGACATGTATATGCGCCCGCGGACGAGAAATTTACAAGCAACGACTACGCGCTGTATTCGCCGAGAGAAGAGGTAGAAAACATTCTGGGTGCGGGCGTTGCGCAGGATGAGGGGAGGAAAGACTCGACCAGTATTTTGGACGATATGGAGAGGTTTCAGAGGGAGATTGATGAGCTGAGGGCTAAGTTTACTCAGGCGGGGTAGTGCGTCGCTTGATTCTTGTCCATGCTGGTGTGGATGAATAGGCCGTACGACGAGGTGGGATTGTGGGCGGCGTTTTGCTCTGCATCATGTGCAAGAGGGGAGGTTGGCATTGTTGGCTTTTCTACGCGGGGCTGTTTGCATTACGATTCACATTTCTAGGTCGAATATCGAATTCATGTCCTGCGCGTCTGGTCTATCATTTACCGTCTTCAATGTGTTGTGGAGATTCTGTAAAGTTTGCTATCTTGAAGTAACGGGGCAGCAAGGACAAACGGTGATACATCGACGTACACAACATCTTCAAACGCCCAACTTCTTCGACGTGTACCAAACGCCTATGTTCGTCTTCGTCTTCAACCTCACACCATCAATCCATATCCACGCCCAACCAACCTCGAATCCCACATACCAAAAACCGCAAAATGTCCACCCCCGCCCCCCTAATATACATCAACGCCTTCCCCGGCACCGGAAAACTAACCATAGCCCGCGCCCTGCTCCCCCTGCTCCCCCCTTCACACTCCCCCCCAATCCTCCTCGACACACACACCCTCATCGACCCCGTCGCCACCCACTACGCGCGCACGCACCCCGCCTACCAGCCCGCGCGAAAAGCAGAACGCGCGCGTGTATTCGCCTTATACGTAGAGAATGTGCAGTACAGGGGGAGTGTCGTGGTGGTCACTGGTTTGTTTCTCCTTTCCCTTCCCTTACATACCCCCTTCCAGAAATTGACTACTCACTACGTAGAATCCCGCTCCACGACCCCCCACGAGGTGCGCATAACGCGGGAATTTGTCGACGCGGCGGCGCGGGCGGGACGGCGCTTCATCCCTATTATTCTGCTGTGCGGTGTGGGTGAGAATATGCGGCGGGTGGCGAGTGAGGAGCGGAAGAGGAGTGGGACGACGAAGATTGTTTGTCCGGAGAGGGTAAGGGGGATTCGGGCGGGGAGTGAGATTTATCGGTTTGGGGTTGGGGAGGAACTGGTTATGGATGTTACGTGTTTGGAGGCTGGGGATGCGGCGGCGAGGATTGCGGAGTGGGTGGGCAGGGTTATGGAGGGAGGTGTGATTGGGGAGGTGGATGAGAACGGGAGGGTGGATTGACTTCATAGGAAGATATAATACAGCAGAAGCATCACTTCAGAATGGGAAAAGATAGTTCCAAGAGTCAGTGATGTGATTATTTTTGTATCAAGCATGGTAAAGTGCTGTGGTATGCTAGTCATACGCAAGCTTTTCATCGACGATAGACCCATCCCCCAAGATTCCCGCCAAATACAGAGATGGTTGCAGGCATACATCCGCCATCGCGACAGATCATCAAGCCAGACAGACAGAAAGCTGCAGAGGATGCCAGACGTATCCTAACGACATCGACCACACACGACGTGAGTCAGTAAGTGAGAGCATGTCTAGACGCCTAGACGGCAGCCAAAGCTACGTTCAGAACGGCGCCCGCAGCGAACAGTGAGCCCAGGCCGATGTAGGGAGTGGCAATGGCGAGGACAGCTCCAGCGGTCGAGACAGTGGCAGGCGTGCTAGTCGACGGGGACGGACGCGTCATGTCAGCCGTAGAAGATGGATTCAGAGTCGTACCGGGAGCAGACGCGCCAGACGAAGGACCGGGAGCGACAGGCATGTCCGAGGAAGGCACGGGGGCAAGAGGCTCGCCTGAAGACGGAACGGGACCGACGGGCGGAACTCCAGTGTCAGTGGGCGGGGCAGGTGGAGCGTCGGTGACGGAAGCCTCAGGCGGAGAGCTCAAAGGAGCAGTCGCCGTTGACTCGACCGAGGCGGCCGGGGGAGGAGGAGGAGGCGGCACCTCATACGAGGACACCGGGATGGTGGGGACTGGCGGGCCAGGCGTGCCACACTCAGTGACGGTGACAGTCACGGTGACAGCGGGAGCACAAGCTGGAGCACACGTTAGATTGGGTGTACAAAGAGCCAGTGGCGACTTACTGTCGGGAGCAACATCGTGAGCGACGACACTGGAGGCAAGCGCAGCAACGAGTGCGAGGACCTTGAAACCGAGCATGTTGATAGCGGTAAGCTGTTGGATCGTGTGAATGCGATAGAGCTGGCGTGAAGTATGTTGCGGTTGAATGGATGCAGCTCAGAGAATTGACGGTTGCAGGAGGTGTCGTGAAGAAGCAATGAAGAGTGTGGGTGGCGGGCGGTTTATATGTGGAAAGAGGAAATGACGAGGCGCGTTTGCAAGCAGAGAATTTTGCACGGACGCGATAAGGTTGCCTGGGGAGTGGTGGAGGTGAAGGAGAGGAGGGAAGGGAAAGTGCGCGGATTATGTACGCGGGAGGAGCACCTAGGTGTCACCGCCTCGCCCAAACAAACCGTTACTACTGTAACGCAAATGCATACAGCCTAACGAGCCTGTTTGGGCGAGCGCTTCGGCGTCCAGTGAATTTCCCCCATACTGCTCAATATGTGATGCAGCTCCAGATGTCCGTTGTTGTGCGACGAGGCCTTTCCAAGGGCCAGAGAGCAGAGAGTGAAGGTGCTCTCACGTGCAGGCACACACTTGCCCTCGCGATAAGGCGACTTCCCCATAACTTGCTCAGTGACGCAATGGCAATTTCCTGACGTCGGGGAAAACTTTGGACAGCGCGTTGGCCGTTTGTTTACCAGCTCTTGGCACTTGCCTGCCCTCGATAAAGCATCGCCAGACTCTTTAACTGCTTCTCTTCCTCACCAGCTTCTCACACTCGTTTACCACACTCTCAACTCACAACAACCGGCCTGCAGCTCGTTGCTTTCTTCATCAACCAGCTACACTCCTTTAGCTTCTTGCATCACCCCTCAACTCTCCTTCGCCATGAAGTTGCTCCAGCTTGCCGCCCTCAGCGGTGCTGTCTCTGCCCTCCGCCCTGTCGCAGGCCCACGTGGTGAGTCAATTGACCCTCATCTTCCATGTGCTTTCTCTCCATACCTCGACCACTGTTTCCACTTCCTCCACTGCATCACATGTCCAGACTCTTCTAACTCTTCCCGCAGGTGCTCGTCGTCAGGCCGACCCGGTCGTCACTTCGATCGTCTATGCTACGTCGACATACACGATCACTAAGTGTGCCGCGTCTGTCACCAACTGCCCAGCCAGTTCCGCGGTCTTTGAGACGTCGACTACTGTTATGAGCATTACGACCACCATCTGCCTAGCTCCCACTACCCCTGGATACTCGGCTCCTTCTTCTGAGGTCGTTCTCTTGCCACCCGTGAGCTCAGCTCCTCCTGCAGGTTCCTCCGCCGATGGCTCTGTCAGCATCCTCCCTCCTCCGCCAACTGCTCCTGTCTCGCTGCCAGGAACCACGGACACGCTCTCAGAGGCGGTGCCGACCTCATTCCCGCCAAACGCTCCTGAGTCTTCCAGCAACTACGCTCCTCCTGGGGTATCCACAAGTGCTCTGCCCATGCGATCTTCAGTCGACTTCCAGATCAGCCTCATCCCGGGGGTTCCCACGGCTTCCATGTCGCTCTGGGTGACTACGGGCACTGACTCTATCCCAACCTCTCTCCCACCAAGTATCTCCGAGTCTTATTTCATTCCCCGGCCTTCTCCAAGTGCTCCGCTCACTGATAGTCTCACGGACTCTATCCCAACATCATTCCCACCAGGTGTGTCCGGGCCTTCGAGCGGTTACGCTCCTCCTCAGTCTTCGGCGGATGCAACTTCCACTGGCAGTCTCACCGACTCCATCCCGACCTCATTCCCGCCAGGTGTCTCTGGACCCTCAAGTGATTACATGCCTCCTCAGCTTTCCACGAGTGCTCTTCCCACCGGCAGCCTTACTGACTCTATCCCGACGTCCTTTCCACCGGGCGTGCCTGAGGCCTCGAGCGGCTACGTTACCCCTCAGCCTTCATCAAGTGCTCTGCCCACCCTCAGTCTCTCCTCTACCGACATGAACACCAACACGGATGCGACCTACATCTCGGGTGTCACTCCTTCGAGTGGATATACTGCGCCACCTGCGTCATCCAACACAGCTTCCTCTGCGACTGATGCTGTACCAATCTCTGGTAGTCCCTTGTCGAGTGCATATGAGACTCCTTCAGGCTCGGTTGGTAGCCTTACGACTCCTTCAAACACTAACACGGACTCTGTCCCTACTTCTTCCCCTCTTTCTCCGTCTGATTCAGTCGGCAGCTCCACGACTCCCTCCAACACCAACACAGACTCTATCCCCACCTCGTTCCCCCCTTACCTGTCTGGCTCAGTCTCCGCTGGGCCATCTTCCAGCGAGTACGCTATCTCTTCCGGTAGCTCCGCCTCGAATACGGACGCAGTCCCGACATCACCAGCCTCGTCGTCTGGCCCAGCTTCGTCAACTACCGCTCCTACGGAAGGAACGTCGAGCTCAGTCCCCGACAGCTCATCCGAATTTCCCTCGGCCGTTCCATCTAGCCTTCTCAGCACGCTTTCGGAGACAGAACCGGCTGCTACATCCACCAGCTCAGGTTACGTTTACCCACCGCCGCCAGCTGAGGCCAGCTCTTCCGTCATCGATGGCACTACTAGAATTACGAGCTATCTGACGCAGACCATGACGTCTTTCATCACTGCGCGGCCTTCATCTAGCAACGATCCTAACACGCTGTCCAACACTCAAGCTGTGCCTACGAGCCGTGTCTCCAGCGGCTTTGCACTTCCATCTGGATCTGGGTAAGTCTTCATGTCTTGACTGGTCATCCGTCACCGCACACCTGCTAAGCTTTGAATTACAGTTACCCTTACCCATCCGGAGGCCTCAACGGCACCGTTGTCGCGCCTAGTCCCTCGTACGTTGAGGTTCCTATCAACATGGGCCAAGTCGTTGGGGCTGGTAGGAGTTCGGTTGCGGCCATCGTCGTCGCCATCGCCTTTGCTCACTTCGCTTGAGTCGGACACGGTTACGATACCTTCGCGGTCTATCTTCTATCATGGTGGATACGCTGCTGTGGCGACGCGAGAGGTCGGTGCGATGATCATGCATTCCATGAGCGGCTCGGTTCTATACATACTTACACTGTGGTATGGGTAATGGGTGGTCGATGATCTTTCTAGGGCACTGTCCTTTAGCTAGGCAGGCTTTTCCCTCGATATGTTACCAGTTACGCAGGGCCGGCTACCAGTCAGCATGTAATATACAGCACCTTTTACTACGGCCAAAATTGTGTCTTTGATGGTCTTTGTGAATGGTGAATGATTGTGGTGTTGTCTGATCAAGCTTTCGCGTGATGGAGATTGAACGAAGTCCGCCCGTGAGAGACTAAACTGCTTCGGTGGTAGTGTGCACTGCTCCGACATCGCGACATCAAAACTACTGATGTGAACTTTTTGCGATATCTCCAAAATACTACTCTCGCGTACACTCTATTCTCTCATGTTGCAGAAAGCCTTCCTTTGAGTTTGTACGCCTCTCGATTTCAACGACGAATCTTGTATCTCCTTTGAATTGAAGACTTACATGAACGAAGAGATATAAGAAGAACCACTCCAACATGTCACCATCACAAAGACCGGAACCCATTTCCTCATATTTCCCGCTCAAAAAGCCCATCATCCTCGACGGCGCACTAGCAACCTACCTCGAAACCCTCGGCGCCGACATCTCCGGCTCCCTCTGGTCAGCCGACATCCTCACCAAAGACCCCTCTGTAATCAAACAAGCACACCTGGACTACTTCCGCGCGGGAGCAAACGTCGCCATCACCGCAAGCTACCAAGCAAGTATCCCAGGCCTAGTCCAACACCTCCAGATCAGCGAAGAAGAAGCCCGCGGACTAGTAGCCAGGAGCGTCGAGCTCGCCATCTCAGCGCGCGATGAAGTCTTGCAGGAACGCGAGGACGAAAAGACGCGCGAACCGCTGTGGATAGCAGGAAGCGTGGGCCCCTACGGCGCTTTCCTCGCAGACGGAAGTGAATACCGCGGCGACTACACTGTTAGCAAAGAAGCCATGAAGGAATTCCACCGCGGCCGCATCGCTGCCCTCATCGCAGCCGGCGTCGATATTCTCGCCTGCGAGACCATCCCGCAGAAAGGCGAGGTTGAGGCGCTGGCTGAACTTCTGGTCACTGAGTTTCCGCGCACAGAAGCGTGGTTCTCCTTCACACTGCGCGATAGTACGCATATCGCCGATGGCACACCATTAGCCGATATCGTCGACATCCTGCAGGATGTAAAGCAAGTCGTCGCGCTAGGATTTAACTGCGTGGCCGATGGTGTGGGGCTCGATGCGCTGAGGGTGTTGAAGGGGCTGTGGACGCGGGGCCCGCTGGTTATGTATCCTAATTCTGGGGAGATGTGGAATGCGGGGACGAGGGGGTGGGAGGGGGTGCGGACCGAGGGCGAGGGGTTGAGGGGGAAGACTGTGCTTTGGTGGGAGGCGGGCGCGGGGCTTATTGGGGGGTGTTGTAGGACTACGCCGGTGGATATTGGGGTTATGAGGGGTGCGGTGGGGAGGTAGGGGGTGTGTTGGTGGGCTTGGGGTGGGTTCTTGGGGTTATTGACAGTGTGGAGGGAATGTGTGAGGAGCTGCGTGCTGGACAACTTCACGCAAGGGGTTGAAGAGGATTTGAGAGGGACGGCGATTGCATGTTCATCGATTGCATTTACAGAGCATGTAGCGTGACACCAATACGTGAGTTGTTCGTTCGTCTACGTGTCTTGCTGGGTTCATGTGGTTACGGTAAGTTCTTTCGCCCATGCCCCTTCTCGTTTATGATCATGTCTTCTTCCTCGCATTGCTTGCCTTGGGCCATGTAGGTGCAGACGAAGCACGGCCGTCATGACTGAGCCTATGCAAAGCACTACAGTACCTTTTGCACGTCTTTTTCAAGTCTCTCGACTCTACTCAAACGCTCACTCCGACTTGCCGTTGCAGTGCGACTTGGATGCTTTCGCTGTCCGTCTGCTCTGCGCTCAAGCCCAGTCTGGCTCGGGGTATCATGTGTTCTCGACTTTCCTCCGTCTCCCCCCTCCTTCAGCCATCGACAGCCATGTCTTCCCCATTCACATCCCCCCCACTCCTCTTCGTAAGATCCTCCAGCACCGCCTTCAGCCTATTCAACGCATCCTCCCCACCCACCTGACCCGACGCAGCCCTCGCATTCAACACCCCCACATCAAAATCGCCATACCCCCCATTCTTAACCCCAGCCTCTGAATCTCTCGGCCTGTCCTCCTGACCATCCACAGCGCGGGGCTGTGCAGCCGTAAAGCGCTGATGCGCTGCAGGTATAACGCCGTGCTTCTCCAGCTCCTCAATCTGGGTGATGAGCTCCTCGCGCAGGATATTCGTCATCATCATGACGGTGCCCATTGCTTCTCGAAGGGCGACCTGGCGCGCGAGGACGCTGTCGGGTTGGTTTTGTTGCTTCTCTGTGTGGATGGGCGAGGTGGTGAGCTGGGTCAGGGCGGTTGCGAAGTAGGTCAGCATTGTGGGGAGGTGCTCGTTTAGGCGGCTGAGGTGGCGGATGTTGGAGGCGGCGGTTTGGCGGTAGGTTTGCGCTTCTTGCGGGTTTGGGGCTTGTTGGGAGGAGGGCGCGGAGGGTACGTCGGGCTGCGCGGTAGCTTGCTGGGGAGTGTCGGTAGACATTGTGGAGATAGCTGAGATAGGGAAGGTTTCGTGGGATGTGTGTTGGAGGTGGGTATCTCCGCGACTCGAACGGTCAGGTGGTCAAGCAACGCGACAGTAATGTGAGTGTTCAATGATGTAGGTGAGGAGGGCGGGCGAGCTTGAGTTCCGCTCCTTAGCGCCATTTCGAGCTCCACCTCCAGCATCAATCCGTCAACTCACCATTCAAGCATTTGACGCCAACGACATATCAGAACGCGCCTTCCGACTCTCCACGATACAATCACGCGTCATAACCCCTCGACTCAAGCTGCACCTGGCGCAACTGTCCAAATCCCTGCTAGTCGTCCATGCGCAACGCGCCGCGCTCATTCCCCGTTTCGAGGTGAGGGAAGCGCATAGCAGAGAAGACGTCCATTCACCGTCATGTCGGGGCCGCCGGGGCCAGGACCTGCAAGAGCTATGAGCGTGGGAAACAATGGTCCGCCCAGCGCTGGCCTTCCGCCTCACAACACCATGGCGCCCCAGCCAGTCCCTCCGTCTGCGAGCGCTTCTGGGCCGCAGACACAACAAAACTTGAATCAAATTGTGAGTTTGGGAGTTTTCATGTACTGATCTTCTTCTTGTCTGTTGCTTCAGCTTTACCACCACATGTGTGAGACACCGTCTTAAGTTGCCTTGCTTGTGCTCACAACACCAAGGTCCTAGAATACCTCTCCAAGAAGGGCTATGTTCGCACCGAGGCCATGCTCCGCAAGGAGTCCGAACCACAAGCCAACGGCCAGTCTCTCGTACCCCACAGCACCGAAGTGGGCGGCTTGAAGTACACCAAGGCCTTCGAGCTGATACGGAAATACACAGAGGACAACTTGGATCTGTACAGGCCAGAACTGCGCAAGCTGCTGTGGCCCATGTTCGTGTACTCGTTCCTCGACCTCGTGCGGGAGTACTTTTCCAAGGATGCTGAGACCTTCTTCGCGACATACCAAGGCTTGTTCGAACGCGACCATGAAGAAGATATCAAGACAATGCGCCAGGTACGGCTACCCACACACATCAAGGAGAGCCGCATCGCAAAGCTTTACACCGAGAACAAGTACCGCGTGACCTTGACTACCATGCCATTCTACAATCTGGTCCAATTCCTCGAGTCTAAGATGTTCGAGGGTGGACAGGCTCTCCTCGATATAATTCGAGAGCACCTGAACATAGTCACAGTTGACCGCACTACCACAGCGGAGAAGAGCATCGCAGCCATACTGGCCAATGAGCAAGGCGACGATGACCTTCCGGCCGAGGACGAGGGTATTCCTGGACACAACCCTGGACATCCGCTCACCACTCGCCACGACCCCGAGGCAGATGCCTCGCGGATACGACTGGCGCTGGGCCTGTATCCTCAAGATCAGGACTTGCAAGATGACGTCCGCGCAGCACTGCAAGACGAGGACGCCAAAAACGCGCCCAGGCCAGGGCAACAGACGCTGGTAGAGGAGTACGAGCAACGCATAAAGCGCGAGCCTACAGAGGATGGACCGTCGCGGGACACAATCCCTCTACCGCCATCGTTGGCACGCGACGTCTCTATGGAAGTGTCCAAGATTCAGGAATATCGGGATCGATACAAGATGGAGGACAGAACAGGAGGCGTGGGCCCTGCGGTCAGCGTCACCATGTACACCTTTCACAACACGTTTGACAGGTAAATTTAGCACTGACGCGTGGGAAACCCAAAAGCTAACGAGTTTACACAGCGTCAACTGTATCGACTTTTCTGGCGATCATTTGCTTGCCGCAGTCGGCATGGCCGAATCATACATTCGTGTGTGGTCAATGGACGGCAGTCCCCTCACATCTTCGGGTCCTGACCAGAACATCCAACCATCGGCATCACGTCGACTTGTCGGGCATGCTGGCCCCGTCTACGCAATATCTTTCTCGCCCTCTACGACAAACCCAGATCCCACGGGCCCACCCACAAATTCACAATACCTTCTCTCCTGCTCTGAAGACAAGACTATCCGCCTCTGGTCTCTAGAAACCTGGACTTGTCTCGTCGCCTACCGCGGTCACGACAATCCCATCTGGGATCTGCAATGGGGCCCATATGGTCACTACTTCCTTACCGGATCCAACGACCGTACAGCGCGCCTGTGGTCAACAGACCACATCGAACCTCTTCGCATCTACGTTGGCCACGACAACGACGTCGACTGTGTAAGCTTCCACCCAAACAACCTCTACGTCTTCACAGGCTCCTGCGACCGCACAGTCCGCATGTGGCACATCGCCGGCGGCAACTGTCTCCGCCTCTTCACAGGGCACACAGGAAACGTGACAGCCATTGCATGTTCTCCAGACGGCAAGATCCTCGCCTCCGCCGACGACGCCGGGAACATCATCCTCTGGACCCTCGAGACTGGGCGACGTAAGAAGCGCATGCGCGGCCACGGCAAGGGCGGCATCTGGAGTCTATCCTGGAGCGTCGAGTCCAGCGTTCTTGTTTCCGCCGGCGCAGACAAGACAGTGCGTGTCTGGGACGTGCTGCAGGAAACCAGCGAGTCGAGCGGCAAGGCTGCAGACGGGAGCACGGCGAAAACTGATGGCGCATTGGCGACCAAGGGGGCGAGCGGTACGACGGTCTCGGGCGCAAAGAAGGCGGCGAAGGAGACAGGTGTGTCGGCTGATCAGATCAGCGCGTTCCCTACGAAGGATTCGCCGGTCTATAAGGTTCAGTTTACACGCATGAATCTGGTGCTCGCTGGTGGTGCGTATCTGCCGCAGAAGATTTGATGGGGTGGGGTAGGTTCCAATGGTGCAAGTAGGCGTTCTGGTGGGAGTAAAAGCGGTATGGATTTTGCCTCGATCTTGGGAGTTTTCGAGATCAGCATTCTTAGTCTTGGGGTGTGTGAGAACTTGATCTTTGGATGGGGAAATCATATAAGACTCATAACTACCACATCGAATTCCTTATAACTCATTATAATTTCGAGTGAATTTTGTGTCGAGTGATGGATCTCAAGCGCTTGCACCTTCCTCACAGATCGGGTCCGTGCACTACTCTCACGACTTCCAACAGCGTCGTCCTTTTATCACACTCCACTTCGTTGTTATTCGAAAGCGCGTTCATTTCGAAGATCTTTTGTTGTCACGCTATTTGATAGTTGGACGACGATGAATCATGCACTGCATTGATTACAATCTCGAGCTTATGAGGCCATGCACCTGATCGAGCGAGGCGAGGCGACGCGATCTTGGCTCTGTGGTGCAAGGCAACAGTCAACCACCACCTCAACAGAACCGGAGTGTGAAACATCGCGCCACAAGAGCTAGATATCCGCCGAAGTTCACAATCATGGCGATCTTCGATGAGACGACAGGTCAGGTCTACACAGAAAGAACGTCTGCGAGAGTCACGTCCATGGTGCCGACATGGATGCATCAAGCCAGAAACAAAAAAGTCAATCCATCTGCGTACCAAAACCGCGGAATCGGCTCCGCTACTCTTCAAGATATGGCTCTTCGTTGCTGTGCTTGGAACGCGGACTCGTTTATGCCGGATGCTTTGATATGGGCGGAATGGCATTACGCTGGGAAAATCTACAGGCAAATCAAGGACACGTGAGTTTGTTGAATTTGAGGGTGTTTGGGACTGGGCCGGGCTGATCTTGGTGTGTAGTGAGAGCCTGACATTCAACACTTGGAATATCTTCCATGAAGCGTTCCCGAAGGAGGTCGAGCTCAATCACCACTTCACTCTGACTGAGCTAGGCGATGGACCGCGCAATCAGTTACCTTCCATATTCAACCGCCTGGCAAAACTCGACACCAGTATGCTGACTTTTATATGCATACAAAACTATGACATGCGCCTCGAGCATTTAGTTACGCTTACCAAAGTCGACACGCTTTCCAGTCTCATACTGCAAGCAAAACAGTTTCGGACCGCATGTCAGTTTACCGGTGTAGCTTCCATCGAGGCTGTGAAGGACTTGAGAGACTGGGCGCGGGTTGTGCGTGAAAATGGGGCTTTCCAGAAGCTCAGAATGCTCGTCTACAACAGCTTTGGTATAGAGATACCGACCGTCCTGCAAAGCGTGTCGGAATTCCCCTCTCTGTGTCTTGTTGGAATCACTGATCACTGGATGGCCGAGCAACGGGAATCGCATCTTGATTGGCGCTGGATAGATCCCGACAGGTAGGGAATTCACACGTTGATTGCCATGGATCAGTGTCTGACATGACTAGGCAACAAACTACATCAGATACGTTCCAAGAACCAGATCCGAACGCTATTTGGAATCGCCACGATTTGACAACGCTGCGCAAAGCTGAGCTGCTTTACAACATGTCCTATGCATTGCTCCGGCAGCCCGGTCCTGGCTCTGACACATATCCTGCTATCGTTGTGTCTTACGGGGCAACATCTAGTTACATTGCTAACCTAACTAACGGCTTGGATTGGTATGTCCGGGATCCCAAACAGAGCAATCAAATCCCGTTGAAACACGTCGCGGACGACCTACCTCGGAAAGACAGAGACGGAGGAAGACCGAGCAAGAAGAGGAGGATGAGACAAGGAAAGCAAAAAGAGATTGGTTCGATGTTGGGAGCTTTTTCTGCTTGAGGTTCGTGCCCACTATCGTGTTTGATATTTCGTAGTGCGCTTTTGCTGAACTGATTCAGTGCAAGCGGCTTGCAGACCAGTCAGTGGTCGATCGTGGAAGCAGAGACGTACACCAGAAGTGTGCTGAGTGCATAGGTATCTTGTTGTTACGGAATATCTACAGAAATCATTCTTCGCGATTAGCCTTGACTCGAGAAACGTCCAGACACACCTCACAGCATCATATCTATCACTATCGACGTGTCTAGACGAGCGATAAAGAGAGCTGCAGAGATCGCAAGAAGAATGCCTATTCATGCTCGAAGAATGACTACCAGAACGTTTATGGGAAACGCTTTAGGCGCCAACTACCAAGGTTAACTCACAGAAAGGTTTATCACAGTCGAACATTGTCCATCTCCCGCCCAACACCCCCATCCACTATCATCTGACCACTAGTCCGAAGCCGCCCAATCCACCCTCCTCAACCGCCAACCAAGATCCTCCATCTCATCCTGCACAAACGCAAACCCAACCCCATTCTCAAACAACCGCATATTCACCCCACACATCGTATCCGCAAGCCACGAGCCCGCATACCCCCCTGCGAAAAACTCTGTCAACAGAATATCCATATCCTGCAGCAGCAGCAAAGCACGAGTGAGACGATTAACAAGCGCATTCTGCTCGGCGAAGATATTCGTTGACGGGCCGGTTGGACGGCGAGCCCGACGCTCACACATCTGCATGCGGCAGAAAGGACACAGATTCGCGTTCTGGGCCGTGCCGTTGAGCCATGTGTCCAGACAGGGTTTCCCGATGATGTGATTGCAGGCCGAGATCAGGAAGGCGGGGTGAGACGACGTGTACGCGTCTAGACACACGCCGCATCGTTGCGAAGGGTCGGGATCGGGATCGTCGGGCTTAGCTGTGTCGATGTTGTCGTCCATCTCGCTGCCAGTGCGAAGTACCTCGCGCCCGAAATCCTCAACGTTGTGATCCGGACCGATATTCTCCAGCTTAACATCCCCATCGGATCGTGGGCCCCACATCTCCAGCGCGTGTAGGGTGCTTACGACTTCCTCAGCGAGCGCATGTTCTACTTCTTGGACGATGCGCTGCTCTTCCGCACCACCTATTATTCCGCGCAACGCCCATAGATCTCGTAGCCCTAAGACCAGGTACGCGACACGCGTCAACACATCCATTTCCACATCCGGGAGGGAGAGTGGAGGGTAGTGAGGGGTGGGCAGTGTGGTTGGGGATTCAAAGGGGTGGATTGGGGTGGGGACTGTTGAGGTGAGAGGTGGCATTGGTTCTGTTCCTTGGTTGTTGGCTTTTTAGTTGAGGGTGAGTTGGAGGAGAGGGGGTTGAGGTAGGTTGAGAGCTTGTATTGAGTTAGTCCTGTATGTGAATGATCTGGAATGAAATCTTACGTGGAAGTGCACAGCTTTACTTGCCCGGTAGTTGAACTGTGCTATATATCTAGCGTTGCTGTAATTCACTACCCTTTCTAGCATTGCGCAGGTAAGAGACGCTATTCAATACCAACACCAACTCACTCTAAATACCACCTCAACTTCATCTTGGTGCTCAAAGTCGACGTGAATCTGACTTCGATTCTAAGCTCAGTGACGGTGACTGGCGCTCTATTGTACACGGGTTTGTATTCGCATTCACCTCGTATCCCGCATTTGGGAGACAATAGCATGATATACAATTCTACTTTGGGGTTATTGTGGAAGACGTATCGCCCAGACTGCAGAAGTGAGAGATGAGGGATCCAAAGAAGGACGTGGATATCTTCTCTTCTTTTCCGTGGTCTTCAATGCGCGGTGGAAGGCGGTAAACTACATCAATGTTCTGCACACAAGCTGACCAAAGGAAGTATAGGAAGAACAAACGAGAAACGCGAGCATAGTGCCCATTAGGTATCTCGAAAATCATCATATGTACCCTCGCAATGGTGTGATGACGCTCGTGAAACATATACACGTACAAACACTTTGATATCTTCTCATCACCACAGCAAACCGCTCTACAACCAACCTTCCTTATCTCCCAAATTTCACCTCGCACCCCTCAACCGCTCAATCTCAGCCTGCATCCTCGCATGCTCCTCCTCCAGCTCCGCAAGATGTCTCAACCTCGCCATCCGCTCCTCCAACCCAGCTTTCGAGCTCTCCAGATCCGCAAGTCGCGCATCCTGACCCGCAGTACCGGGACTCTGCGGTGTCAAAGGCGACGAAGGGTAGCCTCTCTCCGCTGTTTCCGGCCGACCATCTCTCTCCGAAAGAATCGAAGCGGCGTCGCTATGTATGTAGGACGGCGACATGGATGGACTTGGTGCATTGGCGAGTTCCTGCATGATGGGGGTGCGAGGAGCTTGCGACGACGGGCGTGAGTCCCGCTCCTGTGGGTTGTACGGGGAATATGGGAGGTATCCAACTTGGGATGTCGCCGGTGTCGAGCCCTCCCAGTTTGTGTGTGTCGGGGTGTCGAGTTCCACCGGGCTCATGCGTGTTGGGGTGTTGGATTTTACGGAACGCGGAGATAGACTGGCTGGATGTGCCATGGCCATTTCGGTTTTTGATGGCCCTTTCAGGCCTTGGGTGGGGGTTTGTGTGCGCCCGAATGGGTAGTCGTTCTTGTTGTCATTGTTGGTGATGAGTTCGGGCACGGAAGCATCGTTGTACTGATCCGACGTCGTGGGAGCGGCGTTTTCTCTCTGCTTGCGGCGTCGGAAGAAGAAGAATGCGGCAACGAGGAGTATGAGTGCCAGCGCCCCAATGACTATGCCCACGATTGCTCCTATCGAGAGGCCAGGTTTTCCTGGATCTCCGGGGTCTGGCTGTGTGGTGATGCTAGGCCCAGCTCCGGATGCCGTTCTACTGAGTGTCGCGGATGTTGGACTGCTGAACGTTGTGAAGGGGGTTGCATTATCTAACACCACCTGTACCTGTCTTGCCCAGATGTAGTTGAAGGACGCTTGCCCGGAGGTCCACGAAACTATGGTTGGTACTAGTGATTGGCCCTGACATGAGTATGCGCTGCTAGTCCCCGATGAATACGTGTTGTCTGCTGCGCAGCTCTGACTGTCTGACATGTGAAGGGTTCTAAGCAAATTGTTACTACCACGCACAGCGTGTAAATCAATGGTAGGGAACTCACGATGGGCAGCATCCGATCGTAGAAACCATGTTTCCGTCGATATATACTCCATTGGACGTCCATCCAACTGGGCATGCTATTCCGGGTGAATACAGAAAGGGGGGAGCTGATGCGTCAAGATTGAGCGCTTGTGGGCCGCCCGGGAAACATGCACTTGCTAGGGAAGCCTGGCCATCTGAACCACAAGTCACATCTCGTACAATTCTTTCGCAATCACTCGTAGCAGTGATCTCGCACGAGACGACTTGGCTAGTGCAATACGACGGTGCAACAAATGGTGTTGTTAGGGGGCCGGCAACATTCTGAACCATCGACGACGTAGTGGGTATCGTTGATAAGGATAATAACTGAGTATCGCCTAATGGAGTACAGGCTAATAAAATGAATATTAAGACGCTCGGGGTAGACATGATGCAACTTGAAGGGAGGAACGAGGGACTACTCAACTGTACGCGACCAGGCTGAAGTCAATCATTTATAGGAAAATGCCCTCCAAGCCCAGCCTTGCGACTACATCCCCGCACGGTCTTCTAGCCTGCATACACATGCAGAATGAACATGTCGATTAGCGAGTGGCGCTTTCACTCCAATAAATTTCCGACGCCGTGCTGCAGTGTGGCGCCCACGGCTCAAGCCATTGGTCCAAGTCTCGAGCTGGAGGCTCGCAAGAGGAGGTCTTATCTTGTGCAGAAGATATGAACTTAATTTTGGGCGGGGCTTGCTCATTTTCAGCCTGGGAAGCCATGGTCACCTCGAAATTCCGAAGACTGAATTTTCTGTCACCTGCAGGTTGTAGGCGACCGTGCGTCTAGACACATGTAGCCAGTCGAGTACTCAGCCTCGCGCTTCGGTCAAAGCTTCGTCTTCCAGCCTGATGAGATTGATGAGTGTAGCCAATGTCCCGGAACACTTACTGCCTTTTATGATAACTGTCAACAACGTGTGCTATTACCCACACTCACCTCATAAACACGAGGCCAATATCTTGAAAGGCCGAATAAAGTCAGACAAATGATAGAGAGAGAACGGAAAGCAGTCCAACGTGGACATATTGAAAGTACGAGCGATGTAGTTCATGATAGTTTCGACATGTAGTATGAGTTGAACAAACGAATCATAGGTTCGTAACTCACTCTCATTCCCGAGCTTATGCGTACTCATCGCCCTTCATCCAGCCAAGCTGTTTCCACATGTGCAACTTATCCCACTCCTTGATCCAGCCCTTGATCTTGCCACCCTCAACCTCAAAGATGGCACCAGCATGCCAAGCGGCCTTGTTCCCCGTTGCTTTGATCCCGTTGTGTGGCTCGCCACAATGGCTGCCAGACGCGCTATATCTGAGCAAGACATGTCCACCTTTTGCGAAGATTATATCATAGGAATCGATGTGCAGATCAGACACACATGCCATGACCTTGGAATGCGACTCTGCGTAGTCCTGGGGTGACTTGCAGTCTGGGAAAGTAGTTGGCGCAATGAAGTAGGCATCATCGTGGCAGAGATGCTCAACAGTGGAGCGGCCTTTGTTTTCTTTGGGCGAGTAGGCAAGGCGCATGTATTCCTTTACTACATCGACGTTTTTCTTTGAGGTGTGTCAGTAGCCAGGAAGCGGATTATTCGACAGCGTAGCTTACTTGCTCATCGTCGGTCTGAGTCGTGCTTTGCTTGACTGGAGGGTAGCTTTTGTCGGACATGGTGGTGTTATGATATGCAAGTCAGGAATGTTGATGTTGGATCGTTAAATACCACTATTTAAACAGTGACATGCATCTTGACGTCATGCTGATCCTATCCGCCATCTAAGCATCTGTGATTGCGGAGATCACTCTCAACCAAACAAAGGTGGGCAAGTTGGGTTGATGACATATCTTGAGTGAGACTAGGCCGAGGTATTAGAGAAGATGCGTGAAAGAAAGCAGAGATCCAGATTGATGTGTTGTTCGGAAAATCCACTAGTTTGGTAATGGTTCGTCGTTCTTAACAACTGAGAATTGACGAAGAGAAGAGAAGTTTGTTTCTTATCCAGTCAATGGGGCCCGATGCAGGTTGAATTTGCGCACACACAAACACGCGACACGACACGACCTCGCGTGACCAGGTGAAAATTCTGCAGGAAGACCCAGTTGCGCTCCACGTCTCGGCGCCGAATCGAGTACATGCATGATCTACGGCTCTGGTTTAGAACCGCATTCTTGCATTGGAGAAAGCTCCAGCGTCTCGTTCAATCCTGGCAACCGCGTCAACTTGGGACCTACCAAGGCCTCAAACAAAGGCATACCCTCAATTTCCTTGTGTAAGAGCCAGTTCTAACGCGTCCATGCAGTCAATGGATGTTTGACCTGGAATGGATCAAAATGATGGCCTAGATGCTGTTCATCCCGTCATACTCTGGTCTCCCTCCTCTAACTCATCCGTTGGCCGACCTAGCTCCCTCAATGAAGCCTTCAATCGCGTAATCCTCAACTCCAGTTCCTCGATCTCCTCTTGCTGATCCTCGCACGTCCTGTCGATATCCGGCAAGGCCATGACGGCGCGTCGTGCCTTTTGTATCTTGAGCTTGACATCTGTCGCGGCAGTAGGTACGTGCTGGATTTCGAGTGGACCATCCGCGGAGGGCTGAACAGGAGTCGGCGTAGGTGCTGGTGGCTGAGCAGACGTGTCCAGCAAGCGTCTGAGGAGCTTGTGGAGGTCGGGAAGGACGTCAAAGGTTGACGGCGGAGGGAGGCCTGGGTTGGTGGGTGCCTGGGGAGGTAGAGCCGGTGTTGCCGCACCTGTAGGTGGGAGTGAGGCGCGTGTCGAGGCAGACGCGTGGGGTGTCGCTGCTCCAGACATGATGCGCGCTAATCAAGGCGTAACGGGTGATGTTGATGGCGTGGTGTTGAGCTTGACGCGTCTACCTGACATGCAGCGTGAGAAAACGCCGATTGGGCCACCCACGGTCCTGTGCGACGTGGAGGCCGAGATAATGTTTTGTCTGCTGATATCAACCTGGTGTATCGCCGGATAGAGTAATAGTTATTGGCGCGACGTGATATCTCCCGGCCGCGGGCCCCTAGTTGGTGGATCGATCTGTTGAAGAAAGCCTGTGACGTTTTTTGGTGATGTGATGCCTTTCGATCGCCCACAAGTTTAGCCCCACCATGAGCCTGCCCCTCCACCAAGAATTGGTTCACTACTTACTCTAGCTTCTCCCTACCAATTGAGTTTCTATTTATTCGAAATCGCTCTCTCGAGCCTTCACCCTTCTGTTTCTATCATATATCTTGTCGACCACCAATCATGGCCAAGTTTGACCAAAAGGCTGTCCTGATCGTCATTGACGGCTGGGGCGTGGCTACGGAGAAGTCGCGCAAGGACGGCGATGCTATTCTTGCTGCAGACACACCATGCATGGACGAATTCGCGAAAGAGAGCTCCAAGACTGCCCAGGGCTACACTGAGCTCGAGGCTTCGTCTCTGGCTGTAGGTCTCCCGGAAGGCTTGATGGGCAACAGTGAGGTCGGTCACTTGAACATTGGCGCCGGCAGAGTCGTATGGCAAGATTCGGTTCGCATTGGTCAGACTATCAAGAACGAAAAACTAAAGGACGTCGTCAATGTCAAGAAGTCTTTCCAGCGCGCCATCGACGGAAACGGCAGGCTACACCTGCTGGGTCTGGTCTCTGACGGCGGCGTCCACTCACATATCGACCACCTGGTAGCTCTTCTCAAGGTCGCGAAGCAGCAGGGTGTCCCCGAGGTTTTCATCCACTTCTTCGGCGATGGCAGAGATACCGACCCCAAGTCTTCTGTTGGATACATGCAGGACTTGTTGAAGGCCACCAAGGAGATTGGACTGGGTGAAATTGCGACCGTAGTTGGGCGATACTTCATCATGGATCGCGACAAGAGGTGGGACCGCGTCGAGATCGGTATGAAGGGTCTGGTGACTGGAGAGGGCGAGGACAGCAGCGACCCAGTAGCCACCATCAAGGAGAGGTACGAGAAGGGAGAGAATGACGAGTTCTTGAAGCCTATCATTGTGGGTGGAAAGGAGCGAAGAGTGCAGGGTAAGTCTAGTTGTTGATTACCTTAGTGGATTTGAACTAACCCGCGTAGATGGCGACACTCTGTTCTTCTTCAACTACCGCTCCGATCGGGTGCGCGAGATTACCCAGCTCATGGGCGATGTCGACCGCTCGCCTAATGCCGACTTCCCATACCCCAAAGACATCCACGTCACGACCATGACCTCGTACAACCCCAAATACACCTTCCCTGTCGCGTTTCCGCCCCAGAAGATGAACGATGTTCTCGCAGAAACGCTCGGGAAGCAGGGTGTGAAGCAGTGCCACGTCGCCGAGACAGAGAAGTACGCTCACGTCACTTTCTTCTTTAACGGTGGTGTTGAGAAGCAGTTCGAGAACGAAGAGCGTGAGATGGTGCCGTCACCCAAGGTTGCCACCTATGATTTACAACCTACCATGAGTGCCATGGCTGTTGCGGACAAGCTGATTGAGCTGATCAAGGCGGGCAAATTTGAGTTTCTGATGAACAACTTTGCACCACCAGACATGGTCGGCCACACTGGTGTGTACAAGGCCGCCATCGAGGCCTGCACGGAGACCGACAAAGCCATCAAGAGGGTTTACGACCAATGCAAGGAGAGCGGATACGTTCTGTTCGTCACTGCTGATCACGGGTGAGTTTTGATTCTGAACTGGCTTGCGAATAGATATCTGACAACGAATTAGAAACGCAGAAGAGATGCTCACAGAAGAGGGCACGCCCAAGACATCACACACAACCAACAAGGTTCCCTTCGTCATGGCTAATGCCCCCGAATCCTGGAGCTTGAAGAAGACTGACGGCGTGCTTGGTGATGTCGCACCAACAATCCTTGCCTGCATGGGTCTCTCGCAACCCGAGGACATGGATGGCCACAGCCTGCTCGTCAAGTCTTAGACCTCTGACCTCATCCTCTTCCCGTATCTGGCTTCGGCCATATGTTCGATTTCTTGATGCGTTGGTTCTGACCAAACGTCTTGGTGTAGATTTGTAGAATTATGTAGATGATCGAAACGATCAATGAAGAAATGCAAGCTTATCATGCGTCAAACTTCTCCACATTCAGTCCAGGCATACTGGAATATGCCTTGGGTCTAGAGATTCATCTGCATGTCTGAGGTAATGGATGTTGAACATGCAAAAGCGATCGACCACTTCTGCAGCGCGTTGATTGGATTATATCCACTTCAACAATGGATGCTTCTGGTGCAAAAGATGTGGAGACACCTGCATGGTTCATAGAGATATGCTATGCTAATATGTGCCTTAAGCAGCAAAATGATGTTTTCGAACACACTCTGGAAAGTGTTGTTGACAGGTGCTGCTCGAGTACGAGCTGAACGACTTTTGGACCCTCGATTTCCGGCCCCACATACTACACCAATCAACGTTGGCTCTGCCTCGGCGTTGACAGGGTTGTTTGACCGGTGCGGATGGCACCCCTCGATGGACATCGACAATCATTCTTACTCCATTTACTACCATTGTTCTGTTGTGCTCAACTAGCTATTCTCCTCCAGTTTACCATATAAAAGTCTTCGCGTGGCACGACCCACAATCCGGACTATACCCCACTATACGCCAGTGAGGGGCTATCTCGCGATATCTCAGCACGCTGACACACGATCGCTCACGTATCTACGACCCGTTTGTCACCATACAAAGAATTGGGCTTGTCTCTCTTTGGTTGAAGACGCGTTTAGGGGCCCTAGGGTACTCTCGAGACAACATAAAATCAACCCTTCGCAGCTCCAGTCGCTGGGAGCTTGCAGGAAGCATTCGTCCCGACTCTTGCCATCCCCGCAAGCTTCTCAAGATCTCAAAGAGAACGAACTGCTCCTATCCTCACTTGGTTCGACGCTTCGCGATATTTTTCCGATAACCGACTTGTGTTCAACAAGCCATGGCCTCTAACGGCGGCTCTGGAGCGCATACACCCCAAACGCAAGCGCAGGTCCAACCATGTCGATACAAAACAGGGAAAACACTAGGTGCGGGCAGCTACTCTGTGGTTAAGGAGTGTGTGCACATCGACACAGGGAGATACTATGCCGCAAAGGTCATCAACAAGAGACTTATGGCCGGTCGAGAACACATGGTCAGCCCATTGGCTAGCAACCGGGTCAGGATGTCAAGCTGATTTGTGGCAGGTCAGAAATGAGATTGCGGTCCTGAAGAGGGTGTCGATGGGTCACAGGAACATTCTGACTCTAGTGGACTACTTCGAGACCATGAACAATCGTAAGCCTCAGATCACGAACAGCCAATCCACATAGCTGATCTCGGATACAGTCTACCTTGTTACCGACCTTGCACTTGGAGGGGAACTATTTGACCGAATCTGTCGCAAGGGCAACTACTACGAGTCTGATGCCGCTGATCTAATTCGAGCAACTCTTTCCGCCGTCGCATACCTCCACGATCACGGCATTGTACACCGAGATCTCAAGCCTGAGAATCTTTTGTTTCGAACACCAGAAGATAACGCCGACCTACTGATTGCGGATTTTGGCTTGTCTCGTATCATGGACGAGGAACAGTTTCACGTTCTAACCACGACGTGCGGAACTCCAGGCTACATGGCACCTGAGATCTTCAGGAAGGCGGGACACGGCAAGCCTGTGTAAGACCCTCCTCGAAATGATGCCGAAAATGCTAATTGCCTGTCAGTGACATCTGGGCCATTGGTGTGATAACTTACTTTCTTCTCTGCGGCTATACACCATTTGATCGTGACTCGAACCTTGAAGAAATGCAAGCCATCCTAGTGGCCGATTACTCGTTCACTCCTCTCGAGTATTGGCGCGGCGTTTCCCTCACAGCCCGTGAATTCATTCGACGCTGTCTAACCGTTGACCCAGCAGCACGCATGACCTCGCATGAAGCGCTCTCTCACCCTTGGATCACAGATCTTAGCAAGAACCTTGCGGAAGGCGAAGAAGATCTGTTGCCAACCATCAAGAAGAATTTCAATGCAAGGCGCACACTTCACGCCGCTATCGACACGATTCGCGCGATCAACCAACTTAGAGCAGGCGGCGGAGCTGGTATGATGGATGGTGTACGATCAGGCGAACCCAGACGAGGTGCTCCACCAATGAACATCCCGCAGCCGGCAGATGAGGATCCCATGGAAGTCGACAGCATTGATAGCAGAGGGAATGGACACGGCCAGACGGAAGAGATGATCCGGGAGCAAGAGCGCAGGATTCGTGAAACGCAGCAGGGGCTGTGGGGTAAGAGGTGATGAGACCTTACATATTGATTCTGTTTCTTTTTCTGATCTCATTCGAGCGCGCCGATACTCAGACACGATGCAAGCATATAGGATAGTAGATCGACGCAGGACGTTTCTAAATACCTTTTCTTTGACGAGGTAATCCTTTTAAACAGAGTTTCTTAGTTTAGACTTGCGTACGACATATTTGCACCAACCCCTAGCAAGTTGACGATGTATCGTTAAAGGTCCTCCAAACTGCCGGTGTTTAAAGCACTGCTAGTAATTGTCATATGGCCACTAGGGTACCAGGCTCGAGATGATCCCCTCCATCAGGTGCCTTTCTAGTGACGTGTTTAATGAAGGCTGGGGCTGATCAAGATTTATGACCACGCCCCCGCATAAAAAGCCTTCGATGAATTAGAAGGGCAATTGTAGCTTGTGGAGCCAATCACAGTTATTACTCGGCATGAGTTCATTTGAGAAAACATCAGCCTGATACCTCAGCAATTCGGCCACACTGCGTTATCACAGCTGCCATGCACTGCCCCGCCCTAAAACTTGGCCGGTTCGTTATTGTTCATCCCTTTTCCCTTCTCCGGTCTCCTCATATCTTCCACTCGCTACACTATCGAATTCTTTCTACGTTGATAATACTTGTCTCATCCTCACGTACTCCAAGGCTTACAGGCACTGTCTGGTTTCCGCCTTGCAATGGAAGAACACGAAGAACCGTTTCGACATACACCACTCGATCTCAGCACAAACTCAATACGCCTCATTGAAGTACTTTCGACACCCTCAAGACTCTTCCAACCAAACAACTCAATTCAATGCAAGCTCAGGCACGCAAACGTAGACGCGAAGTATGTTTGTTTGTCTTACGTGTGGGGTCCTGATGATGAGACTCACACGATCACCATCAACGGGCAGCCTTTCCAAGTGCGACGAAACCTTTGGGATTTCCTGAAAACTGCTTCAACACATGTTCGACGCCGAGAGTCGCAGCAACAACACAGAGAACACGATATGGGAACATTTGACTTCAGTTTCAACGCTTTATGGATCGACGCCTTGTGCATTGATCAATCGAATTTACTCGAAAGAAATCATCAGGTGAAACAGATGGGAAGCATTTATAGGAACGCACATCATGTCATTGCGTGGCTAGATGATGACGCATTCGTTGCCAGGCACAATCAGGAGTCTGCCGAACACAACTTTGGTGGATTGCGAAAGTTTTTCGATAACGAATACTGGCAAAGAGCCTGGATTACACACCATCAAAAGTCTGACGACCACAACTTGGGTGAGTTGCGAATGTTTTGCGATAACGAATACTGGCAAAGAGCCTGGATTACACAAGAGGTCTTCTTAGCCCGGGAAATATTCTTTCTTGCTGGAATGAATGTTTTAGATCTCAAGTCTTTACTGGGCGGCGCCAAGGTCTACATAAGTGGGCTCACGCGTCGGACTGGTTATCAGCATTTCCAGCCCTTTTATGATATCCAAGAACGGAGCGGTACATTCAGCTTACTCGAAAATCTGTGGCGGTTTCGTCAAAAAGAGTGCTCGGACTGGCGGGACGCAGTGTATTCACTGTTATCCATATCTGAAGATGCTGCCTATCTTGACGTCAAATACGACATCTCTAGAGTTGCTCTTGCCTTGGAAGTAATGCAGAATCCTCAAGAAGACTTCTGTCTTTGTCATGCAAAGATAGTGTGTGAAGCTCTCGATGTCCGGGACTGGCACTGGCAATCGATCCAGAATGTACCATTGGTGGGGCTTCGTGTGCTAGCTCTGCACAAGAATCCGTTCTACAGAAGTCGATTCTATTGTCATCGTTGTTGGGTCGCAATCGATGACGAACACATCTATGTACCAGGGGATCGGTTCAACAGAAAGTATTTCATATGCTGTCTTGCGTGCACACATACACGCTCAAAGATACATCCCAGGTTGAAGACGCTTGCACATCATGGGCATATCATCCTGTCCACGGAACAGACAGAGAACCAAACGAGGACATCTTGGAATATGTCATATGTTGACAACGGTACATCAACAAGTTTAGATCATGAGATCGAAATAGTAGGTTTTGACGTAAATGAGAGCATGGGCGTAGTTCTCCAAGTTTCTTTGTTCGTCTTCTTCATGTTAGCATCTGTTCCTCTGGATGCCGAACTTGCTAGTGGAGGTATGTATCCTCAAACGCAGGACGAAGCGTTAGAAGCAGAAAATCCAGCGTGGAGATTCCTACCATATACTCTTGCCCAACTCGGGCTTTGCTAGATATGGGCCGAAGTGAAGCGAGTCCATCTGTTGGTGGTCACTTTTGTTTATCGAGGTCACTTTGAACCACCGCATTCTTCTAATCTTCACTTGTTGCTTTGCTTTCACACTGTCGGGCAAAAAGCGAATTAGGCAAGAATATACGGTAGATCGAGGTCGTGAGATTGACTCCGAGAGACCTGTTAGGGCGTGAAGATCAAGTTTGCTACGACGTCCAATTCCTATTCGATGGATATTACAGCCGCTGGCAGATTGAAGCATTTGAGAAGAGATTTGTTCGATATTGATCCTCATAAGTGTCTACATGTATGTATTCATTCATACTGTAAGCGTCGACAAGTGAGTTCCCTATTAATAGCCCATGATTGCGCTAATTGTGGTTGGATATGCCTTGCAAAACGCCGGTAGCCAGTAACTTCACGGATCAGGAGACTGTGTACAAACAGACCAGGAATCATAGCAGTTCAAACTTGGTTTGATACACCGAAAGTGATGTCATGTACGTGGGGCTCGCTTCCGTCTGCAGGGGCCCGTTAGCTCTTGCCCCACACTTCTGCCCCACCACACCGTTCCTGCTTGCTGGAGTTTGGGTGATAACGGCTATCAACGCTGCAGATCAGGGGTGATTTCCTCGTATTTGTCTTGAAGTACCCTTCTAGACTTTCAGGTTGTGCAACATGGTATATTCGAGCAACATTGATTGACTAGCTCTTCGAGGAACAGACATGATGCTATTGCATAAGAGGGGTACCAGCAGGGCACACAATCGTAGCCAATGGTAGTACTGTGAATCACCATCATCCGATGAACAACGTTTCAACTCCAGAACCTGTGACGATGTGATTACGTTCCATCGTCACGAGCGTGTCCAGGGCGGCTTCCTTGGTCTCGGTAATGGCATCCGCGACTACGCATGGAGGGTCATACGTACTACTTGGAGAAGGAGCTATGAACATGACGTATCTGCACTCACCTCTCAGAGATATATAAAGCCTCTCTGAGGTCGCTTCTCTTTCACAACATCAACTCACAACTCAACTTCACACACTCCATCAAACCAACAACCACCTACAAACAATCAACATGTCTGACGCTCTCCGCAAAGATTTCTCCACCAAGGCTGGCGAGAAGATGCAGCCCGACTCCTCCAAGTCCACCCTCGAGAAGACCAAGGAGACTGTCACTGGTGCCGGCGACAAGGCCGCTCGTGGCGCTCAGCCCGGTATGTGACTCCTAACACCCTATACTCGTGAACCCCGCTGATATCTGGCAGACTCCGACAAGTCCACCTCCCAGTCAATCGGCGACAAGGTCGGCCGCTCCAAGGACGAGGAAGTCCACGGTGGCTCCGGCGAATCTGTCATGGACAAGGCCAAGGGTGCTCTCGGCATGGACAAGAAATAAGTCAATCGACTACCTTGACAACCTATGAGAAGGAGATGGGTCGATATTGGGAAGGAGGAAGGATACTCTCCTCTTCTGACCTGCAAGTCTGCGATCCTGGGATATGAGATATTATGATACCATGCCTGATGGCAAATGAATAAATACACCTACTTCATCACAAGTTCACTTTCTTGAATGCCGTGCCTCTCTTTTTCGTGCAACCCAGCTTGAACTCTTTGTGAAGATCCTGGTTGTGTTTTGCAGCTTCAGCCTTTGCCGTTCAATCGCTGTTGGATGTGTTGATAGAGAAAGTGAGAGAAGAAAAGACAAAGATACATACGCCGTGGGCCTGTCAAAAAATAGTGATGGATGTGTTTCGTACGGCCTGTGCAGCCTCAAACTGAGGCAAAAGTATCGCAGGAGAATGATACTAGTTTTCATATTCCATGAATCGAGTGGTTACGACACAGACGAGATTCGAACTGGCGAGGCCAAAGCCATTAGATGATATGAATGAGTGATTCAAGCCTAACTCATCGACCACTAGCACTGTGTCAAGTGACGATGGAAAAGAAATCAGGAAATACGAGCCCCAATACTAGTAAGACGTAAACAGTGAGAATAGTTGCAGTACCAGCTCGATGATGTCGCTGTGGATGTGAGGGGCAAGTGAGGCGTGTCGAATTAGATGATCAAGCAGAGCTCTTGTCTTCATTGTTTGACCGCCTACAGGCTAGGCTTCTCACTCAGAGACCACATCCCTTGCTTACTGTCACGCGCGATCTTCCCCTCCTTCTGTAGCTTGTCCAAGATCTGCAGCACTCCCTTCTCTGCGGGAAGCCACAAACTCTCGGGGTAGTCTTTGTAGATGACCTTCACAATGTCCATGGAAATCCAGCCATCTTCTCTTTTTTGCGCCAGCACGTCCAACACCTGCTTCTCGCGTTGCTTTCGGTGCTTTATGTACTCTAGGATTTTGGATGGGCCGTCTTCAATCACCGGGCCGTGACCTGGGTATGCCCGACCTTGAAATTGCTTTGACATGCTGTCGAGGCTCTTCATGTAGGTTGCCAGGTCCTCGAACACGGCCGTCCCTTGACCCAGAACGTTGTCGGCTGTGAACATCGCATCTTCTTCTTCTAAAATGAATGCCATGTGGTCGGTCGTGTGTCCTGGGCAGTAGAAAGCTCGCAGTGTTGCGCCCTCGGTCTCAAACCTCTGTCCATCGCTTATGTTGAGCCACCCGTTTGAGTCCTCTTCATGTACCCTGGCGTCTGGAACGTGTTCTCTTATGTCGGCCCACGCTCCGTCGGCGTCTTTCTTGTGCACTCTTGTATCTGGAGAGTATTCCTGAAGATCAGGCACGCCTTGAATGTGGTCGGGATGCCAATGCGATAACAACACTTTATCGATCTTTATGTCCTCCTTCTCCAGTAATGTCTTCAACGACTCTATCCATTCTGGCCTGCCTTCGCCAGTGTCAATCAGTAGTCTTCTCGCGCCTTGCCCAACAATGTAGGTGTTTGTGCCTGGGTATGCTACTTAGCAGTGGCCGAGTAGCAGAATACATAATGCCAACCTTGTAACGTGAACTGGCAGTCTGTCAGCCTTCATGGCGCACCGCGCAATGCGGGGAGGCTCACCTTTCCCGGATTACCTCCTAAGACGCGAATCACGCGGCTGCTAAGCTTTTCGATCGCTGGAAGAGAGACTGGAGCTTCTGCCATCTTTGGAAATGGTCTATGTAATGAAGAGTAAGCCCGCAGATAACGCAAGAACATGATGTTCACTCTTGCTGTACAAGGGTCAACCAAAAGTACCGAGGCTCGTTGCATCTTATCGATAACGCTATTTTGACTCAAATGACGAGGGGAACTATCACTTTTCAGGAACAACCACAAATCGTTTTGGTCGAGTCAACATGGCGCCAATCGACGACGATGATGAGATGCCGTATGTTCTTCCGGCCTCTCACAAAACAACATGCTAAGCAGTGAAGACAGCTCTCTGGTGGAGCTCTGGACGCACTAAAAGAATTTTACGGCGAGCGCGATGCAAGGCAAAAACAGTTCGAAGAGCTGAAAGGCCAGGCAGAAGACGAGTTCGAGGGGAAACTGTCTATGGATGCTTTCACCGAAGATTGGAATGCGAGTCAGTTCTGGTACAGCGATGAGACGGCTGCCGATCTCGCGAGACAACTTCTGGATGGCGCGACGGATGAGACTAAAATTGCCGTGGTATCTGCTCCGAGTGCTTTTATTCAGTTGAAGAACTTGATGGTGAGTTAAGTGTCTGACACAGATAGACTATTTGCTAATATCGGGAATAGGCGTCAGGAGAATACAAATGCCGGCCACAGCTCAAACTTCTTGAGTACGATGAGCGCTTTGCTGTCTTCAAAGAGTTTGTACAGTACGACTTCGAGAAGGCCATCAAATTGCCAGCCGAGTTGAAAGGAAGCTTTGATCGTATCATCTGCGATCCGCCATTCCTGAGTCAGGACTGTCAGACCAAAGGTTTGTTTTGTCAAAGTTTTGGAACGGAATTCTCTGACAACGATAGCTGCACTGACCGTCCGCTGGCTGGCAAAGTCATGGACGCCGGAATCTTTGCGCCTGCTTGTTTGTACTGGAGAACGTATGGAGGAACTGGTCACCGAGAAGTTGTATGGCAAGGTCGGTACAAGGACAACAGACTACGAGATCAAGCATTCAAAAGGGTTGAGCAACGAGTTCAGATGTTACGCCAATTTCGAGTGCGAGACATGGAAATGGACAAAGTCATAGCGAGGTTTCCATTGAGTTCTTACATCGAAGTGCATACAAAATCACCTCGGGGAGAAATACCTAAAATTCAATCAAGGCACTTGACTGTACCTCAATTCCCATAAACATCTTAAAGCTGGCTTGCCTAAGAACTTCGTACCATTTTCAGACCCATGTTCCCGGCAATCCTTACCCCACATTGCCCCTCCAACGACCCCGAGCTCGGTTCATCTCCAAAGCTCCGAAACAACCATCACGTCACCGCACTCTTGTCTAAACATCAATTGAGCACCACAATGTCCGCCGCCTGTATCTTCTGCAAAATCATCAAGGGTAGCTGCTCTGTCCACTCAGCCGTTATGCGCTACTAACACATAATGCAGGGGATATCCCCTCGTTGAAGATCTTCGAGAGCTCGAAGACACTCGCATTTCTTGACATCGGACCTCTGAGCAAAGGACATTCTGTACGTCTATCGTTATGTAAATCTCGGGGAGAAGAGGATACTGCTAACGTTTGTATGAAGCTCATTATTCCCAAATACCACGGCGCAAAACTGCACGAAATCCCCGATGACCAGCTCGCCGAGGTACTGTCAGTAACGAAGAAGATCGCGATCGCACAAGGTGTGGAAGACTACAACATCTTGCAGAACAACGGAAGGATTGCGCATCAGGAGGTGGACCATGTGAGTAGATACAAGTGTGGGAGATGCAGACGGGGACTGACGAACGCAGGTGCACTTCCATTTGATTCCCAAGCCAAACAAGGAGGAAGGATTGACTGTTGGGTGGCCTACCAAGCCGGCGGATAAAGATGAGTTGAAGAAACTGTTGGAGGAGATCAAATCGAAGATGTGAGGGGTGGGTGGGCGAGACGCAGGAGAAGTCTGACTTCACAATGCAATATAACCATTGCATCGCAATAGCGAAGGAGAAATTGAATTCTCGAAAGCTTTCCTTCTGAGATATTGTGTCTAATGACCCTTGAAAACAGGTTTCCTCTTCTCTCTAAACGCAACCAACGCCTCATCGCGATCCTTTGTCCTAACAACGAGTTCATACGCAGCATTCTCGGCCTTCTCACCCAACCCACATCTCTCGATCGCTTGAATCGCGGCCTTGATCGCAATGGGGCCTCCCTCGCAGATTTGCCGTGCAAGTTTGATCGCCTCGTCCAGCACCTTCTTCCGCGCCGCGCCCTCCTGCTGTGCTTCTTCTGGCGTTACTTCGACGAGTCTGTCGCACAAGCCGAGGAAGTACGCTTCAGGTCCGCCAACTCTTCGTCCTGTCAGGATCAGGTCGCGGGCGCGTGTGAGACCGATCAGCGCGGGGAGACGGTATGTTCCTCCTGCGCCGGGGATGATGGCCAGTCGTGTCTCGGGGAGGGCTACGATTGTGGTGGATGCGAAAATGCGCAAGTGTGTAGTGAGTGCTAGTTCGAGACCACCGCCAAAGGCGGGTGCTGCGAGCGCGGATATTGTAGGTATTGGTAGATTTTGAATCTGTGTGAGGGTGCCTCGGAGGCCTGACAGAAAGTTTGCTGTACTGTAAAGAAAGGAGTCAGCTATGATTTTAGTGGGGATGGAAAGAGCTTACTCTTCTTGCGTGAATGTGGCTCTTTCTTTCAAGTCTGCGCCCGCACAGAAACTCGAGTCCACTTCACTGGCCAGGATCAGGGCTCTTGTTGACCCTGTTTCTCCTTCGCCTTCAATACTTGTTACTTGGTTGTTCAGCTCCGCGAGCAATTGTCTTGAAATTGCATTGCGCGCTGCCGGGCGATTGAGAGACAGGATACGAATGCTGCCAGAACCTGGGGCTGGGACGCTTGTAACCTTGAGCACTGGTGTCTGAGCGGCTGAATATGCGCGTCGTTGGAATTGGCGGCATAGCCTTGGCCCAGATCGCCGCAGGAGAGACATTGTGAGTGTACTTTTGTTTTCCTGTGAGTTTGCAAACAAAGAGCACACAACACGATTACAAGACTGAGAAATCGTACTACTTGGAGAGATTGGTCAACCGAATGCAAGCACTGAATGCGCCCGAACACCGCGATTAGCCGAGGGCTACATCATGTCACATGATCTCGTGACCTCAGTTTGTTCAGCCTACCGCGATAATTCATTACGGAGCTTTGACATCTCGAAATACGCAATGTCCTAACACTAGATCACAACCTTATATTTACAGATTTAGGGGTATTCAACATCAGAGAATGCATTTGGCAGTGGATCCACCCCGGCTTGTTTCTTAAACAACTTCGAACAATGCGATTTTGCAATTTCCAGTTCGACACAGAAGCATTGGTTCCGATGTTTACGGGATATTGGGCTCATTTAGGAACTCTTGTTTTTGATGAATGTCAGCGGAATGCCAGACGACAAAAACATTCAAGACGACAAGTTGCGGACCCAAATCTACGAGACTTACTTACAGGGGCAGTCGTGCGTGGACAACTGTCGCGCATTGTCCGAACAATACCCCAGTCTCTGTATTGAATTGATTCGTCCGTCGTCTATTGTTGACAGTGTCAAAGATCGTTACCTTTATCCAGACAATGTTCAGAAGCTGCAACATATTCCTTGTCTGATTTTGGATACACGTAACGCCTGCGGCACCTGTTTCGGTCCATCGGAGGAACACATTCGGAGATGCGATGCGGGCACTCTCAGATAATCTCGATCTCTGATTGAGGACAAGATTCGAGATGATTAGTATGTGTACATAAACCCCATAACCTGGATAGGTTCAGTATACATTAGTTCACCACCGCGATCTGCTGAACTTTCAGAAGTTATCGACGGTTCTGGAGATAATACAGTGAATGTATACAATGATGTCATACAGTAGTCTCAAGGGATCCAGTGAAAGGTATATCGGAGAGAAAGACGCGTACGAGCGTGGTCATCCGTGAGTGAACGTTCTGCTGAGTAGTTTGTTATACTTTATACGTATCACACACTTCTGTTCTCGCGAAGCACGCTCACGAATGCTCTGTTGTGATCATGTCAACCCCAATCAGTTCAACGTCCGAGAACTCAGCCGAAATGGTTTCGCCGTCGAGACTTGAAGACATTCGCGTAGTCGCTGTCAAGGCAATAGAGTAAGTTCCGTCCCTCGATTCCAAATCACATAGATAACTAACATAAGCAGCCCAACAGATCAGATCATCAAGCTCTTTTGCGGCATAGGCAAGAAAGCCAAAGACACCAAGACTGTGACTGTTCATCAAGGCGTGCTATGCAGCGGCTCTTCCGGGTTCTTCAAAAACGCCATGAAGCCCGAATGGATGGCTCAGCGAGATGATCCGTACACTATTAATCTAGTCGATGATCCTTTGGAAGCCGTCAAACTATACGTCAACTTTCTGTACTTCAAGACGCTCCCGACGCCCGACCTACCTCATAAGGACGAAAAAAGGAGCGAAGTCACACTGAGGAAAATTCAAGGCTACTTGAGTGTGTTAGCACGTGCTTATGTCTTCGGAGAGAAGATCCTGGATATAAAGTTTAAGAATGTAGTGATCCAGAGTTTTCAGACGATAACTAGAGACTACAAGGTGCTGCCAATGAAAGGCTTCGCTTCGCTGATCTATGGAGGGACTCCTGCCGGCTCTCCTGCAAGACGCCTATTTGTCGACTATGTGGCTTATTGCGCGTGCTCAGATGGGAAGGGTGCCTGGCACGACGTCATTGAAACGCTTCCATCGGAGATGTTGGTCGACGTCACGAAGCGTATGATAGAAGTGCGACCAACGCTGGCGAGACATTGCTCTGGAAACTACAATGAGGAGGAAACGGACTGAGTGGTCAGTTTGAGTCATCGAGGAGAACATGGATCTGGTCGCGCGAGTACGGTCAAGTGAAACTGGTAGCTGTGGAACGCCTATGTAGTTGCTTTAGCGCCTGTCGCTCCTGCCAATTCGATAGAAGGTGAAAGTGAACCAATGAGATGAGAGATAATGCCAAGTCTACAATCACCTGGGATTCCACGAGCTTCGTACCTCCAACACTATTACCTTGACATCCAAATCACCTCCTCTCTCGCATCCGAGCGCCATAATCCCACATTCAAGTGCCCGGTACTCTCAGGACATCCACATGGAGTAAGTCACTTTTCAAGGCTTGTAATGTCAGTAATTCATCTTTGAAGTCCCAGGGATCAGATCATCAAACTGCTGGTGGGTGCGTTTCCGACAGATATCCTCCATGTCCATGAAGGCGTACTTTGCAAGAGCTCTATATTTCTCAAAAACGCTCTGAAGCCTGAGTGGGCTGGGCAAAGAGATGACCCACATACCATCGATCTCTCCGATGAGCGTTTCGAGACTGTCAAAGCTTACATCAACTGGCTGTACTCTAGCAAATCGGCGGTGATACCGCTCGAGGACAAGTCCATCTACGCTATGCTGCAGAATGAAGAGGCTCAAAACCTCTTCATATCGCTTGCTAAAGCTTATGTTTTCGGGGAGAAGTTGCAAGATATAGAGTACAAAAACCTGGTGATCAAGGATATGGTTGTGGTTTGGGATGCCTTAAGATGGTCTCCTGGCCCAGAATGCACAGCAATTATCTACAATGGAACCTCAACTGGATCTCCAGCTAGACGCTTTCTTACTGATATCATCGCCTACACAGCCCATTACGATCCAGACGAGCCGGTAGGATGGATGAGCTTCATCGATGAAATCCCTTACGAAGCGTTGGTAGACGCGATGAAGGCTACGATCAAGCTAAGATCGGCTTTGAATAGTTCTTATATCACGAACTCGTCGTACGTCGAGGAAATTGTGCAATAGGTATAGTAGTCTAATTTTGAAGTCGCAGGCCAGACTAACTTGGCTATCAGAATCCGTGAAAAATGCTCAACTCAAAGCCTCATTCTACGAAAGACAAAGAGCGAAAGTCAAAAGAGATGACAACCCATACAATGAGGGTTGACGAGCTTATAGCTGGGCGAAAGGAAACAAAATGGATATCTCTATTCTGGCAACTCGGTGGAACAAACGTGGATGATCGAGTAGTCTGACAGCTACGTAATTGGATAATGAACTACCAAAACCCTCTGTGCTCGCTCTATTCTTTGCACCTAACAAAATGTACAAGACCGTAGGTGTTAACTTGGGAAGACAATGTTCAACATTCTCAAGATCACATCATCCCTGATTATGAGCAAACTTCATTTAGAAGAGAAGACGACGAATAGCCTTCTTCGGAGACATGATGTATAGGCCCAATCGGCAAACAAGCGGCAAGCCACGCAAAACCATGTCAGACTGTTTGTGCGTAGTTAGCAAGCAGATGCTTGACTTCAACTCGTGACAAAATTTCATCTCTCCCACAAAGAAGTCTTGCGCCATTTTCACGAGGAGAAAACATGAACGTCTACTAGCGTCCCAACGTCTCGAGCCTTCCTACCAATCCAAGCGTTTGAGGTAAAAAAGTGAGAACCCCACACAACCCTTAGGAGGCGTCAAATTTAGAAAATGCAAAACATACCTATCAGATATGCCAGGGTATTGACGGTGGGAGGGCAAGGACGTATGGTAAATATAGAGCTTGCTTACTGGAGTGATCTCAAATCGGGTAATGTGATTGACAGTAACCGAGTAGTGAGGTGTTGCTACCAACGAAATCTCAGTAGATGATCAGACACAAAACATAACCAACAAATTTGAGGAGAGAAGGATTTGCATTGAAGAAGCTACGAACAAGCACCAGCTCAAAAGCCAGTGCGCCACAATTTCCGGGTCCACGTCTTCTAGATCAGTAGCATCTACGAGCCATTGGCGAAAAACAGTCCCAGCACGTATTGTGTTTTCCATTCGAAGCTCTTCAATCATGTCCTCAAATATTTTTGTGATTTTTCGTGGTGTAATGTGACGAGTTTTGGTGGTTTTTCCTCTACCGGGCTCTTACCTTCGTGTCTTCCATGGCATTTTTCAGGGCGGTGGTGCCGAGTCTGGAGTACTCAAACATGGTATGTAAGAACAAACAGTACATGTTTCAGACTCGTAGAAACGGGCAGACGGTAAACAATGGTTGTGTAGAAGAGCCCGGACTGATACAGGTTCTCATATCTGCAAGGCAGAATGAGGATGATCAACGTTGAAGCGAGCCAAGTAGTAGCGCTCAGTGGTGCGGAGGAGGGAGCGAAACCGCAAGAATATTCGATGGCAGGAAGCGTGAAAAGTTTCACGCTAACATGTCGGGAGTGAGGTTAATTAGGAGAGAACGTATGAGTCCCGAACAGACAGATGACGTCATGGACCAAAGTTGAGCAATCGCAGCTCATAACGCGAAGAGTTTTAGCACAACCCAACACGAGTTAATGATTTCCAGTAGGCGTTGGAGATGGTGAATAGCCGAACGACGGATGGTAAGGTTGAAATCGCAGATCGTACATGCGGACAGAGTTCAAACTTTTGAAAATGGCTCAATCAACTGCCGATGCTGATGAGCGGAATAGGTGGGAGAATAAACAAGTGGAGAAGTCGGAGCGCGAAATCACACTCCGCAGAGGAAAAGGTAAGAGTGGCGCCGCCAAGAACAAAAATCGGCGAGGCCAGCCAACCGAGAAAAGAAAGATCCAGAACCAGAAACCATGGTATATAGTACACACAGAACGGTCCAAATAGTGAGACTCCATATGCGCCAATGATTCGGTTCGTCAAGCCATCGACTTCGTCGGCAACCACGTGCGTAATCATAACAAGAAACAACTCCAGAATAAATGCATTGGGAACGACAATTGAACTTGCCCTGGCTCCTGGGCAAAGAGAGATCGTGACATAGATGATGGAATGTCAAACGTCGAAGTCAACGATAGCAGCTCAGACAGCCACACCCTGACAGCCTCACTTCTCGGCTGAGAACGCCTAAAGTGGTCCAGCAGGTGGCGGCCTGTTGTTCCGCTGGGGGTTTTGGCCGTTCTGGCGGGGTGGCTGGTTCTGCTGGTTTTGTTGGTTAGGTGGGGGGCCCCGGCGCTGTCCTTGCTGAAACTGGCCACCGCCGCCTCGCCCACCGCGAAAGTTTTGTCGAGCATTCTGGCCAGGGTTACCTCGCGCAACGGTGCCGTCCTGATCTTGCTGACCCTGACCTGGGTTGTACTGCGAGCTGGAAATAGGACGAGGAATTGACTCGGGAGATTCGTAGACGTAGAGGTTCTTCTCAATGACTTGAGGGATGGGCTGAATCTCGGTTCCGAGTTCTTGCTCAATGCGGTACAGGTTAAATCGATCTTCCCAGTTGATCAAATTGATAGCCAGACCAAGATGACCGAATCGACCAGAACGACCGATACGATGCAGGTAGGTCTCAGCGTTCTTGGGGAAGTCGAAATTGATGACGACGTTAACGGCCTGAATATCAATACCTCGAGTCAACAAATCAGAGCAGACCAAGTTTCGGCAAACACCATTGCGGAAGTCGTGAAAGACGCGGTTTCGATTGTGTTGAAGCATACGCGCATGCGAATAGAAGCAAGAGTATCCAAGCTCGGTAATCTTCTTTGCAAGAAGCTCAACACGGTTCGTGGAGTTGCAAAAAATGATGGACTGATTGATTTGCAACTTGTTGAAGAGGGTGTTCAAGCAGTGCACCTTCTGCTTCTCTTCGACGAAAGCGTAATATTGCGTGATACCACGAAGGGTTAGTTCGTCCATCAAATTGATCTCATATGGAGAGTTCATGTGCTTGTCCTGTGCTAGTTTAGTAATGTCGTCGCCGTACAACCTGTTGGTTATAGTACCTTGAAGCTCTTCACCACGATTGGGAAGGTAGCGCTGAAGAGCATGACCTGCCTGTCCTTGGGGTGGAAACCGAGAAGCTGCTCGACAACAGGCGTGAACTCTGGCGACAGAAGCTTGTCGGCCTCATCCATGACGAATGTCTGGCAAGCGGACAAATCGGCGACACCCTTGCCCGCCAAATCCAAGATCCTACCTGGTGTGCCAACAATGATGTGGACTGGTTCGCTAAGACGGATAATGTCGTCCTTGAGACCAGTTCCACCCGTCGACACCATAACGTTGATGCCAAGATGTTTTCCCAACGTCTTGCATACTTGTGAGGTTTGTAGAGCGAGCTCTCGGGTGGGGACGAGGATCAATGCCTGCGTCTTGGGGCTCTTTGGGTTTACGCGCTCGAGTGTGGGGATGACGAAGGCGGCAGTCTTTCCAGTGCCATTCTTCGCTCGCGCAAGAATATCTCGTCCAGTAAGGGCTACTGGGATTGTCTCTTCCTGGATGGGCGATGGCTTCTCGAAGCCCGCCTCGAATATGCCCATCATCAGCTCGCGCTTGATGAAGAAGTCCTCGAATTCGAGGCCCTTTGTTGCCGTGACATCCTCAGTCTGTGGCCGCGCGTCTTTTACGGGCGCCTTCAATCCGTCTTTCCAATGTGCTTCTGTCGAGGGAGCGTCGCTCAGCCGAGCGGCTGCTAGCTGGTTTGTGATTTCCGAGGTCATTGTGATATGCCACCAGAGGTGGGGTAGCTGGTCAGGACGTCAGAGGTCGATGTGTGGGGGAGAGGGCGCAATTGGTCTCTGCGCAGCAACTACAAAAGAGGTAGGCGACAGCTGAAGTGAGGGGGGTGGTGGGACGCGAGAGCTCGTGGGGGTGTGTCGTCGAGCAAGGTGGGGATGGATGAGAATGGGTGAGGTTGGTGGTGCCTCTTAACTTGCGGCAGCTTTAAGCGGGTGCTGTGGTCTGTGTTTACGTTCTCGAGGGAGCTGGTCCAATTGAGGATTGAGTCGGGATGTCGTCGTCTAGCTTGGGAGTGGGTTACTGTCTGCGAGTGTGGGTTCTGGATGGTCGCGCAGAGTGAGGCTGGGCGCAGCAGAGTCAGTCGGGGCTGGGGCAATAGTGCAAATTTGTGCAGACAAGCGCGGTTGTGTGGTGATGGGGACGTCAGACAGTCTTCTTTATGCACGCAGGAACTGAGGGTGGAGTGGAGAGAAGGAGTGGGTCCGTGAGCTGTCGTGTCATTGGCTAGCTCGACGTCAGCCGCGTCCTTCACTGCAAGTGTCATCTAGCTTACCTCTTGGTTGTGCCTGTGCTGCACACACTCTCCCTTTGTCTTCTCGAGCCTGGTTTGGGCGAAGACCGAGTTCGCGTTCTTCACTAGTTACTTGCTGCGTTCGAGACTTGGCGCCAAAACACTAAAACCTTTGCTTTGCTACAGTAATTGTATTCCTCACAAATATATTAACGAATGCTGACAGTTCGAAAAGGTCCAATCTCAGGATTGCTTGCCAGGAGTCTATTGCCACTCATTACCAAGAAAGCACTGCATCTTTGCCAGCTACACAGTACTTCAGGTTGTAATACACGTGCTCACGCGACGCAAATTTCAAGCATCCTCATTTTGCGCATTCAAACTTCAACACCATCATGTCCTCCCTCTTCCGGCTAGCACGGGCTTTTCGGCCCAGAACAACGCCATCCACCTTCTTCCATTCCAACACAGCTCTCGGACGGACCCAGAATCTCAAACACGCCCGCTTCTACACACCCCGGACTCCACCACCCAGAATCCCAATCCCAACCCCAACCACCAACCCCGTCGCCGCAAAACAAACGATAATCTACGCCCTCCTCGGCATAAACACCACCATCTACGGCTACAGCATCTACGCCAACGCGCTAGCCGAGCAAAACTACCCCGCAAAAATGTACGCCTTCATCCACAACATGACGCTGAACCTGAACGCCTTCCGCGACGAAAAACGCTACTGGACAGCCCTAACCGCCACCTTCACACACCTGTCCCTCACCCACTTCGCCTGCAACATGTTCGTCTTCTACACCATGGGCCAGTTCCTCGTGCGCCTGCCCATCATCACACCGGCCCGTTTCCTCATCATCGTCTTCGGGTCGGGATTGCTGGGCTCGGCGGGCTATCTGCAGAATCGCGCGCGCAAGGTGCCGGCTGGGGCTTATGATCGGTCGAGGGGCGTGGGGTTTTCCGGCGCGTTGATGGGTATTACGACGGTTGCGGCGTGTTTTTATCCGCATGCTCAGATGATGCTGATGGGGGTTATTCCTATGCCGTTGTGGGTTCTGACGCTGGGGTTTGCGGCTGTGGATGGGTATTTTCTGAATGATGAGACGTCGAGGATTGGGCATGCGGGGCATCTTGGGGGCATGGCGTTTGGAGCTGCGTATTATCTCATCAGGTTGCGGGGGCTTAGGATTTGAGTGTATGTGTGTGTATAAGTTTGTGTGTGGTTGGTGGAAGATATTGTGTATTCTACTGTGAAATATGCGAAATGATATACAGTTCCAAAACTACCAACACCCAAATCGCGAAACAATATGTCTATATATTAATTACCACTCGATACTTGTACACACCCTACCCATCCCATCCCATGCTTACTCACAACGCCACACTCCCACACCCGCTATGCAATCCAAACTCCCAACCCAAAACACCCTCAATTCCACTGCATCTTAGTATGATACTTCCTTTCGCCTCCCAACGTCCCCGCACCACGCAGCAGATCGAATGCAAAATCCCTAGACGCCTCATCGTGAACACTATCCACTGATTAGCACACCCGACAATACAACACAAACAGAATCTACTCACACTTCTTCCTCGCTGTCACTAACACTCTTCCGCTTACGGCTGGGACTGAGACTGGGAGCGATCACTTCGTCTGGCCGTACATCTTCGTCGAGGCTGCCGTCCAGCGGTAGGGGAATGGCGTCTGGGGCAGATACACCCGATACACGAGGTTTCTTTGCCTTAGTTTTAGAGGCGGACTTCTTTGGCGAGTATTCCTCGTCATCGTCATGATTTTCATCGCCGTTCTCGTTGTCCTCTCTGGACATGATGCTCTGATCGGATTTCCGGGGGCGTCCACGTTTCTTGGGCGCGAGGAGGGGTGTAGGCGGAGCTGAAGCGTTGAGGTTTTCCGATGCAGAATCGTATGTTGCGACGCTTTCGGAGAGCGCGCTCTTACGCGGGCGGCCTCGTTTCTTCGTGATAGTTACTGACGCGGGCGTGGGGACGGGCGTGGGTGGCGCAGGACTCCCGGCCATGGAGTCTCCAGCGCCCGTCGCTGCGTCGGAGTCTTCATCATCGTGGATGATGTCTTCGGAGAGTGCGCTCTTCCTTGGCCTGCCGCGTTTCTTGCCGCTTGCTGTTAGTGCTTTTGCTTTGGCCAGTTTCTTCTTCTTCGATGGCGCAAATTCCAGATCTTCGTCTGACTCATCTTTCCTCCAAGCTCGTCCTTTGCCCTTGAAATGCCTGGGCCTGCGCCCGTTCGGATCGTCATCCTGATCCTCTTCTTGCAAAAGAGCTTTACTTTGTTCGTCTAGTGCCGATAGAAGTTCGTCATCGATACCAATGATACTAGCGTATGATACTCGCCTTGTACTTCGTCCTCTGGATGTTGGTCGAATATCTTCTTCTTGCTCTTCTTCTTGCTCTTGTTCTGGTTGGTCGTTTTCTTGCTCAACTGGCTCTCCCCCTTCCTCCAACTCCTCCTCTTCTGCAGCGCTACTTTCATCAAAGAGTTGCGCGTCGTGGTAGTAAGGCCGCCGCTGCGCTGGTCTTCGCATTCGCAGTCCGCGTCTAGTAGTGGCAGACGAGTCGTCTTGTAGCCCAGGCGAACCAGCCGGAGAGTTGGACCCTCCATTCACATCAGCAGTACCACTCAGGTAGAGATTAGCGTTGCTGCCAGTCTTTGCCTTGTCTTCAACAACTGTCCCAATAGTAGAGGTGGCAATTTTAGCGGATGCCCCCTCATTATCTCTGTCTTTTTCGAGCACACTTTCTCCAGACTGAAAAACTTAGTATTGCATAGAAAAGATTCAACAAGGCGGAACTCACAAGCAATTTCTTTGCTGCTTTCTTCCCAAAGCCTACTTTAAGCTTGACTATTCTCCTCGGCGAGTCTGAGTGTTGCGCAGCAGCTGGAACGCCTGGAGCTGTAAAAAAAATCAGCGAGTCGTTCAAACTTTCCAAATACTTCGTCTCATGAACATATATAGGTACTGTAAAACAAGTCTTCCGACGTTAAAGCGTTCCGATCATTTCCTGAGGATACACCAAAATGTGGGGCAAGTTCAGAAGTTGGAACGCATGACGTACCAGAACGAACGGGGATATTTGGCGACCAGACTTCTGTTAATGCCATGGAGTCATCTTCCTCATCTTCTGGCGAGATGATTTGTTCAGACTAAGAATGAGGTGAGCAATGAACGAAAAGCAGGTGCCAATAACAAACACTTACAAGACGCTTCTTTTTGGCCTTGCGAACAGACGGCTTGCGTCCTCCACTAAAAGTAACAGCTGGTCTCGAAGACTTTGCAGGCCCAGCGATAGGTGTAACCATCTCGCCATGATCGCTGCCATCCGAGGCCACGATTTCCTCAGACTAAAAGACGATGAGCTACATGAACATGCCAAAAGACAAAAACGCGAGTAAAAATCGACATACCAAATATTTCTTGCGTTGCTTTCGCGGCTTCCTCTTGCCTGACGCACTCAGCTCTTCAGAATTTGCAGATGTAAGTGGTGTTGCTGAGCCTGCGACATGCGACCGTCCGTGGCCGTTTGTCGTCACTGTCTTTTTCGGCTCGCGCGCCGACTGAACCTGCACATCGCGAGACCGACTGACCACTGCAACATTCTCCACCTCATCATCCTGTTTTCATCAGAAAAAGATGCGGAATGGAAATTTTCGCGTCTGGTGACTTACGGTATCAGGTTCATCCCAGATGTTCAGAGCAGCGTAATAGAGAGCAAGACCTTTTGTCTCTTCAGATTTTTTCCAGTCGTCATAAGTGATTTTTTGCTTTGGGTTGATGTGCGTCCACTCGTAGTACTTTGACAGGCAGCATTGTTCGATTTGTTCTGGCGGTGAGAGCGACTGATTGATGTTTTGAATCCCATTGCCATGTACAGCCATGATGGTGCTGTCGACAAGTCCTCGAAGCAGCACCAAACAAGGACGATGAAAAGCGGAAGATCCGAGATCAGACTTTAGTTTGCGGACATATGTCCGCTCAAAGTACCGAGAGAAAGTGTCGATGCAGGCGCTGCACGCCTTGACTTTGGTGTCGGCGGAGCGATGAAGTGAAGTGACAGGAGGAGATGTCGAGGCCATCAATCCAGCCCTCGTGGCGTGTAAGCTTTACGATGAAAAAAACGATGGTACTTGTGAGAGATGATTCAAAATAGAGTCAACTTACTGACACGCAGGGATGTTTCAGAATAAGTTTGATCAGAAAAGACTGGTGCACGTCATTTGCGATGGGGAGGTGGAATGGAAGAGGTTCGCGCAGGGAAAGAAACTCCTAGTTATGCGCTAGGAACTCCAATCTCAGCTCTCGGCTATCTATCAAATCCAAGTTTATAATGTCAACCACAGGTTCCATTGCTGCGGATCATTAATACAGCCAGATAATATGAGCCTTTCAGTCTATTTGGAACTGTTCGTCCGTCACGTATGCAGTGTCGAGACTCGGGCGAAAATGGCGGTCTGCGCGTCGAGCGACACAACCCCATCCTAATTCGCTCAACACCGTCCAAGTTTTGCTGAAGTTGCTTTGTTCGCAAAAAAGACTTTGCATCAAGACGAGTAATCATTGGATCAGCCAAGATCGTTGAAACATTGCCAGTAGAGTATAAATTTCCATAAAGACCCGATTATCTTTACGTCTACCACTTCGAAATCGCAATTTGATGGGTTGGCGAAATTATTTGTTGTAAGCTTACCATTTTTTCCCGTGAATCTAGACCTCTCCGTCGATGATCTTCTCTCTCAGGCAAGCCTTTGATTCTCAAAATTCCCAATCTATACAAGACAAGATTAGTGATTTTTTACAGCGTCTTCTTTGTCATACGACCATCATCAGAGATTGCCAGCACACAGCCGACGTAACCTACCTTCGCCATTCGATGTGTCTCTCTCATCTGACACCTGTCTTTTTGAGGCAGAAAACATCAATCTACCCAAACTCGGGCCTTCACATCACAAGCACGCGCACATGAAAAATCTTTGAAAACCCCATGATTCTCATGTTAACTTCATACTCTCACACTAAATCCACTCCAATGCCATGCCGCACCCCTGCACCCTCATTACGACATATATACAAAGCAGCCCGAAGGTTGTGATCCTCGCCGCACGCGATAAACACGCAGAGAAGTAATAAGAAGTCCCACCCCCCCCCAAAAACATACCTGCGTCTTGCAACCGAGACGCCCAATTTGAAAAAAAAAGCCATGTCGATATACCAAATGGTTTATAATCACGGACACCCCACCGTTCGCCCATTCAGCATGAAGAAACTCATCAATCCGCCCGCCCCCGTGAAAGATAACACAATGCAAGCGCCAAAAAAAAAGCGTCACAATGAACCAAAAACGCCAAAATAAGTGTCGAGTAAAATACAAAACGTTCCACCCCGATAAAACCATAGAGTCGTATGTGGCTGACGAGAGAATCGAAACAGAAGCGTGACTGATTAAATGGATATTCAAATGTGTGCACCAGAACTGAACGTGTAACTTTGAAAATGCGGGTCATGGTCGGCGTCTGAAATGTCCGACCCCATGCATGGTAGTCAATCTGTGACGTTTGCTAGAGAGAGAGAGAGAGAGAGTCGCAGCAGTCGAGCTTCGCTGGTGTGTACACGACACTTTTGCTAAAATGACTCCGGCGGACTAGGCATCCCATGAGCACTCCCATCCTCTTTTTCTGGATCCTGAACGCCGTGGCTTTCTCGGTGAGCAGGTTCAAGCTTCAACTTGCCGATTGGCTTGCCGAGCCCCTTCATAAGCCCATTATCCTTCCCGTTTTCTTCTTTTTCTTCGTCAAGCTTGCGCTTTTTGCGTGCCATTTGCTGTTGCTCTCTCAATGGGCGCTTTCGAGGACTTGAGATCTTTCCTGTAGGAGGCAGACGCGGCTTGGGGAAGCGCTGCTTGGGCGGCAGGTCGTCGTCCTCGATAAGCGCTTGATTGCCATTATCATGAAGTTTGTTGAGCAACCAGTCTTGCACAAGACCGATCTGGCCGTCGACGACTTGTAATGTGACTGCTTCGAATTTCGATGGCTCGGGCATGAGATCACCAGCAGCAGTAGCATTACTAAGGGAGTTAGCAGTTGATCATCAAAATATCGAGAAATACATACTTCGTGTCCTGCCTTGCATAGGCATTGTGAACTCTGTTCTGCAGCAGATGCAATGGCACGCTAAAGGTGAGGCCAAACTCTCTGTCGAGACCGAGCTCCTTGAAGCCGAAAAAGTCTTCTCCGATATCTTCGGCAAAGTCTCCTCCAACAAACTGCTCGCTGCCATCGTGGAAGGCACCAGCACCATCTGTGCCAACGTTGTCCAGAGCGGGTCGAAGGAGCTCGGCGTAGTACGACCGCATACGATCGTGCATACCAGCAAGCTTGGTACTGAGTCGCTCGACATCGTCCTTAACGTACGTCTCCAAGCTCTCCAGCTCAACACCGTTAGCATGCAGAGAATGGAGCACAGCCTCTTCCTGGGTAAACCGTGGGACCCAGCTGGTAAGTTGCCCGCTCGGAAGGGTCACCGGCGTCTCAGACCTCATCTTCGGTGTTTCGCGATAGACACCAAGACTCGCAACAAGGTTCTGGAAAAACTTTGCCGCAATGTCGGTGACCGCATCAAGCGCCGCAGGCTGAAACTCCTCGAACCCAGCGTGATAGAAGATTTTGCCAACGCTTCTTTGTAGAGCTGCACGACACACATAAGGAGCCATTACTGGACCATCCTCAGATACGACAAATGGCTCGATGTCTTGTTCCATGAATGGCTGGGGCTCATATTTCTGGAACTGGTTTTGGTATAGCTGTCGAGGGTTAGCCTTTCAAGTTCAAGGTTTGTACACTAACTAGCTGCATACCTGTGATTGAAGCTGCATCTGCTTCACTATGCCAATCTTCGCACAAATCTTCCTGGTGTCTTGCATTGCCTGCATATTCGCATCCATACGCTTGGCCACACCGGTGTTGGGTGCTGTGAACTGGCCGGATGGGAATATACGCATATACTCTTCTGCGCGCTGAATGACCTGGCCTTCGCCGTCTTCGACCCATTGGTGGCGCTCATTAAGATCTGGGATGGCGCAGACAGGGTCATAATAGTCGGGTATCTGGCGCTCGTCTTCACCCTCAATACCTTCAGCAAGCGACTCCCCGGCGATGGCCTGGACACCATCTTTGCCGTCTGGTGCGGAGATAGGATCGCGTGAGGATTCCTCTTCGTTTGCTTGTTTGCGATGGCGTTGCCACCTCCGCATGCCAGCTTTGGAACGCAGAATAGCAGGCTCCTCAGGTTGGAGCTGCTCGTTACGGAAAAGGCGGTGTCGTTCTGCGGCGATTGTCGCTCGATCCTTCTTGGTTACTTGTTTCCAGGTTTTGTATTCCAGATCATCGAGATCAGCGTCCTCCTCCAGAGCGGAGCCACTGACTGAAACAGCAGTGCCATCAACATCAGAAATGTCAGCTTGACTGCCGTTCAAGCCATTTCTTGACGCGCCGTTGAGGCCCAATGGCGTTAAAGCTCCAGGTGGGGGAGTTGAAAATCCATTAACGCTACCTTCCATCTCTGAGTCTGCGCGCAGAAACTCGTTCTTCAAGTTAGAGACTTGGTGGTTCAAAGAGGAAACAGGTGGTTTAGCGTCTGGAGCTGGTGTGCCCTCCAGACCTGCTGGAGGCGCCTTTCTGGCTGTGCTCGAGCCTTTGCCGCCTTTGCTTGGTGCCTTTCGACCTCGAGAAGCCATGATAGGTTCTTCTACGCGGTATGTTAGTATATCATACAAAACGCTGCTTTGACAAACGCATACCATCTTCACTGTCATCAGCACCGTCCGCGTCGATGTCGCCATTGCGTATCCTCCGCTCCTCAGCTTCAACCTCGGCGCGATCGCGGACCGTGATTTCTGGTATCAAAGGCACCAGCTTCTCGGTTTCCTTCTTCATGTGGAGTGCTTTCTTTCTGAGAAAATGGCTGGGGTCCGCGTTGTACTTCAAGCAGTTTGACCATATGAGCATGAGGTCGTCGACAAAGTCCTTCTTCGACTTGTACTGCAGCTGCTTGAGCTTCTTCATCATGGTGCCAATGTCCATGGGCTGCTTGATGATGTGGTAATAGTCGGGTGCTTCGCGTTTGTTGACGCGCTGTAGAAAGGGGTGTGCGTGCTCGCCAGCCTTGAGTTCCATGATGACCTTCTCCATGCTCTCGTATAGCTCTTCCTGGCCGACGCGGTCCTCGTTGGCCCACTTGCTCCTGTTCTTGCGGACTTCGCTGATCAGACTGCGTAGTTGGGCGTCGGTCGCGTGGACTCTGTCGCGTTGCGCATCGATGCGGGCGATGAGGTGCTTGAGGGTCAGACTGGATGCGCCGAGGTTGGTGGTGCTGAGGGTGCCCTGCTGAGGAGCGGCGACGACGCCGTTGGGCTGGGCAGTCGCAGGCTGTCCAGCCACCTCGGTCTCGACTTGCCGGTCGAGCTCGTCGAGCTTCTGCTGCTCCATCATGGCGTCGCGGTCGCTCTCCAGGGTGTAGAAGATGGTGTGGAAACTGCGCTTGGCAGCCTCCTCGGCGGCCTCCTTGTCCTGCTGCAGCTTCTTGCGCACATCGTCGGACGACTTGGCCTGGTCCAGCGACGGTGTTCTCTCCATGCCCCGTTTGCTCGAGGGAGGCGATGTGCGGACCAGGGTTGGCGTGTCGGGGGCAGCAGCGAGGCCGTTCGGGGCGCTTCGCGAGAGCAGCGGCGAGGTGTGTGTGTCGTCTTCATCGTCGTCGTCATCGTCGTCCCCGTAGTCGTCCTCGTCGATTGTCCTGGCCGCCCTCTTCTTTGGCGTGACGGCCGGGTGCGCGTCATGCGCCGTCGGGACATCATCGGACGCCTGGGGGCCATTGTCCAGCGCATCGAGCGTGTCGTGGAGCGACGTGCCCCCTAATACCGCGTTCAGACGCGCTTCGGTGCGGCGGTAGTGCTCTCGCCAGCGCGCCGCCCGCGGATCCTCCTCGGCAATAGCGTCTCCGCCCTCCCCCAGATTGTTCGCGGACATGGCCTCCTCGGGCAGCGTCGCATTGGGGGTGCGCAGGCGGATCGCGTTGGGCGTCGGCTTGGGCAGGCGGGCATGGCTGGGGCGATCTTTGGAAGACGGCCGGTGTGTTGGCGCCACGAGCGACATAACGTCGTCGCCGTCGCGGTCGCTTGTGGGGTTGGGTCGTGTCTTGGCGCAGCGGCCTCTACAGGGAACGGCCGCCTCTGGGGCGACGGCCAACCTCGTGCAGGTGTCGCGATGCACTGAAACCAAGCATGGAAGCAGCCTGGTGGCGCGCAAGTCGAGGCGGGATGGCGGCGAGATGGAAGACGTCTGGGGCGCGCGCGTCTTGATGGCCGAACGTGCAGCCGGCTCGCGGAGAGGAGAGTAACGTTGGAATAAGGAAGGCAAGCGCAGCCAGTTTCCGGTTTAGCGTGTTTGGGGATCGCGCCTGCCTCCAACACCGACTCAACTCGCCCGCTCGTCTGGCCCGCCGTGTGCACGTCGCCCGGCACACCACCACGGCCGCGGCCAGAGAGCCAGCACTGCATCCTGCGCGCTGTTCTCGCGCGCCCGGCTCGTCGCGCTCAGAACGCGAGTGGAATGCACCGTCCAAGCCATGCACGTGATGGCCAGGTTACCCTCAGAAGAGTAAGGCGGCGGCTAGAGTTCCGCCAGCGCCATCGACGTCGCAGCGCTTCTCCACCACTGTGCCTGATGATGCTCTGCAACCCACAATCCCCGTAGTGCTCCTCTCGGTCCAACATGCGGATACGGAAGCCCTTTGCCGGTACGTTCGCTCCCACATCAACCACCCGCTGCCCAAGGCACCCCATGCGCACAGCATATGCAAGCCCAGTATCCGCCAGACCCTTGCCGCAACCCACCGTTGCCCACCACCCCCAACTGACTTTCTCCCAGGGGCCTTTGTAGGCCTGATTTTCATTTCCGCCGTTGCTGGGTTTTCCCCCTCCGACTACTCACTCCCCAGCTATGCCCAATCAGACAAGGTGCTGCACTTTGTTGCCTTCTTCCTGGTGACATTTACCTTCTACTGGATCCTCGAGACGTCGCGGCGCAAGGTGCTGCAACTCACCTTCACCGTGTGCACTGTGGGCTTGGGGTTGGCAAGCGAGATTGTGCAGGGACTGCTGCCTGTACGTGACCACTTTTGTCAAACATCGCAAGATGCTGATGTGCACGCAGATCCACCGCGAATTCGACTACTATGACATCGTCGCCAACGTGCTGGGGTCGCTGACTGCCCTTGCAGGCTGCAATTGGTATCACAAGCGCATGCTCGAGAGGAAGCGGGCTGCACGCGGCTATGCGGCCGTTGCAGGCGATGAGGAGAGGGACATTGAACTGGGAGAAGACATGGATGGGCAGGAGTCGGGTGTTGTCAGGCCTACAGTTGATGAAGAGCTGGATCGGTGGGATGAGAATGTAGAGGACTGGGACACGACAGAGCCGGAACCCACAAGTGGGAAGGCTCTTCATGACGATGATGATGATGAGGATGACTTGGGTGACGGGAAAATGCGACATGACTGAAGTGGCGTCTTGTACGAATAACATGATTACGACAATATACGAATGAGGATATCTGGAATTTATTCTTGCATATTCTGGTAGATCTAACACGATCAAACTCCAGACTCTGAGCATCAATATTGACAAAGTACTGCAGTTTCAACAGACAGACGAGTCACTCAAGATTTGACGCGAGGCTGATGTAGATCGACTTGGATATTTGTTTACAAGCTCATAACTAGCCCCTGGTGCCCGCAGCATTCCATTCCGAGCAAGCTTGCCACCATGAATCATCACATTGGCCTGCATAATCTTTCGTGGATTCATGCATTTCAGCCGTACGAGATTCCGAAAGAACCGTGAGACCCATACCAAGCGCCATGATCAATCACTTCCCGAACCCATCAATCCTCTATGCAGTCGTGGTCTTAGCAGCGGCCTGGTTGGGGTTGATCTTCTTTCCGTCCTTGTTGTACCTGACACGTGGGGGAGGGGCACGGTTGCGGCGACCGACGACCGAGCGGACACTGGGTAGGTTGTTAGAGCCTAATCACCCTCCTGTTGGTGCTGTGGCGATGTAGACATACCGCACGATCTTTCCGTGGATGGCGCAGGAGACGCAGTACTGGAGCTTCAAGTACATCTTGGGAACGGTGTACTCGGGGAAGACGGACGCATCCGAGATATCACCTGCCCGAGTGGTTAGTCCCAGTTTCTTCGAGCGTGGCGGTCGCTCCTATGCAGCGCGACGTGTGAGGGCTTCGCGAGACGTACGGATAGCGGCAGACTCGACCATGTTGCGGATGGTGAATCTCTTTATCGCCTTGTCCTTGGGGGTGCATCGGGAGCAGTTGGAGCAACGGATGGGCTTGACGTGGCCGCGACCCTTCTTGTTACGGCCGCTGTGATGCTGTTAGCCTCGCCTCTTGCCAGGTGCATTGCTTGGACGCTGCCTACTTGGACGCTCGCTTCTTGACCATGATGGGCTGATTCTGGTGTCTTGTAAGTGAATGGTTCCTCTGGCAAAAAGTCGGGGTGCGCACCGAAGATGTTAAACCTAGAAGTCAGCAAAGGGTGTTGTCGTGGGAGTGTTCGTTCGTTGCGTGACGCAGCTTGCAGTGCGAAATTCGATGCCAGGTGTGGAGGGCCTAGCGAGCTCCGAGAATTCGCCAGATCTTATCTTATCGCTTGGCACGCGACCCCTCAACAGCCCAGCAGCTCGGGTGTTGCGCACTTTGTCGGGTTGCCGTGGTTTGACAGCTGTGACAAATCATAGACGCATCGTGCCCATCTCTTGCTGCTCTGCTCTGCCCTTTACGCACACCCAGCCTCATTCCACACGCGTTGTGGTGGAATCCTTCAGTCCGTCCGTGTGACCTCGGCGCTTGCCTAAGCAGCGCGTTTATTTCGCCAGCAGAACCCTGGCAACGGAGATCTTCACACCCCCGAAGCGTCCGCTAACAACCACGTCTGCGCCTGCTGTCGACTATCCGCTGTAATATAGACCCCTCAGCCAGTAAGGCCCAACCGCAGCCATGTCGCACACCGGTGGTCCCATGCGCAACACGCCCAAAAACCGCCCGCAGCCCCAGCCGCAGATTAGCAGCCCCTCTGGCATTCCGCGGCCAAACCTGGAGACTCATGTCTCCCACGTCGCCCAGAGCGATGCCGGCGGCTCCTCTCTCACCGCCAGGGCCAAGATGTCGAAGCGGGACGATGTGAGTGTCGCAGACGGCAGGTTATCCGACAGGGGCTTACATGAGACTCACAGGCCATCCGACGCAGGATCGAGACGGACCTGAACAAGAAGAAGAACCCTGGCGGCCGTGTGCGCCCGCAGCGGAAGGCTCCCCCCGGCACCGTCCTCGCCCTCAAGCCCAGCCCGGCCCTGCAGATCAAGCCCAACACGACCGTCGCTGAAGCTGCCCAGTTGATGGCGGCGAAGAGGGAGGACTGTGTCTTAGTCACCGACGATGACGACCGCATCGCCGGTATCTTTACTGCCAAGGATCTGGCTTTCCGCGTCGTTGGAGCAGGCATCAAAGCGCGAGACGTCACCATCGAGGAGATCATGACCAAGAACCCCCTTTGCGCAAAGACTGATACTAGCGCCACGGATGCACTGGACCTTATGGTCAGGAAAGGCTTCCGCCACTTGCCTGTTATGGACGAGAACCATGACATTTCCGGCATCTTGGATATCACAAAGTGCTTCTACGATGCCATGGAGAAGCTCGAGCGTGCCTACAGCTCATCTCGTAAGCTCTATGACGCTTTGGAGGGCGTGCAGGCGGAAATGGGATCAAGTCAACCTCAGCAGATCATCCAATATGTCGAGGCTATCCGACAGAAGATGTCTGGCCCAACACTCGAGTCGGTCTTGACAGGGCTACCCCCGACTACCGTGTCTGTGCGCACGTCGGTCAAGGAGGCTGCCTCGTTGATGAAGGAGAACCACACTACTGCTGTCTTGGTTCAGGATCAAGGCGCCATCACCGGTATCTTTACTAGCAAAGATGTTGTACTTCGTGTCATTGCTGCTGGTCTTGACCCAGCTACTTGCAGCGTCGTCAGGGTCATGACACCCCACCCTGACTTCGCGCCAATGGACATGAGCATTCAGTCTGCTCTTCGCAAGATGCACGGTATGTGTCGTGCAACCACCACATGAGACACAAGCACTAACATCTTCATAGATGGCCACTACCTCAACCTTCCCGTTATGAGCGATGCAGGTGAAATCGTTGGTATGGTGGATGTCCTCAAGCTCACCTACGCTACGCTGGATCAGGTAAGATCGTTCGCAGCTTTTTGTGGCACACGCTAATCCCTCTGAAGATCAACAGTATGGGCACGACAGACAGCGAAGGCCCTGCCTGGAACAAGTTTTGGTTATCGCTTGACAACGAAACAGAGTCGATGATGTCTGGTGAAGGCAGAAGCCAAATGCAAGGCGACCACCGATCGTTTGTGTCTCATGACAACCGCCCTGGACTGATGGAGCGCGGAGACACTGTTCTTCCTAATGAGTCTGCATCCCACAATGGAGACTCGCCGTCTGCGTCTGCTGTGGCCAGTGCCCATCCGACCTCGTATGAGGACATGCCATTTCCCTTCAAGTTCAAGGCTCCCAGCGGTCGCGTACACCGAGTGCAAGTCGTGGCTTCTGCTGGCATCGAAGACCTTATTTCGATGGTAGCTAACAAGCTTGGCGGCGAAGTCGACTCGATTGGAGGAACGCCAACATTCGAGTACGGCAGGCTATCCAAGGCTGGTTTTGCCCTGAGCTACCTCGATAACGAGGGTGATACGGTCTCGATCACTACGAACGCCGACTTGAATGAGGCTGTCAGCCTTGCACGTCTCACTCACCACGAGAAGGTGGACCTTTTTGTGCATGATCCAGACGAGGCCCCGCATTCGGCCGAGCTCAACTCGCAACCTGCTGCGACCAAGCCATTCACTCCACCAGAATCTGTACTGCGTGAGCGCAAACAGTTCTTCGATGAGGACGAACAAGATGCAAGGCCAAGGTCGAAAGCCAGGGGAAGTCAGCCTCCTGCGGTCGTAGAACAAGCCGAGGTCATTCCTGGCGTGCCCAACGATCTTCTTCTCCCAGGAGCCATCGGTGTCCTAGCGGTGGTGATTGTCGGTGTTTTCGTGCTGGGGCGTGCCTCGCGTCGGTAGTTTTCGTTTGTTGTCTCCTTTGTCGTTGGAAACGCGTGTAGGACGTTTCAGATTGCAGCTTTGCTAGTTTTGTACTATATCCCTAGACCGGCTACTGCGTCGTCGTGATAGTCGGCTTTCATACCAGTTTAAACCAGTATAATTCTTCTCTATGTTACCTGAGGAATGACAGGCGCGTGACGTACCTAAACTGAAAGTCACAACAGAGCACTAGATGGGTTTCGCGTCCAGTGAGAGGCTGTAGACTGTCAGCCTCAACACTTGTTTTACCTCACATGGCTGAGGACCAGTACATGATGTTGATGGAAGCTCAGGGCGTACAGGGTTCCTGGTCAGCCAATGGTCGCGTGGAATGAAGGTCCCTTTGAACAGATCCCTGCACTTTGAGTTTGGCACGGGAAACATTTTTGGCGGGCGACTCGCGAAGCCCAAAGCCCCGCCAAAACACACCAAATTTCCACAGCAACCCGCCGCTTGCACACACATTCCTGCAGACTACAGTTGCCAACAGGCTCAGGACTCTGTGCCTTTTCTTGCTGCACACGTTCGACCTGGTTGTGTGAGAGACAGGCAATCCACCCCGCCAACCATCGCCTTCGACTCCCATAATCCCTTGAGACCCTTGCGCGAACAACATCCCCACGCTTACTGGGGCGCCTCCCCAAAACACCACCACACACAGTCACAATGTCTGTTCTCCCCGCCGAAGTGCACACCGCCCTGGCCGGCCTGCTGCAGGGCCTCCAGTCGCCAGACAATGTGCAGCGCTCAAACGCCGAGCAGCAGCTCAACGACGAATGGGTGGCACAACGGCCTGATGTGCTCTTGATGGGCCTGTCGGAGCAGATCGACCTCGCCCAAGACACGTCTGTGAGTAACAATGACTGGTTTCAATTTGCTAGAGCCCGGTTCCAACTCATGCACTAGACCCGCACATTCGCCGCCGTTCTCTTCAGACGGCAGTCTTCGAAGCCACGAAAGACGCCCTCCGGCCAGCACGCAGACCTGTTCCTGACTCTCAACCCCGCTGAGCGCGAGGCCATCCGCGCAAAGCTGCTGAGCTGCCTTGGCAAGGAGCCTGATGCGAGCGTGAGGAGCAAGGTCGGCGATGCGGTTGCGGAGCTAGCACGGCAGCACACAGACGAAGGTAAGACACCTCCACCATTCAGCGCATATCATGGGGAGAACATGGCAGCACAGCCAAAAACTGGTTAGAAGTCAGCCAGATCACGCGAGGATTGGAAACACGCCATGATTATCGCCAGCCTGGGCGATGCGCGTCTCTAGTCGAAACTCAGCGCCTTCAGAAAGGCTTCTACACAGCATTTTATATAACATATTCTAACACTCTTCCCAGGTGTGGCATGGCCGGAACTCCTTGGAGGGTTGTTCCAAGCCAGTCAATCTCAAGACCCAGCACAGCGGGAGAACGCCTTCAGGATATTTTCGACCACACCGCAAATTATCGAGAAGCAGCACGAAGATGTCGTCATGAGCGCATTCAAGGGCGGATTCGCAGACAGCGAGACCTCAGTGGGTAGAAACGTCGCGAAACCATGTTCAACAACTTACTGTTCCAGGTCCGAATCTCTGCTGTAGAGGCTTTTGCGTCCTTCTTCCGCTCCATTACCAAGAAGACCCAGTCAAAGTACTACTCGCTGATCCCCGAGATCCTCAACATCCTCCCACCGATCAAGGACTCTGGAGACGCGGACCTCCTTACGAAGGCCCTTATTTCGCTCATCGACCTGGCTGAGGTTGCGCCAAAGATGTTCAAGCCTCTGTTCAACAGCCTTGTGCAGTTTAGCATCTCTGTTATCCAGGACAAGGACCTTGGAGAGACTGCACGACAGAACGCACTCGAGTTGATGGCTACGTTCGCGGACAATGCTCCACAAATGTGCAAGAAGGACCCCAACTTCACAAACGACATGGTCACGCAATGTTTGTCTCTCATGACAGACGTTGGTGCCGACGATGACGACGCGGAGGAATGGAATGTTTCAGAAGATCTCGACGAGGAAAGTGATTCGAACCACGTTGCTGGTGAGCAATGCATGGATCGCTTGGCCAATAAGCTCGGTGGCCAGTCTATCTTGCCCCCAACGTTCAACTGGCTCCCACGGATGATGACCTCTTCCGCTTGGCGAGATCGACACGCTGCCCTCATGGCCATCTCGGCCATCTCCGAGGGTTGCCGCGAGTTGATGGTCGGAGAGCTTGACAAAGTTCTTGATCTTGTTATTCCCGCTCTGCGAGACCCACATCCCCGTGTGCGATGGGCTGGTTGCAACGCCGTTGGCCAGATGAGTACCGACTTCGCCGGAACCATGCAGGAGAAGTACCATCAGATCGTTCTGCCCAGTATCATACCGGTGCTTGAATCTGCGGAACCTCGTGTACAGGCGCACGCTGCCGCGGCCCTCGTCAACTTCTGCGAGGAGGCCGAGAAGAATATCCTCGAGACATATCTGGACCAACTGCTGAACCACTTGCTCATGCTTCTGCAAAGTCCTAAGCGCTTCGTGCAAGAACAGGCTTTGTCTACCATTGCGACCGTCGCTGATTCCGCAGAGGCTGCATTCTCCAAGTACTACGATACCTTGATGCCGCTACTTTTCAACGTGTTGCAAGAAGAACAGTCAAAAGAGTACCGTCTGTTGAGGGCGAAGGCTATGGAATGTGCTACTCTGATTGCTCTCGCCGTTGGAAAAGAACGAATGGGACAAGATGCATTGAACCTGGTCCAGCTCCTTGGCCGAATCCAGAACAGCGTAGCAGACGCTGATGACCCGCAAGCCTCTTACCTACTCCACTGCTGGGGTCGCATGTGCCGTGTTCTTGGACGCGAATTCGTACCGTTCCTTGCCGGTGTCATCCCACCATTGACCGAACTGGCTGGATCCAAGGCTGACATTCAGCTGCTCGACGACGAGGACCAGGTTGCTCAGATTCAAGAAGAGGAGGGCTGGGAGCTTGTCCCACTCAAGGGCAAGGTCATTGGTATCAAGACTAGCATCCTCGAAGACAAGCACATGGCGATTGAGCTCATCGTCATCTACGCACAAGTACTCGAAGACGCCTTTGAGCCATACGTCATGGAGATTATGGACAAGATCGCGTTGCCTGGCTTGGCTTTCTTCTTCCATGACCCAGTGCGCGTCGCTTCGGCCAAGTGTGTGCCGGCACTCCTCAACGCATACAAGAAGGCGCATGGTCCGGAATCACAGCAATTAGCGACGCTTTGGGGACGCACAGTCGAGCGCGTTCTTGAAGTTCTTAGCACGGAGCCCGCCATCGACACGCTCGCCGAGATGTACCAGTGCTTCTACGAGTGCTTGGAATGTGTCGGCAGGAACTCTCTGACAACTGCACACATGGACGCCTTCGTTGTGGCCGCCCGCGGTGTACTGAAAGACTACCAGGAGCGTGTTGCGGAACGTCTGGAAGAACAGGCTGAGAACGAGGATGGTGAGGAGGCCTCCGAGGAGACTTTGTTCGCCATTGAGGACGACCAGAACCTCCTCTCGGACATGAACAAGGCTTTCCACACAATTTTCAAGAATATGGGTACCTCATTCCTACCACATTGGGAGCAGCTCATGGAGTTTTACAAGAACGCCGTTGTCAACCAGGATCCCACCCAACGCCAATGGGCTATCTGCATCTTCGACGACGTTCTCGAATTCTGCGGTCCTCAATCGTGGAAGTACAGTGAGCACATAGTTCAGCCACTGATTGACGGTATGCAAGACGACGTCCCTGCCAACCGACAAGCAGCCGTTTACGGTGTGGGTGTCGCTGCGCACAAGGGAGGTGAGGCATGGTCAGACTTCGCCGCCGCATCGCTACAGATGCTCTTCCAAGTTGTCCAGCGCCCAAATGCGCGCGGGGATGACGACATTTTCGCAACAGAGAACGCTTCAACATCCATTGCGAAGATTCTGCACTACAACGCAGCCAAGGTTCAAAACTGGCAAGACATTGCCGCCGCATGGCTAGACACACTTCCCATCATCAACGACGAGGAAGCCGCGCCATATGCATACGCATTCTTGTCTCAGCTGATTGAACAGTAAGTCGCCCCTCTTTGGTAATCAAACAATCAATACTAACACTTCTTTAGACAAAATCCTGCCGTCTTCTCGCAACCCGCCAAGGTCTTCACTTTCGTCGTACAAGCCCTCGACGCCGAAACGCTACAAGGCGTCACCGCCACCCGCGTCGTCACATCCGTAAAAGCCCTGATCCAAGCCACAAACACCAACCTCGCACAAGCTGCCGCGACCCTCACACCCGAGCAGCAACGCACCGCGCAAGCCTACTTCTCCTAGGCGCCGAAGAAAGTCGAAGCGTGGGCGTCGCGTGGACTGAATATGCAATGGCGTTGTGTTAGCGGGAAAACTTTACGAAGGGGCTATGATGCATCAGGACTTTACGAAGAATGAATAGCGCGCGCTGGGCGCAAAGGCTCCCCGGTCATGGGGTGGGGAGCGCACACGTGCAGGGCGCATGAGATGAGGTAAAGGTTTGGCGAGGCGAGAGTGGTTTATGATGAATGAATACGGAATGCCCCCCTCTTCCCCTTCTCTCTGCCCCCACCCAGTTTTTTGCTTGTTTTCTCCGCTGCTTCATACGACTTGTCATGGATAGATCGGGGTAGGGCGGGCGTAGTTCAGTGTCATGTCTTGTAGAATAGCGAAAAGGGGCGGCAGCTTATCTACTTATTCTTTTGGGCCTCTCTGCACAAGCAAATTGAAAACGTCTTCAACATGTATCAAGTCGTTGAAAGTGGGTGAGGTGTTTGGCAAACGAGGAGAGAACTGCAAAAGTCTCGAACAGAACTTTGCACATTTACAAGTTCATCGTCGGTATATCTCATGGTTTCTCGTATGTTCAAATCCTGAGCAAGTCCATCCACCCATCCGTCCATTCATCCATCCATCCATGTCATGTTTGCCTAAAACGCCAATCCACCACCCACCCATCCATCCATTCACCGGGCGATGGAACAAAAAAAAAGAGGTAATCCCGCTAGCTATGCCGCACGGGACCTGAAGAATGCAAAAAGTTTTGCAAAAGAGCACCACGCATCATGGCTCCAGCGCGACTGACTAACTACGCGCCCTCACTACCAAACTCCTTTGTCCACTCTGCGTTTTGCGAGAGATCCTTGCCGCTGACCGTCGGTCTCGAGGCCTTGATTGCCTTGACGAAGTCGCGTACGCGGAGCGGTGGCTCGAGGAGTTCGTCGCCGGTGAGGTCGGTCCAGGATTTTTCTTCGGCTTGGGAGTCGCCGGGGGAGCAGGGTGTCCATTTTGTTTCGCCGTCTACGGTGACCTGTATGGTGTTAATCAAAGGGCGCACTGTTTTGGAAGATGGATGTGAAAGTGACGTACGGGCTTGTAATGTGTTGCGGTCTGGATGAGGCGCACGGGCTGCATGAGCGCGTCTTGTACGGCGATGGAGATATCAGAGCCAGAGTATCCTTCACTCAATTCGCCCAGTTGCTTGTAATCCGCTTGGGTCAGCTCGCAGGGTGTGTTGCCGACGGCGAGCTCGAACATTCTCATTCGCGCAGGCGTGTCGGGCAAGCTGATGTGCACTCTTCGCTGGAAACGTCGTCGGATGGCAGAGTCGAGTTGCCATGGGATATTCGTTGCGCCGAGGATGAGAACGCCACGCGAGTCCTTGCCTACACCGTCCATCTGCACGAGCAGTTCGGTCTTGATACGTCGTGATGCTTCGGATTCGCCTTCGCCTCGTGGACCGCAAAGAGCGTCGATTTCGTCGATGAAGATGATGGAGGGCTTGTTCTCGCGCGCCATGCCGAAGAGCTGTTTTACCAATCTGTTTCATGTCAAAAACCAACTCCACGGCACAGGAAGGCTTGTCTTACCGTTCTGATTCACCCATCCACTTGCTGACCAAGTCGGAACTCGATACACTGAAGAACGTGCTGTTTGCTTCTGTCGCAACCGCTTTCGCTAGATAACTCTTACCCGTACCAGGCGGCCCGTAGAGCAGGATACCTTTCCATGGCTGTCGCTTACCGGTGAATAGATGCGGGAACTTGATGGGTAATATGACGGCTTCCTTCAGCGCTTCCTTTGCCTGCTCCAGACCGGCGACATCTTCCCATCGAATATTGGGCTTCTCGGTAAGGATGGCGCCAGCGAGCGCACCGCGGAGCTTCTTCGAGTCGGCATCTTGCTCCTCTTCGCCGTCTTCGCCCCTGTAGCGTCTAGTCAGCACCCGTGGCTTTTACTGCTGGGATTGCCACATACTTTGCGCCTTTCCCACTCCCGCCCGCAGACTTTCCATTCGCGCCCATGGCCGACGGTTTCTTGCGATTTGTCTCGTCGTTCTGGTTCAGGTGCTGCTTGAGCTTCTCGGCGCGCTCCATGTACTCGGCGACCTTGCCTCGGATCATGTCCTTTGATTTCTGGTTCTTCTCCCCTGGTTGCTTATCAGCATGATGTCCTGCATTATCCAAGTCTGGTCACCAGGCGAGAGTTGGAGGTGAACGCACATTTGAGAGCGAGCATGAACAGTTCGACTATGTTGTATTAGCGGAAACCTTCTTATTTGAACCATGTGTGACCCACGAGCTTGATAGTACAGCTGATAGGCCTTCTCATAGTCGCCAGCAGTATCCGTCTCGATTGCCTTCTTGACCTGCTCAATGGCACGGCCCAGGAAATCCGCGCTACTCATCCTTGCGTTGAATTCGGGCTACACGCTGTAGCTGTTGTGTGTGGCAACGTCCTATGTATGCGCGTCGCGTAGGCGGTTGGATATAGATCGTAGATGCGGTGCGGTAATAGAGGAGCGGTCGGCGCGGGGCAATCCTGGCTACGTAGAGTGCCTACACTGCTATACAGTATGCTCAGCAGAGAAAAGCCACACGCAAAGGCCGTGCAACCAGTCAAATATGCAGCAAATAGCGAGTAAAGTTGCTCTTGTGGCCCGGTAATGTCTGCGTGTTTCCCTCTGGTTGCCATGGCCAAGCAACCGCGCTAGCCCCCCGCCCCGCGGTTACGAGGGCCACCACTCTCAATCGGGGAAGCTCGACATCCCACCTCTGTCGTGAGCCGCGAAAACGAAACTTTTGGCACGCGCGGTTACTCAGCAGCATCACGAAGATATGGGAGACGTGCAGAAAAAGCTACAGGAGCTTTCCGATAGCTATCAGAATCTTCAAGCAGGTGCGGATATCGCGATCTTGGATGATGTCATTGCTTATATGTGTGTAGAGCTTTCGACGGCTGTAGAAGCACGGCAGCAACTCGAGTCCCAACAGCAGGAGAATACTACAGTGCAGAAGGTATGATTGAAATAGCTTCGACTGAGGGGTCAATGCTGAGTAAAACTTTTGTAGGAATTCGCCATTCTCAGTGATGATGCAAACATCTACAAGCAGATAGGACCAGTGCTACTGAAGCAGGACAAGACAGAAGCTGTGATGGCAGTAAACGGGCGCCTGGAATTTATCGAAAACGAGATGTGAGTGAGACAAGCTTCGAGTAAGAGAGTAAAAGAACTGACAATAAGTAGCAAGCGAATTGAGAAGCAGATCACAGACATTCAAACCAAGAGTGAGAAGTTCAAGATGGAGGTATGTTATTTACAATCTCAAAGACGGTATCAGTTGTTTACTGATATCTTGAACAGATCATCCAGATACAACAAGCGGCGCAGCAATCACAGCAAGCAGTAGCATCATAGTGCATTCATGTAGACAAAACTCAAAATAAGATACCCAATTCGATTGCATTGGTCAACCAAGACCGCAGAGTCCGTCCAGTCAAGATACGCGATGATTCTGACCTACACTAACAGTCTATATAAGGTCTTGACGTTTCCAGTCTAGGAACCTCAGGCCTTCCACTCCTCTCTTCTTTCCTTGGTGGTTGAGATAAATGATCTTTTCTCGTTTCTCCAAATCTCCTCCATAATTTGCACAATCCTCACACCCCCTCCCGTGTTCCGCGTGAAGTCCCGGATATGATCGTGAACAGCCTGTTCGCACGTGCACGCTTTCTCAGCTCTCGCTTTCCTCTTCAGCGCAGTGATGGCAGTCGTCTCCACAACAGGATCTTGCAAAATTTCTGCTGTGATGGCCAGGTTAACAATGTGCATCCAATCGCGCTCTCTGACCAAGACGTCCACGGATGGCAATTCGCAGTACGCGGCGACCATGTTGGTGGTGAGGGCTGGAAGGCGGATGTAGCGGTCGCGCGGGGGTAGATTGCTGAGCTGGACAAGTAGAAACGAGCTCTGAGGGATGTCGGTAAGAAGTAAGGGTTGTGTAACTTCATCGCGGCCAAGAATGAGGATGTGGTCTTGATTAGGCATGGTTCGTCAACGGGGTTGTAGAAAGAAAGATCTCGTGTTGGATTGGAGAAGGACTTGGTTAGGCGAAATTTGATGGTTGAAGTGGAGCGGGTGGTATAGAAGTGTGCTGGGAGGGTAAGAATGGGTTTATGATGTAGTATTGGGAGTTGCAGTGAAACCTCATCTACAACGTGAGTGGACGTGATCTCTTGGTTGTAGGAGCAGCTGGCTTGCCATTGTGAGGCAGTGAGGAAGCGAGGTGGAGCAGACACTTGATAGGTTGGAATGTAGGTGAATTGGCAGAATTGCACTATGTGCTGGTTCTGACTCGATCGGTGTTCAAAGGTGGCTGTTGATATACCTCAAAAATCCAAACTGGAGGGTTATACTTTGTCGGTACACAACCCCATGTCTGTATACAGTAGTGTATGGGGTGCTTTGTGTTCACCGGAAACTACTGGCTTGGAAGGTTGTATCGAATCTCAGGAAACACACTGAAATAGCGGTTCAAAGTTGGACGTCATTTGGATGTCAAAGGAAAAATCGATGGTTCATTCACCATGCACTTCTCTTGCATAATAGCTATGGAAAGCATAGCTCTCCACATCTTACCTCCACTCTTATATGTACATTTCCAATTCAAACGTCTTACGGCTTCAATACTTGTCGCTCTACTTTGTCTCGTGCTCTGGGGTGACAGCGAAGGTAGGTCGGACGAACCTGCACACACAAAGTTAGTTGATAGCCCTCCACTTGACCAGAATGTCAAATCATACCTGTCGCTGTTGTAGACCCTCGTCTCTGTGCCAAGCAGCTCCTTTTCTCTCGCCCTGTCCGCCAGATATCTTCGCACCTGATCGCGATCCTCTTCGGCCTGCAGCGCAGGGATAAGGTGTATCCGCGCCCACATCTTCTCGCGTGCGAGTTCGCTGTGTCTGGTCAGCCCCGCCCCAATGTCTCATATCCTCCCAAAAATATCCACTCCTGGTATTTCTGAACGTCTGTCACGTACTTGTGCTCCCTGATTCCCTGCCCAACCCTCCAGAAACCGTATGTCATCAGCGCGCCCATTCCGACGACGTACACGGCTGGCCGGAATCCGCGAGCGGGAAGACTGCGCTTGTATTGTACGGGGCCGTAGCCGCCGGTGGGCGGCATATCCTGCGGCATGTTGGGCAGCTGTGTTCGGGGTTCAATGGGTATTCCGAGTTGTGCAGTCGATGCGGAGACGACGACGTGAGGTGAGGCTCGGAGCTACGATGACAAGGGTTCGTCTTGGCGCACTAGTGGAGCGGACATACCAATCTTGTCGACGATGAGTGGGTGATTCGAAAACACCACAAATTGTCTGGATCCGCAATTGTCGCAAGTCATCATGGAATCTGACGAACGACCCACGAAGATGAGAAAGACGGAGCATGCAGGCGAGGAAGAGGTGGCGCCAGAGGCTGAAATCACTCCTACCAACTCAACCAACGACGCGCATGCACCCGTGATCGCTGAAAATAACGAAGCAGCAAACGAAACGGGGGAACCACCCAATGACGAGGCTGCGGCGCCCAAAATATCGAAGAATCAACTCAAGAAATTGAGGCGTCAAGAACGATGGGAAGCTGGTCGCGATGAGCGCAAGCAGAAGCGCAAAGAGAAGGTCAAAGAGAAAAAGGAACGGAGACGAGAAGCATGGACACAAGAGCAGGAAAACGAGGACGGCAGCGAACCAAAACCACCAGTGATGAAGCCACCACGGCATTCAGCAGGTAGTGGAACTCAGGTTCCTATCACGGTTATTTTCGACTGCGATTTTGAAGATCTGATGTTTGACAAAGAGCTCAAGAGCTTGGGACTTCAGATTACCAGGTGTTATTCGGACAACAGGAATGCTAAATTCAGAACGCATTTGGCGGTTAGCAGTTTTGGAGGCAAGCTGAAGGAGCGATTCGACACCGTCTTGGCGCAGCAGTACGTGGGATGGAAGGGCTTCCAGTTTTTCGAGGAGGATTTCGTGGCGGTAGCCGAAAAGGCGAAAGAGTGGATGAGTGGACCAAAAGGTGGTGAAGTTGCGGGAGCATTGAAACAAGACGAAAAGGAGCAAGCTAGCGAAGGGACAACAGAAAACACAGAAGAAGGCGAAATCGTATACCTCTCCTCCGAGTCCGAAAACGTCCTTACACACCTCAAACCCAACAGCACCTACATCATTGGAGGTCTAGTCGACAAGAACCGATACAAGGGTGTCTGCCACAAACGAGCTGTGAATCGCGGAATCAAGACAGCGAAACTACCTATTGGAGAGTACTTGCAGATGAACAGCAGACAGGTTCTGGTAACCAATCATGTGTTGGAGATCATGCTTAAGTGGATGGACTGTGGAGATTGGGGCAAAGCATTCATGGAAGTCATTCCAAAGAGGAAAGGTGGAAAGCTCAGAGAAGGCGGAGAGGAGGACGACGATGCAGATGCAGAGGAAGCCGAGGTGAAGGAGCAGGAAGATCAGGAGATGGTAGATGCAGCGAAAGAGGCGGAAGTTTCATCAGGTGAACCGGCAATCGAGACTACTCAGGCGGCAGAAGCAGCACAAGCTGGTAGTGATTCGGTGGATCGAACATGACAAAGGCACATGTCTACTCGAGATTTCTAGTGTTGCTGGACTGGCCACATTCTTCGATGAGTCTACAAAAATGAACATTAACAGGCGTGTTAAACGTCAAAATGAATAAGCCTATATCCAAACTCAACCGACACTTGCAAATCTGACATGGCCATGTAAATCCACAGTCTTGACGATTAGTGGTGGTAGATAAGCTTTCTGAGGCTCCGGCTAGGGCGTAGCGGCAGTTGGAGACGAGGCTGCACCTCGAAGAATCTGGAGATAAAGCAATGCACTTGAAAGATGATCGACAAGCCTCGAACTTGAAGCGCTAAGGAGGCAGTTAATCAGCAGTGTCTTTCTCACTATGTGTAAGCGTTAATGCATCTTGGCGAAGCTTTTGAACGCGTGAAACGCTGTCAGGCCACTTGACACGTAACGTCATGGCTTACAACACTCACAAAGATAGCCCGCGACACCCCAGCCCACACCCTGAGTTCGCAACCACGCGCCCACGCGACCCACTGTTGATCCACAACCATTGATAACCGCTGATCATGACTCCCACGACAGACTCGTCGCAATCCTCCCGCCCACCCTCATCGTCGACGCGTTCTTCATCGTATTTCTCATACCCAGTTTCATACGCCGTAACTGGCATCCTACGCCGCCTCACCACCGACACCAATCCCAAAGATTCCTCAAGATCCGAAGGCACAGGCAGTTTCCAGTCACAAATTCAATCAACTGCGACATCACTTTCACACTCGTTCGCCAGCCTTCTCGACACGTCGTCCTCTTCTGCAGATATGCATTCCGTCTTCCAGTCTCCACAACGGACACTCAGTCCATTCCAACCGCCACCACTCACACCACTCACGCTGCAGGGATATGGAAGTGGGATGCGCGAGAAGGGCAAGCTCTTGAGCAAGGCACTGGCGGAGGAGATACGATTGCTGTTCCCGCCGAGGCTGCAACTTGTGGATGAATGGTCGTTGATATATAGCTTGGAGCAAAACGGAGTTAGTCTGGGGACACTATACCAGAATAGCGAGGAGTACCGAGGGAAGAGGGGGGGTTTTGTGTTGGTCGTGAAGGATGGTGGTGGTGGAGTACGTCCTTCGTCTTCGCATGACCATGCGAGAGAAAAGAAGGAAACATGCTGATCTTGAACACAGGTCTTCGGTGCATACCTCTCTGACGCCCCACGGCCCTCCTCACATTTCTTCGGCAACGGCGAATGCTTTCTTTGGCGAGCACACATCCTCACATCCTTCCCAGATTTTGCGAACCTCCCACCGCCACCCTCAGCAGATACAACAAATGCTGTTCGAATGACAACCGTAGCGTCACCAAAAGCCAAATCAGACAAACTGTCAGCAATACGATCAGGCCAGACGAGTAGAAGTGGAGCAAGCACGCCAGACAGGATAAGATTTAAGGCGTTTCCATACAGTGGGGTGAACGACTACATGATCTTCTGTGAGCAGGGGTTCTTGAGCGTTGGTGGAGGGTAAGATTAGGACGATTCATTTGTGGGATCGATTTGGGACTGACAATGTTGCAGGGACGGACACTATGGCCTCTGGCTCGACGACAATCTGGAGAACGGCGTGTCAGACACGTGCTTGACATTTGGCAATGAGCCTCTCAGCGACGACGGCAAGAAGTTTGAGGTGATGGGCGTCGAGTTGTGGTATATCGGCTCTTGATCGATTCTTGATTTCCTTCCATTTGCTATGAATTTTATGATTGCATCAACGAGGTTTTGGGTATGGCGTTCACAGGTAAACGACTATCACGTCGGCGGAAAAAACATGTTCAGATGATACCAAGCGGACTTCATGATGAAGTCGTCAAAAGCGGTGAGGCAAGTGAGAGAGTTTTGATCTCAAGGTTTTAGGTAAAATCGAGGCTTATACCTCGCGCTCCATATAATCTCAACACTTACATCCCTAAACTCTCATCTCTCTCTCCAAACGTTTTCACCCAGAGAGTCTCTACCTAAACTCTTCGTCAATCACCAGTCAGTGTGCTCCACTTCTTCAATAACAACGTGTTCTACGTGATCGACACCGTCCTTGTCCCCTCCAGTCTTTCATACACTTCATTACTTTCCATCGACGACATCGTGATCACCGTAATGGGTATCGTCAAAAGTCGCGGCGCAACGAAGAAGTTGGAACCGATGAGGTTGGTGCTACCAATATACACCACCGTACCTATACTAATATTGCGCAGCATTGGCCGTGGCGTGGTCCGCTTCATGACACAAAATGGCTGGCATCGTTTCACCGTTCACGAGGACCTGATATGTGCCAACTCGAAACTGTTCAAGAACCGCCTACAAAAGAACCGCAAGGCAATAGAAGGCGAATGCTCAGTCTGCACTGAGGAGCTTAGCCCGAAGAGGGGCGTGATCACCTTCTGCAGAGCGGAGTGTGGCCAGAACATCCACGAAAAATGCATCGAGAGGTGGCAAAGATCGCAAAATGGACCGACGACGTGCCCGATTTGTCGAAAGGCCTGGAAAGCGGGGACCGAGGAAATGATCTCTCTAGATGATGAGCTTGATCGGGACGCTGTGCAACTCTATCTCGACTGGTTATACACTGGAAACTTACTGGTGGATGAGCCAGATGAAGACGATGAACATGAGGACATCAATCTTCCCCTTTTGATGGCCTGGACTGTCTCTAGAGCTGTGGATGACAAGAATTTCAAACATGCCATCATCGCTGAGATGGTTTCGCGGACAAGAAGCTTCAACTACGCCTTCTGGTTCGAATCCATGGCATATGCGTTCGAGAAGCACCCGGATGAGGAGATGAAGGAATTTCTTGTCGAAAGTTTCTTGACCTGCATGGAGTCGGGTTGGTTCAAGGAATGGGCAGATTTGTTCCCGAATAGTTTTGTCCAAGCAATTGGTGAGGCTCTTTTCGATGGAATGACTCAAAAGCCCAAGTATGCAGAGATTGTGAAAAAGTACACGAACGGTGAATACAAGCTCGTGTGAGGACTTGACGAAGAGCCACGGAATGAGGTCATCGAAGAGGATTAGGTGAAATAGGTCAAGTCGGATGCTTGAACTCGATATTGCCTCAATCTCTGCTTGAGTTCTCTGGGTCGTTTCACAAACTATTCTCCTTTGAATTGAATGTCATTTTCTCGAGAGATATGTATTGCTCTTTTTTCCTCCGAGTTCATGACTTGGACTATTTGTCAATGTATCCACTCATTCAATGGCTCTCCTAGTTTCTGGTATTTTGATAGGGTCTATATCCTAGGCCAAAATTTCGTGCCTCTCTTTGGTCGTACTCACATGTGTAACACTTGAATATTTGATACCATACATAATTGCCGTATTGCAACCTCCGGGTCCTCAAGGTCAAAAGCCTCTTTAGGCTACTTAATCGCACCCATGATTTTGGACTGGAACCATTTCCATCATACTGGGTATTGACCCGCTTTTGAACATGTCTCCATCCTTCTCTCACCTTGAGACTCACCACTCCTCGCTCGCTTAGACAGGCTGCTACCTTCCTCACGGTTGGGTGAGTTCATATATTCTTCTCTCCACGTTTTGCTTCTTATTTCTTACACCACGCTCATAACCTCTGATCAACAGCCCACTTACGTCAGTAAAGATTGCTCACGAACAAGGTAATTAATAGGGTTACCGTAGTGTGGTATGTCGACCCTGCTAACACTTGAAACAGTTGATATCCCTCGATACAGTGCATTATCAGGTAGACACAGCCCCGATCCACATGTGACTCTCAAATATTGACACTTGGGCAGGCAGAGGTTCTTCTTTTACCTCTCCAGGCTAACCGCATCTCCCTCCAAGTTCAGCGTCCTTCCTTCTTGTCAATACCTACAATTCCCGTTCTACGACACCGTTTCAATAAGAATGACGATCACCAAGAGCCGCGGAGCCACGAAGAGGCTAGGCCCTATCAGGTATGTGATCTTGAGTGCCCTGAGGATGATAGACACTCACTAAACCAAAGCAGCATGGGCAGCAAGATCGTTCGATTCCGAGTCAAAAACATCGACCGCCGCTTCACTGTGCACGAGGATCTCATCTGCAAGACATCCAAGTTCTTCAAAGACCGCCTACAGAAAGCCCGCAAGCCGGTGAAAGGTGAGTGCTTTGTCTGCACTGAAGACCTGGATCCGAAGATAAAGGACCTCACCTTCTGCGCAATGTGCGGCCAAAACGTCCATGTTAGCTGCATCGAGCGGTGGAAACAGACAGCTAGCATCCAAGGCAACGATCGTTCGCTCCCGACCTGCCCCATGTGCCGCCATGTCTGGGAGAATGAGTCCTTGCTCACGCACCTCCGTTTGACTGATAGCCTGGAACCCGAGTCAGTTCAAGTTTATCTCGACTGGCTCTACTCCGGCACTGTTCATATCGATGCCGCCATCTCACGCGATACAGACACTTACAATGTTTGTATCCTCCAAGCCTGGGAGGTCGCCAGCGTTGTGGAAGATGAGGTATTCAAGGACAAGATAATTCAAACCTGGTTCACAGAGCGTAGGATGGACTTTTACAGAGATACTGTCCAGTGGGCATTTGTGGAAGGTAGAGGCAATGATGAGATCAGAGCCTTTGTTATCGAAGACTTTCTCCGTTTCTTAGAGCCAGGATGGTTCAAGAACTACTCTGCGGGGTGGCCGAGGGTGTTTTCGGTGGCACTTGCAGATGCGGCTCTTGATAGAATGGAGGACCACACGACCTATAAAGGGCTGATGAGGAAGTACATGGCAGCGAGAAGTGGACAGTGACCCCGAGACGGTACAGGAGCCTGCAGGGCCTGCTGTTCAGCATGGGAGGTTCTCTCGTACTAAGTGATTTTGGAGTGGTTTGGTCAACATCAACCCCTAGATGATTTATTATTTTTATAATTACAAGATTCCAGTTTGAATTTACACACTCCCATTCGACTTCAAGCTGTTGCTTATCATGTTCTGCCAGATTCAGCTTCTACGTCGCAAACCCTTTTACTGTATGTGTCTGTTTTTATTTGCCTCACTCTGCGGATTTTGATACACTATCTAGGATCGGCTCTTCACTGCTGTATATACGTCATTCCACTATTACGACAACGTATCTGATCACTTCTATTCTAAATCCTTCTTATGTCCTATGAAATGATAATACTCACGAACCAATGGTCTTATTGTCTATATCAGTTTCTTTGACTATAACCTTGAGTGATAAAAAGGTTACCTTCTTCTCAGACGTGTCTATTCAGTGGCCGTACGGACACCGGATCCCCAACTACAAAGCCGACCCGGACTTCGACGACTGCTGCATCCGGCTCATAAGGCGCACCTCATGGGCGAGATTCTACAAGATACCGAGTTCCAAGTAGCTGTTCGTAGCGAGATCGTCGAAGCTAACGTGAGCGATGGGGGAGGCATCGTCCCCAACACCATCGCTTTCGCATACGACAAAACCAGTAATCCCTGCACGCTCCGCAAGTTCTTGGTTGACCTGTACGCGCTCACTGTTGACGCGCAGTGGCTCAAGTGTGGGACGGTGCCGCACCTTTTCCTCGTCGATATGGCACAGTCCTTTCTGGAGAAGAGTAGGGAGTTGCGGGCTGGTGAGGATGTTTGGATGGTCTTGACCGCGGCGGGATGTTTGGAGCTGGATGGCGAAAGCTCTGGGGACAGTTGGGAGGCTGAGCATTAGCGGTTAGTGTTGTCAACTGATGTTTAGTTTTGGGTGGTTCTTCGATGATACTCTGGAAATTTGCAATTTTGATAGGGAAGGGCAAGGAGAGCAGAACGAAGCATGAGCGTGAGAATCCTGGGAATGTAAAAGGCAGGAGAGCGGGAGGTAAAGAGATGATGATGACGGTTGAATCTCGATCTTGCGCCCACAGAGATTGTAGCTTGCCTCACATTATCCAGACCTCCGCAGTAACAACCTGGCTCTGACGTCGTGTACAGACCAAGACCGAAGTCTCAGTCCACCTGATAGGGTATTGAATTCCACCTAAACGCCCATCGCTATGCAAAACCGCATCCTAGTCTCCTGCCCATACCAAACACCTTTTCAGAGCACAAAACCATCCTCATCCTTCCTCGGCCCCAAGCCCCTCTTAACCCCATCCTTGAGCACCTCCCAGTTCACGCCGTCCAATCTACGTCCTCTCGTGCCAGTCTCGCCAGCCACATCCGTCAGTTTTCCCATGGCGATCCTGCGGATCATGACCGTGTCCTCTGCGCCCTGGAACGTCCGGCCTTTACCCTCTGTGAGGTACTTCTCGATGTGCTGCTCCTCCTCGTCGTTGAACGGCAGACTGACTAATTCCATCGCTTTGTCTTCCCGTGTGTATAGCGCGTCGTCGGTACTGCTTCCCCACGCGTCTTTTTGCAGTGTCTCCTCGACGAGGATTTCCAACAGCGGCATGTGCTCGTGCTCTGGGCGCGTATGGATCCAATGGTACATTTCCGTAACGTTTCGATCGGCGAGATACTTTGCGAACTCGGTCCTGACCTTCTGGTCCTCCAGCGGGGGCTTCACGCAGTTGTAGTAGGCGAGTGGGAGTATGTCGTCTTGCTCGCTCTTCTGCACACCCATGCCGCCCAGCTTGTCTTTTCCAGTCAGCAGGGTGAGCAGGATTTCGTCCGGGAATGTCGGGATAATGCTCGGGTGGGTGAGGTTGTTGACTGCGGTTGGGAAGTCCAGATGGTCCAGCGCCCAGAGGCCTTCAATGAACGTCCAGAAACGCTTCTCGAGGTGGACGTCGTGCGCGAAAGCTGTCGCAAGCTCGGTGTCATCGTGTTGCAGAGGCGACAAATCTTTGAGCAGGTAGAAGATGAGGCAGTTCTTGTTGTGTAGGGTTGTGTCTGAAGAGACGATGCGCTGGTGAAGGTCGTGCAATTGTTGCGGGGTTTTGGGCGGGTAGATTTTCCTTCCTGAAGGTTGAAGTCAGTATGGAGTGTTGTATATACGAGGAAATGACATACCTGTGATTTTGAGGACTTCTAGCAGTCGTTCGAAGAAGGTCCGTCCGAGCGCGTGCTGATACTCCAAGATTTCTTGGATGATGCCATCGCTGTAGGTGATACCCTGAAAAACGGCGTCGAAATCTTCTACGTCAAGCATCGCAACTTTAATCCGGTCGAGAAAGGTCCAGTTGGGATAGGTTGTGTTTGCGTGGGTTTACGAGGACGTGTTTTGTCATGCGCGCACGACGTCGATTCGCGTTCACACGTGCTTCACTAGCGTCGATGCTCACTGACACACAACCCCAGCACATACGCACAGATAATGTCAAGGATGTGACCGAAGGTTAAAGAGGGGTAGATGTAGCGTCGTTAAGAGAAACGAGAGGGGAGCACTTAAGTCGTTGTGAAAAGTTTAATGATTGATCATTTACTAATATACACACCCTCATCGTGAACGTATGTGGTAATATCGTTACAAGGCTTTTAAACGTCAAGAAAGCAGCCGCTCGCTAAGTTATTCAAATGCCATCCCACACTGCAACAAACAAACGCCTCCTACTCCGAGCCATGCTAATAACACAAAGTTTGTACATGCGACTGCAGTGTCGCCGTGCGCGTATGTAGGTCCATTATATGCGCGTCTGATCGTGAGATCTTCAATCGGAGTCCTTTGCAAAACATCTTTCCAACTTTTCATCGTCGCTCGAGCTCTCGCCGTTCGTTGTGCGTGTTGGCCATCCTCTTACCAAACTCGTAACATGTGATCATAATCGCGCACGCAGGAGCGATCTTGAGACATCTTGCTGTCCATCCCCGGAACAGACCAGAGGCACCTTGCTCGCGGTAGATGTGCATCAAGAAACGAGGCATTGTCTGGTCCTCAGGTCGTACTGCTCCTGCAGCCTTTTTCGCATGTCGTGCTATTTGCTGCCGTGTTTTTCCAACATCGAAGGGAGTTGTGACAAACGCAGCAACTCCGCCTGCAGCGGCACCGGCGAGAAAGCTGTCCGTAAGTGTTTCAACCTGATTCTCGCGACTTCTTGAGCGGCTCCGTCGCTGTATTCTTTCCTCTCCACGGCCCATGCGAAATTCAACACCAGAATTCCTTGCTTCTCTTCTGCCTCGCGCGTCGGTAAGGGAGTTTCTGGTGGCTTCGTAACCCCACCAGTAGATAGCCGAGAACGGCACATCGCGCCAGAGCGTCAGGGTGAGCCCTCTCCAGAGGCTCAGCACGCCTTGGGAGGCGACCATCTCCCGTAGCCCGTCCATGGTCTCCCGGAAGTGTCCAGCGGCGGTGGCTGTGTGGTTCGCTGCCTGCATTCTCGTACGAAACATCTCGATCGGACTGACCGTCACTGCAGCTAGTATCCGTGCAGTCGCGCCCGCTACCAACGGTGTGTATGCGTCCGGTATTGTCTTGCGGAATGGGGAGGCTGGTGATGTTCGTAGCCAGTCGTAGCCGGCAAAATAGATGACGTTCGCTGGGACTGCCATGACTAGTGTTGGCGATAGCCCCCTCCAGAGTGTTGTTGGCCCCTCATTCTGCGCAATCTTCCGCAGCCCATCCCACGTGCTGTTGATAGTCTTTCGCTCTACCTCCTCCACTGCGCACGATGCGAGATCCGCGGGATTGATAGGAGCCATAGTAGGCCCCGCCACGCAGAAGGGCGCTTTGTTGTTCATCCAGAAGACCTCTCGACAACATGCTGATATCCCGAGGTTCGGCGGCAGATCTCGAAATTGTGTGAGGGTACCGCCATTGTACAGGCGGGGTTGCGACGACGGGGCGCTCGGGGCGTGTTCTTGTGACTGCAGACGAACGCGGACGACGTCGAGAGGCGTTACTGTAGAAATCAGTATTTGGAGTCATAGTGGCGTAAATGCCGTCGTCTGGTAGGTTTAGAGATGAAATAGCATAGCCATGTGTTTTTGCGAGGTGGCATGGACGAACAAAAAAATGAAGCAATCGAGAAACATGTACTCACCAAGCAGCGACGTGAGAATACTCCCAGACACAGCTGACAGCATCTTCTGCGGCAGTGACACCTCGCCCGCTCCGGCTATTAGATCCGCTTCCTCGGCTCTCTGAGTGGCTGTCGCCATGTTGCCTGTGTATTGCGATAGATGGCCGTGTTATGTCGAATCGCAGCGAGAAGGGTTTCGGAATTGGAAGTACTCAGCGCGCGTCATCTACACATCGTGTTCCGCGGTCTAGTTTCGCAGTGGTGACGGCGAAGGCGGCGACAATACAGTTCTAGTCGCAAAGCTACACACTTTCTTAGCGCGAATCGGAATCCAGACCGCGCTTTACCGACGTCAGTCACGGCTACAGCTTATCAGATGGCCGGAACCAGCCTAGGTCTTCGTCATCGCCTGTGACTCCAAACATCAACACGCAGTTGCGATTGCCGGGTCGATTGTTAGAGTCACACTTTGTAGACATGTATTCATACTAGATCTCTTTGACAGCTGCCCTGATCCGTTCTTTTTAACCTCGATTTCTGCGGTATCGGAGATATCTCCTTGTCGCCACCTTGACACCTAGACCATGGACCCCAACAACACCTCCACCACCAACACTGAAGCTGAACTTGAATCCTTCCGCCAGAAATGGAAAGAGGAAGTCACGGCCAGAAGTAAAGGCGCAGCGCCCAGACCACAAACGAGTAGTACTGCATCATCTTCCAGACCTCACGTGTCCAAGAGTAATGCGCCGGACGCTGTAGCCTACTCCCACACACGCCAGCGCAGTGTGGAAGAAGTGGATGAGGTAACTCCTCATGTGTATCACGACCTCGGTGAGAAGCAGCATGGACGAAGACTGGATGAAACCAGCGCCCAGGCTGCCGCCGCTGCTTCAGCGGGTAAAGAACCGACTTCTGCCTTAGACCACTATGAGAAAGCCGTCGAGAAAGAAAGTCAGGGAAGTTTGGGTGACAGCGTGAACTTGTATAGAAAAGCTTTCAGGGTGAGCTGGCATGACTTGATATGCGAATCATTCTGACACCACGTAGCTCGACTCCAAAGTGCACGAATCGTACAAAGCAAAGCACTTTCCACCTTCGTTTTTCAAAGCCAACCCTCCACGACCACCAGCACCAACCGTCTCCTCAGGTTCGGCACCTTTGACAACACCAGCGTCAAAACCACAAGACCCCAACCCCTCGAATGCCTCCGCAACAGTACCCAACACCGCCCACCACTCCCTAGATGGCCTCTCATCTTCCCTCCAAACCCTCCTCACCGACTTCTCCTCCCTCTCAATCCAAGGAGCACCGCCACCAACCGAGTTCTCCCCTCTGCCACCATGTCCCATCTCCACCATCCCCGAGGAACTCCTAGTTGAGATCCTATCACACCTCGTCGTGCAAGACGTATCATCCTACGTGCGCCTGGCCCAGGTCTGCAAGCGCCTCGCCTACCTCGTCACGACAGAAGACCGCGTTTGGAAGCGTCTAGCCGTCGGCCCCGAATACGGCTTCGCAGCCATGCACTACGCGTTCGCGTGCCAAGTCGACGGCAAACCGCTCGGCGACGACGGACAAGGCGGATACATCCTCGATCTCGATTCGGAGCTAGAAGCGGAGGAACAGCCTCCCCCGCCCTCTCCAGCCGCCCTGACTACCCTCCTCGTCCCCACGCCTTACCCCACTTACCGCGCACTCTTCCACCGTCGCCCACGCATCCGCTACAGCGGCTGCTACATTAGCACGGTGAACTACTCCCGCCCCGGCCAGTCATCCCCGACAAGCGTGTCCTGGAACTCGCCCATCCACATTGTGACATACTACCGCTACCTACGCTTTCTACGCGACGGGACGTGCATCTCGCTGCTCACTACGTCGGAGCCTACAGATGTAGTACCCTACCTGCACGTCGAGCATATGCACAAGAACCACGGCGCGCTGCCGAGTGCGCCCATGAAGGACGCGTTGCTGGGGCGCTGGCGATTGACTGGCGGTGGTGGTGAGGAAGAGGGAGAGAAGGAGGGCACGTTGGTTGTGGAGACGGCGGGCGCGACACCAAAGTATCTGTACAAGATGATGTTGAGCGTTGGGAGTGCAGGGAGGGGCGCCAAGAACAATAAGTTGGGTTGGCAGGGGTACTGGAGTTATAATCGGTTGACGGATGATTGGGGTGAGTTTGGCTTGAAGAACGATCGGCCATTTTTCTATAGTAGAGTCAAGAGCTATGGGATGGGTTGGGGGGAGGGGGGGATGAAGAAGTAGATGGATAGACTTGATGTAGTCAATGTCAAATCATTATGGATCTTGGGTCTGTCACCTCATAGATGATCGTTTTTTTCATTATCGTAGACATCTTATTCCGGCCTTGATGTGGCGCTAGTGTGTCTTGATCGTGATATACACCTCATTTCCTTTCGTAGCGCTCGTAAAGAGCTCCTCTACCGCCTGGGCATACCCCTGCCACGTCCTCTCCCACCCAGCGCCCGCTGTGCTGCACCTGGCGGCAACTGCTGCCCTGGACCTTGTGGTGCCTGTGACTCCTGGTTCTCTACATCGTTGTTAGTAGACTGTTACTGGCTGGGGAAAGAATTTGGCTTACTTATCGTCTCGTCAACACTCAGAATCAGGCACGCCGCTTCCGTCGCTGCTTGGAGAGCATTGACCTTGACCAGACTGGGTTCCCACACGAACTTCTCCATGTTGTTTGCGATGCTGTCTGTGGTAAAGTCGACACCAGCCCAGATGTTACCCTTCCTGTGCTCCACGCGCAGTCTGGTGAGGATATCTGTCGCATCAACACCAGCGTTGTCGCACAATTGCCGGGGGATAACCTCCAGTGCTTTTGCGACTGCCTTGATGATGGGCTGTTGCTTATGGGGGACCTTGGTGTCGGCGTAGTTGTGAAGGTACGATGAGATCTCCATCTCGCAAGCACCACCTCCGGCAACGATGCTTCGGTTCTTAATGGCACGCTTGACGATCATGATGGCGTCGTGCAGACTTCGCTCCACTTCAGCAATGAATTGCTCTGCGCCTCCACGAAGCACCAGAGTGCAAGTCCTGGCCTCTGGGCAGCCTTCAAAGAAGTTGAAGCGCTCGCCACCGATTTGTCGCTCGTCGAATGTTTCGCAGGTTCCGAGGTGCTTGGCCTGGATGTCAGTGCAGGTGGACTGAACGCTGGCGCCTGTGGCCCTGCAAACGCGGTCGAGATCGTCTGATGCTACTCGTCCAGCACAGAAGATATCGCGGTCGGCGAAGTACTGCGTCGCAAGATCACCAATGGGAAGCTTGCTAAGCACGACCTTCGCGCCCGTCTTGTGTAGCGCCTCCATCTTGTTGTAGATGATCTGCCATTCCGCGTCCACGATTGCTTGGTACTCCGAGACCTGCTCCACCCGCACTTCTGCGTTATCCTTCTCACTCTTCAACTCGAGTTCAACGTTCAGGCACACAATCTTTGGCTTTGTAAAGGACTTGGGTTGTTGCTCGAATCCGGCGTACGCGAACGTCTTCTTGAATGCGACACCGTTGACAAACAGCGAGTCCTGGAGAGCTCCACCTGTAATTTTCTTGATACCAATGAGCCTCTCGTTCAGCTCGTCCTGGTCCAGCGAAAGCACGGCATCGACGACCATCTTTGTGAAGAAGTCGGCGTTCCGGTGTATCAGCTTGCTGCTCATGGCGGTCGCGGCGAGTTTCAGGAGTGTATCCCGCTGGTTGCCCTCTGCTGTGTCGACGGCGATCTCCATGATCTTGTTCACGGCGAGGTTCGAAGCTCTTCGCAGGCCCTTGATGATGGTCTGGCTGCTGACTCCCTGCTCCACAAAGTCCTTGATCTCCTTTAATATCTCTCCTGCCAGGACGACAACGGATGTGGTTCCATCGCCTACTTCGGCGTCTTGCGATCGTGCGATGTCGGTGAGGATGCGGGCGGCGGGGTGGACGATATCGAGAAGCTGTAGGATGTTAGATGGCATGTTCGTGCCCAGGTTCCAGCAGACCATCTACCTTCATGACAGTCGCGCCATCGTTTGTGATCGTCTGCCTTCCATTCTCATCCACCATGAGCAGATCCCCGCCATATGGTCCTAGCGTACCCTTGATAGTCGATTGTACGGCGAGACAGGCGTTGATGTTGGATATGACTTGTCCTCGGCCTTGAGACTGGTCGGTGCCTGGAAACAATCAGTGTCTGCACGTGCAAGAGAAGCTCCATGCCACCTTACCCTCCCTCAGTACGACAATCGTCGGTGTTTGACCGCCGAACGACATTCTGCCTTGTTGTGAAAGTGTAAAAGATTAATCCGGCAATGCAATATGCTTGAACTGGAGACTGAAATGTGCAGAAACAGTCCAAAGGGTATCGTCGAGCTTTGCGCAGCTGTGGTCGGTGGCTCGTAAACGCGTCCCGCATTTTGAAATTCTCCAGGCACGACAACTCGCCGCGCCAAGACGCTTATCCGCTCGGGGAGATAGTGAGAGCCTCCCCTCTTCTTCACTCTTGACTACACACCTAAACCTAAACACTCATCTGATTGCATTTTGGCATTGATATTCATCGTATGGTGCAGCAAACTGAATATAATGTTAGGAGTCAGACCTCGTTCGGAGACAATTTACGCAACCAAGCAACATTGAATTGCAAGACATCATAACAGAGATCGCATGGTCAGTAACCGCTCCAGACATATGGAAGTCATGTCAGTATTTTACATCCTGGTTCATACTTGGACGAAAACACACGCTACATCTGAGCCCATCTTCTACCACAACGTCAGAACACCCTCCAGGAGATTGTGGTGGTAGTGGAGAACGAAAGAACTGTCAAGTCTGATCCTAAACTATCAATGAAAGGAACCATCGAGGAACTTGCATAGTCATCCAGATTCACGGTTGGTAACATCTCTATTAGTGTTGACTCGATCCTGTTAGGAAGAAATTGCTGTAGGTATTCGAACACTCCACAATGAACATAGAATAAATAGATACGGACATCGATCTGACGAGCAGGAGATATATCTACTCAGATGTCTTGGTATGGCCAAAGTTTGGAGTACACATCCCTCTCTTCCTCAGTCTGAGCTGCATTGAGAAACACCTCTTTGTACTTGTGACAGTTTTCAATCGCAGTCTGGTAATCCTCGGGCTGCACCATGCCATCCGCCGGTAAAACACCTTGGTCTCGGAACAGCGACAGCATTTGCCCAACTCCATCCATGTTCTCTTCCTCCTTTGCATGCAGCTCAAGTTCTTCTGTAGAAAATGTGATGGGACACGGGGTGTCTTCCCCAAAGATCTCATTCCACTGGGCAACAAGCGTAATGAGTGAGTCGCGCAGGAAGAATAGATCCCGATTCTCCCACACACCAGTCACAAGCCAAACAGGTTTTTTAAGCATAGGCACTGATGGTTGCTGGAGAACATCCCAGTGGAGTAGTGCACGTTTCATGGTCTGGAGTTCGTAGTATTTGTGTATCGTCTCGCTTTCCAGATCTTGGTCAATTTGCTTTTGCTCGTCGGGAGTCAGGGTGTCGAAATTCTCGGGCTTCTCAGGCATGATCCAGCCCTCCCGGACAGCCTTGTAGTGTCGGAATGCTCGATGGACACCCGACTGATAAAACAGCGGTGCCACAACGGCTGATTGCCAGTCCACGATACCGGTGATCTTATGCGAGACTGGATCCACAAACACGTTGTCTAAATGGAGATCGGGATGCCAAAGAGTATTGGCGGTAGCTGAACTATCGTTCGAAGCTGGAATCAAGAATGATGCGACTTGTTCATACTTGGCGAGTAATGCAAGCGCATCTTCTGGGAGCTCGATATCTTTTGGGGACCGGTAGTAGTTCTTTCGTGGCTGGGCATTGTTCCTCATCCATGATAACTCATTGGCACCCAAGGCTCTCGCATAGTCTCGTGGTTCTTGCCCTGGGTTTTATTAGCAAATGATTCTGAACTTAGCATTGGGCTATCGACATACATGGACCTCGATCAATATCCAACTGCTCCCGACCACTAATCCAAAGCTCTGCCTTTGTCAGGGGCCCCATTGCATACTTCTCAAGAGTCGTGTGTTGTTGGTCCAAGCTAAACTGGAGGGCAATCGACATCCCGGTCAATCGCTGAAGGTCCTCTCTGAAGTAGACGCAGCCATGTGTCTTGAACCTCACGGCACTTAATGAGGCGTCACAATCGGCGATATCATTCACAATAGACAGCTTTGTTCGCCATGGCAGACCGTACCATACCGCACCCAACCGTACACCAGGAACCTTTTCTTCGAGAATGTATTCAGCCTTAACCGAGTTATTTGCGGCATCACAAGACCACGCAAGCACGCGGGGGACAGGAATATGAAAGACGTCTCGGAGCTAGTTCCATCAGTCATGAATAGTTTCAGCAGTAATATCCGCTCATACCATTTGCCGGGTGGCTACTTCGGAGGCAGTCGTGTAGTGAGCTGGCCCGGCATTTGGATTCGGAAGTTTTACGAAAACTTCCGTGCTGTTATCCATGGTGAGAACGAAAGCTTTGTTATGCAAGCCTTCAATGCACTTGAAGACTTTGATACCTGTTTGCTGGTTCAGTGAGAATGGACATAGAGAATTCGGCAGCATACAATGACGGGCTCCTTTGCAAACACCGACAGCCTCTTCCACCAAGTGTGGTAGGCTGAACTTGAGATAGCGTTTCGACAGCTCATCTTGTTCGTTTCTTCTGTAGATACGAGGGTAAGTGAGTTCCTCGACAGACCTGATAAGGGGGAAATTCATACAGCCAACGTTGTCGGGTGTATCGATATAAATCTGCCTCGGAGATTCTTTTATCTAGTTTCACTGGATGAGACAAGAACTACTTTTGTTGGATAAGATTGGGGTCATCTATACCAACGCCATGGACTGTCTCTGCGAACAGTTCTGGAGTTCGTGATGTGGATGGTGTCTGGCTATCGAGCACAAAGTATCGAAAACTCATATTAAACGGCTGATGACGTCGGGGAAGAACATGGAGAAGGCAGCCATGTGCCCGATGTCGAGTGGTTAGTAAAATGGATATCATGTGGAGTGCAATTCTGTGTCCTGAGGCACGTCGTCAGTCCCAGAACGTAGGACCGGAATATTCTTGACACTCGAATTATGACAGACTAAAGGTCCGAGACCAGGCATATAGTAAGATGCGGGTCGTGACCGTAGAGCTTATATAGCCCTCAGAGTTGGTAGTGGGATGATTGTTGTGGGGAGCTGTGGAATGTATAGCCAAATAAAACTTTACATCAAGTTTCACTGCAAAGCTGATATCTTTCACATACGACCATAGGACGTTGAAAACAAGGCTTCCCGTTCGCTCAGCCCTATTTAAGCAACGTACCGGCGGATTAGTACCTTGGTTGGTGACAACAAGGGAATTCCCGCTGTTGTATGTTTTTGCCGTCTTTCTTGTTCCTCGAAAAGTTTTTCATGCATAAACGTGAATATGTGGTCTGTGCGTTATGTACCTAAAGAGCATAACTAGCGAATTCTCGCCGTTGTATGTAAATCTTTTTGAAGTTTTGTGACTTCTCGCAATCCCGATTTTTCCTCGCGTGGATAGCCATGACGCTAGAACCGATAGGGCTTAGCATTGGATCCCCGCTAATCCCCATTGTTGTATGTTTTTGTCTCTCTTTTTGGTCTCGGCCTATCGTTTGAAATACGTCTTACGTCTTGTTGCTATGTGTCGGGCACTCAGAAACCTACACTCAACCCAGTTTATCTACTCGTAGCCTCCGATACACTGATTCTGGCGTTGAGATCCTCCTCAAACTGTCCCTCTGGTCATAGTAAGAACTACAGAACACTGGTATCTAGTCAATAGCTAACATGCATAGAACAACCGCATTTGGCTAGAAGCCTGTGTATTACTTTGCCAAAATGGCTCCGGACAATATACCAAACCGCTATCTTCTTCCTAGCCTCCTTTCACCTGAACGATCTCCCGACTCCGAACACATGGATTATTTCAACGGCGATAGACCAGCCCATTTGTTTCCCTCGCCTGCAGAAGTTCGAGCGAATCCACTACTTCGAGAAGTATGGGGCTCCTGTACGACAAAATTTGATTCACTCAATATTGTTGTGAAATATGGGGAACACATCACTGCGTCCGAGGCACACTGCCTTCGAGCTCTTCGACGACTATTACCCGACGAGGTACCTGTTCCAAAGGTATATGGATGGTGTGAAGATGGAGGCCAAGTCTTCATCTACATGGAGCTCATTACAGGTGTAACCTTGGAGAGCCAATGGGGTTTCCTCTCTGATCAGGCGAAGGAGGAAGTCTGTAAACAACTGCGTATTATCGTGAAGGGTCTACGCAAACTACAGCAAGACCCGAACGATCAATTTCTCGGTGAGCTTCTTGGTCTATGATAGAGTGAAGCTTATGCTAATCTATTCAAGGTCGTATTGACCGAAAACCCCTTCTTGATGTCGTCTTCACGGACACAATAAAACCCCCAGCCGGACCGTTCGACACTGTTGAAGAGTTCCATGATTGGCTCTCTGCATTGATAAAGATCGGCAAGGAAATTCATTTTTCTGATCCGTCACAAATTCCGGATCCTTTCCGGGAGTTTCTTCCGGACAACTCGAGGATTGTTTTCACCCATGCTGATCTCCATCCAAGCAACGTAATGATGTCTGCTGATGCATCCGGTCATATACTTGCTGTCATTGACTGGCATCAGTCGGGATGGTATCCGGAGTACTGGGAGTTTTGTAAAGCTCTATTTACTTCTGACTTCGATGGAGCCTGGGCCACGGAGTATATTCCACAATTTGTTGATGTTGCTGAGTGTTATGACTCCTGGGCTTGGTATCCCCGGACTCTGGGGTATTGAGGACAGTATAAGTTGTCCTACAGTAGAGCTGCAGGAGAATAGCGTAGGACACTCACAACCAAGTGAGACGTGTTAATTGAGGTAGTCGAATGGCGCTATCTAGGCTTATCGACTAGTGGGGCTTGCTAGAATGATTATACATACGATAGACAAGGGCATTTTAGAAGCAATCTGTTTGCACGAGACCCATCTGCAACACTGAGATTTTACCAGGATTGTTTGTAATGGACAAATTTAGTCTCGAGTTAAAGACAGGCAACTGTAAGTCTAGAGACAAGTGGTTGATCTATAGGTAATACTATCGACTCCCTCTTCCTCCTTCTATTCGGGCCCTTTCTGCCTCCCTCGTAGGTGCTCTCTGTCTCTGTTTTACGTTGAGTTTCTCACCCGTGGCCCAGCTGATCAGCGTTCCACCGTGAATGCCCGTGCTGCCCTACCCATGGTCCTGAAAGTCCCCAGCAAACCGGAGATTCAAGCTGTATCGAGTTAAACCCGAGGAGAATTGATCAAGGCCGTTACCGCATTCTGGTCGATAAAGCCATCAGAGACTAGCATTTCAACATATTTTTGCATCCAGTTCTGGCAGTTCTCACCCTAGAAGTTGTTAGTAGTCCAGCCTTAAACAAGATAGACGATGAGCATATCCTACCCCGAACGGATCCAACGGCGTCTTGCTGATACCAGGTGGTTGAACCGAGTAGGCCAACTCCGTAAGATGAGCCAGCTTGGCCTCATCAATATATCCGAGCGATATCTTCAAGTACCGCCTCTTAGTGCTACGAAGGTCGTAGGAGGACTTTGTTTCCACCGTGTACCCGATAAATGGGTTTCCAACGGCATGAATCTTTGCCCCTTTCTCACCCCCGTTATGGTCTGGAACTAGCATGCTCCAGTGGGCGGGCACATTGCGTTTCTCTTGGTACACCACCAAAAAGATCTCGCGCTTGGACGATGCCATTTTGGGAGGAGATGGAATGAGAGAGGCTAATAATGTTAGATTTGAGCTCGTTTAACCTCAACAAACTTAGATAGGAGGTGTTTACCTTGGAATATTGTGAAGGGGTGTAAGGCAAGAAGGCTAGGCGCCCTAAGGACTATAGTCGGTTTCGAGTAAACCAAAATTGTTAGTTTGTTGCCCTTATCCAATTAGTTAGATTAGTAAGCAACTAATTTATTAGGCAGAGGAAGGTGGGGTACGGTAGTGTAGTCGGAGGTATCACGTCATGAACCACCAGCTCTATCACTAGCTCTTTCACCACCTTATCTCAGCCTATTAAAGTATAGGTAGATTACTAGAATAACTGCACTCGCAAGATGATTGTCTGAATTAATTAAATCTAAACTTAAGATAATAATAGTGTAGGTAGTCAAAGAGTACTAAGCTCTTTACAAAAGTATTTACTTAAAGAACTCCGAAAAAGATTTCAGCTACTTCTAGCCACACTTCTGCCTAAGGCAGAGATTCAGTTTACTTTTAACTAATGAAAACTTAGTTATATGTGAACTGATAACAAATAGGTTTAAAATAAACTAAATATCAATATTCGGTTTACTCTAAACCGGCCATGGTCCTTAGGGGCGGAACGGCGAGAATATGTTGAACTGGAAATGCCTGATACCAAGAATAGCTGATAGAGGATGAGGAGGTAAAGGGCAACTATGGAGTGATGTGCTTTTCATACTGGTGAAACCCAGGTCTCACTGTCGTCCTGGAGATAGTCTCAAGAGGCTATGTTGTGATTCGGAAGAAGCCGCCTGAGCGCCGACGGAGTTTTGTTGCAGGCGTTGGTGGATCAAGTCCATGTCAAAGGCGTTGGAGAGTCATGATGGAAATGGACAGACCTAGGACATCGAGCCGAGTCAAAGCCGGCATGGTGAACGATCTTTACGAATTTGAGGCATCGGTGGCTATCGACAGGTTTTGAATGGCGCGATTTCACATTACATACAAGGTCAAAATTGGCAAAAAGCCGCTGAGATCGGATTTAGCCGCTGAGATTGGACTTAGCCGCTAGCGACGATGAACTTACAGGCCTTCCCCCGGTTCATGAGCCGGATTGCACTACTGGCACGCCATATATAGGTATCGGACACAGTTCGTTCATTTACATCGAACTGAAAATCATACTAAAACGCACTATCAGTAAGTGAATAAGATTCGAGTGACAATAAATTTTCCAATGATAAGCATAAACTATGACCCAAAACAAGTTTAAAGTATCAAAGTAAGTTTTCTTTGCGAAAGACTATCTAAAGACGCTGTGTATAATAGTACAGAGGTTCAAGCTAAGAAGAACAGGTATTAAGTAGTTACAGGCATGCAAAGAGATTCATAGGTTTGTTCAGTACTAAATAAGTTATCTTTGCCTACCAAACTCCTACACTCCAAAGTGACCTCATCCCAGAGCTAGAGTTTGATCTACAAGATAACTTACCCCAGAAGAGGACACACTATCACAATGCTCAGCTGTAATTAGTAAAATCATGTACGAGCCCGTTCGAGGGTCAATGCAGCGCATCATCAGCGGTATTGTGTGTCTAGCTAATTAAAGCAAGCCTTCTCTCTCCCCGTCACACAGAAAGTTTCGCAAAGATCGCGATTATTCCCATTTGGCTGACACGCCCCAGTTGTCGTTCCCGCACCACTACTCGTTCCTGCAGACTTCCCATTAGCCGCGGGCTTCGCAGTATTGAGTCTCGAGTCCCATGTATGGATATTCTCCGGCTGCCATGTAGTCCCCGGGGGGCAGTTACTTTTCTTGCCCGTGTACGGCACGCATCGCTGCGTCTTGTATAGTTCGCCTGCTAGGTATCTGCAGTCGTGCAGCCAGACGGCTTCGCATTGCTTGTTGACGAATCTGCCGCACCCGCCGTTTGGACTACAGTTGTCAATAGTGTAGCTAAAGGCGCGGCTTTCGGAGTCTTGGGGGCCGCCGGAGAGATCGAGATCGTTTGCAATGAGAACGGAGTCAGGCTCGTTGAGATCTAGGTGCACGTTGTATGACTCCACGAGAGCGGGTTCAGGCGCAGATTTCGTGAAGTTGGAGCTGGAGTTGGAGTAGCCCGTTGAGTCTTCTACACACAAAGACGGGTCGTCGAATGCGGCTGTGACTGTGTCGCGCCATAGGCGGGACATGTTATATACGTTGGCTAGGGTGTAGAAGACGCGACAGTCGGCAGCATCGTACTTGAATTGTAAGGGAACGTCGTCGTTGGGTCGGACTTGGTCGCGAAGATTGATGGCAAGGATGGAGGTGAGTACCCCCGAGTCGCGATACCCAGTCTCTGTGATTTGTGGAAGTGTGGCAAGGATTGTGTCGTTGACATTGAAGCGCGGGTTGGATAGTCTGACAATGTGGCTGTCGATCTGATCTGCAGAGTAGAGCACAGCACCTCGATTACCTGTGGGTAATTATGTGAGACGAGAGTTGAGATTAGGAACTGGATCGCAGATGCTTACCTCCCACAGCTTGAATTGGACCATTGGTAGGACGCCCTCCAGCGGTAACAGTACGGACACCGGCTTCAGTAAACATTTCAACGAGCAGGGCACAGGTGGACGAACATGCCGCATCGGTTAGCTGTCAAACTGTCAGCTTTTCTTCCTTTCCGAACCAGGATCTCTTCTTACTATGACGATGTCGTCCACATTGAAAGGACGTTCCTTCCAGGGCAGTGGAGCTTCGCGAGTGTACCCCCTAGGTATCCACCCATCGAACAGGGCGACAGAGTATGTGTAACTCGAGAGATTGTAACGTTCCTATCAGCTACAGTTAGAAATGCAGCAAAATCAAGGTGTAGAGTTGCCATGCCGTCAAAGAGAATGAATCGCCATTGGCCTGCACAGGCCCAGAATACTCAGACCAACTAGTGAAGTTGTCGTCCAAGGCAGCGTTCAGCCTTGGTGTTATCACCCATTCGTCTGCCAGAGTGTCGTTGTACTCAGCGTCTTCAGGTGTGAGTCCATTAAAATACGCGGTATAAGCCTCTCCAATTGTGTTGCCAAGTTGATGGTGTCGACGTCGGCTTCCTGCAAATGGCTCGAGATCTGGAAAGAACCTCTTGAATGTACTAAAAGCTAGCTCCACGGCGCCTCCCGTATTCTGCTGCAAGTCAATTACCACCCTGGTCAAGTTGGCATCAGTTACGTTGAAGATAAAGTCCGTAATTGCTTGACTAAAGTTGCCGATGGCATATCCACTTTGGCCAAAAGAAGGGATGCTTAGTACAGCTGCGTCTACATCTGGGAGGAAGTACCCTGAGACGATACCGTCAGCAAGGACATCAAGACCCTCTTGCCAAACATCAGGATCAGGGTATGATTCGTTGGTTACGCCGCGCCAGGAATTCTGCGGACGGGATGTAGCCGCTGGAGGAGACGACTTCCTTGGAGCATACGCAGGATTGAAGAAGCCATCACTTCTGTTATAGGAGGCAGGCAGTAAGCCTAGGACGAAGTAGTTGTAAAAGTCACCTCCGGTGGTCAAGGGTCCTGTCGCATAAGGTTCATTCCACAGCGCAAGCCAATAGTCGAGATAGTCTGTGCCGTTTTCCATGGTAAGTGCAATCTCATCTCCTGGGTAGAAATTGACAGAACTATCCCAGATACTGCCGGCACCTAGCGTGGCCAATGTTGGTGTATAGAACAGCTGATTCCAATCGGCGTGAGGCTCAATGCCACCCACTGCGTTGAGACTCGCAAGGCGTGTCAAATACTCCACCACGTCCTCGTTGTTGATCGTCTTGATAGGCGACGGTGTCCAGCCTTGATCTCGACTCTCGATGACATCGCTGGTGAGGTAGACTTTTGGCAGGCTTAAGCCATCCGACGAAGCAGCAGTGATCGAGTACGGTGCGAGGAAAGAGAAAGCCGAGGTAATGCCACCACTCAGATAGAGATGGGCGTCGTGAGCCCTGTACAGTAAATGTTGCACATCGATCTCGAACTGATATTGATTCCGGTACACTCTGCTCGTGACGTCGGTCTGGATCTTGCTCAGTTCAGACAGTACATCTACTGCGGGCTGCTGGTAGCCGGTGGGTGGATTCTTGAGGTACGCGAGAGTACTCTGGAACTGAAGAGTCTCGTTGAGGTACTTGATGAACCGAGTGGCGACCGCGTCGTTGAATGGAACGCTGGTCAAGCAAGCATATGCGTCGCTTGCCCAGTGGTAGGCATAACCGTCATTGAGATCGTCGATGATGGCTCCGCAAGCGGTTGACTGCGACGCCGCGAGATCCTGCTGGCGTGCACGAACGCTTTTGGGGCGGTCGAGTTGGGTTGGACCTGAGAGAGCGCCGGCTAGGAACAAACTCCATAAAGACGTTAAAATATTGGGCTGATGGAGAAACATCTTGCCAATCGAGAAAGCAGGCTACTTGTCGCGGCGGTCCAAGAGCGCACTTCAGCACATAAATATTAAGAGCTCTGTCTATTTGAACGTGCAAAAAGTGACTCTTCGACTCGTCAAGATCTGCACTATGTGAGAGCATATAAATACACTTCAACACTGTCATCGCGTGACATCCTGATGCGATGATTTTGCACAGCAGTCAGATTTGATAGAAGCCACATACAGGGGCACTTTCCTCAAATGATGTAGGCTGGGGGCAGAAACGGGAAGGGGACGTTACACCTATTTCCTAACGATGCTTCGTGATTAGCAGACCTAAATATACTGATACCGGTCAGCAGTGGCAGGGGTTCAAGGCTGAAATCGGTGATGAGTGGACATAAGCGAATGAAGATGTAGCCTTGAGAGTCAGCAAGCACCGGCGTCTGTAGGCGCTGCCGAGATATGGCCTACATTCTTTCCCATACGTCGCAGACGTTTCCGTGGAGATGGGAAATGGGTCAAGGTCATAATTACCTTCAGTTGCCTGATATGCCTGGTTGTAGCCCTTGTGTTGTGTTAGCCCCGCGCGTCCTCCTTCTGCTTCCCGTGTTCGCCCCCAAAAATGGCCCCCACCAAATAGATTACTTGCCATGCATGCGACTCACCGTTCGTCGCTTTGTCCGTCCGTATACTATTTGCAGCATGTCCACAAGAGGTGGTCGGCGAGCTTCAACTGGTCCTACCAGGGTGGGATTGTGATTGCATCCTCTACTTCACAGACACAAGGCGAACTGGCACCAACTCCCTCATACCAGCATGAACCCAGACGAAGAGTACTTCTCAGACGAGAATGGTGATGTGTTCGCACGCGAAGCGATCGTGCATCCAGCGCTGCGTGAGTCTTCGGCGATAGCTCCTGATATCTATATGAAGTTTTTTGATGGCTTCTTTGACGATCCTCTCTTCGATCGTTGGCTGCAGCACAAGGAACTCTGGCAGCTTGATGTCGTAGGTGGGCCAGGCGCGGGGAAGGTCAGCTCTACCAACGAAATATGTCCATATCACACTGATTGAACTGCCAGTCCACGTTTGCAGCTTTGGCAGCCAAGCGCATCCACAAGGCTCGCGTAGAAACAACTGGACATCACATTTACCTTGCTACGATCTTTGTCGCCGAGAGTCTGATCGAGAATGACCTTGCTTTCATAGAAGATTTATTGCGCAGCGTTTATCACCAGATCACACCCCTTCACGTTGAAATAGGGCCAGGCGTCCTTGCTAAATACAGAGACTATAAGAGTGCTAAGCACCATGGAAGGAAAACTTCTGCACGCATCAGCCTCATTTCGCAAGCATTGCGAGAGAGAGTCGCCGAAATTAATGCAAATGGTCAAGCATTTCTTGTTCTCGACAATCTGGACCAATCCAATGCATCTCTGAGGGAGCTGATCCGCCGGGAGCTCTCAGAATTGCAAAGCCTTGGGTTGAAGATCATGAGCACTTCACGGTTGCCGAGATATGAAGCAATTGGAGACAAGGTGTGCAATTGGCACGATGAGCCGTTCGAAACAAGTCTCTACTGGCACTGTCACGATTGTAGACAAGATATTTGTGAGACTTGCAAAGGAGATGATCAGTTCTGTCGCACATGGTACGTTCCGGGCAGATCTGGACCCTAGCTGCCAATGTCAAATTCTCGATGCTGTACGGGAAACTGACTACATGCGCAGTGAACCCGCAAGCGTCTGGACACAACCGGAGTTTTTCACAGTCTTCATCCATTCCATCCACCCGAAAACAATGGCGGAGCTGATTGCATGGGACTTGGAGAGAGAACATGGAGATTTAGGATTCGGTACTCTGGCAGACCCTCTCGAACCGCCATTATCATCATTTGGTCTTGCTTTTAGAAACACCATGACCAGCCATGCAGGTTGCGAATGGATTCAAAAGATAGCCAAGTATGTTGGCGGAAGTGTGGTTCAAGCGAAGCTTGCTTTGGACAGGATCCACAATTCGACATCACCCGATCTTGTCGACCTAAGGCCGAAGCGTCTTCCAGCGAATGTCCAGGCAATCTTCAACGAAGGAATCAATGCTATAAACAAGAGATCGGACAGTTGGAACCGTATAGCCTTGAAAAGTATTGCGGTGGTGGGAAAGACAGGGGACGTTTTCGATGGGTTAACTTTATCTGCTCTCGCAATGTCCCTCAAGGAACGTCGCCACAGGACGAGCTCGAGCCATGTACCTCCTCGAAGTGTTGAAGACATTCTAGAAGCCGGCCAAGGCTACCTTAGGCTCAATTCAAGCGAGTCGGCTGAGGACGAGCCAAACATAGTCACATTCCACCGTCTGTTTCACATCTTCACAAAAGATGAGTACAACGAAGAACTTTTGATGGCATACTCGGAATTACGCACCTCCAACATACCGCGTTCATTCACGCACAAGCCAAAAAAGGTCGAAGAGCTTGCGCAAGGAACATCGTGGGCAGATATGATAGAAGGTCTCAAAGGATATCGGTCCCCCAGTCTTGATAGTATGACTGGTCTCAGATCGCCACCGCCGATGAGACGCGAATCATCGGGCCTAATCAGAAGTCATACGTTCTTTCCCTCAACAAATGCTACGGTCTCACCATCGTCTGGCCTGGGTCTAGACGTCTTTGGAGGTGGTCGATGACTTGTAAATACAAATGACTTCTCTTAATATTCAGGATTTGAGCATATCGCTCCTTGCCTGACCGATGTGCACAAGGTTCATATCGATCCTCTAAAGAAGTTCTCCGTTATCTCAGAAAGAAATTTGTGCTTGGGCTACTTATAGCTTCAGGCGCCGTTTCAGGATCTCCAGTGGAATATGTGCATTGTAGGTATTTCCACACAAGAGGACTCATTCGTCGAATATCGAAAGCGCCAATACGTTCGTAGGATGATTCGGCTTGAGTCGAGCGTCGAATAATGATACCTTGGCCTGCGTACCAGGCCTTTTGAATTGATGTATCTGTATTCATCCAGAGCGGTCTGTCCGAACGGTCGACGTGCCGCGTCAAGGCAAGAACAACGAACAAAACCACTTCTTCGTGTAGCTTGGGTGCGACATCCGGAAAAGCCTTAACATCGAACTGCTTCTGGTCTACATCTGGCCTGCTGAGTAATTCGAGGGCCCATTCTGTATTGCCGTCGAGACGCTTCAAACGCCCTTCGCAAAGATGACCTCGTATAGCGATATGTTCATGTTCCAATTCGGGCTCTTTGTCCCGCTTATCATCTATGTCTGAGTGTGTTTCTTCTTGCCCAAGAAGCCCTCCCTTTGGTTCCTTCGATTCAAACGCTTGGTAGTTGGGCCCTGCAGGATCTTGTTGCGAGTTCTTCCGTGACGTTGCACTCGACTTCCGTCGCCTCTCTGCCACCAGATCCAACTCCTTTCCCATATCGTCAGGGGTTTCAGATGAGCTCCTCGGCAGCATTGGGCGAGTGCCTTCCCCCCTGATTGTAAAAGCAAGAGCCTTTCCGTCATGATCGGTAACACAATAATGTCGCTCATCGGCCTTTGAACGCTCGGGAATTAGTATTGTTCCATTCACAGAGGTCCACGACCAGCTCGGAAAGTCGACCAATTGCTTGGGTCGTTCCGCTGTCTCGCAGTCTGCAACTCGCCATGCTAGTTGTTCTTCCATAGCGTATTGCCACATTCCTGCAACATACTCTTCATCAAGCGTATCGCGAACTCGTTTGGCAACTCCCCAAATTGCCATACGCTTGTCGCTCTGCTTAGTGAGGTCGAGTCTAGTGTAATACTCAACTGCCGTTCTCCAGAAGTCTTCGAGGGACTCGTCGTTCACACCAGATAAGGGCATCGTGCCCCTCGTGGTCTCCTGAAGCCGGCCTCGCCAATGACGATCTGCCGCGGATTTTTGCTCCAACGGTAAAGGAAGTCCGGTAGGAATACCTTCACACGCGCTCATCTTCGTACAGTCCCAAAAGATTTGATGTTTGCTGAAGTGCACGATCCTGGGTGCAAGCATACGTTCTGCGAATCGTTAGCTTACTGCATACTAAGCGTTCATTCAAGACTGACCTTGGTAGACCCAGCCGCGCGTGTATAACGGTTTCCTCAACAGGCCATTCTCCCACAAGTCTGCTCTAACAACTCTCCATTTCTGTGTACCAAACATCGGGGAGCCTCCCGATATCTCGAAGTGAGCTGGTGTAACCTTGTGTGGCTCCCTTTCACGAAAGAGGCCTCCAGCACTGTTTACGGCGTCGGCTGCCGCAATATTACAATACGAATTGCGGTAGACCTGTTCCATCCGAGATCCTTCACGCTTCCAGTCGTCCCTGTCCCCTTGCTATATTACAGTCAACGCCCGTCAAAGTTGAGATTGATAGTGCTTACCATTATACACACTAGGAGAGGGAACAAACGTTAGCTTCCTACTATTAAGTTGCGTAGCAGATACTTACGAGAGTCAATCCAGATATAATCAACATCCAAAAGCCATGCCACTTCAATAGCCTGCTGGAAATTGACTGGCAGCTTGTGCCACGGAACACCGACAAACATTATCTCTTCCAAGGTGCTTGATCGTAGAGTGTATATTTTCGCCTCTCCCCAGCAATGGCTCAAAGTGACATAGGGGCCTCTAACCTTCTTGAGTGTGGTGTTGACGACTCGAATTGAATCTCCTCGGCGTTTGCCTCCAATATGGAGTAGTCTTGTCGGAACAAAATTGCTTCCAGAACCAACCCGTTTCGGACAATGCCTATGATTCTTTTCACAATCTCTCATCCAACTCTTGATTTGTTGGCCAGTAACATCTGGGTGTGTGCTCTTACCGAGCTTGGCTGCGCTCAGGAGATACCCTAAGTCTGCATCAGGGAAACAGTAGAAGATGCGCTCGGGTAAACCAAAGGTTTGCAGATCAAAATCAGAATGTCTCTCATCTTCGATGGCGCGCCTCTTTGGCACCACCCGAAAAGTTATTCCCACTGTACGCATGGAGTCTCTCGTTCTACCTAGACTGCGACTACTCCATCGATATAGAGAGGTCGTAGAGCCGCAGCCTGAAGGCAGTTTGTCAGTCTTGGCCACATCCTCGTGAAGCCAGCGCTTTAGGTCAGCATGCATATCTTCGTTTTTGTGGAGGGCCTTGCGATGGCTCAGTACATCTTTGTGCAGGAGAATACAGAAGGCGCAGCCGCGATGCGCGGAGGCCGCAAGAGATGACTGGCTTGGGTGATGATAAGCCCACGAACTGTTTGGGCTCAAGACATTCTTGTAGCAGAAGTCGCAAAGCCCGGGTGTTGATGATATCGGCATATTGGCGAAGGGAATTGCGAGAAAGCGAACAGAGCATGGAAGTTGTCCAAGGCTGAGTGTTGAAATGATAGCGACACGCGCCAGGCTAACGATACATCCTTGTCAGACCACATTTGGCCCCCAAAGTGAGATCGATACACTAGACTCATAAGCAACAATATTCGCGCTCGTTGTTGTAGTCCGCTCTAGATCTGTCATCGTTGTTGAATTTGGTGTTTGAAGAGCAAGCCTTCTCGGACTTCAGCGTTCGCAGACCCTGGTGACGTCAATAGCGCAGCTCGACACATGATGGTTCCGTTGCTCAACTCGCCATCTACAATGCCAAAGTTTTATCCTCTACGCCTTCAGGCGGTTTGACTAGATTGTCAGTCTCCAGGATCTACTCAACAGTGCGAAGCCTACCTTTCAGCGGAGCAAGCCAGTCTCACGTCGCGTAGTCGGAGCTCCATCCACGCAGCATTAACAGATACGCGCAGCGTTTGAACATATATATCGGTGTGGGATTGTGCAGCCATAGGTTGGACTTCTTGATTCATTATGAAGAGAAGCCATGCTGTCGGAAAATAAAACGATGTCTGACGATTCGAAGAGCCGCAAGGAAAGATTGGAAGCCCGTTCTTTGTCCCGCAGCGCAGTCATTTAGGCACTCGACTGCGTCCTATCCTCCATAATACTTGAAGAAGTCGAGCGCGGGCAAAGCACCAGATCCTTGGAGCTCACTAGTACGTTAATCGATGACCCTCATTGACACGGCCTGTCATCTTCGGAGAGCAAATTACAGGGATTGACATCTGACGATATGTGAATTATGTGTGTTGCGTCCAAATGTGTCTCGTTGTGCCCCGAAACGGTCCAGATTATTCCGAGGGCCGTTCTGCTCTCGAGAGACGTTGGTCTGTGTAATTGTTTATTCTTTCCTGGCTCGGAGCAACGAGCCATCATTGCAATTGCTCTGGAATAGGTGAAGTTAGGATACGAGTGGTTCTCTCGGCCGATATTGTGCGATTTAGTAGAGAAGATGCCAACGTCGCGCCAGGTTCGAACAGCCGAGCTGCGTATCCCACCTCTCAGTGGAAGCCGCACCAGTGCTCAACAAATATCGATTTTGCAAGTGAAATAACACTTGCTAGGGTTAGTTGCTCTCGGCAGCTGCGATCTGAGGGGTCTCATGAAAGGAAGGGAGTTTCTCGCCCTCGTTGTCACTCTGTTTGCCCTTGTTGATCAAGATATCGCTCGAATCTGCTCCAGTCAAGACTAGAAGCTTACCAGATCAGACTGCGGACAGATTCGAGTTCAGTTGCCGTTTTGTGAGGCGACTGCCTGGTAAGTGCTCTAACTCTCCTTTCCACAGCAACGACATGCGTCACAACGACTTTCGCGCAACGTCGCATTGTGTCAGCAGGAGCTGCGTTGATATCAAGAACATTCAGTCAGTTATTATTTGAATTCATCTCGTTACGTTCTTCTTGATTTGCAAGCTTCGTTCAGAACGAAACAACCTGGATTTCCCGTAGAATATGGCCAGAAACCTCAGATTTCTCCATTGTTTACGACAGACACTGACCGCATATTCAGCCATCTGGAACTGAAACAACTAGAGAATACCGCTAGGCGCAATCCCTCGCTGCCATGATTGTCTATCACGACAATGTTGGCAGAGAGCCCATAAGAAGATGCACTAGTATCTTCATCAACTGAGCTTACATGTACGACTTCTATGGCGATACGAAACCGCTTCACAATCACGTCCGCAATCTAGCCTACACCGTGTTTGATTGTCATGGTTGATTGAAGAAAGCATACAAGAAGCTTGAAACAGTTCTGGAATCAGTGATGTAGATGGTGTCTGGCTATCGAGCATGAAGAATCGAGACTTCTCATTAAACAGCTGATGACGACGGGGAAGGATACAGAGAAAGCAGCTAAGTGCCTGCTATCAAGCGGCCGGCAGACTGAATATTATGTGAACTGCGATTCAATGTATCACTACAGGTCGGTGTCGCAGCACGTAGCATCAGATACATTCCGTGAATAATCATTTTTATGCAAATCAAATCTTTCACATACGACCATAGGACGTTGAAAACAAGGCTTCCCGTTCGCTCAGCCCTATTTAAGCAACGTACCGGCGGACTAGTAGCCAGACAGCCAGTTAATCCTGTATTAGTATGGATAGACATCTAAGCTCCTCAGGTGTCTTATTGTACCTTCTGTTGTAGAACATACCGACACGAACATAATACTTTCGAACATTGTTACTGGACTTTTCGACTTCGATAACGCCCGACCCAATTTCATGTAGATTGTTGTAAGGTTCTTCATCAACAACGCTAAATAGCCACACCCCTTCGAGGCCTCGTGGTGTATGATCATCGTTAAAAATGATATCAACCGACTCATCGCTCCTTTTCAGATTGTCAAATAACTTGGTGTACGTGGCATCGTCTTCGAGATCACACATTGCAAACTCCTCTGTGATACATTCAAGAGTGAGTTTGATGGCACCATTTGGATCCGTGGGGATCACGTCACAAACAAAGACGCAACACGGGTAGTTGGTTCTCCCATATTTACACGATCCCTATGAGAGCAGGCAGAGTATCCCCAGGAAAGGTTGCCAAACGCTGGCTGTAATGTGCCACGATTGTGGACCATCCCTCAGATAACTTGTATGATGGCTCCCAATCAGTCGTGCGTTGTCTCATCTGCCTTCCCTATGTAGCGGATATATTCACTACTGTATCTTCTATGCACATTAGAAGCTTTGGATACTGCAATACCAGTCCACTATCTGATCGTACCATGCTCTGGGAACACCTGAAACCCGGTTGCTGTCCTTTTGAGAAGAACATCCTAAGCCGTACGTAACTGTCTAAATATTGATGCATCGCTGGCGTTTCTATCCTAGCAGGTATTAGAGTGATAAGACGCAGGCATCTTGTGGCTAGCTGAGCGCGGGGTATTGTTAGATCTAGATAGATCGTACACCGCTTGTTGGCGCGACAACATCACCGTAGCGTGCTAAGCTTTCTTCTTGAAGGACAGTCTTTAGCGAAAGCTGAATTGACTTTCTGGAGAGGAAATGGAATCTGTTGGACGTTACTGAGTGCTGCACAGGAGAGCCCTCTCAGCTTGTGGAGAAGGAGCCACAACTAGATGTCTGATTGGGAGCGGCTAAGCGTCATAGAGAACAATCTAGAGAACAAAAGGCTAGGAAGGGATGGGATTGAGTTACGGATATAAAGTTGTAAATTCCCCTCTTGTATCCCAAGATGCCATCAAGATACAACAGAACAATCAATTTATTTGATCATCTATCATTTTTATTCTTGGAAAACCAAACGGTCCGATTGCTCCCCTTTTCTCTTTCTGAAGAATCACTATGATTAACGAATATACTATCATGGTCAAGAACGACACGAGCGACTTTAAGGAATATTACATCTTCAGCGAGCTGCCCGAGGTCACACCCCCTGTGAATGGCAATCTCTGGTCCAACATTCTTGTCGGCTGCAATGTCCAGCCTGACAAATCCGCAACCTTCACTATCGAAACACAGTTTCATGCGGTAGTTGGATGCTCGGCCGAGACGCCTGCTCACGGCGTCGTGGTCAATGCCAATAACTACAGGAATGTGACTCTTGGCTCGCTGAATCCAACTGGTGGCACTATATCAGGCACTACGCTCGAGCTCGATGCCTCTGATGGTGCTCCCTTTTTCACTAATACCGTTCTTCCTGATGGTGGCATGGTGAACGCCTTCCAAGTGAAGGCTCCAGTCGGTGGCAGCCATTTCAAAATAAGCGATGCAAAGACAGGTGAATAGCATTCTTCCCTGATATTGCTCCCCTTTGCTAACAACAATAGGCAACTTCTTTGTGGGAGTTGGTAGCTCCGCCTCGGACTACGACGGTAAACCTACGGCTACTTTCATGCCTGAGCCCAACGCTTCTTACCAGATCAAGCCCACGAACCAGTACTACCTTACCTTTGGCTCCTACACCCCTGGTCAACTTGTCGACGTCACCATGATGGCTTCCGACACTGTCCTGCTCGACTTCTCTTATGACAACGCCCCCTCTACATTCTACGTTGTCAACAATGACTCTAACCAGCTTCTCGTGCAATCCGAGCCTTTCTAGATGGCCGCAAAACTTTTAGAGGGATTTGTTTAGGGGACTTGCGGTTTATTTTGATTATGGAACTCCCCATCTCCTACTAGTTAGAGAGACGAAGTTGAATTAAAGCTAGACAGAGTCCTGTGCATGGAGAAATCGAAGTAGGGGCTCATTTTGATTTGGATTCTTGTTTTGAGTATTTTCCCTCTAGAGTTTTTCGACGTCTTCTCCAGCGGCAATGATGTGCTACTGTTCTTGATAAGGTTTTGGTGAATACAAAAGCTTTCTTCAATGCTTATTCCTTCAGCCTCTCTCCACAACTCTTTACGCCGCAAATGAGAGATTAGGCGGTACCGAAGTCGAGCTATTCAACACGGTGTTTGAACGCGCGGAAACTAGTTTGATCAAAGTCGATCTCTGACATGGATTCCTCACCATCGTCCATCTCCGTCACGGCTGCATCGTAGATCGATGGATGAATGTATCGAAAATGAGCATCGTCTCAGACTGTCTCGTACACTTGCGTTTTGAATTTATCGCTGCCTACAACGCTTCTGAAGGTATCAATGTTGATATCGTTAGGCGACTGGGGATGCGCACACTTCTTACTGCCGTCCCTAGAACTAGACATTTGTGCTTCCCTCCCTATGGATAAGATTAGCTTTGTATAGCTTGTAGCATACACTGTAGCTCAGTGAACATGGTCTCGCAGTTGTCAACACGCATTTGCTCGTAAATCTCGGGATTACCTAGGTCGTTGCCAGGTACGCGGGTCATAGAATAGAGACGGATGCATAAGGTGTGTCAGGATGCTCTCTATATGGAACGACCTTTGGTACGAGAAACCCAGCAGACCTTGCAACCATCGTGGTCGCAACCTCTTCAGGCCGCGTGCCGTCTGATGATTTCAACCCCAGTCCGCATGGAAGTTGCGTGATATGATTGTCGAAAGGGATGTCGACCCAGTTGCAGTAACGACAGGAAAAGTAGTGAAGATACAGGTGAACAGAATTCAAAGACTCGACGAACAAGTTGAAGCAGTTCTTGTGAGTGTTTATGTAGCGCTGTGGTCGTTCGTTCGAGGGTTGCGAAGAGTAATCGTATACCATAGAAATTGCTAAGGGAACAATAGCCAATCAAAGTGCCAAAGTACCCTCGTCGAACAGAGGAGGACTTACAAGCTGCCGTGGCTTAGTTACAGTGTAGCAATCTAGTGGTACTGCAATTACGTAGGTTTCTACAGTATACAAGAGAGAAACCCTGACTTAGTACTAAATATTAAAGGGCCGATTCTAGATATGCTTACAGAACAGCGACTTACGTAGCTGCTACTGCATACAGTAGTTCCAAAGAGCATTGTAGTGAGCGAGCAGGACATAGCAAGGCTCCTGTTCGTTCACTCCTATGTACCAGCGGACTGATAGTCAGGTGGATACCACTAGCCAATCCCCACTGTTGTATGGAGGTATCTTTTTTTGCTCATACGTTTTCCACCTGGTCATCTTTCTTGCCTCGATCGTGCCACCATCAGTGCCGAACGCGCGTCGACTCTCGACCTTGGTGCTTCACGATCTCGACGTCGGAAACGGAAGAACTATCCAAGTTTTTGCTGCCGGTACCCGTGTTCCCAGGATCTAAGCCTGCTTTGCAGGGGTCCATATCTGAAGGAACAGATGACTTGATCGTATCATTTCCCTGTGCCTGGGCCTCGAGGCAAGGATACCGTGGCCGGCTAAGATCAATAACGGTCCGTCTCCACAAACGTCTATCCCCGTGGTTGACGTCAGTGAAGCCAACTTATCAGTTTCTACAATGTATAAAGAGGTGCAAAAGCTTGACGATACTTGAATCTCATCATCTTCAACTTATTCTCCTCAAACTCATACATCTTTCTTCGTCATCATGGTTCTCGTCGTTCATCACCTCGGCTTGTCTCAGAGCGAGCGCATCCTCTTTCTCTGCGAAGAACTGGGCATCCAGTACCAGATGATAAAGTACAACCGAGACCCCATCCTCGCGCCGATGAGCCTCAAGGGCCACCCAGGAAATCTCTCCGGCCAAGCGCCGCTCATCGAAGACCCGGAAACTGGAGTCACTCTATCTGAGAGCGGCGCGATTTGCGAGTACATTCTCGCAAAGTATGCCAACACCAACGTGCCGAGACTGTCGAAGCAGTACGGCGAGGAGGGATACGCCGACTACTTGTTCTGGCTGCACTTTGCCAGCGCCTCTTTACAGCCTCTGCTCGTCCGAGCATTGAGTCTCAACGTGGCGCAGCTCCCTCAAGATAGCAGCGCGAGCGAATGGGCGATCCAGAGTGTGCAACATACGCTTCAGATGATAGATGATCGCCTGCGGAACAACAGATGGCTAGCTGGAGAGGACTTCACGGCCGCAGATGTCATGACTGTCTTTTCGCTCACTACGCAACGCTACTTCGGCCCACTGATCTGGCTTGAGAGATACCCGCACATTCTGCGGTACCTGAGGGATATCGGGGAAAGGCCAGCATACCAGCGAGCGATGCAGAGAGGAGACCCCGAAATGCAGGTACTACTGGGCTCAGCACCCCCTGAGCATTCGATCTTAGCGGTCGGAGGTGTGACGTCTGACATCTGGAAGAAGAGTCGGGGACAATTAAACGGGCATGCTCAGCCAGACCGCAAGGGCGAGGCACCCATGGTAAGGGCAGATTCTGGGAACAGCACTGGGTATATGGCCGACGGGTATATGGACGAGGCACAGCAACATGCGCCATAGTGTTGTGCATGGGTGTTTGGATCGGACGGGGTCCACGAGTCTTGCTAAGCCTCTTGGCTAGTCCACGATAGGCTAGCCATGTTGGTTGTAATACAGGCATTTGTAGCCGACTTCTAATTAATTGCTATTCGTTCTTCTCTAACTATTTATCCGCCCGTTTCGCTTGCCTTGCGTGCGTATCGCTCTAGATGTTCAATGGCTCGTGTTATCTCGACATCCCTCGGAATTTCAGGCCCTCGAAGTTCTCCCAACGTGTTCGCTGTACGCGCTCGACTACAACGCATCCAAGTTTCTATCAAGCCATCCCTTTCCATCCTGACTATGAGCCTCAGTATGGAGCACCTGTCATCTGCCCTGTAGTCGACCAAGTCTCCTACCTAGCGCCCTCCAAAGTACAATCTCCGTGCTGACAGTTTACTAACTCACGTCAATTACCGCACAACCCTGGACCACACCCGCACGGACGGCCCACACCCACATCCCAGAAAACCAGAATACCTATCATTCCATATGTAGCTTCCGGAGCCAATCGCAAGTATTCCCCAGTCATAGTATGATTAGGAATACATAAACGAGGTGTTATAGCAGATGCTCAATCTCACAGCCGCAACACCGCTCACCTGTCAACACGCTAGCATCGCCTTGAACACGCAGGGTCGATGGCGTCTCTACATCCAACTTCCAAACAAGCCATCATACCATCGTTACATGTCATGCCATGCCATGCAACGAGGCGATGTGTATACCACCTAGATCTATGCGTTATAGGTGTATCTGCAATTAGGTCTTCCATTTACACCACTAGCAACGACTACGACTCCTTCACCGCGGCTATAGAGGGGAAGGACATAGCGTCCAGTAATGTATCGAAGTAGTAACGTTACAAGGGAAGGCGGTGGACGAGTACAAATAGATAGAAAGACAGATAGATGGCGAGAGAAAGCAATGTACCGCTCGACTCGTAGTTATGTATCGGGGGAGGCGTGCTATATTTATGGCGCGCGTTATTCGGTGTAGTCAAAATTCTATTCGGTGTAGCGATGCCCGTTACTGAGGCTTAGAAAAGAGTTTGTCTATATATATGTGCAACAATTAATAGTTCGTAAGTACTTTCTAGATTATAATCTACTATTTAAGTTTCAAACATTAGCTTATCTGTTAGAACCTCTCCTGTACCCAACACAGTTACATCGCAACACTTTTGTTGCGCCTAATATATCTGCTGTATAAATTAAGTAATTCTAATATTTTAAGTAAATGCTTTAGCTACTAAACAGTTGTAATACTGCCTGCTTAAGGGTTGCTGCTAAATGTTTTTATGCCTCTGTGACAGGCATCGCTACACCGAATAGAATTTTGACTACACCGAATAGTGCCCACCATATTTATCTGCATCCACGAACTACTCACTCAGTCACTCACTCAGTCACTCACTCACTCCATATGAAAGGCATATCGTTATGATAATGTGAGCGAATTAATAAATATGTCAATCAACCCCTACTTTTTTCCATGTCCACACAACTCTGCAGGAAGAAAAAGATGCCAGCGTTTTCGCACCCAGCGACTTTGACACGCCCACCCCCTATCCACAAACCCAATCTGATCTGATCTGATGTGAAGAGCGCTCAAAAGAAAAACGCCAATCCCAATGCTTAACGCATACCGCGTAACACTAACCCACACCCAGCGCCCAAAGCTATGCATGATGGAAAAAAAGCATCCGAGGGTAGAACTCCAACCAAACGGTGACCCTTTTACGTCTTATTACCGACCACGTCTCGAAAAAAAAGAAGAGAAGAGAAGAGAAGAGAAAGTGGTGGGATGAGTACACCACGCCGCACCGCACCACTGAACTTACCACGATCAAACCAAGGACCAGCATCCCCGCACGCCACTGCATTCAAACAGGCGGCGACATAACCGACATCGGCGTCCCGGGCACAGCCGTAGCAGGCGACGCAGCAGACGCATCGCGAAACGTATCATTCTGCTTCCTCGACCCATTGAGGAGGGGACAAAGTCTATCGCGCCGCATTAGCAAACCGCATCCAAGAAAGGGATAGGAGAAAAAAAAACATACTTCTTATTCGTCTTAATATGCCCAACCTCTCCACAGCCAGCACACTTCCTCGGCGTGCCCTTCCCAGGCCCCGCCTCCCCATTCTGACTCTTATGAATACCCTTCGCCTTCTCCCTGCCCTCCCTCCGCTCCATATTGCGCGCCAACCTCGCATACTCCGCCTTCAACTTAGCAAGCTGCTGTTTATCATACTCATGATCGCCTGTGGGTTTGATATCGTCGAGTTTCATATTCATGAGGCGCTCCTGTTTCTTGCGCTTGAGGTACAGCTTGATGACTTCGGGGTCTGTTACGATTTCGACGCGCTCCTCGTACTCGTCGAATTTGTTCTTGATGGTGCGTGTGATGCGGAGTTTTTTGCCGCGCGAGTCGGCGCCGCTGTTGCGGGAGAATTGGCTCATGGTGTCGTCGTCGGCGCGGTGGAGCGGGGTGCCGAGTTCGCTGCGGCCGCGGGGGACGGCGGCGGTGGTGCTGGAGTCGACGTCGTCTTCTATGTCCGAGGGCGGGTTCTCGGCGGATAGGGTTTCTTTTTGCTTGTTCCAGATGCGCTTTATGGCGTTTTCGTACGTTTGCTGTTGTTTCTGCACGTTGTAGCTGTGGCCGTTGAGTTCCTTCATCTTCTTTGCGTCGACGCGGTCTGAGATACTCTCTCCGATGTCGCGGAAGCCGCCCTTCATCGACGTCTTGATGAAGCTGAAGCCCAAGCCTTGACCGGTGGGATCGCCCTCGCCGTGAAGCTCAAGCATAGCCTTGCCTGTGCAGGCATTCAAGAAGTTCTTCGTCGTGTTCCAAGGCGCCAGTTTCGACTCCGAGTTCTCGCCCTCCTGCTCTTCGTCATCGTCCTTGATCTCGTTCGATTTGATTCCAGCGTCTTGGAGCTGCTTGTCACCAGCATGCATGGAGTCTATCAGACACACATCCTCCGGCTTGATCCAGGTCCGCAGAATGGGTTCTTCCGGAATGGTCTCACCAGGCATTGGCTCCCACGTCCCAATGTCTTTCTGGTACTTCATGATCTCGCGCATCCGAGAGCGATTTTGTGCAATCTCCGTTCCTGGAAGATGCTGTTTGATCATCTCGTTACTGACCCAGGGCTGCCTGCTTGCTTTCTGCTGACCCTTTCTGTACAGTCGGAAAGCCAGCATCTTCAGACGCTTCTTCGATGCTTCCGTGACCTTGCGTGCATGTGTGCCAGGCACCTCGACAGAGGGGAACTGCTGGCCAACAACCATAAGGTTCGGAATGTTCCGCATGTAGTACTTGGAGCCATTAACTCCAGTATGACTTCTGCTGACGAGGAAATCGGTGGCTTCGGGGTTGTGCTTGAAAACCGGTGCTCGATACATGGCGTTGTGAAGCGTCAGTACCTCCTGACCAGGCTCGACCTGACCAAACAGCGAGAACGGACTCTTATCCTGCGGTAGCAGCACCGACGTCTCTCCAATACCGTCTTCCCGTTTCGGGCGCGCAGTATCGTTGTCGTCCTTTCGACGGTAGTAGTTGAGGATCTTGATACCCATGCCGAAGTTAGACAACGTCGTTGGATATTCCTCGCAGTACTCCGCAAGGAGAAGATCTGAATTATCGCCAATGCTGAGATCATCTGCATTGGCAAAAGCTTCAGAAGGCTTGAGATTCTTCTTGAGCTTCCTCTTGATCGACTTGAGTGTCGAGATGCCAGCCCGCTCCCCAGCTTTGAACGAGATGGTAGGACGATGGAAGGACCGGAGCTCGCGATCAGAAAGCGCGACCTTGTAGAACGGAAACTGCAGCTTCAAAGCAGGCAGACTGTGCTCGACGTTCATATGGCCAATCATGCTGCGAACCTTCTGCTGGCTGCTCTCCTTGAGCGCGTCGTATGCCTCGTCGTTGGAAATGTTGTAACGCTTGAACATCGGGTTCGCGAGACTACCGCGATTGTCACGCTTGAGGCTGAGACCAATTGTGCGAGGCTTGGGGGGCTCCGCACTTGGTAACTGCACGTCAAGCAGGAGATGTGGGTCGTTCATATCCAAGATGATCTTCTTCGCGAGTCTGGCGGTCTCGAGTTCGGGATCATCCCAGGTGGGCAGGTCCATGTGATCGTAGACAGAAAACTGTAGGGGCTTCGCGTGGTGTCCAAGTTTCCGTTTCTTCGTTGGAACCAGACTGCCGATCCAGTCTATGTCAATACCGTCGACAACAGTATCTGGGGGCGTCAAAATCATGTCATCGTCTGAGAGTGTCGCGTCGCTCGCAATGTCCCAGTTTTCACAGGCAATCTTCAGATCACTCCATGAGACGTTCCCAATTTTTTCGCCGTCTTCGATCGTGTCAAGACTATCCAATTCCATTTGTTCGCTGCTCTCGCGTTCTTCCTGAACAGCGTTCACGATATGAATAATACCCCCATGCTCTTCCTCTGACTGTCGCCCGGCCTTGGTCGTAGCTGGTACTGGGGGCAGTCGGAAGCTCTTCTCCTGGTCTGCTGCGATGTCAAGGCTGACCTTGGCCATGGGCATGAGCTTGGGCTGCTTCTGAGGGACCTTGGGGATGTAGTAGGCGCGCTTGCGCGGCACCAGGCTGAAGAAGCGCGGGGGCTTATCCGGTTCGAAGTTGGGCCATGTCTTCTCGAACTCTGCTCTCGTCGTCTTTGGCACAGCCAGCTCATCGTTGACCTTTCCACGACGCGATTCCTCGAAAAGAGCCAGTTGCTCAAGGAGGTCTGGATCTATCTCCTCCTTCTTTACTGGTTGTGCGGCTGTGCTGGTCACATTTCGAGAGACAGCTTGTCCGTTGCTCTGCGAAGCGTTGACAGTGGCGGTCTGCCGAGCGTCCGCTTGTCCCTCTACAGATTCGAGCGGCCTGTCCTCATGGCGCGCGTGATCTTGCGTGGAATCGACGTCGGGATCGTCGAAAAGGGCGTCTACGTCGAAGTCATCACCGCCGTCTTCTCCACCATCGCCAAACAGATCGTCGAGGGGATCATCAGCAGCGATCGCGCCATTATCACCTCCACCAGCACCAAACTCTTCCTCAGGCAGATCATCATCGTCAGATATGTCAGCAAAGTCCACCGCATCATCCGCCTTTTCTCCCAGATCCAGCTCACGGTCGTTTATCGACCCGAGCAAATCCTCGCCATTCGCCGCAGCACCACTTTGTAGGCTGAGAAACTTGACAAAGTCGTCGTCTTCTTCCGTTGCGCCTGTCGAGGGGGGGATGCGTTCGCCGTCCATAGTCGCGTGCGGCATCGACGGGGGGTTGAGTTGCGCGGTTGATGAAGTTTAGAGGCGTTGAGTCGAGTCCAGGTCCAGGTGGGAAGCTGCAGACAGGCAGGCTATCGGCGACCGGTGAAGGCGCGCCGCGAGGTAGGTGGGTTGTTGAGAGGTGAGCGGACCGTCATCCACGCTGCCACCGCGACCGGGATATCCTTAAAAGGGCATCCACAGTGTCGCCGATCTCGGGGATTATTCTTCGGAGTGTCTTGCGCGTCGGCTCGGTTGGGTTGATGGCGGTATGGTCGGTTTCGCGCTGGACGCCGTGGCGTGTAAAGGTGGTGGAGCAGTTGCACGTTCAAGGAACCCCGCACGGACGTTTAGATGTCCCGACCAATGAGACGCGTTCAGAGCGAACGCGAAATAAGCGTCAAGGTAAAGGTGCCTACTTTGGCAGAATTGATTATAGTGGATAGCACAACACTATCACGCACTGTACTCAGACTTGTCGCGAACTCGAAGACAATTCTCAGTCACAACAAGTAACCAACCACAGCCACTTCACAACATCCCCAAACAAACGCGCAGCAAATGAAAATAATATTCAATTTCATTTATCTATCAGAAATATCTCCATTCCCTTTCCATTCCTAACCCGTTCCCATTCCCATTCGCAATCCCTCCACAGACCCTTGAGAAAAATCCAAGAAAAGACACTGACATCTCCTCTCCTCTCCTGACACCAAACCACCAACTGCCACACCTCCAATGCCACCTCAAACAAGGGAAAAAAAGGCTAAAAAACTAACCAATACACAACGTCGATAGCAACACACCCACTACTCGACAGTGAAGTAGATAGAAGATAATACCTAGAAGAGAAAACCAACCCAATGATATCGCCAGATCGTCCTCTCCCTCACTCACTCACCCACACGCACTCCCTCCTCCTTCCCTCCCATGCCAAATCTTGCCTCAAACAAGAAAGAAAGAAAGCAAGAAAACCACGAACAAAAGAGAAACAAACAAAACAGAACAGAGCCCAATACAACAGACACCCCGACGTATATATATAGGAGGTGGGGGGGGGCGCTGCGGGGATAAGATATAGGTAACGCTGCTCATGGATATCATGCATTGAGGACACGGGCTAGGGCACACACACACACACACGCGCGCACTCACACAGTAAAACACAAAAAAAAGTGGGAGGAAATTGGGTAACAAAAGAAAAATCTCCAAAATTCGAATATGCAAACTTCTCCCTCTCCCTTCCCCCAAGGTAGAGAGCATGTACGTTTTGGAGAGAAAAAGGGAAAGTCGAGGGTAGAAGGCAAAGGATATCTGGCAACACACTCGACTCAGTTCACGCGGATCGTGGTTTCCAGCGGCGTGCGCGGCAGCTCCTTGTTACGGGCGGGACTCCTTCCCCTTAGCTCCTTGGGCGGCGTAGGCGGCCCCGAAAGTCTCTGGCGGTACGCGTCGTCTTTCGCAGGCGTAGGCGGACGCTCCTCACTCGCAGTGCCGGAGTCTTTTGGTGGCGTTGGTGGAGGCCGGCCGTGCGATTGTTCTCTTGATCGGGGCAGGGGTTGCAACGAGCTGAGATCGTATTCCTGCAACGGCGGCGGTGGAGTGGCATGGGTCCTCTCATACATGTGACCACTGCCCTCTGTGCTGCGATTGCTGCGCCCGCCGACGCTCGACGACTCGCCTGCTTCCTCGACAATGGGGAGGATGGTGCCTATTTCTCCTCGTTCGGCGGATGGGCTGCGGACGGCTCTCATCTCACGGTTCGGTACGTTCGCCTCGGTGTGTCCATGTTGTCTCGAACGGTCAACTTGGTGCTCTGCCTTCTCCATGAAGCTGTTGTTGTCGCGTGGAACCTCGTTGTTCTTCTCCCGTTCAGCTAGCTCCCGGCTTTTGGTATTACCACTGATGAACTTGATGAAGCGGTCACCGTAGCGCTCAGGGGGTATGGCGGATATCTGCGACTCGGTGTTTGTCAGACCCTTGAAGAAATGTTCTGCGCGTTTGATAAAAGAGTACTACGTTGTGTTAGCAAGACATGAACAGAGATGGATGATTGTTGTCAACCTACATGTGTCAGGCAGTCGATGATGCCAAGATAGTATACCTCCTCCGCAGGGGTGTTGTCCTCATGTGTGGCTTGGAAGCCACCGTCATCCGAGTAAAAGTAGAAGTTCTTCTTAGGATCCGCCATCTCGTCTGGCATCTTGAATGAGGTCGCATCCATGGGCACTGGCTTTTGCGTCTTGACCATTTGTCTCAACTCTCTTGCCTTTCGTGCGCTCTCCAGCTTCGATGGCGTTCGCATGAGTGTGCCAGGTTGCGGGTCTTCGACGGTGTCACCACCCGGCTGGAATACCTGCAGCGTCTTGTCACGGAGGTTCTCCTCGTTGCCCTTTTCCAGATCGTGTACACCAACGAGGAGCGAGTAGTCCATGATGTGCAGTCGCTGCAAAAGCTTCACGTCTCTTTGCATCTGCTCGATAAAAGCCGACTTTTTCGTCGGCCCGAATTCCAGTTGCAGGTTCCTTCGCAGCCAGTTCAGGTCCTTCAAGGTCGCACGCGGGTTCGATGCCAACCCTTCTTCCTTGAAGTCTCGGCCAATTGTCGAGCCTTTGAGATCGAAAGTGGTGTGGATATCTCGATGCGGGGGAAACAGGTTATTCATTACGACGAAATGGATCTTGCGTCCATAGGGTATCTTTACTCGATGTAGACCGTAAAACTGCGAAAGAAGAGTGTTTGGGTTGTCCTGAACGTGGTTGTAGTAGTCCTTCAGTATCTTGCGGAGGAACTTGTGTTCGGCGTGATGAATGGTCTTGATAATGTACTTGTAGTCACGGGAGAAATAGAAAAAGCTGCCACTCTTTCCGGGTGAGCCGAGCTCGGAGAGAATGTACTTGCTTGTTAGGGATACGAGGTAGTCGGCAGGATCCAGCTTGAAGGTGTTGCGGAGATGGCGGAAGACCCAGGGGGCGTAGTCCTTGAACTTGAAGTCGTACTTTGCAGAGGGGGTGAGTTCGTTACCAGTTCTGGGAGCAAGTCAGCATGAGCGAAGGGCCATGGAGAACAGGCCTGCCACACGACGCGAAATCGAAACTCAACAGATTCTTGACCATTAAAGGAAAACCATGTGGGACGTACATGTCAAACGAAAACTTGTGCTTTGCGTCAAAGTCGGCATCAGTCAGGTCGCGGTCCATCTTGGCGTTTGTGCGCGAGACGGTGAAGCGGATGCCCGTCAGCATGTTGTAGGCCGTGACCCAGTTGACGTGGTGCTGGTCGACCTTTGTGCCAACCACGACGCGGTCCTCGTCCTCGTCTTCCTTGCGCTTCCGCTTGCTGGCGCGCTTGTTGCGGATGTGCTCGGCCCAGCGCGCGGCATCCTCGTCCTGGGGCACTTCGTCGAGGTGCACGTCCGAGTTGACGGAGCGCGTGTTGCGGCGCACGAGGCTCATGGAGCCCTTCCGGTGGCGGGACGTGGGCGAGAACCTGCCGCTGGCCGTGACGACGTCGTCGGTGTTGTTCTGCGTGTCGCGGGTGCGTGACGTGGAGAGCTTGGGCACCTCGAGCGTGTGGCGCTGCTGCAGGCGGTAGGGGTTCGGCGCTGGCGATGTGGGGGCCTGGTTGAAGGCAGGCGGGGCCGAGACGCGCTGCTGCACCGAGCTGGGCACCTGCAGGCCGGGGGTCGCGTCGCCAGGGGAGGCTGCATGGGCGTGGGCGAAGTCCTTGCGGGCCTCCTTGGTGCCGTCCAGCGCCGACATGGCGCCCATCTTGACCTTTGTGGTGCCGCAGTGCTCCTCGACCTGCGTGTCGGCGCTGTAGACCGAGGCAAAGTAGCCGTCGTCGCGCTGGTCGGGGCCCTCGTCGTGCGACGTCCTGCTCGACGGCTTGGCAGGGCGGCCGTTTGGCACCGACTGCATCACGGCGGCGCCATTGGGCAGGCTGCCGTTCACCTTGGCGGCGCTGCCGTTCGCGCGCCGCTCGCCGTTCTCTCGCCCCGCAGGCGCCCTGTCCGACGAGGTGCGCAGCGGCAGGCCAAAGGGCGAGTGCTGCGTCGGGAAGGGGGCGTGGTCGCTGGTGTCGGCCGCATGCGAGGGCATCATCCGAGACTCATGGACGGTCAAGCTCATCAAGGAGGCAGCCTTCACTCCTTGGTACTGCGGAGGAGGAGCGGCCGAAGCGTGCGCAGCCAGGATGAGGGTTGGGGGGGGAGTGTGGCTGGTTGCTATGGGGGGTCGTCGTCCGGGCGATTGCGTAGTTGGCCGGCGGTCGCTGGGCGGCGCGGTGAAGGATGGCAGCTGGCACGTCGCGCCGTGGGCGGGTCGACGATAAGGCGGGAGTAGCAGTAGGCGTCGCAAGAATGGGAGTGCTGTGTGTGGGCGCGTGAGCGTGTGCGGGTGCTGGAGGAGTGGGCGCCCGAGAGATGGCTGCTCTGCCAAAGCACCAGGTTCGTCAGCGCGAAGATCCGGTTGCCGTCTTGGGTTGCGCATGGGCCGCTCTCTCAATATCACATCACGAAGCACCAGCGCACCACTCGCCCGGGCCTGGCGTCTAGCAACCAGCCCAGCCGCTGGGCCTGCACATGACGCTGCAGAGAACGCAAACATGCTCTCTTGCCTTCTGAATACACGCCCTGGCACAACTCCAGCCCTCTCCTGCTGTCGTCCAGGGCTGTCGCGCAATCCTGAATGGGAAATTGCAGCTGAAGCTCCGGGAAGGTCGGCTAGTTTGGACTGTGGCTGTGCCGTTGTTTCCAGAAGCCTGCTGCATGCGGGCACATGCACTGCAAACCGCTGCTCCTGATCGACGACTCACACTCGTCCGTAGACATTGTCGTCGAAACATCCCAGCAAACGGTGTACACTGCTCTGTCGCTTGAATGCCGTGTCTCGCCCTCAAGACATAGCACAAAGGGCATCCCAGATAGAAGCATGTTCCCCTTCACAAGTGTATTACACATTATACATTAGTCCCTTTACATAGTGCATCACCCCACTGCGCTCGTCAAACGCATGTCCATCCCTCCGCGTGTGGAAATACTCCGCGAGATAGACCACGCCAATGGTCAACACGCGCCTGTGGACTGACGTCTTCCAACATGTGTCCAATCAGCCTCGTAATATACACCCGACTATGCACGCGTAGACTGTAACTCAAATTTCGTAGAGTCGGCGGCTTGGCCATGACTTGGTATGTTGCTCCTGGCACGTCAATTCCGTCTCCTCCAACTCCTCGCGAGCAGACCAACCATTTCATCCTCTTTCGATTCGAAACTCCCCGCCAGATGCAAGGCTAACGACGCGAGTGCGACCAGGCTTCTGTTTCTCCCTACCAAAATCATCATCACCCAACAGTCTTGTGGCTTGGTCAATAGTGCACTTGGCGACCCGTGTCTGCTTCACCGACCACCCGCGATTGTCCTTGTCGGCATCGTGCGCCGCGATCCAGGCTTGGGCGTAGAGCTCTCGAGCAATCTGCACCCCTCCGATGTGACCAGCGGATATGTTACCCCCCAAATACCATGGGTTTTCAACACGGTCAAGCGAGTGTATGAGTGCAGTCAGTGGAAGGGCTGCCTCAAAGACCAGGTGCGAGACAGCGTACGGACGGATAACGTCAAATGAGACGCCGTGCGGAGCATAAAGTACAGATATAGTTTTTTCTCGTTCAACATGTCCCCACGGAGAAGGTACGATTGTGCGAGGCGACGAACATGAAGATATCGTCCTCAGCGACCCAGGCGACGCAGGAAGGCTGGTCGGTAGGTCCAAATAGCTCCCTGAACTGTTTTTGAGTCCAGCACCAGGAGGCCTATATGTGATCCCAAAGGCATGATGTAGAGCAGTGATGTCTCGCTTTGCGGGCATCCACGTTATCGTGACTTCACCATGCGAGCCCGTGAGCGCTAGGGGCAGCAGTATACGGTGGATGGAGTGCTCATCTCCTTCCACGTACTTTGACAGAGACTTGACGCGTTCGGGACGGAAGTGCTTCCATGATCGGATCTTTCTGGCTGCTGCGGGTGTAGCGAAGATGGTCGACCCGCAGTCGGGCGGCAGCTGGCGAAGAGTCGCCTCGTGGCAGTGATCTGGTTTGTCTTGAGAGATGAGGACAACGTCTGGTTCATGCTCAAGCTCGTCGAGATGGGCAATGCATGGTTGCACCTTCTGTTTTGATATAGAGAAGGCAGAGTTGAGAATGATGGAAGGGCCAACGAGCCAGGGATCGACTAGTATCGTAAACGAGCCTGGACAAGGTCCCAGCGAAGAGGGAGACAGATCAGGACGTAGAAGTGGAGGACGAAATGTCAGTAGAAACGCAGTATCGCCATTCAATGACTTGACCGTCAAGGACATGACCGCTTGTGCGCAGAAGAGAGATGGAGAGACATGAGGGATCGCGGCAAACAGGCTGCATGATGGAAGGAAGCGTCAGCCGTCATCGTGCAAGGAGTAGGTATTACCGGTGTCTTGAAGTTGGAGTTGGAAGCTGCACCCGGGCGTGGCAATTTAAGGCGAGAACGTATCCTAGACACAACGCCTCCTAATCCCAACAATTTCTTCTTCGCGCCTTCGCACGTTTGTTCCCTAGAAGCTTATATGTCGCCTTCATCTGCTCCTTCCGTCCGTCAAGTTTTTTTCTTTTACTGTTTTGCCGGATCGCGCTGCACGTGGCCGCAGAGGTTACCAATCACGGCTACAACCGGGGGCAGGCTTTGCCGATGACTCCGTCGTGAGCATCAGGGCCTATCCTTGGGGTGGCTGTGATGGTTCGGGAAGCATGTGACCACCGATGACCAGCAGTAGATTCTAACTCGCACGTCACATTCCTGACGGCAAGCTCTGCGCGGAGAGGTCCCACGAATGGCTTGTTGCAGAGTCGCAGCCCAGCCCAACTGCTATCTAGTATGATGTCCGCCGGTAATCGCGGCTGCAGATTGGGTCGTGTGCATGGTGAAATGCGGTTTCGAGAGCTTGAGCTTCCCTGTCAGCCTCTCAAGCTTGCTCCCAGGCGTTTGGAGGTCGAGCTACCCAGTACGGGTTTTTGGTGCGCCAACAGCTGAGCTTGAGCTCTGGGCGACGGCAGGACGCACGTCTTGTCCGTAGTCACAGTCTTCTACTTGCTTGTCTCGAATCAGTCTCGGTTCAGAGATAGTAGCATCATCCGGATTATAGCTACGGTCGACCCCACCTGTCTGCCCCTCCCTCGACGACCAGCATTTCTCAGCTCTTGACGCTTGCTTTGGGCCATTCACTGCGACGCAACCTCTCCGACGTCTTGCAGAGCTGACAGCAAGCTCTCCCAAGCTCCCCCCAGCTACACCACAGCTCCACGCCCGGCATTGACGCCCACGCCGCCAACCCACGCCCATCCTCGCCATTTTACGGCCCGTCAAGGGTAGATGCAGCTCGCAATGCCGCCACGCGCTCCTCTGACCGGCTCCTTCTCCGTCTCGGACGAGAACAACGTCGTCGTCTGTCCGCTGCGCAACCATGACGGCTCGGCGTGTCGAAAGCGCTGCACCGGCGTGAGTTTCCCTCGACCTCTTGCGTGGAGCTGCTGCCCGCGTCATGGCGAGCTGCGCCACTGCGGCCCTGCAGAACTTGAATAACACGCTCTGCTACAGGAGAAGCGGTATCGCTCCATGCAGGAGCATATCCGCCGCGCCCACCCCGAGCACTACATCTCGAAGCTGCCCGCCACCGAGGAGAGCTTCACGCTGATGATCAACACTCCGCCGCAGGAGCGCCCGCCTCCGCCCCTCCCCTCGAGCTCCGCAGGCCCGCAAGGTTGGTGGCGCCGTCTCTCCAGCAGCAGCGGGGACTGACACATTGGCAAGGCTACGGAGGAGGCGAGCTCAATGCCTTCTTCGCCGACGACTACAGCTCGAGCGACCCGCGCACCTCGGACGAGCTGCGCCGGGGGTCGCTCCTGCCCGCTGCAACCGCCGCCGCCGCCCTGGCTGCCTTGCACACGCACCGCGCCGAATACGACTGGGACTCGGATGCGGTAAGTAGCCGTGTCGCTGCCTCCCTGCATGAGCCTGTGCGCTAACGCAGCTGCTGCGCCCAGGAGCCAACGTCTGAGCCAGAGTCGAAGAGCTACAGGCCCCGTGCCCGTTTTGCGCCTACGGCCATGGAGCAGCACATAACGGCCGAGGAGCCCTACTACACGTCGACGTCGATACAGCGCGAACTGCTGCCCTCGTCGCTGGCAAGGTCGCCCCCCGGACGCTCCTCGACCCTCCCACCCGCTCGCTCCATGAAGCCAAACAGGCCCCGCAAGTCGTCCGTGGGCCAGAACGCCCGCAGGGGAAAGCACGAGCGGCAGAAGTCGAGGGAGTACCATCGAAGGCTGAGCTATGACAGGAAAGCCTTCTCCGCCGAGCCACAGACAGCAGCGGCTATCTTGGGTAAGAGGTGGGAGGACCTGATCGATGCAGCAGCCTCAGCCACCGAGGAAGACAGCCGGGACCTCACTCCCGTCAGTTCAAGAGTCCATTCCATCGTAACTCCTGCTCAAGCTAACGGTCATAGGTACCGCAATCACCCCACTACACACCGCACATGACAAGCAACCGCATGTCCTTACCGCCCTTCATTGCCTCCCAGTTCCAGTCCTACACGGCATCGCCATTGCAACATACATTGACCCCTCCACCGCAGGACATGCCCGAGCTGCAGCCCTTCCCATCAGTCGAGTCATCCATTGAATCAGCCGTGTCGGGACAAAACTTCCACATGCCCTCTATGGGTCTCTCGGAATCCTCTCCAACCTTTCCGTTCCCCGTCCAAATATATTGTGCCGCTTGCCGGAAGTTGTCCATTCTTAGAGAAAGCTACGCATGTTCTGAATGTATTTGCGGCTTGTGTCAGGAATGTGTAGATGTTCTTGTTAGCGAACATACTCGAGGTAGGGCCCCGAGGTGTCCACGGTGCAATGCCATTGGAGGCAAGTTCAAACCATTCCAACTGGACATCCGATGAGCCGGTCTCTTTCACTCTTTACACTCATTGATCTTCATTTACCGGCGTTCTGACACGACGATGCATTCTTTGGGATCACGCCGTTTGAAAAGCGAGTTTTGGAATTTCTTAGCACTGCAGGATAGACGGCGTTGGACAGTCATAGCATAGACTACTTATCAAAGTTCGGGAAGCAAGGATCTAGGGGTTGGATATACAAAGCCCTCTTGGGTCGCAAAGACCGTCAGTGGAGCGAGTAGATACTTGTAGTCGAGTGCGGCACCCTGAAGAGTGTGCTATACATTCGCTTTGTGCAATACGGATCAAAAGCGCTCAACAATATTGAGAAAGCATTCGAGTCCAGTGGACAATCTTCATCTCTTATCCACGCTCTTGGTTAGTCGAAATACCCGGAATCAAGGTCTGTTCTTTGCAGTAACGCAGCAACACAACAACCTTAAACTACAAGATTGAAAGTTCTACAAAGACAAACATGCAAGTAGACGCATACAAACAACATGTAAGGCGTAAAAAATTTACAGTTTTTTCATATGTAGTTGTCAAGCTGTTGCGAGACATCGCTGCAGCCTACTTAGTTCCGGGTATTCTAACTAACCAAGAGTCACGTACTTTCGAATCGTAGATTCGTGAGGGACCCTCGAAATATCGCAACTCGTCTGCGGCATTCCTTTCTCGAGTCCGTACACTCACCGCTTACCTTACCGACTCACACTCTGGGACCGACCAGATACGACAGGCCGAGATACGGTGTGCGAACCATGGTTCGGCGTCAGTCATCGGTGTCGGCAAATACTGCGTGCCATTTACGAGCCCTAATGGATCAACATCGGCACAAGACATACGCCACGATATGTTTTGGCGTGACCTAACATCAGCCATCAGCGATAGCCTCAAGACGACGTTGCAAACGAGAATTCTCGAACGTCAAAACCTTCACGTCCGTTGGTTACCGCAAATACTCGTCTGCAGCCGCCACAGCGGCAGATGTTGCGGGTGCGTCGATACGAGAAGTCCAAGATGAGACATGGGGACTAGACGCACCATCACTCCACCGGCTAAAACCCGGCACCCAAACAAACCAAACCACAGACAAAAGTCGTGTCAAGCCAGTGTATCACAAGTCCAATACGCCTACCTACCTAACCCACTTTCGTCCGAAAGCATTTCGTAACAACTCAGCTCGTCGTGCGTTGTTGCGACTTTGCGCCCCTAACAAAGACAGACGTGGCTTACGTTCGGCATTTACACTTGCTTAGCCGAGATCCCACGGTAAGGCAAAAACTTGGGTAATCCATCTGCAGGTCCGAGTGCTATTTTGGAACCGTCTTTGCTGCAGGGGAAACAGGCCATGTGGGCTCCCCCCTCTCATGCAACTCGGTATTGTCAATGCGATGCGATGGCGTTGACTCGGGACTCGGTCGGGCCTTTGGTTTGGTTTGGCCTTCTGCGAACACGACGTGGCATGGCCTCTCTTTGCTGGCTCTCGGGCAACTGTAAACAGCGGGAAAGTAAGCTACATTTTCTGTGGCTCCTACAAGCCGTAAAACAACATATTTAAGATTTGTTAAGGTATACTCAAGGCGTATACTGCTCGAAATTTTGGCACAAGATTCGTACACTAAACTTAGTTGTAGTTGGCTCTCTCCCCAGGAGGTCAACCGTTGGGAGATTGATTGTTTCGACGACGACGGCGGCAGAACGAAGGAGCCGTTTGTTAGTTAGCCGAGGGCCGCGGGGAGGCGGCTGCATGCTGGGCATTTTTTCGCCGTGTCAGTGGTGTGTGTGGATGGGCATGGAGGAGAAGGGATACCCGGGGGTGGCAAGGGCAAAAGGCAAAGGGCAAAGGGCAAACTCAAAAATAAAAGAGTGAATGCATAACCACCAATACATACTCGCCATTCCTGCCCTCAAGACAAGTAAGAAACCACAACGTAAGCAACCCATGCACCACCACGCTGATTGGCATAACCACCACCGCCCAAGCGGGAGATTCCAGAAGATCGTCATTCCCCCCAGTCGACCATGTGCTCTTTTCCTCTCTCCCCCACTCCACTCCACCGCACCCCCTTAACCCTATCCTGACATGCTCCCTGCCCACATGTCCATATCAACTGACATGTTCCTGACTCCCCCCCTCGCGCGCCTGTACCTTTCCCACGCCGGCGGCGACGTCGCGCGCGCCAAGCCATTGCTCGCGCGGCCCCAATACGGCGTCGCGCGATGGTCTGTGCGGAGCCCGCGGCGCCCCCGGATTGGACGGCGGACATGGTGCAGGGGTCTTGTGGGTACGTGTATACCTAGCGGTCTGGACGTTTTGACGTTTTGAGGGGGGCCCGTGTGGTGTGTGTGGTGTGGTGTATGTGCATGGGGGTTGTATTGGGTTGAATCTGGAAACGGGCAAGGTTTGGACGCGAGTCCCATATTGGAATTTGGGGATGCGAGTTAGTATATATTAGAAAAGGGTTGTTCGTTCGTTGGTGTGTCGTGTTACCGTACGTTCACTCGTTTTCAATACTACGTATTCTGTGTGTTTGTGTGTGTCGCATTCGCTCGCTTTTGCATTGCACTCCAGGATATTCGACGTTAAATCACTGCTTTCGCACACTTACTTACTTGCCTCGACGGATGCTGGACGATACTACCGCAATGTTGAAACTGGATACACACAATATGCCGCTCTTACGCTCCATTACTACGAAGATCATGACGGTCATTTCGCCCTCGTCTTCGCCTACTACGTCGCCGACCTCATCGGTTTCTTCTTTCGAGGTGGTTAGTGGACGCAAGGCGGGAGGCATGAACGCGAGCAGGCCAGATGTGTACATGAGGAATGACTCATTTATGCACGAGGAGATGGTCAAAGCGGTAGAAAAGACGGAGAAGAAAAATAGGAGGATCAGTCGGTTCAGGGAGGAGTTGGATGTTGGGGATGAGTAGTTCGAATGATCAGTGTGATTGGAGAAACGGTAACGGTATGTTGACACCCTTGTCCTTGTGTTGTTGCATTGCTGATCTCAAAAAAAGGTTCCCCATGATGAAACGGCTCATGCACCTTCTGTTTCCGCCTCTGGTTCCGCCTTCACTTCGACCTGCACTGGCGTACCACTCTTTGGTGGTCCTCTGGGCGGCCCTCCAGCTCTCGGTGGCGGCGGTACTCCTCCACTCTTAGCCTTGGGTGTGAAGTCCTCCTCCATGCTCTTCTGCTCGCCCTCCTTGAAGTAGTCATCTAAGCCTCCACCTCCGTTCGGGCTGAGACCAAGGTGTGCTCTCTGCTTCCTCTTCGGTGGCGGACCCTGAGGGGGTGGTGTCTTCGATGGCAAGGCAATGTCAGCCGGCACGAACAGCTCCGATGGGGCACCAATCGTTTGAATCGGAGGGACGTTAGAAGTCGATGACAGAGGACGCTTCTCATCGAAGGATGTTGGCGCGCTGTCACTGGAGAAGAGCGTTTCGCCTGGTGCTTGCGGTGGCTCTTCCAGAGATGCAGGGAGACGATGCAATGCCCCGAAACCAAGAACGCAACCTAATGCGCCCTCGCCGCCCCAGTTGCGCGAGGGGGTAATGGTGATCGGGCGTGTAACATTGTATTCGTGGTTGTACACGAGTAGACGCAGAGGACGATTGAGAAACTGAATCGAAGTCAGTTTCAAAATATTCTGCCAAGTCGAGTAGTGGTCAACATACATCTTCGACAAGTTCGCCCAGGCCAGACTCGCCTCGAACTAAACCTTCTGGGCTTCCGATGACATAGTCACCATAGGGTAGCAGACCAGCTACGTCAGCGGGAGAGTTGGGAATCACGTCGAGAATATGCCAGACGTCTTCTGCTATGGAAAGAGGGGACCATTGCAGAGATACGCCGAGGGTGGGCTTATCGGCAGGAATATTGAGATAGATTTCACGAATCTTCTGGCCCTGGGTAGAATTAGGCTTTGCTCAAAACGAAATTGAAAACGTCTTGTGAACCAAACATTGAAACTCGGTCTCGACTCTAGTCTTTTGGTGATGATGATGAAGATGGTGACAACGAAACTGCACTTGATCTCGACCATGGAAAGATAACGAAAATGTCGAGTACGGAAAAGAATGAAACAGTGCTGGGATAAAAAAAACATCATCACTCACCTTCGCACTGAAAACACCCAAACTAATGGTCTTCCCAGCACAGTTCCGCACTTCAGTAGCAAAAAGCGATGGATCAGGATTATCCTACCATCCCAATCAGCCCCCGCCGAATCTCTAACCATACTTTTTCAAACTCACAATCGTCCTCCCGTTAATTCCAATGACAAAGTCAAACCATGGTTCCAGCGGGACCTCCTGATTCGCGTTCCTCAAGACCTGGAATCCATACGCACCACTGATAGCGGATTGCTGTTCGTCAATCGGGGCCGCATCAAGCCGTGATATCAAGCGGTTCAGGGCACCAAACATAGTGCCGAAGAATTGCGGGGATGGCGGGTCGGTTGGTGATGTGTGTGAGTTGTCGATGATGGAGCTCGAGGACAGATGTTGCAGGGTTGGTTTGCGGGTGGTGGCCATAGCGCCGCGCTAGGGGATTGTCGATGAAGATGTTGGTAGCGTCTGTGTTATGTAGGTTGAATCGCAGTGATTTGGAAGAGTTGAATAAATTGAAATTATGTAGTCCTATGTACCGTGAGAGTAGTTTTATATTCTAGGTCGTTGCCATCTTGATCTGCAGTCAGTACTGTGCCGCTACTACAGAAGCGGCATAGTTGCTTGAGAGATGTCTTCGTTTGGCAATCGCGACTTTTCACTACTTTTGCAACACCACATTCAACTCGTTTGACAGTATATCGGCTAAGCTGATAGAGTTGATCTGGTTGGTCAGATAGTGTCAAGTTCGGCTACACACGTAAAACACTTTCTAAAAAAGAAACCCATCTGAGTTTACCTGTACGCGTAACTGCTGAAGCCACACTCTTGAAGAAACGCTCAATCGCGCAAGACCAAACACCATGGAGGATGTCCCCGACCAGAAAGGCATCAACCAGTGGCTACACGTAGATGAATTCCCTGAACATTTAAAAAAGTACATAACATCCCCATCTCAACGCGAATCCCCAGCTAACAAAACCACTTCAGATATTGGTTCCAACGCTTCAAGATCTGGGAAAACTACGACAAAGGCATATGGATGACCGAAGACTCCTGGTTCGGCGTCACCCCCGAGCCCATCGCCAAGTACGCTCATCCTCTACCGCCATCCAAATAGACCTCAAACTAACCCCTACCAAGCAAGATCGCAGCACACATTGCAGAATCAGCACCCAAATCCGCGACCGTCATTGTCGACGCGTTTGCGGGCGTGGGCGGTAATGCGATTGCGCTCGCGCGCTCAGGGCGCTGGGAACGCGTCTTCGCCATTGAAAAGGACCCCAAGACGATGAAATGCGCAAAGCACAATGCGGAAATCTACGGTGTGGCGAGCAAAATCTTCTGGCTGACTGGTGACTGCTTCGAGGCCATTGGCAGGTTTGCCGGGCAGAAGAATGTCGTTGTTTTTGCGAGCCCGCCGTGGGGAGGTCAGTCGTTCATGCTGATGTTTCGCGCGTATTGGTACTGATTGTTGCAGGAACGGAGTATGGTGCAGACGATGTGTTTGACTTGTCCAAGATGGAACCGTATAATCTGGATCAACTGTACAAGAGCTTCACGCGCATCAGCAAGGAGGTGGTTCTGTATCTACCGCGAACATCGGATCTGAACCAGATTGCTCGATATGGTTCTGAGGGGAAGAAGCTCGAGGTAGCTCACTACGCCATGATGGGTGCGAGCAAGGTACGTATACTGCTATGAGGTGATGAAGCGTTGCTTATATAAGTTAGGCTCTTTGTGTTTACTTTGGTGATTTCGACTTCGAGGTACAGACAGAGCAGGAGTCATGAGCCTGGCAAGGAGAGATGGTTATGCGCTAACGTGTGCTGGCTGTCATAGTCGACAAAAGCACGCGGCTCATGTTTCAGGATATCGCGTCAAACGCAACCCCAGTTGGGGAAGTACTCTTCATCGTTGAACTTAATGTAGGACGCCCAGTGCAGGTTATATTTTAGATTCATCATCGTCTTACGTAGACGCAAGCTCATATTCATGCGAGGGTTGGGACCACAAGTCCAATGTCTATCATGTTTGTACCAGTCCACTTCTCCCCTGCCACATCCACACGCTCACTTGTAGAAGTCGAACTTGTCTGCCTCTGCAGTCCCCTTGACCTGGCTGGTGTACGCTTCTTCCAAATCGCTCTGAATGATGTTGTACCTGTTCTTCCGTACAGCCCTGAGACCCGCCTCCTGCATGATGGCCGCAATGACCGCACCAGACAACGGGTCATTGCGCACAATCAAGCTATCCAGATCCACCTCAGGCGACAAGCTCATCCTTCCGGCGATAGTCGAGAAGATGAGACGACGCTCACGTCGGTCTCGCAGGTTCGGGAACTCGATCTTTCGGTCCAGACGACCAGGACGAAGGAGCGCAGGATCAAGCGTATCAGCGCGATTAGTGGCCATGATGACCTTGACGTTAGATGTCTGGTCGAAACCATCCATCTGGTTGAGCAGTTCAAGAAGAATACGCTGGACTTCTCGGTCGGCACCCGTCTGCGCGTCAAAACGTTTCGTGGCGATGGCGTCGATTTCGTCGATGAAGATGATGGATGGGGAGTTTTCGCGCGCCATTCGGAACACGTCACGCACCATACGTGGACCCTCGCCCAAGTACTTTTGCACGAATTCTGAACCCACTACACGGATGAAGGACGCTGTTGTGCTGTTCGCGACGGCTTTGACCAGCATCGTTTTACCTGTACCTGGTGGCCCGTAAAGGAGCACACCGCGTGGCGGATCGATACCGATTTGCTTGTACAGGTCGAAGTGTGTGAGGGGTAGCTCGACGGCTTCGCGAATCTCCTGCTTCTGCATGTCCAAACCTCCGACGTCGGCGTATGTCACGTCGGGCTTCTCGTCCTGGCCAAGCATGGCGATAGAGGAGTCGGCCTCCGGGGGCAAGATGTCGACGAGTGCATTTGAGTGGCGGTGGAGGGCGACGGATGACGAGGGCTTGAGGAGTTCGCGGTCGAGGGTGGAGAGAATTCGAACGACGTAGTTAGAGCCGGTCGATGACTGTACAATGCCCGTGCTATACAGGTTAGCATGCATAAACGTACCGCGTTTGGGCTCAGACTCACTTCTGGTCGATTGCCTCCATAAACTGCCCTATCACCAAGGGAACACTCTGGATGCGCTTGATCTCCTCCTGTGCCCTCACAAGTTCCCGCTTCAAGCTGCGCTGCTCATCTTTGATGTACTCCTCTTGGAGGTGGATGTACCTGCAACAGTTAGCCACCTGTAGCTGGAGCACACGCGGGGCTGGTATCGCACTCTAGTTGCCGTTGGAGCTTCTTGAATGTAGAGTAGTCATCGCCACCCTCTGTCGAGAAGCCCTCCAGTGTATCGAAGTTCGGTATCGACGATGGGAGCTGCTTCTTGTGAGGCGGGACGGTGAGTGACGGGTTCTCGACGGCGGCGTCAGCCATGATGGCACGTGTTGAGGCGAGTTTGAGGCTGGGAAAGGTCACGTGGAGTCTCGGGTCAGTTGGAGAGACTAGGTGCTGGTGGGTGGCTGCGAGGAGGTCGTGTCGTTGTGGTGCGTGGTGCTTGTCTGTCGCAATGTTGATGCAGCTCGGGGAAGGCATGGTCGGAAGCGCCAAGCTCCGACATCACGTGCATAGTCAGATACCTGGAATTGAGTTGCGTTCTTCTCCAAGATAACGCAATTCGACGCCAAGATTGAATGCCACAAGTAAGAGTGACTATACGTATACTAGCAATGCTTAAAGAGCACACGTTTGACTTGAATTTTGCGTGTGGTTGTCCAGCTGTTGCAAGATTTCGCTGCAGCTTAGTTCCGGGTAGTCCGACTAACCAAGAGCCGCGATCTGCTTCATGCTTCAATGCCTCACTTGGGTAGGTGACAGGGAAAGCAAAGACTACGGGGTTGTCACACATGGTGTATTCTCGAACAAGCTAGAAGAATCCAACGTGTCAGGCCCAAGACCGTCAGGTCATGCCTCCGAACCAGGCTTGTCAGAGGCATGTCCACGCCAACAGTAGATCTCTCCCCACGGCCCAACAACAGACAAGTCGCAGCGGGCGATATGCAGGAACCTGGGTGATGTAATAAGTGGAGAGGAGCATGTGTTTCCGTGTCACGACCGCCAAATGACCCGGTGAAATCTAATTGCGTTAGACTAGGCTTGTGAGTTGCCGGCAAAGCAGCCACTCCACTGGTCGCGCAAGCGCGAACGCGTGTTCTGATCCTCCATGCGACGCTGCTTGCTCTCCAGATCTTTGCGGCTGCTGGTGTCAATTGCTGCTCTGACGTGCCTCTTGCTGCACAAACGGGGCGTCGAGGCGCTGGCACGTGATCCACTGCCACTAAACGCTTTAGTTAGTCAGCAGGTTGAAGCCATTCGAGACCTCCGTCTCTAACGACGCATCGCGTCCAAGACAGGCTATCGCCATCCCCAGCCGAACGTCCCCGACCTACCTTGACGAGGAGGTCGCTTTAGCTTTAGCTTCTGGTCGCGCCGTGTGTGCTCCTTCACTTTCTCCGTGTGTTTTCTCCACCTGCCTGCCTGGACCGTGTCCGAGTGGTGCATGCGCAGTCGCGTCTATCCAAACATCAACATGGTTGCTGACGGGTCACTGTCTAGGTGGATTGAATGCACCCCACGTGCGCCCCTCGCAACTCTCTTCGCCCAGCTGCCGTCGCGCTCCCTCCCTCGTTTCCGCTGCCCGCCCACGTCCCACGTTAGCCGCGCATGATGGATTTCCAGTCCCCCCAGAACGGGATGTATGATCCCTCGAGCTTCATCGACCCGAGCGCAATCGCGAATCCCCAGATGAATGGCGCGCGCTCCTTCCCAATGTCCTCGGTTCCCCAGAAACGAGACTCGACCGGCACCGCCCTCTCCCTGTCGCGCTCCCAGACGCCGTCGTCGCAGCAGCAGCAACAGCAGCCGCAGTTCAACTTCCAGCAGCAGCAGCAGGCCTTTACCAACACGCCCTCTCCCACTATGCAGAGCCAGCACTTTGCGCCCGCCCAACTGAGCGCGCAGAGAATGCAGACGGCGTCGCCTGCGCAAAATCCCCACGCGCCGCAGATGTCGCCCATGGGCTTCCCCAGCTCTTCCATGAACCAGCAGTTCAACCCCAACTCTGGCGGGCAGTTCCCGGTGCAGTCAGTTCAGTTGTCGGCAAATCTGCAGAATCGCCAATTGGAGGCGCAGAGACAGTACGCCATGCGATTGCAGGCTCAAGCGCAACAGCAGCAGCAGCTGGGGAACCTGGCGGCGAGCAACATGGCCGCGCAACAGCGGCATCAGACAGGGCAGATGCCTGGCACAATGCAGCATCCGGGCATGCAGCCCAACATGGCGCAGGCGCAAGCGCAGGTGCAACCGCAGGCGCAGCAGAACCCTCAGATCCAATTTCAGCACTTCATTAAGAATGTTGGCTCACTCATGTCCCAGAATCGACGCCCATTCAACCCTCAGCCCATGGTTGCTGGCCGCGTAGTCAACTTACAGAATCTCTACGCCATCGTAATGAAGTTTAGGGGTTATCAGTACGTTACACAAACGCAGAACTGGCCTCGTGTTGCGCAGATGCTGGGAATCCCTGCTCCTGAGGAGCTGCGCGTCGTCTACGAACAGAACCTAGGTCTTTATGAGACCATGTACATTCGGAAACAGCAACAGATGAAAGGCATGCCCCCACAAGGACAGATGGGAGCAATGGGCCAGCAGATGCCGGGGCAGCAGATGTCACCGACCAGGCCACCTATGTCGACGAATCCGAGTAATGTTTCATCGCAACAGGACTACATCGCACAGCTACAGAGATCAAAGCAGGCTATGGAGCAGCAACAACAGCAACGACAGTCGGTCCCACCAACACCACAGCAGCAACAGCAATTTGACCCGGCAATGCAACCGCAACAATCAACACCACTACAAAACAACGCAGCCCTCCCGAGCCTCAACGGCCACAGTACACCTCAAGCAGACGGTAGCGCTCGGAAGAGCATAAGTCGGCAAATGGAAGGAACGCCCAATCAAGGGCAAGAGTCAGGACAGGCTCTAGCATCACCGCAGAAACAGGAGGAGCCTGCTGCTGTTCCAGAACCAGCTGTTGTAGAAGAGATAGAGAAACGACAACCAGTGATTGAACAAGATGACGGTACCAGAGTCTATCAGCCCGCGTACCGAACGCAGGATACATGGGGTGGTCTAGATTTCGATTCTGACAACTTCAAAAACATGATTGAGACCATCACAACATTCAAGCCGAACGTTCCACTACTACCGGAGATGGGCATGATCGATATACGGGCTCTAACTATGAGCCTTCGGTCGGGGCTTCACGCAGAGACCAGACTTGCATTGGACGCACTTACGAGAGTAACGTACGATAGCAGCATACAGTTCGACCTAGGGAAATGTGAAGACTTGGCAGATGTCCTGGTAGATTTTGCGGAAGACCAACTGGAAATCCTGGGGAATGAAAATCCGGAAGTCACCGATATCCTGGACCTCACGCCGTATGAAGACGTTTTACATCATTGCCGTGCAGAGGCCGCCACACTACAAGAATTGCCAGTATTTGGCACAAAGGAGTATGATTTGGATCGAACTGCTGATCGATTGCTTGCGATAACGACGATATTTCGAAACCTTTCATTCCTTGAGGTCAATCATGTCTCACTCGTTAGCCCCGCAGTACTCAGATTCCTATCCAATTTCATACGGCTTGTCGGCACTCGAGTGCTGCTTCTGCGGTCACACATCAATACCTTCGACTTCATGAAAGACATCATCACATTCTTCTCCAACACAAGCGCCAAGATCGTTCTACCCTCCCGAGAAGATGCCTATGCTGTGCTTCACTTCCTGTGTGCTTTCGCGCCCTGTCCTCGTCCTAGTTTCCCAGTCAAGTTCACACCTTTCAACCCGCAAATACACCGCTACCTCCCGTCCGCTGTCGACAGTCTGGCAAAACTTCTTGCACGCGACGACCCCAATCGAACATACTACAAAGAGGTATTTGTCAACGAAGCAACCTCAACGCCTCCCTACGACCTCTTAACGCGTGCCTTTGCACTCGCCGTCTCCGTCGTACCCGACCGCAATTACATCGAAAGCCGCATGTACGCGATGAAAGACCCGCGTGTTAAGGAAATACGGGTGTTTGAAGCGAAAATTGCCGAGTCACGGAAAGCATACCTGATGCAGGGTATGCTCGCCGCCGACATTCTCGCCAGTCTCGCCCCCGGCCCAGAAAGCAATGTCTGCCGCTCCTGGCTCGAATCAGAAGACGGTTGGGCGCACAGTCTGCTTAAGTTTGCAATGAGCCTCTCTGCTACAGATGCCGCTATTCCACATCCTCCTCTCCAGCCAAATCACCGTGGCCAGCGCCCTATGGAGCATGACCGCGAGGGCTTTCACCTCATCGTTCATCGTGCGCTAAACACGCTGAAAAGGCTGGGGGACAAGAGCAAGGGCGGGGATGTATTGGTCAAGGGTCCACAGAGTCATGGATATGCGAGTGATGATGAAGACGAAAGCGAGGATGAAGACATGGAAGTGTTTGCTGTGAATGGGAGTATGTGGAGAGTGAAGGCGGATATCTTGCCCAGAAAAGAGACGATGCTTGGGGCATTGTTAACAGCGCAATTGGATGTCAGGAGCTTGAACCAATTCTGCAAGATTGGGTATTTGGACGAGTGAGTAGGGGTTTGGGGTCGCATGGCGTAATTGGAAGGGCTTGGGTGTGTAAGGGTATCGTTTGTAAGACTTGCATTGGTAGGCTGTTTTGATGGGATGCGACGCGACGCGGTTCGTTGGTTGTGCATGAAGTAGCGAGTGCGTTGAAATTCTGTACGACAGAAGAGGGTGTACGATGCTTCGCTTTCTTGGTTTGTACTGTGTACTCTACTTTTTTTCTTACTCTGCAAGAAAGAGAAATCGTCTTTTGCGAAATGAACGTAAGGCTATCCAGCAGCTTGCTCAATCAACATGTTCTGTTCATCCAATCAATCAATCGTACGACTCCCGTATCCAGTCTGCTAATTTCCACATGATTTTCTTCGATGTTTCTTTTGTTAGTTGGCTAGATCGCTATACGGTGAGTGAGGAGAGGGCGGGCTCCACTGTCAGTTTCTCGATGAAGATCTCGTCAATACCCCTGCAGTAGTTGTGAACAAGCAGTGTTTATCAAAGTAGGACCTTGGTATCGCTTTTTGCAAAGAAAAGACTGCTTGATTCTCCATGTGATAGCGGAATGACACGGACATTAGTATCAACACTTAGACAGCTTTCAGTGGAAAAAGACATACTAGAGATATGCCTATGGTAAGAAAGAATATTCCCTGGCAACCCCTTATTCACATCTGGCGTAGAGGTAACAAGCCGTGCCAACGCATCAAGAAGTCGAGCAATTCTTTCGTTCGAGAAGCATGGTTTGTTTTTTTCTCACCGTGTTTTTGGATAGGGGAATTGCAAAAAAGCGAAAACATCATTTAGGCTTACGATGAGACTAGTTTGGGCCACGTCTTATGATGTACTTTTGCCGATGCATCACGCAAAGCTAGGTTATGTTTATCAATGCAACAACATTTTGTATGATAACGGAATGCTACAACAAACTCAATGGCAGTCCCTAGTAAAACATGACGTGAAGACACAATTTTTGCCACACATCTACACGATGGAACTGGAAGCAGAATATAAAATAGGACCATGTCAAAGTTTCGCTGTGTTGAGGCGAAGCTACCATCCTATCTCTAGCTGCATTCACTCAAACGGCTACCAATCAGGCATTGAACTACTCGACTTGGGCTGAGTTGCCAAGAGCACATAAACAGAGCTGGCCCCTTACACGGCGGCGATCCCTCTGATAACTTAGATTTGACTCGCTGTGTAAGGGAGAGAGCGACGATATTCTTCGTGTGGTGAAGAACATATTGTTTTTTTGCGTCGGTTGTGGCGCTCTCCACTCCGCAAAATATGGGGATGTGACGGCCTGTACACTCTGGTCACCGTATTGAGGTCGTATCACTTCATGCTTTTGCAGCAACATGTGCGTTGGGGATTATGAGTCTCGCTGTTCAGGAATAGGTGTTCTCAGAGGTCGAAGGTATATAAGAGATAGGCTCTGCTCTCCTTGGATTCATCATCTCACTTTCAGCATCTTCCACAGTTACACACACAAACACCCACACTCGTTTACAGTCTTTTCAGTCTTTCCACTTCGAAACAACCTCAAACCAACAACAATAATCATCAAGATGCAGTTCACTATCGCTACCATCGCTGCTTTCGCCGCTTCCTATGTGGCTGCCTCTCCCTGCTCCGTCCCCATGGATACCACCATCGCCACTGGCAATGTCTTCCACGTCATGAGCATCCGCTCAGGATCCGACATTCAGTACTCCTCCCTTCAGGCTTACGAGAACGGTCTCTACCTCAACAAGGACGACCAGGACTCCACCTGCGACGGTGCCGGCAATGAGAACGTCAACTACGCATCCTTCTACCTCAGCTCTGAGGGCGGTCTTTACCTCAACACCCCCGGCAACCCACCCCAGCAGGTCTACGTTGACCGCTCCACTGAGGGCCAGGGTAGCATTGGATACACCACTGGTGCTCAGCCCATTGGCGCTCACCAGGAGCGCGGCCCCTTCTCCGTTGTCGATGGCAACCTTGTCTTCGTCTGCGGTGGCGAGAGCCCCTACTCCGGTTTCCTTGCCTGCCCTAACGCGGTTGGCGGTGGTTACAGTGTCCACCTCGACACTGGTCTGACGACCCCTGCTGGCCTTACCGGCTGCGTTGGCTTCGTTGCTAAGGCGCTCAAGGAGGACAACCCAATCCAGTGCCTGTACACCGACGCTCCGGTTGCCGATGCTTCAGGTTCCGACTCTGCTGCATCAGGTTCCTACTCTGCTGCATCAGGTTCCTACTCTGCTGCATCGGGTTCCTACTCTGCTGCTTCAGGTTCCTACTCTGCTGCTTCAGGTTCCTACTCTGCTGCTCCGGTTGCCTACTCTGCTGCCCCGGTTGCTGATGATTCGGCTTCCTACGCTGCTGCTCCGGTTGCCGATGCTCCAGCTGCCTACTCTGCTGCTCCGGTCGCCGATCCGGCCACCGGATCTGGATACGGTTACTAGAGTTCGACGATGAGAGAGATGGAGGTTAGCTATGGGGTAATTGGTTAATATTGGGGTTGTTGTCTTCTTCTGTCAATTGACAGCGATGCTTCGCATCGTTTTTACACTTGTGTATATATACAGTCACTAAAATCTTAATTCGAGGTTGTTATCGACTTTTGTATCACTTTAGCACCCTTTTAGCTTTGCATTCCTTCCCCTTGACTTGATAGGTTCGCTCGTTCTATGTTCAGAGATTTTGAACAATATCATAAACTAACTAGATGTGAATTCACTGAAATGTTCGGCTCAACATCATTTTAGGTATCCAACTTGCACAGTTTGCACACGCTATCGATGAACAATGGGTAAATTTGGTTTCATATGTTGTCTACGTCTTTTTCGCTCCTTGGATATGATACATATACTTTTATATGCATACATTCTATCATGAATGCGTCATAGAAGTCCCAACGTACAAAAACCAATGCTATCCCAATTATTCATTCGTCTTTCGATTTGCGTTTTGTGGGGGTCTTCCTCCGTTTCCATATCTCTACCCGCGATCCTAGTACAACACTCAACAGCTTACAGGCGCGATCACCGACAGTCTTTGCAGGTTCTTCTTCGACCGCTTCCGAAAAAGCACAAAGACATAAGTCACGACTGTCAGCAGTGATGCTACAGCCTGCACAACGCCAATATGGAAGCTCACACCCTAACACATCGTTAGCCAATACTCAGAACGAACAAATATCTTTAGCGAATGGAAGAGAGAACACACCTGTACAGAACAATATCTGTTGAAATCCACTTCGTTCGCAAACTCCCTCTGTATCGCCCTCGCCGGCGCACTGCACGTCCACCCCCAAAGATCATTGTGCTTCCCGCCTTTGTCTTTCTCAGTCCGGTACAAGGTCGCTGCCACACACCACACAGCTAAGTTCCCAATCATGACACCCCAGTTAAATCCTGACGCGACGAGACTAGCGGTGTTCGCTTTGCCAACGCCGGTCTTGTAACTGAAGATGGTGACAAAGTTTAGTACGGCGGATACCAGAGCGACGGCAAAGTACATGTATGTTGGCCATGCTTTTGTATCTTTTGCCCAGGCGGTGCGCGTTATCGTTGAGCCGGGCGCGGTGGTGACGGTGCGATACACGTTTTGGGTGCGTAGGAATTTGATGAGCGTCATGCTTATGGGCACAAGGACTGCGACGGAAATGAGGAAAGCGAGGGTTCGGGAGACCATTCGCAGGCGGCGGATGTTTGCTTTGAGGCGCTGTTAGGATTAGCAGCTTTCGGTTCTATGTCTCCATTGCATGACTCCATTGAGAGGGTGTATCATGGCATGGCGTTGCAAATGGGACGTACATCATCTTCTTTCTTCGCTACATGTGTATTATGGAAGTCTGCAAAGGTGGGTTCGTGCTGATAGTGTGGGTTGTTCGGCAAGGCGGGATGGTATGGTTTTAATGGTGTCGATTGGCCCGATGAGAAACCAGGGGATGATAGAGCTGGGGAGAGGAGATGTTGGTTTTGTTCGCGTGCTATGGTGGAGTGCGAATTATGATACGAAGACGCTGCCATCGTATCCTCCAGTGGGATGGCTTTCCACCCTGGTGTTTTTCGATAATCACCAAAGTAGAGCTGGTTATCCAGGACGTATATGTGTTGTGTCAACTGTTGATCGAGCGCAGCACGGCACGACTGTACCTTTTGTATATGCAGGTATTACAAGCTCGTAAATACTCATTTCAGCATCTTCAGCCTCATGCATTAGAAATCTTCCAATGTCCGATTTCAGAACATTCACCCAATCACAAAAGATGTAATCGCCATAGCCCACCTACAGTTGCTGACGATGCATATTGTGGCTGCGGTTCCTCCTTCCATGAAAGGTATAGTGAGTGTGGCTTTGCAGTTGTTGATTCGTCGAGCGGGACGATATATCAGGCAACCAGGCTTAGTGATCAGTGTCTAGCTATTCTTAGAGAAACGAGATTTTTTATCAACACGTCCTAAGCGAGAGTATATTTTTTTCGCATGCAGGCATCTGTAGAGATGTCAGTATCAGCTTGGTGAAATTATGTTTCATCTTGTTCAGGTAATGGTGTAGTTTGTGCGTAGTTTCTTTTCGTCTATCTCTTCTACAACTCTTTCACTTAGTAGGAACATCTAGACCTAATTGGTCGAACTGGTCGAACTGTCCGAACGGGATGATTCACTGTCGACATTGCGAGAACAGAAACAACACGACAGGAAATATTTCATCGTGTTCGGGCGCTCACTAAACTCGATTTATTGAAACTCTCTTTTTTTGGTAAGTGTGCTGGGATTGACTTGTGTGAATGGCTCGTAGTAGAAGAAGAACAAAAGAGGGCCGCCAAATATAAACCGACGTGCGGTCATATACTTGACTCTGTGTAAATGTTCAAACTGACTCCCGATGAGAATAGATTTGTGAGTGGCAATAACTACAATAGTTCTCCATTATTCGAAAAAAGTGTAACGCGTCTTACTAAGGGCATGGTAGAATAGACGAAATTTACCGTAGTGATCGCCAAAGAGGGATGTGATTTGCTTGCGAGGTGTTGAATCAGACCTCCTGGAAAATGTACGGTAAAGGGGACTGGGAAAATGAGTAAGACCGAGTGTTATTATCCAAGTCTCATGTAGACGAGGGAATATCTCATTTCGAGAAGCAGTGCATGGTCCAGATGTGTTGTTGGATACAGCTCACATCCGTGGATACGAGTAGACTCAAGTAAAGCTACCGGCGAACTAGACATGCTACGTTTCAAGATATGTTTTAGAAGAGTTGCAGATCGCGGATAAGGGTTTACTGTTTCTCATAGGAAGATAGCGTAACACCGAGCTGTGTTGTTCCTCGGGATCCGGTTTTAGGTACTGGACTGTCACCATGAGGAGGTTGTGCGACGCCTTTTTACCACGGTAGGGATTTAGAGCATATGGCCATGGGCTTCAGTAGGGCCTTTGTATGTCCGTGAAGTTGGAAGTGTGAGAGTGCCAGCAAGTTGGGGAAGACGGCTAGGGAACGGACGAGACGCATGCGGGCGAGTGGCTCAGCTGACGCGCGAAGACACGTCATAGCTGAAGTGAGGCTTGAGAAACAACGCATAGAAGGTGGAATTGAATGGATGTGCTTCTAATAGGAAGACTTGATGAAAATGGGAGTTAACAGCGGTTATGTGTTGGTGAGTCGAAGCAGATAGCGTCGCGAGGATTGAGGTGAAGCAAAACATTCATGAAGTCGCGACGCGTGAACGTCCGTCACAACACCGCTGCCAACCACGAAGACCACAAAGTAAAATATATCTTCAGTTTAAAAGACATTATCAAGCTTCAGGTATCCAACATCTTGGGATATACATTTGGAAAAGATGATGTATGCGACAAAAGTCTTTTCTATGAAGAAACGGCAATGTGATCGCGTCGACGTGAATAATGTTGGAAGCGAGCAGCAATACTGAGAGAAACACGATGTGAACTTATGATCACAGTGTCAAATGAGGAAATAGGATCTGCCTAAAGCAGGGCAACTACCACAGTCGCGTTAGCACCAAAAGCATCACGGAGACGATCCCAAGGTGGGAGGTCGAAATGAGGAAGAGGTGGGTAAACGAGACGGAAAGCGAACAGCAGACTCGGGACACCCCGACAAAACGGCACGAAACACATCGCACCGCGCTCGACTAGCGGGCGACATTTGGTTTAACATCAGATCAAAAAGGCGGACAGAATACAAAATCCTTCCTAAATAGGAAAGGACCAGTTGTGTCGCTTCGGTGTTGATCTAAATGCACCTGGTCGTTTTGGCGCGACTATAAGTAGGAAGCCCCGCCCGCCATCCGCGTGCGCCCTCGGCCTCATTGACTTTGATAGCTTCTACAACGCCCGCCTTTTGATCAATTTCGACACTATACCCCTCGTTAGAAGCTCCAGACACCGTTCTATCACCACATTCAATTATTATCCACAATGCCTCCCAAGAAATCCTCCACCGGTACACCAAAGAAGGCCGCTGCCAGCGCACCCAGCCATGCCTCTTACATCGGTTTGTCTTCCCCATATCTCCACGCTACGCTGTCGCACTGCCGGCGCGTCTGCTTTATCGTGTTCGCAGACCAATACTGACTGATTGTAACAGATATGGTAAAAGATGCTGTTATCAAGGTTAGTCTATCTACTCAGGCGCATCATGACCCCGCTCGCGACGCCTACCCGCCCACTCGATCGCAAACCGCGACGAAACTCCCATGACCTCATGAACATGATTGCTGACGCGCTCTTTGCACGATACAGCTGAAGGAACGTAATGGATCAAGGTTAGTACACTCTTAAAAGCAGTCGATGTTCTCCCGCGTCGCGTCGCGTCACGTCATGCTTTCATCTAGAGGTTCTTGAGCTCCCGCTAACATGTATGTCTACAGCCGTCAAGCTATCCAAAAGTACATCAAGGCGAACAACAATGTTGAGAACCTCACCGATGCCATGTTCAAGAGCCTTGTCAACCGGGCTATCGCCTCCGGCGAGGACAAGGGTGACTTCACACGTCCCAAGGGTTAGTCTCACCAACCTCACTGCCAACGCGTCCATTCTACGCGCCCGTCTTGTCGCGTCGCGTCATAACATTCATGAGAAAATGTCACTGACGCGTCTTATAGGTGCTTCTGGAACAGTAAAGCTTGCTAAGAAGGAGGCCAAGCCTGTCGCCGCCGCGAAGAAGGAGAAGGCCGAGCCCAAGGTTGAGAAGAAGGCCGCCCCAGTCAAGAAGGCCGCTGCTCCCAAGAAGGCTACTGCTACTGTTGGTCTTCCATTCATGTTATGATAATGTTCTCGCTGACTCGTTTTGTAGAAGGCTAAGGCTACCACAACCGCCGCCGCCACCAAGAAGGCACCTGCCGCCAAGAAGGCTGCCGCTCCCAAGAAGACCGCCGCAACAAAAGCCGCCCCTAAGAAAGAGGCTGCCCCCAAGAAGGAGGCTGCACCCAAGAAAGCCCCCGCCGCCCCCAAGGCCCCTGTCGGAAGGCCCAAAGCCAACGCCGGCAGGCCACGCAAGACCGCCGCCGCTGCACCAGCTCCCGCCGTCGAGGCAGAAGTATCCCGCGTCCTCGGCAAGACCAAGTCCGGGCGCGTAACCAAAACCACCGCTCCCAAAACCGCCGCCAAGGCAACCCCACAAAAGAAGGCTGCCGCCCCCAAGAAGGCCGCCGCGTCAAAGAAGGCTACCCCTAAGAAGACGGCAACACCAAAACGCACACCAAAGAAGGCCCAGGCATAAGCAACCCTCCCCACTTCCAGGGCCCTTTTTCTTCCTTCTTGTTCAAACATGGTCTCATTGGCTGCTGCCTGTGTGCGGGGCTTCGACGCGTCGCTCGCCTCAGTGCCGGGGACTTGTATCGTGATATCCCTCTTTTCTCTCTCTCTCAATCTCTCTCTACGACGTCGTGGGTTCTCTCTGAAACGGGGGTATGGCATGGGAACGGATCGGGCGTTTTTGTCTCTGGGTCTGGTCTGTTCGTCCGTGTATCTGACTGGGGGTTCCATCATGTTGGCTGGCGTTTTTCCTGGCGCGTTTCGTCTGAGTGGCTGGCTGTGCATGTTTTCTATTGTTTTTTGTCAAGCGAGAATCTTGCCCTTTTTGGGGGGGCGAGATGTAGATACGACGTGATGTTATCGTCGGAATGAAATACTATGTTCAAAACTCTAAGTGTTTGGGGTGCGGTTGTGATGTGACGCGTTGAGGTCGCGCAGTGTATTACGCTGGATCCACGGGGATGCGGCGTGGGCGTGGGGTTGGTGTGGAGGACTGGACTGGCCTAGCCCCTCTTGGGATGGACTATCGATGTACTTCACGTCTTTCTTGTGAATGCTACAGTGGAGTTTCCAGAATTTGTACAAAAACTGAACTTGAAACTTTTCCGTTTCCCTCTATTATTGTACTAATATCTCCCCTTTCTAAGGAAGGCATCAAACAAATAGTAGCTGCTAGACCCATGCATCTAAGAAAGAGAAGTCCAAGTAACAAAAGCCACGAGCAAAAGTCCCAAGAAAACGGATGTGGAAATCGTGAAGGCGAGCTATGTAAGACTGGTAAGAGGAGTGTGAGTTTCATAATCTTTCAACCACGCTTCCCACCTTGCTCTCTTCTTCACTGTCAGCCCCGGCAGCCGTCATGGACATACTCACTTCTACGAGCGAGCCATCGTTGTCTATCCAAGAAGCCCATCCTCCGACCCATCGCAATTCGGAATTTCCTCCCCCATACTCGCATCCCCACCGCCACCCAGCTCCCCAGGCGCAGTACCACCCAGCTCCCCACCCAGCACCTCCAGCATCCTCTCATCCCAATCATGCAGCGAAAGCAAACTATCCCCCTCCCCAAAATCACTCGCCGCATAATCCTCCCCATCCAGCGGCCCAGGAAGCTCAAGCCGAAGCCCACCTTCCAGCAGGGCCCTAGCCTCGAAAAACTGCCCCTCCGTCACGCCATGCGACAAATACTCATGCAGCGCCCCATCCCCCCATTTCCTTGCATCCCACACGTCCCGCCCGCCCACCGGCCCGACCTGTTCGAGATTGAGAACTTGAGCGAGGCCCGCAGGGTCGGCGGTATACACGCCCCCCCTCGCCTCGACGCCGCACGCGCAGAACGACGTGTGGACGACGTCGTTGCAGGTTGGACACGTGTCTAGGGTTTGTTTCGCGCCGCATGCACACGAGGGGAGGGTGGCGAAGCGACCGCATGCTGTGCACCATGCGTTGGGGAGGACGCGGGTGCTGCGCTCGCGGGGGAGGAGGGTTTTGCCGGTGCTGGTTAGGTGCATTTCGAACTTTAGGGCGCGGTGCGGGGTGCGGCGGTTGCTGTGGGATAGGTGGTGGCGCGAGCGGACTGAGATGCCGCGGTTGGGGGGGATGGTGGTGCTGTTTTGTAGCATGGCGGAGCGGAGGAGGGCGGCGGTTTGGAGCGTGCGTGGGAGGTGGACGAGGTCTTTGTATTCCCAGTAGATGCGGAGTCGATGGAGAGTGTGGATTTGGAGGAGGGGGTGAGCCCATGTGGCGATTTGTTTGTGGGGTGGTGTTTGTGGGTTGAGATGGGGGTTGGTGTCTCCGGGGGTGTTGTCGTTGTGGATGCCCAGCTCCAGGCTTCGGAGGTGGCATTTACTTGCTACGAGAGTGCAGAATTTGGTCAAGGCTTTCATCATGTCTTGATCAATTTCTATACCGGCCTCATCCATCTCTTCCGAGAAAACGATGCCCAAGTTGCGGATCTTGCTAAGCGTCGTACCATTCTTACTCCGAAGGAACCGCAATGCGTCGGTGAAGGAGGTGAAAACGAAAGTGTTTTCCCCCCAGAAGATTTGTCCTGCCTCTTCAAACAGCTGACGATTAACAAGGCAGATGTTGAGGTATAGACTATGCCACTGCGAACGGGAGAGTGAACAGATGATTTGTCCTGTTTGTACGTAATGCCACTCTTTGGATGTTGTTTCCAAGTCATCGTTGTACCCGATTCTTATGTGCTCATCCAGGGTGACGACATACTCGTAGATGCGATTTCTCAACTCCGGGGGAAGCTCGAAGAAGAAGCACGGCTGGGCTGTGGCGGTATTGGATGTTGCGAGGTGGGGTGATGGAGTCATGGTTGATGGTGAGAGTATGAGAGTAGAAGAGTATGAGAGTAGAAGAGTAGAAGAGTAGAAGAGTAGAAGAGTAGAAGAGTAGAAGAATATAACCCCATCAAATGATACCCCCTCAAAAGAGTCAAACAAGTGAGAGGACGCAAAGTAAGTTCTGTAACAGGGTAAAAGCCGAGCCAGCAAGCAAGACTCACCTCGAACCCATCACATCACCTCTCACCCAGGACACCCCCATCCATCCATCATCTATCCAACAGTCAAGCAACAAGACGAAACAAGACAAAAGTCACGAGGTAGAGAACCAAGACCATCAATCCCATCCCATTGCATTGCATTACAGTGCGTAAGCACATATACACACTCAACGCATAGCCAAGGGAATAGATAGTATATCAGCATGATATAATACGACGTGACAGACGGGCTAAGCCCCCTCCCACCTCCCATCTCTCATCTCTCACCAACACACACCCACACACACAAAAAGAATTAGCCTCCAAACTAAGAAAGGAGGGAAGATATCACCCTCAATGCACAAAACGCCCCCCCCAAAAAAACCCCACATCCCTAGCGCATGCAAGAAAGAAAGACAAAAAAGAGACAGATAAAGAATAGTAAAAAGAAAAAAGATGATATCAATCTCATAACCCAAGAGTGAAAAAAGAACAAAGATGAAAAAATTCTACACACTCCTCTCGGGACTTTCGCCTTCGGCTACAACAGCAACGCCCAGCCCGCGATCCGGGCTCTGCAACACCAACTGCTCATGCCGTCTCGCGCGGATGAAATCACTAACGCTCTTGATGAGGATGAACCAGCCGACAATCATCAGGCCATAGGCAACCCAATCACTACCCGCCATGGCACCAGCGGCGCTCGTGACCTCCCTAGCCTGGCCGCCGGCGACCTGCTCGGGGTCGAAGTCGTGTGCGTTGGGGTCGGAGGGGATGCCGCCGTCGAAGCCCTGGCCGGGGTTATCGTTTGAGTTGCCGGAGCCGGAGTTTAGGGTGGCGGTGCGGAAGCCGAAGCCGAACTGTACGAGGGTGATGCCGAGGCCGGCGCGAGAACCGTTCTTGGCGGCGTGTGTTGTGTGCAGGAGGTATGTGAGGAGGAAGCCGACGAGCTGGAAGGACATGCTTATCATGGCGTTCCAGATGAAGCTGAATAGGGAGCCGACGGGGAGGCCCTCGACGAAGACTTCATCGCCAAAGGTGCCGGGGGCGAGGATGGTGGTTTCCCAGTAGGGCGGTGTTGCGTCGGCGGCGGCCTGTTCGTATGTCTGGTGGTGTTGTTAGCACTGTATTATGTCTCGTGACTGCTGGATGCGTAGACGTACGGGTGGTTTCTCCTCGGCGTCCTCTCCCCGTGTGGGCTTTGCACTCAGGTTCGCCCACACGCCTCCATTCCCCCCGCCGTAAACCCTCCCGCTCGTCGCCGGCGTCGGGGCAGTGAAAACGGGCAGTTCCGTCACGGTCCGACGCAGGCCAGGTGGGGGAGCGGCGGGCTCGGGCTGTGGGTTCCCCCGCATCAGGCGCTGTCGGTCGTCGCGTCCATCGTCGTCCTCATCGTCGTCGCTGTCCGAGTCAAACGTGTCGGCGAGGGTGCGGTCTTCGTCGTGATCGTGGGCGTCGGCATCAGGGAGCAGGGGTCGCGATGGGTTTGTGGGGGACGAGGCGCGCGAGTGGAACGACGGGGGCGGCGAGGCGGGCGGCCATCGCTGGGCGGATAGGGAGGTTACGGGCGAGTCGTCTTCGTCTTGGGCGGCCACCTGCGCGAACGTGTTAGTGTCGTCGTGGCTGCATGTGGGGAGAGCAGCGCGCGGGCGCATAGCACCTGGACGTGGACGTACCCGTTCGTAGCCTTGAGCCGGCATGCTGAAGGCTGAGTTGTGAGCGGAGCGGTGCGGGAAGTCTACTATCGTGCCAACGGTGTATGCAGGCAGTGTATGCGCGTGGTAGTAAGAGATGCAGCGTCAGTCAGAGTAAGAGAGAAAGCGAGGGTAGGGAAGGGTGGGTTAGGCGGCAAAAGGGAAGTGGTTTGGCCGCGTCTGTCAGCAGGCGCTGGGGGTTTCGAATCGATCCATGGCACGGCACAGCACAGCCACACCGCACTTGTCCACTGCCCGTTCCGAGGAAATGCGCCAAGACCGCCGCCGATCCACCAGAGCCTGGACCCTTTTCGCGTCACGACATCATCGACTTTTTGGCTCTGGCATTGACGCGCAGAGAGAGTGAATTGACAGTACTCCTGCACACACAACATACCACACCAAGATGACGAGCACAGTACGTTCTCCCACCCGAATATCCACTACCCGTCTGACACCCCCAGATAACAAAACAATACACGCGCCTGCTCGCCCTCTGGCCCCACGACGCCCTCCGTCCAAACCTGCCCTTCACCAGCACAATCCTGCACCGCGGCCTGCCCTATGGCGTGCAGCCCCTTCCCTCCGCAGACGACTCCACACAAACAGCCCCCTCCTCCAAACCCGCATCCACGCCCTCGAAACCCGCTTCTTCAACACCCACAACCCCGCAGCTCGAACAGGCGCAAATAAACGCCCTCTACTCGCTGCTCGAGAACCGCTACTCGACAAAATACAAGCTCTCGCCCGGCGTGCTGAAGCCCTCGTCTGCGCCTGAACACTATGATCGCTTGATGGAGGAGATTGAGAAGGCGCCCCAGAAGACCTGGTGGGAGGCCAAGGTCGATGAGTGGAAAAGGAAGATTCGCTGGTCGTGAGGGAGTGGAGGGGAAGGGGTGTGTGTATTATATTGTACCTTACTGAAGAGGGGGTCGTGGCATATGGATTGGCGTTGAATGGGCGGGAATGCACATGACATAAAGATTAAAGCTGGGGTGGATAGACCTCGAAGACGACACGAGTAGTACGCATTATGCAGGAATGGACTCTCCAAAAAGGCAAGACATTATCATTCTTCAGCCATTGTCAGTCGATGCGCAGCAGTTGATAGCCTGCTAGTCACACTATGGCCGTCTATTTCCCAGACATCAAACGCCCAAAGTAGAGTGGGTATCGTGTATCCAATCCCATCCTTTCCAATCCAACCCACAGCCTCCTCACACCACCCCCCTACCCCCGCGCCAACCGCCCAGACCGCCTCTTACCCGCCGCACCCACCGATCCCAAACTCCGCTTCACCCTCTCCTCCCCACCAGACCGCCTCGCAAGAACAACCCGCGCCACCTTCCTCTTAACCACCTTCTGCGCCACGCCCCTCGTCCTCGTCGCCGTCGCCGTCCTACCAGCAGCAGAAAGCTCAACCGCGCGTTTGCGAACGGGCTGAGGCTCGTACTCATCGCTGGAACTGTGTGTTTTGCGCTTGGTGGGTTCGGACATCTGCTGGGCGTTGCGTGGTGGCGTCGGAGTACGTTGGCGGACGATGGGCTGGGGTGGCGTATTCGACATATCGGATGGGTAGTCTGAGAGGTCTGATGTGCTAGACGAGGTTGACGGTGTTTTGACGCGAGATGGAGCGGGTCCTGCGCCGTGTGGTTAACATGGGGTGTTTATACAGTGAGAATAAACACTGACCTTTATTGCGCGGCGTCTCCACCACCACCTCATCAATACCTTTTGCCTCCTTCTTGGCTGTCTCGACGACCGTCTCACCTCCATCCACACCCTCTTTCTCCACCACAGGCGACCCCATCTTACTATCAACCCACTCTCCATCTTCCAAGAACTCCCCACACTCCATCGGCGGAAGCGGCGTCGGCGCGCGCGCCACTGGGTCAGAGCAGTCGAAGTAGCGATACACTTGCCTATCGTCAGTCACCTCACAAGACCGTATATTTGTTGATAGGATGTTGTACGTACCGCCGTCCTCGCCAGTGAAGCCCTCGGCGTCCCATGTATATGTTCCGTCGTAGAATTTGCGCGAGCGCTCTGTGAGGTCGGTTCCGGGGGGGAGGAGGGGGAGGGGTGTGTATGGGGGGTTGGACATGGTTATGGTTATGGTGTGGTATGGATGTTGCGTTATTGAGATGTGGGGTATGGGTGTGTTGGGTAAGTCGATGGTGGAGTGATTGGTGGTAGCGGTGTTGATTTATGTGTGCGGTGGATGGGAGTGAGAGGTGCGAGGTGAAGGTGAGGTTGAAATGTTTATAAGATTTAGTGACGCGCAACTGCCTTGGACTTGATATGGATAACCGCAACGTGTGTGAGTGAAAGCTATGGAATCGCGCTCTCACCGCTGAAGGGCGGACAAACGCCGGGATGAACCACCGTATACAATGCACGCCATGACTGAAAATGAACAGCATCAGCAACATATGAAAGCCCTCAAAACCAGCAATGATTGAGAAAGATATGAATATGGAAAGAGCACCGAAGTCAACCTACCGAGTCGGAAGAACATGGAAATCAGGGAAAGGAAAATGTCGTGTAACAAAACATCTATTCTTGAACAATGCAACGCTGGGTGGAAAGAAATAATGTCAGGTCTGGCTGCGAGATGCAAAATAGCAGCCGGCGACACCTTGAACAGCACCGTTATACACCTTCTCAAACCAGCCAGACCAACTCCAGCCCGTCCACAATAGGTATGGTACAAACCGAATACTATAATACAGGTACAAGCGCATCCTAGCTCTCCAGGAAGATTTGCAGCAGGGGTAGCATATGTCCATCTGGAAACACAGCCGGATTGTTGCCAGCCCACTCCTTGACTTGATGCCAGGTCGAAATGAATATAGGCAATTTCCATCCCGTCTTCAGTATGTCATGGGGAAAGGCGTTGTTGTCTGAACTATCAATGACTCTGGGATACTGATCAAGCAAACGCTGTGCGACGGCGATTTGATCCGGTACTGAAACCAACCCTTCTTTAGGAATTTTCGCATAGACACACAAGCGTTCTACGCTGCACCATTCTGGCCAGTGTGGAGGGCCACGGGCGGTTTGGTTGAGATCATTGCTGCCTGGCTTTCGCGAGCCTGCTTTTCCTGCTCCATCATCGCACGATCAGCTTTGGTCACACGAGGTTTGCGAACAGTGGAACCACCACGAGAGCCAGGACCACCACCTCGCCCACGGCCTCTGCCTGCAGCATCTCCTCGTGTTGTGCCGCCACGTCCTCGTCCTCGACCACGACGAACGGTTCCGTCAGCCCTGCTTGGTGTTAGCTTGATGTTGTTTTCAATGAAGAGCGGCATGTACCTCTCAACAGCAGGCTTATCCTCGGTGACGAGAGGGCCGCTGTAGACAAAAAACCCGTCCTTGGCCATGAGCGCTTGTTGCTCCCAGGCTAGTTCCGTGTCGTCGATGAAGTCGTCTTCCTTGTCGTACTCCTCCTGCTTCCTCTTGCGTCGCTTCTTGCCGCCGTTCTCCCGGGCGGAGGTCTCATCGTCCATGCCTCCCATCTCGACATTGCTCTCATTGTCCGAAAGGTCGACAGACATGTCGTCGTTAGACCCACCGCCTGCAGCCCGCTCAAGAGCGGTGCTAGCAGCATCGATTTGGCGCTGGCGTTCACGGCGAGCGGCGATGCGGGGATGGAGAGCCGCAAAACCATACTCCTTCTCGACCTCCCGGGCAAAGTTGATGGTGACGTTTTCCTTGCCTTTCAGATCAAAGGTGAGATATATGTTGGTGCCTGGCGTTTCAGACGTGCCATTGAGGTTTGCGACGGACCCGAATGCTGTTCCTGACAGAAGACCACTGCCCGACGGTAGAGGTAGCGGGGTTTCTTTTTGACGCGCAGCTTTGGTAGGGGGCGTCGGGGCGTTCGAATTTGAGGGTGTACCCGAGTTCGCGGAATTGACCTTGGTCATTGGGATTGATGCAGGCTTGTTGGGGTGGGAGTCAATTTCCATCGGAGTGTATCCTGCTGGTGTAGCGGGGTAGGGTTGTGGTGATGGCTGCGGTTGCTGCTTTTGCTGAGAGTAAATATCCTGGGAAGGAAGGACCGGTCCAGGCCGTGGTGGGAAGGCGGCAGGCGAGGCAGGCGCGGACGTGACAGAGATCTGTTGCTGAAGCTTTGGAGCCTGCGAGTAAAAAGAGTTGCTAGCGGAAGGCGGGTCAATTAGACTCGTGATGGACGGAGATGCACTTGCGCGATTCAGTGGTGGTGATATGGGCGGCGGTGGTAGTGGTTGTGGTGCACTGGCTGGAGCTGGAGGCTTTTGCTCGAACATGTCACCTCGAATAGGGTCATAGCGTTGTCCAGAGCTCAACGGTCGCGGCGTCGAGGGCGCGACATTGATGTGAGACAGATTGGGGTTGCTGTGAAGTGTAGGTTCGTTGCTCACCATGCGTGGAGGCTGCACAACAACAGGTATTTGTTCAGGTTGCACTGCCGGAACCGGCTCAACTTGTTTTGTTTGCGGTGCAGGCGATTGCTGCACGGGCGGTTTCTCGTCTACAACCTGTGGTGCGGGTGAAGCCTGTGCTTCCAGAGATGCCTTTGTCCTTCTCTTACGCGGCGCAGCTACAACACCAGGGTCTTTTGGTTCAGCAGGTTTGCGAGCCTTTCTGGGTTTCTTCTCTGGTTCAGGTACAATTACATCTTTTGTTTTAGGCTTTGGCCCGGGCTTCTTGCGAGGAACACCGGACGCTGTGAGTTTGGACGCTGCCGATGCAGGGGTGGATGTGCTAGTGTTCACTCCACCACCACTAGGAGTGCTGTGTTCAGGAGGTGAATGAGGATGATCAGGCGAAGGCGAATGAGGAGCCGAACTCAAGCTGTCGGAATCCATGGCACAAGACTGAATTTATCCAAGAAAATTGAACAGTGCTCGACAGGAGGACGCAAACAGGAAAAAGAAGTGGCAAGAAGCCGGCCGTTGGTAAGGCGTAGCGTGGACAGCAATGTGGCGAGCTGCTGGTTGGTGTGGTTGAGGTGAATATTTACAGCAACACCAACTTGGAAATGTGGATAGAGGGCTTTGCCGCGACCAGTGTCGAGAACACGAAAGTCGGCGTGCAGCCGACTGCCGGGCCGTGGACGAACTCCAAAGGAGATTGATGCACGGCGAGGAACACGAAGTACCGGTCTCTATCACGATTCCGATGGCTGCGACCAAAGTGGACGCGGTGTCGATGAATTTGCAGTTGAAATAGCAAACGATTAAGTAGAGGAGAAAGAAGTAGAAGAAGAGAGGTAGGTTGACGTGCGAAATCTGGGGGCAAGGCCTTCAAATACTAGGTCCTTGGGTACGATGAGCCGTGAACTGAAAATCAAAGCTGCCGGGGCTTTGGCCGCCAATTCAGTTTGTATGAGACCGTGGAAGCGAGAAACTGGACCCTTTTGTTGCGCGTTATGCCCTGTATCACTGTAAAGGTATCGAAAGTGCGGATCCCAGATGTTTCGTGGGTCCCTTCCAAGGGTGTTCGGTCGTTTCGTCAACGTCCCCCATGAAGCTGAGCAGATGCTATCTCTCTGTCAGGTCACACGGAAAGGGGAGGAGCGAGCAGACCATTGTCCTTTCTCACCGATGCCGAGACTGATTTGGAGCCCGGAGATTCCACGAGCCACACGTGTACTCCTTGACTGTCCTTTGCTCCATGCCATTCTGATAGGATTTGAGTTGTGAAATTGAAGGGCTAAAATAGACGACATCAAATCATGTGTTTAATAGGCCTATTGAATTCCATGTCTTCTTTCGGGGTGATTGCTTTAACCCATGGTGGTTTCAACGTTCTGTCGTTAGCTGCATGTGGCTGCGCGGATGGTCTGTGCTTTGATCCGATCATCCTGCAGGGATTGGATTCGCGTGGAAAAGCAATGCGAAACTAGAATCAGAAGGGGAAGTATATTTAGTAGCTAGTTGAAGTATAAGCCATTCTGCACTCAGAATAGGCTCCAAGGGCGCATGCAGGTAGACTAGACATGTCTTGTCAACAGATTTGGCGGACAACCTTCTAAATACGTAGGGTGGAGAATGGCCTGTACTCCGAAAGGGGATCACAGTAGGGTTCTGGCTTGGACAGCAGCTTAAATTGCTAGGACAAGCGCGCCTGGTGCGTCATAATCACATCGCGACGGTCTTAGTGGCGGAAATTGAGGAGTGTTGCTTCAACCAAGAATAACGTCCATGAACGGCATTGATTTTGAAGGATATTTAAGCGCAGCTCGGAATATATAGGCCCATAGACACCATCCACATAAGCCCATTTATATCTTCGCAGTATAACCCAACATCGAACGGCCTGTGCAAAAAAACGCCCGAAAATACCCAGTCCACCATACAACGCCGATACAAGCAGCATACGAATACAAAAGCAAGTGTGTTGCTCAATCCAGAGGATCAGTCAACTATGCCTTGCTCTTCTTCTTCTTTTTGCTCTCGCCATCGTCGTCACCGTGTTTCCGCTTCTTGTCCTTCTTGGACTTCTTCTCAGAAACCTCCTCCTCATCAGCGTGCTTCGATTTCTTATCCTTCTTCTTGTCCTTCTTCTCTTTCTTCTCCTTGCGAGCAGCCTGTTCGGTAGCGGCGGCCGTGACACCGTCAGCCATCTCAACGTCTTCAGTCGCAGTCGCGGTGGGGTCCTCAACACCGATGTCTGCCAGCACGGAGTTCATAGCCGCCTGCATGACAGCGGAGTTCTTCGCAGGTGGCGCGCCGGACGCGTAAAACTCGATTCGCTCTTCGACTTGGCGCTTCAAAGCTTCACCGAATTTAGAGGTTGGGGTGTCAGAGAAGTTGTCGATTCTTGACGCAATGGAGCACTTGTTGGCGAGGAAACGAGATATCCGGCCCTTGGACTTCGCGCCCGTCTTTCCAATGAACGACGAGTGGTAAATGAGACCATACTTAGGCGTGTTACCCTTAGTCTTGAGTCTGTACGTGAATTAGCAACAGCTCATTAACATTAACGGGTCACTTACGCTCGGAATAGAGCCTTCTCAGCACCAAGAATTTGCACAGTCGATGCAGGGTACTTGGACAAGTTCGTCAGGGATCCGGCCTTGGAAATGAGGCGCGCTCCAACGGTGTCGCCGATAAGAGCAGCAAGGTTAGGAGCAACTTGGCCCATGCGGCTTCCAAGGTAGTTGGAGAGCTGTTTTCGGTACGCGGCCAACGAAGCAGTGCGCTTTGCGAAAGCCATGACAATCTCCATGTCAGCTTCAGACAGGTCTCGTCCCATACTCGTCCGAGCAGCCTTGACAATAGCTTGCGCAACCCCCTCATCGTCGTCCACAACAGCGGCCAAATCGTGAAGATCGTCCTCGGTGAGGCGCGACTTGTTACCAATCGCAAGAACGACCTTGGCGTACTGCTCGTTGTTGGACACGATCTTGGAAAGCTCTGGGAAATGCCATCCGTAATTCTCGCGCAGGCGCATGCAGAATTGATTCAGCTGCGACAACATCAGCCTAGATCCTTCAACATCACGACATGCGCAAAACTTACATCCTTGTCGATCTGATCAAGAGTCGCGATGGCCTGAATGATGTGGTTGTCCTGCTTCTGGACGCTGAACTTCACCTTCGCTCGCGAGTAAGCGTGACCAAGACCGAGAATGGACCTGTCGATGTCGCCAGGCTGGAGCTTCTTAATGAGTTTGCCCGAGTGCTGGCGGAGACCACGGAGCAGGTCGCCGGTGACTTCGGACGTATCGCTGGTCTCGCACGAGAGGTTGGGAAAGGCCGCCTTGATGCTTCCTGCCAAGTTTTTCTCGCTGACACCTAGGGTGATGGTCTTTTTCTTTCCAGCCTTCGGGAGGTTGGTCTCGAGCGTTGCGCGCAGAAAGTCAGACAAGATACCCTCACTGATATCGTTGATTTCCTGGAGCGCATCTTGGGTGCCTTGGAACGGCGCAAGGCCGACGAGTTCGACGGTCTTTCCGAATTTGTCCAAGTCCTGCACAGCTTTCTGCACTTCCTGGAGGCGGCTACCTATCGTATCGGGCTGCAAGATAACCTTGAAGACCTGCGAATCGCGCGTCAGTAGCTGCAGCTGGGTATCGGGCGAGCTATGTAGCTACGCGACGACGTACCGCATAGCCAATGGGGCTTTCGTGGAGAAGGTAGTCGATCGACATTGTGGGTGTCGCCGAGTCTCAGTGATCCGCAAGAGGTGGACTCGGAGGTCGATACGTGCGTTGGGCGTGCGAAGATGCTCTTGACAGACGCTGTGTGAGAAAAAAGTTCGAGCTTTGGCTTGGCGTCTCGGAGAACGTTGTTCCGCGCCGCTGAAATCTTAGAGGGGAACGCGAGAGGCATTGCGCGAACCGACGCCGTACTGCCCCACGAGACCGCCTTGCTTCTTTTGCTACCCAGTTTGATACCCTCATAGACGCTTTCCAAAATGTCGGCCGCACAACTTCTGAATCCGAAGGCAGAGTCGAGGGTTTGTTTCCCTTTAGTTGGGAGTGTTGCAGGATAGCTAACAAACATACAGAGGCGCGGGGAAGCTCTCCAAGTGAACATTTCCGCTGGCGAAGGCCTGCAGAAGGTATGAACATAGGTCTTAGTGGTATATCGAGTTGTATTAATCGATATGCCAGGTTCTTGCTTCCAATTTGGGACCCCGCGGTACCCTGAAGATGTAGGAAATGCCCACATAGTTTGGTGCAATAGAACGCTGACTATGAACAGGCTCGTAGATGGCGCTGGAGGAGTATGTTTGTTGATACGACACGTGTTACCCTATACTGACCGTACCGATTAGATCAAACTCACAAAGGATGGCAGTGTTCTGCTGAAGGAGATGGTATGTACAGACCAGAACTATCTCAAAGCAAAGCTAACAGTCAGCAGCAAATCCAGAACCCCACCGCTGTATGTCTACCTTCTCGACACTCCATTCTGTATGCTAAGGCGAGCAGGTCATGATCGCGCGAGCAGCGACGGCACAAGACGACATTACCGGAGATGGCACAACATCAGTGGTGCTGTTGGTGGGAGAGTTGCTGAAGCAGGCTGATCGATACATCTCTGAGGGTCTCCACCCCCGAGTCATCACAGACGGATACGACATTGCGAAGACAGAGACACTGAAGGTAGGTTGGGTGCTAGGAAGGCGAACACGGCTGTACTGACAATGTCACAGTTCCTCGATGAGTTCAAGCTCGAGAAGGAGGTCGATCGAGAGCTGCTTCTGTCCGTAGCTCGGACATCGCTATCGACGAAGCTCGACAGCTCGCTTGCCGAGCAATTGACACCCGATATCGTAGACGCCGTTCTCGCCATCTACCAAGCGCCTGCGAAACCGGACCTCCACATGGTCGAGATCATGACCATGCAACATCGCACTGCTGCAGACACGCAGCTAATTCGTGGACTCGCGTTGGACCACGGTGCCAGGCATCCCGACATGCCCAAAAGAGTCGAGAATGCGCACATACTCACTCTCAACGTCAGCCTGGAATACGAGAAATCCGAAATCAACTCGGGCTTCTACTACTCGAGTGCAGATCAGAGGGAGAAGCTTGTTGAGAGCGAGCGACGATTTGTTGACGAGAAGCTGAGGAAGATCGTGGAGTTGAAGAAGGAGGTTTGCGGAGATGACCCTAAGAAAGGCTTCGTCATAATAAACCAGAAAGGTATTGACCCACTGAGTCTGGATGTGCTTGTCAAGAATGGCATTTTCGCGCTGAGGAGAGCGAAGAGAAGGAATATGGAACGCTTGCAACTCATATGCGGTGGTACGTCACAGAACAGTGTGGATGACATGACACCGGATGTACTGGGCTGGGCAGGTCTTGTCTACGAGCATCAGCTCGGCGAGGAAAAGTACACATTCATCGTAAGTCCTTCGATCCTTCCAAAGTGCGCCAGTTTAACAAGATACAGGAGGATGTCAAGGAGCCGAAGTCGGTGACACTACTCATCAAGGGCCCGAACTCGCACACCATCTCCCAGATCAAGGATGCCGTGCGAGATGGACTGAGGAGCGTGTACAACATGATTGTTGATGGCAGCGTGGTGCCAGGTGGAGGCGCGTTCCAGGTCGCTTGCGCTGCTCGACTCCAGAGCGAGCAATTCAAGAAGACGGTCAAGGGCAAGGCAAAATGGGGTGTAGCAGCCTTTGCAGATGCACTCCTCGTCATTCCGAAGACGCTGGCCGCCAACTCTGGTCACGACATCCAGGACTCTTGTAAGTTCATGTTGCACTTTTGCCAGTAATCGCTAACTTTTGCACAGTGGCTGCACTTCAAGACGAGCATGCCGAAGGCAATGTTGTGGGCTTGAATCTGACAACCGGAGAACCGATGGACCCTACACAAGAAGGCGTCTTCGATTCGTTCCGCGTACTCCGCAACTGCATAGCATCGGCTACAGGAATTGCGTCTAACCTGCTGTTGTGTGACGAGATGTTGAAGGCACGGCAAATGGTAAGATCCCAACATTGATGACTTGATCAATTTATGCTAATGGTTGGCATCAGGGACGAGCACCAGGACCTGGTGGTGACGAGCAATGATAGTAACGAGTTGTGTGTGACGAACAAGGATAGGCTATGATGGCGACTATTGCGCATGCGAAGCTTGGTTCATACGTAGAAACACCTTGGAGGGACGTCGAGTCAAACTGCTCCTCGGTTGTAGGGACAAGCGATGCTGTGTGTTGTGTCAAGCCGTATCAAAATAAATGAAAATATATGACCACCGCATGATACCTCGTCAAGGTCTGCAGACATGCTCAATGGAGGATGAAGGAACTTCTCAACAAGGCTAGGTTCGAGCGTTCCTCGTTCGTGGCCCTCTGAGCTTGTAACAGTCAAGGATAGACGTAGTCTCCTGGTGAGCAAAAGCATCGAGTCGGAAACGCAAGGGTCGTGCCGATTGCCGGACCCCTGAATGCAAGGATAATTTAAGCTTAAGTACATAGCGGGCTCGCTAGGTTTGCTGCTTAAAGCGGTGCGGGGGTTGTCGATCGTGTGGTAGTCTCTTAGACTCTCAGCAATACGATCTGTACAGGATATTCATGCTTGCATGTATCAAGACATGTTACTCTGAGGGCTTTCTCCAGACCACGCATGGGAGGCGTTCGACGTTCGATTCTTCAAACTCTAGGATCGCCGGCGGGAGATCTGTGGGTCGTGCATGCTACCAAGACCTCCACAAAAGAGCCAAGCCTGCGTCAACATCAACCCTGATACTCTTGTGTCCTGATACTTGTGTCCTAGAACCTCCTCGCCGCATTTGCGCGTTCCTTCTTCTCCTTCTTTCCTTCGTTTTTGCGCCGTCAGATGGCAGTAACGTAGCCACCCATCTCCGCCCTCCTTTGTCTTTACCTCGGCGACACCACCCAGCGCACGCGACATCTTCATTTTCACGCCGTTCATTCAACCATGTTCCGATTCAGAAGATACCGAGTCTTCTTGGCCTTCGCGTTTATCACCGTTTTAGCATTATACAAGTTTGGGACGGCGTCTGGCACATCATGGAGGGAAGCTGCCTCGAGTGCGGCTGGCCAGTTTAAGAAGGATTCTGGGGACGAGTCGCAGGTAGACTGGAAGCCCAAACCTCCGCCGCCCGTCGCGCAGGAGACAAGGAGATTTGAGGTGGATGTTCCTGCTGCGAACAGCCCTCTGTTCTTACAAACGCCGCCGCCTGTTGCGCCGAACACTCGTCTTACGGACAAGAAACCCGTTTCACCATCGCCGAGTCCTGCTGTGACAGAGAAGGAGATCCCAAGCATACCTACGCTCAAGTCAGACCGGCCATATGGCAACGGCGCAAATACTATACCTCAAATATCAGATGAACTCTCCTCATCCATCGAACCGATTTATTGGACGAAGCTACCTCAGGATTTTCCCGTCCCCTCGCAATCACTTATTCGACTACCTTCTGGCAAACCGAAGTCAATGCCCAAGATACAGTTTGATTTCCCACCCGAGGATGCTACAGCAAAAGTGGACAGAGAGTCGAAGCTCGATACAATCAGAGACGTGTTCAAGAAGTCGTGGAATGGATACAGAGGACAGGCATGGCTGCACGACGAACTCACGCCTGTATCTGGAGGGTTCAAAGATCCTTATGCTGGTTGGGGTGCCACGCTGGTTGACAGTCTAGACACGTTATGGATCATGGGCTTGAAGCAGGAATTCGAGGAGGCAGTTAGGGCTCTCAACAAAATCGACTTTACGACGAGTGCTAGTGCCGACATCCCGTTGTTTGAGACAACGATTCGATACCTGGGAGGTCTCATTGCAGCGTACGATATCAGCGGCAAGAAATACGAGAAGCTGTTGGAGAAAGCCGTGGAGCTTGCGGAGGTTCTTATAAGCGCTTTCGACACACCAAATCGAATGCCCGAGCTGTTCTACTACTGGAGACCCGAGTTTGCGTCGCAGAAGCATCGCGCCAGCTCTCGTGTAGTCTTGTCAGAAATTGGCTCAATGTCTATGGAATTCACTCACCTGGCGCAGCTTACCGGGGAACACAAATACTATGATGCGATTGCGCGTATCACAGACCTCCTTGAAGAATTTCAACCTAACACAAGACTCCCTGGAATGTGGCCTACAGAATTGGATGCCTCGGGTTGCAAGCCAATTCACGTTGACAAGCCTATCCAACAACCATTAAGAGCGCCAGGAAATGAACCAGCTGGCAAACAACCTGCCACTGTTGAGAGCCCAAAAGTAGCGGCCACCCCGACACCAACAGAGCAGCTCTCGCCAGAGGGTAAGAAGTATATTCCCTTGGACTTGCCTGAACCTGTTGTTCTCGCTCCGAACGGGCAGAATCCGACCTGGGTGTCATCGACAGATGAAGAGACGGTTGGTCTTGGAGCGTCTGGAAAAGACAAGATCACCAACGGTGACGCTTTGAAAAAACGGCAGATCGATGTTGGTAACCCAACCCCTGTCAAGACAACACCTCCTGCATGTGTTTCACAGGGCTTCAGGTCAATTTCCGATTATGGCCCTGAGGAGTACACGCTCGGCGGCATGTCCGACTCTACGTACGAGTATTTGTCCAAAGAGTGGCTGCTGCTTGGCGGCCTGGTCGACAAGTACCGCACCATGTATGAGCAGGCTATGGATGTATTCACAGAATATCTCGTCTTCCGGCCAATGCTTCCCAACGAGGACGATATTCTTTTCGCTGGAAAGCTACATGTACCAGCACCCTCTGTAGATGGCAGTTTCGCCGTAAAACTCGAAGGCGAAAGTGCCCATCTCACATGCTTTGCTGGTGGTTTGTTGGCTATGGGCGCTAAGCTTTTCGATCGACCAAAGGATCTCGAAATTGCAAACAGGTTGGTTGAAGGTTGCGTGTGGGGCTACAACATGACACAGACTGGCATCATGCCCGAGGCTTTCGAGAGTATAATCTGCGAGAGCAAGACGAAATGTGCCTGGAACGAAACACTTTACAATGAGACTCTTGACCCTAGAGCTGATTCTCGTCAAAAGAACTACGTGGAACAGGTGGAGTATTACGAACAGCGGCTCGTATCGGCTTCATTATGGTACGAAGAGCAGATCGCTGCCATGACAGCAACTCCTACACCATCTGCACCCGCTGCCTTCGAAGCGCGCGCTACACAGAGTTCGATCTTCGCCGACCTCGACAAGCGGCAACTCGCCGATCTAGAAGATGATTATGAACCTTCGGTTTTGTCTTCCACAACTGTGTCGTCCACAGTCGTGTCTTCCACGGTTCTGCCTTCCACAGTTTCGCCTTCTACGGACGTGCTTTCGCCGAGTCCGGCTCTGCCTGCCTTCCCAGTACTTTACAGCCCCAGCCCCCCGCTGAACCATGAGGATTACGTGGAGAACAAAATCCAAGAAGAGCGCCTCCCACCCGGCGTAACGAAAATCGTGCGTCGGGAGTACATCCTCCGGTACGTCTACCTTTTCCCCTACAAAAGCCAACCCTACTAACGCATTCCAGCCCTGAAGCCATAGAGTCTGTATGGTACATGTACCGGATCACTGGGTCCGCGCACTGGCGCGAATCCGGCTGGCGCATGTTCCTCGCCATCAACGAGTATACCAACGCCACGTATGGTAACAGTGCGATTGACGATGTTACGAGGACTAATCCTATGCTGCTCGATTCAGCCCAGTCTTTCTGGTTTTCCGAAACCCTCAAGTATTTCTACTTGCTGTTTAGTGAGGAGGACGTTGTGAGTTTGGACGAATGGGTGTTGAACACTGAGGCGCATCCTTTTAGACGGCCTGAGTAAGGAGGCAAGGACTTGGGGAGGGAACTATATGTTTAGACGTTTTGATCACAGACCAGTACGGGATTGACGGAGTAGGGATCGTCTTAAGGAGCATGAGATTTGGCTACGCTACGCATTATACCATTCAATGGAGTTTCGTTGTTTTGTTACAGTATGCTTCCGTTTTGTAGGTGATGTTCTGTCTCCTGGTGTGAGTAACGTTGACAAAGCACACAGAGCATTGTTATAGCAAGTGACATCTATACCCGCGCCGCGACATGTTCGTTGGGAAATCTTCTTTGTACTTCGAGTCTGCCACTGTAGAGCTGGATGATACAGGAGAGGTCTTCAGCCCAGTTCTAGATTATGTGTTTCTAATCTATTTTACAGCGAGCAGGCTTCTAGCTTCTCATCTCGTGGGTTGTTCTCGTAGTGTCTACTATCGCCCTTCTACTCGTCCCTTCCCGTATGTTCATCATCGTCACTTTTCGTATGCTTCGCGATCCACCAATATCCTAAGAGCTAGCAGGTTCCGGTGCGCTTTGACTTTCTTGCGGCGTCTCAATGTATGATTTCGCGCCGTTGGCTCTGGCTGTATTGTCTGCGTGTTTTCTGTCGCGACGCAAAGCTACAGCAAGATCCCTCAAGAAATCTTGGGGCAGACGGGAAGCGTATTCGAAGATATGTTCTGGTGACATGCTGCTCCAAAGGTCGACGACCAGTCTTCTGATATTTGCTCCTTCTGATGTATGCCGATACATGATTCGAACTTGTGCAGGCGAAGGAATTTTGAACTTTCCGTCTGACCTGATGTGTAGAGATATCTCGAAGATAGACGTGATAGCGGCGTTTTTGGAAGCAACATCCTGGAATTTATCGGCCAGAATGAAGAGACCAACCATCTCGTCGTACTCCGCAGTTGTAATCGTTCTAAATTCCCCGATAGCGAGTGCGCTTAGTTCTTCTTCTGTTTTGCTTATACTGGGAAGACGACCCGTGTAGACATGGTTGAGGTACAGCGCAAAGATCTCCGGCTCGTCCTGTGGTAACTTGACAACCCGCGATTCGGCCTCCTCCCAACTGCCATTCATGGCACGGCGGAAGAACTCTGAGCGGGCAGTGAGGAAAGATTCATGCACAACGAAGTCTTTCTGATTGGACTCTCCGCCGACACGCACGGTCAACATGGCAGTCGTGTCGAAGCTAAAGACAACCACTTTAGCGCCTGCAACTAACGAGTATCATGAGACGTCTCACCTGACGGCGCTGCTTCTAGGAGCTCGTACCGATTTGGCTGGAGACGCCATCTGTCTGATCTGCGAGGACAGCGACACGTTGAGGTCGGGGCTTGACGAGACAATGGACAGTAAAGAAATTGGACAGAAATCAGAGTGCGAAGATGGCTAGGTGAGTGGGACAAGTACACTATGACACATCAGACAGAGACTGCGGAATAAGTGAAAGTAGGTACGTGGTTTCACAGTTTTTGGATCTTTGCTTGTTCATGTTTACCTCTACCTCCTTCCAAGTTTTAATGGATATTGAATCGTTAAGTATTTATGCTCACATTGTCTATTCATATGCAGATCAGTCACCTCACCTACCAGCAATTCACTTCATCCGTACCACTGTCCACCTTTCCTTGGTCCTTCTCCACAGTCGACTTGATAACAGCGCTCACATTGAACCGCGAACCACCCGCCAAATTCCATCTTTACCTCCAAACACAAGAGTATCACGACCAAAGATGAGGTTGTCATAGACAGTCGTGACATGATACTCCTTTGTCATATCTGCCTAACGTCTGCCACACGCTGCCTGCACTAGGCTCGGATTCCGATTGTCGTCTTCAGGGAAGACAATGGTCTTCTTAGAGCTGGCATCATTCAACAGTCCGTGAATTAGTTCGAATGGGCGCACAAAAGGATCTCCAGAATAACGAGGGCATCTTGGTATTTGCCTTCGCCAGCGTGAACTACGAACATACTTCAACCAAAATCAAATGTCAACATGAGTATCTCACCTGATACTGACCATTCTCATCCGACATATTGAGTATCGACTCTTCATACGTAAGAATACATACTAATTTACTCATAGAACTCACCGATATTGTCCCCCAGCATGATACCTCCTGCTCAACACAATACTCAACCACCTTGCCTCCTCAATGTGCTCTTTCTCACCTCTTTCCTTTACTTCCACTTCTCTTCTTTCCCCTTTCTCCTCGTGATGCAACTCCACCTCCTTATTAGTTTCATGCTCAGCATATCCAAGAATCAAATCCTCCCATGCATTGTTCAAGCAAGTGTGAGCCTTCCAAGTCTCACAACCGCCGGTGAGAGTAACGTCTTCTAGCGTTGTCGTTAGATCAGTGCAATTCCTGTCGAAACAGGAGATAGTATGGTAGTATTGTATCGCGCCACAGGGCAGGAGGTAGCGACAAGTTTTACACATGATTGTATATCACCGGGCTTTATCGGGTATGAGTATCTAAGGTATAGGTAGGAGTGCGGATCCTGGATTAGGTTTGAAGTTTACGGATGAGGTGAAGTTAGGCCTGAGCGATATCTATGTCTTGCTTCATGAGTCAACGTATTGAGTCTTCACGATATAGACTTCGTGGATCTCGTTTTGAATGGATTTGGTCTTCAAAGAACTCGGTGAATAAATACAGTGTGCATTGAGCGTACACATCGAAGGGGGAAAGAAAAGCGAATTTGTTCTTAGACCCTAGCTTCCAGTGGCGTCTTCCACTTTTTGTCATACCAATCATTCACCTCTATGAGCCCTTCAATCACCTTCTTGCCAGGCGCGATCTTCTCTCCAGCATTGAAGTCATGAGCTGCAAGTACCCAGATATTCTCCTTCTTCGCAAACTCTCTTGTACGCCATATCGAATCGATAGCTGGGTCTGGTTCAGCATGCATCCCTGACTTCGAGTATGGAGGACGGGCAGTTCGCAGAGGATCTTTCAGTAGGTCAAAATGATGGAAACAATCGCCTGCTAACAGGACAAATGTGTCGTTGACCGGATCTGACTTTGTCCGAATGAGCATCATTTGATGACCCGATGAGTGTCCAGGAGCGTCGATCAGATAGGCCGAGCCATCGCAGAAAACGTCGAATGCTCTGTCGAATGCGCCCAACCCGATCCATGATGCCTTCTTCAACTCAACGGCTTCGTAAAGACCCTTCTTGATACCTTCCGCTACCTTGCCGGCTCTCCTATCACCAGCCTCCTTCAGCATCTCATCTGATACAAAAGCTTCAACGATCTTCCTACTCCCGTCTGTCGGCAAAATCTCGCTCAAAGTCGGTGCGTTCTCATCGACGGGGTATCCAGGCCTTGCATAAGTGCAACTTGTTGGACCGATCCAGAGTTCTGCATTTGAGAACCCAGCTTTAGCTCCATCTCCTACGTGGTCGAAATGCAAATGCGAAAAGATAACCGCTTTGACTTTCTCGGGCTGTTGCTCAGGCGTTGCGTGCTCTTTCAGAATATCTGCGGGCGACTTTGGTTCACATTCAAAGTCTGGGAGTACAGTCCTGAGAAGCAGGGGTGGGAGATTTTCGAGGTCTTTGCGCATTCCGAGATCGAAGATGTACTGGTGTCCTGTTGCGGTATGTTCGATCAGAAAGACGTAATCTGGGGCGTAGAATGTCTTAGGGTGGTCGTGTTTCTTGTCAGGATGCTTTACTGAGTCATTCGGCTCGTTGGGACCTGGGAGGATGGCCATGTCTACTGGGATATAGAGGCCACCTGCTTGGATGAGGCGTACTTTGCATGTCGCGGTCGAAGAAGGGATTGCATGCCATGGCAGGGTGGGGGGTGGTTGAGACATAACAATGTTAAATGAGCTTTTTCTACAGCAACGTGTCAACAAGTGTGAGATGTAATTGAGAATGGAAAGGTTCAGACACATGATAGAGAGATTTGCATGATCAACTTGCGGACCACTGGTATCGATGACGTCAAACCGTCGTTAATTGAGGCTTGGGGAAAGAAGCACCTTCCTATGGGTGCCGAGAGATAGCAAAAGACGGCGCAGAGTATTGACATATTCTCAAAATAAATTGAAAAATCCTGGCGGTCAGTTGGTCTATCTTGCTCTCACCCAATGCAGTAGACCTACGTTGTGTGTGGTGTTGCAGCCTATCTGGCGAAACGCGCTCGCCGAAAATGGATAGTACGGTGTGCTAGAGGCGCGACAACGCGTAGTCATCTGTCAAGGTCCTTCTTCTCCTCACTTGAGCAGTCGAGGGTCCCAACCTCTTCGCATGCACTCTTTGCATTCGATGAACATCAATCACACTTACCGACCATGGCCGATTCACTATAGCAGCCACCAGTTCTCGTTTCTGACTACGAGTACATGCAGGTTCTTCATCGAGCTGGTTACAGATTTAATTTGCCAGTATCCCCTCCTCCAGAGCCGAAGACAGTATCTCTGCCATGATCATGGTCGCCTTTGGCAACGTCCGACCACCAAATTCTCTTTGACGTACTCAATAGCGGTGTGCTTGCCATTGTTGTCGACTGCTCCTTTTATGGGCGAGCTCAATCGTTGGCTAAGGGATATCGAAGGGCACCCGTTACTGACAGTGCTTCCAGTTGTTCTCTACGCAATCAAGTATGTCCCGCGCGCTAAGGAATATGTCAATGACCTCAGTCGCATACGGATTTACTAACAAGTACGTCTACAGCACTTCCAACATAGTCACTTCTTCTTTGCGCACGATAATGACCCCAAGACTATCATCGGCGTGAGATTCGCCACGGGGTGTGATGCTTCGTACGTGGCCAGTTTGTCTGACATAGCAAGATTGGAACCCGAGGGTGAAAGACTCACGCAAGTACACACCGGCAGACCCAACAATCCCGCGAACTGGCGATTGACTGCGAAGAAGGCGCTTTCGACAATGCGCATCGTGTGCTCCCGCGAACCAGATACGACACGCAGATTGACGCGGAAAACCCGCGACCAGACGATCGAACGTTCGAAAAATTATTTGTGGGTTTGTATCTGGGAGAGATGTTCACACTCGTCCTAGTTGATCTCGTAGACTACGGGTTGATTAAAGGCCAGAGTACTGTAAAATTGCGCAAGAGCTACATGATACATACGGGTTTCCTGTCTGACATCGGAGACGACGAATCTACCCAGTTTGAGAAATCGCGCAATCTGTTCATCTATGTACTCAGCCATGAACCAACAAATGTTGAAAATTTCCATCGCGTCGCAGAACTTATCGCTGCTCGCGCCGCGCGGTTGTGCGCATGTGGCGTTACTGCTATTCGTACCCAAGAAAACATCTCCAAGGCGAATGTCGCTGCGGACGGGAGTGTCGTAAACAAGCTTCCAAAGTTCAGAGAGCAGTGGGCCAAGGCATCGGGTGAGATTCTAGATTGGGAGTCGAAGGAGGCAGCGGGCGGTCCGATCAAGATCACGAATGTGGAGAGTGGAAGTGGGGCGGGATGTGCGATCATCGCGGCCATGGAATTGGAAAGACGGGGGAAAGCGGAGGAAAGTGAAGATGGACACGATGTTTGCCATCATCGGAGGACCGGAAGAATGTCTCATAAGATTACGACAGTTATCAGGACGATTTGTCGGTTACTCCAGCACGTCGGTTAGATCATACGTTCGAACAGGACCGTAACTATGTTTCCCGCAAGCCTCCATCTTCTCCAACCATGTTGATAACTTTCTCGATCTTTGTCGTGTTCTCCTTCCCCTCGCCTTCTGAGTCTTTGACGCTATCTTTCGTTACATCGTGGAACTTGGAGGTGCTCGAAGTGCTCATGCCAGTGGTGAGCGGGGGAGAGATTGGTTCTGAGCGGATAAGCACACTTCACAGATAGAAACAAACTCCACAAACCTTGGAACTGGGAGGAGATGTCCTGGGTGGAGACATCCTGGGTAGTTTCTGCCATGTCTAAAGTCACTGCGTGTTGGAGTTTCGGTGCACAGTCGATTGAGGTTGTTGGCTTGACCTTCTGTGATTGTTATGCATTTCAAGTAGTGGTCCGATGGCTACGTCATTAAGCGAATCGGGCGTGAACGTGGCTGTCGCGTGTCCAGGTGATGCTGATCGAGTGGGCTGTGAACGCGGGGCGCGGTCGAGATTTTCCTTGAATTGGCCGTCAGAGGCTTACGTTGGAATGTGTCGGTGGGTCGAGGTACCGATTTTACATGGTACCCTTGCATATGACGTGAATCGAGCTCGACAAGAAGAATCGAAGAGTTTGCGCCAAGTTGAATGTTCGCTCGTTCAAATGACTCGAATCGTGTGCTGTCCGTTGTCGTAGCGCAGACAGGGAACCTTTTTCTTAGTCTCTTCGCCCAATTCAGAAACTACAAAAGACAGTTCCTCAGGGCTTAGAAACCCACTCCCAACTCCAACCCTCTCGTATTCGCCCTTTGCTACATCAACAATCCGTAGAAGCAAGACATACGTGTATCCCTCAACAGGTACTCCCACCGCGCCGAGAATGAAGAAGAATTTGTCTTTCTCACTTTCGTTCTCCAAGATCGATTCGTCCGCCGGAGTGACGTCAAACGTGAGAGTGAACTCAGGGCTGGTGGAAACCCAAGGGACGTGCAAATCTCTTGTACGCGTGGCATCTCGAGTAACCTTCATTGGTTTCAAGTACCCTCGCAAATCTAACCATCCATTTTTGACACGTCCTGTGACATCCTTGGTTGCATGTTCGAGGACCACATCTTGTACCTCAAACAATATCTGCTTAGGGACCCACTGGTATAGCAAGACAGGTCCTTCTATTGATGCCCACGACCAAGTCGGAGCACGATAGAGGACAGGACGCGCCCACTTGAACACATCATCGCTGTGCTTGGTTTTCGTTGGGGTCATCCACAAAAGCTCCAACTCAAGCACTGCGTGCCAAAGCCCTGCCACATATATGTCGTTAGTGAGAGCTGCAAATTGCTTGGCTATACCGGAGAGCACGATGAGTTTGTCATTCGGATTTGTAAAGTGTGTCGCGGAGTAGGTCTCTACTAGGCTATGCCATTTTGCATACCATTCGTGTTTGTTATTGAGCGCATGTGGTAAAGTTGTACGCATGCAGATATCATTGTCAATCTTGAAGCGCGATGAGGGGTTTTTATCGAAGTAATCAGAAAGTCCTCTTGGGTATGTCTCGCTCGCGCTGTGCTGACGACATTCCCAGAACAGTTCTTTACCAAAATGAAGAATTCGGGGGCTAAGGATTCTCTCTTGGAAGACCCAGCCTCGTTGGTTTATGCCACAGTGTGTAACATTACGGTCCCAGAACTTACGGCTGAAAGTCGTAAGTTCTGCGACGTCGGTACAGTTGGCTGCCCTATGAAAGTCTCTCATATAGACCTTCGCTTTTGCCACACGTATCGTCCGGTTCCGAAATAATCCTTCTGTGCTGTCTTCTGCATCTGATGCGGAGATGTTGCAGTACGAATGCGAGTATACTTTGTGCATCAATTCTGCCTCACGGAACCAATCAGATAAATCGTCTTTATCTTGTATGATACAGAGGCTATCTATCCAGAGATAAGAGATGCCTAATGTTCTTGACACAAATACGGCCTCTCTAAAAGTCCTCGGCATATCAGCAACTGTAATAGCATTGAGGAATTGTGCCATGTTGAATCGTGTGAGCTGGATGAATTGTGCTGCGCCCCATCGGTGGCTTAATGTAAGATATATCAACTCTTCAACAGGCCTCTCTTCAGCTGTATGAATCAGACGCACGATCTCATCATGCTCACCGGAATCACCCAAGTCGAGCAGGCGTGTGGGTAACCATGGCACGTCAGACGTGTCTCTGTTGCACGCTGAATGAGTTTTCAAACACACGTTCATCCATCTCGTGGCTGTTCTGATAGATTCGTTGGAGAAAGTATGAGTAGAGGTCACATCTACCAATGAACTCTCCTCAGCCCCTTGTTTAGTGACTGCATAACTATTAGTTCCATGCATTTCTGCAACGTACACTATGTACATACCAGGTGCTGGTGTGAGGCGAAAATCGCTCGTTGTATCATGATGATTCTCAAAGATTTGAGGAGGAAGAACGATTCTTAGATATAGCGAGCCAGGTGGCTTACGTGCGAGTGCCCAGAGATATGCATGTGTAAAGAAAACGGACGAGTTTGATGGATCACGCTTGGCTCCGTCCAGTTCTTGTTCCTTGTTTGTTGCGAATTCGCTCTCTACAGCACATACGTTTCCTTGCACAGATTTGGGTAGCGAGTCCCAAACCGTTTTACATATATAGCATCCAGCCTTCGCTGACTTGATCAAGGCCGAGGACGAACGCTGATGACCAAACGCAAGGGAACCGGTGAAACAGTCATCTCGTGATGAACTTTCACTCCCCTTCTCTTCATCACCACTACTTTCTTCTTCCTCTGTCCACTCATCTTCTTCGGCCTGTTGCTGTTCATCCTCGGTCCTTTCTTGGCCTTGCGCAATGTCTTCATCCTCCACCGCTTCTTGGTCTTCTACTTTGTCTTCACTCGTCATCTCAACCTCGTTTTCTGTTTCCTCTCCATCCTTTGTCGATCCGTCGTCATCTAGCTCATCGTCGTGCGATTTGTTCCGAGGGATGGGATTACGACGGTATTGTAAAACGCCTACGCAGATGTCGCAAAACATCTCTGTTGGATAATCCAAGATTGCCGGAGCGATTGTAATTGCATAGGAGTTGGTTGTGTAGTGTGTTAGGCGGCCAGGCTGCGGAAGCGGGGACCCACCCACGTTCTCACCCTGCTGTTCCACCACCGGCCTTGGCAGCATTCATGAGTCTCTCTTTTCTCCCATCTTTCCAGGCCTTATCGAGCGCCTCCAACTTCCCACCAAGAACCTGTACATTACCCGGTTCAAGCATTGCGACGCCTCTTCGCACGTCGACATTGCGGAGGATGAGTTTCACACCCATCGTCATGCTCGTATTCAACCCCTCGATACCTCTTAGATCTAGCGCGTAAATCTTCAAGCCTTTCGCATCCTGCAGCAGTAACTTGAAAGGTCCTTTGCTCTGGATGGGTGCTTCGGCCGCGCTTTCGTTCTCAGGCTCCACGACTCGGACAATCTCTCTACCCTTTGTCATTTCTCCGCGCTCTCTTGCCTCAATAGCTTCGACTTGCGACCAGCGCGAGTGTCCGATATCTTCAATATCGAGCACTTGGCAGAGGGTGGGGCCTGCGATACAGCGGGACTGAGTTGTGCCTTTCAGTATGTCGTGAGGGAGGACGGAAGCTGCTGGTTGGTTTAGAGATATTGTAATATCAGTCGCTGTGAGACGAAAGAAGGCAGTCTGCTTCAGTGCGGGCAACGGTGTATTCGGCCGCGTCGTAGAGACGAAGCTTTGCAGCCATGTGGTGGTTGGGTAGAGGTGTCTAGCATTGAGGTGTTGTATGAGCTCAGCTGGGATGTTGTTTGCCATCTTGATCAATTGTGTTCGAGCATTTGAGCGTGATTGATGGATGGAAGACGCGTCGCGTACCGAGGTGACGTGGGGCTCTTTCCGAACGATGGTCTTGGCACTTCACCTCCAGCATTCTGCATCACTCTCACACACTCCAAATCCACGCGCTCTGGAACTCCAACATGTCAATAGCTTCGCCACGTGCTAGTGTCTCAGTTCGTAGCCCCTCATCCACACGCGCCTCCTTCGACTCCACACGACCTCCGCCAGCGCGTCGCAATCGAACAGCGCTACGCGAGTTCTATGGTCTCAAAGCTACCAAAGATGCGGATGCAAAGATCTCGGAAGAGTCAGCGAGGACGGGACTGGGTCCCGAGGAAGACGAGACGCTGACGGAGCTCGACTCTGCCAATTTCAACGCCGAGGCCTTCGTGGACAGCTTGCTAGCAAAGGAGGGCTTGAAAGGCGTTTTGAAGACGGAAGCCGATCTGATGTCACGTGTGTTCTTCTCCTTGCCAATATATTGTCTGGTCGGCTAATCAAGCATGCTATAGAGATACGCAATCTCGACAGCGACAGAAAGTCACTCGTGTACGACAATTACTCTAAGTTGCTCTCTGCGACAAGTACTATCCGACGCATGCGTGGAAGCATGGATCCACTAGCTCCTACGACACACACTCTTGGACCTGCAATGTCACATATCGCCGAGACTGCCGCCTCGCTGTCCTCCTCAATGCAGAGCGTGCAAAAGAAACCCGAGGGCCTGGGAATCGAAATACGCATCGAGGGAGAGGGAGCGGACAAGGAACAGTTTGTCAAAAAGCAGAAGCAGAAGGAGACTGTCAGATGGGTTCTGAACACGCCACGACGCCTGCGTCAGATGATCGATCAAGAGCAGGATGATGAAGCAGAGAAGGAGTGGGAACAAGTCAGCAAGATCCTCGATCAGTGGACAGGCGTCGCAGGTGTCCAAGAGCTTAGAGAAGAGTGTGAACGCATTTTAGAGGAGGATGACGAGTCAGATTGATTCGCAAGGCAACGTTACCTTACACCGAAGAAGTGGCAATTTTTAACGGCCTACTCCCTGTGCTGGCCACCTCCCACGGTGCTGCAGCCTTCAAGACGTCCATTTCGTCAATATGTTTTGCAGCCAGCTGGATTACCCACCGGCAACATTCCAGGAGCCTGGGGTACATACCTACGCAGCGGGCATGACGAGCGCAGCTTCTACTGGACATTGGCTCTAAATTGGGCTGGAATGCTTGGGGCCATATCCGTCCAGCCATGTTGAGATGAGTACCAAGAAAAGACTCCAGGTCGTATTGTCTCCAGGCTGCATACTCTCTACTTCTGGCTTCACAAGAAGTCAGTCAAAATGTTCTAGCATCTCAATACACGCGCCGTATAACTACTGCACTTGCGCCATCGTTCTCTTCAGCATACCATTCGAGTCAAACTTCTCCCTGACGAAGACTGAGCTTAAACACCTGGTTACGATTATTAGATTATGTCGTTTGGAAACTCATACGCCTCCTACTAGAACACGGGATATTCCACACAAAGCATAGATACTGCCACTACAAACTGGCCAGTGTTAGAGTCCATCACCGGTAACGAACCGGCAGATGGCGAGTATGAAGACACTCAAACCGAGACAACGCAGTGGGATGCCAACCTCCCAGGCATCGCCATAAATCCCCTCAACTAGATGCAAACGGCGATGACAATGCTCAGGACTTTGTCCCATCAACCTCACAACCCCGCGACTCTCTATGATCGGGGCAACACAGGATTCTCTCGGCAGTGTTAGGAGCGCACTCTGTATCGATGCTATCATGTACCATCACAATTGAATGCTGCAGCATGTCAAGCCCCGAAGTAGTCGTTCATAGCCGTTACGATCCACCACACAATCAAGCTAAGATACTGGTACACAAAAACGGACTAGGCGTACACCTGTGACTATAAATTTGCTTATACACGCCTGAATTTCGTTGCTCTCTTCTTCAACGTCGCGAATAGCTGTAGTGCTGCTTTCCTAACTCAGCTGCTCGTTGGTAGTTTTGTATTCCTACTTCCAACCAAGCTCGAATTTGCGTAGCAGCAGCAGTCCGCTCGCTGTCCAGCGTGTTGTGTGTTCTTTAGCTGAGCGTTATTCCGAAGGTGCAAAGACGTAAGGTGTGCAAAACTGTAAAATATCATATATATTACTCTAATAACATTTATCTGTATATTTGATACTTCCTACAGAAAGGGCAACCCAAGCGTAGAAATTCCGCGTAAAGCGTTTTTTTTCCCCAAACCTTTCGACGCCCTAAAACTTCTCCGCCACACCAGGTCTCTTCCCCTCAATCGTCAACACCATGTCGACGTATTTCCTACTGAGCACCTCCTTCTTCCTCGCAGCCAGCAGCGCCGCACTCTTCAGCACGTTCTTGATCTGCCGCCCGTTCAACATCACCATTGCCAGTTCATCCAGATCCTCCTTGCGCCAATCCTGCTGCAAATCCAAGCCAACGATGAAGTTCTCCCAGATATGGCGTCTAGACTCCACCGTCAAAGCCGGGTACGCGATGCTGATATGAATCCGGCTCTGGAACGCCGCATCGATATTGTCCACGCGATTCGTAGTCAGAAAGAGCAGGCCCTCGTAGTACTCGAGGACGCGGAGGAAGATAGAGACGAGTTTATTGCGCTCGAGGTCGTGTGTGGAGCGGGCTTCGAGGAACACGTCGCATTCGTCGAGGAGGAGGACGGCGTTCCACGTTGCGACCATTTCGAGGATGTCGGTTAGGTTGCTTTCGATTTTATCGGGGTTGAGGCCCAGGTCGGCTGACGACATCATGAAGAGCGGTGCGCGCATGTGCTCGGCGACGGATTCGGCGGTTAGTGTCTTGCCTACCCCGGGGGGACCGCTGAGGAGCGTGATGTGGCCGCGTCCCTTGCCGCTGATGACGTCGTCGAAGGGGGTGCTCTGCATGGCTTGCGATTCTGCAAAGGATAGGATGAGTTCTTTTTGGTCGGGGGGAAGGACGAGGGAATCGAATGCGTTTGTGTTGAAGTCAATGTCTTTGATCTGGTCGAGGTAGAAGAGCAGCCACTCTTTTTTCCTGAGGGAATATCCACGGACTCGAGACAGGCAGATCAGATGATGTTGTTCAGTAAGACGAATCTGCTCTGTCTTTGCCTGCTTGCCAAAGACGTATGCCGTGTCATTGAGATCATCGGTGTCGACCTCTTTCACGACGCACCCGGGCTCTGGCGCACCCTCTTTAGCGGGGATGGGCGCGCTATTTCCAAAGTAGCGATTGGAAAAGAGCCCAAAGCTGTTCGAGTCTATGATGATGCGGCCGCTGCAGGTAAAGGGAATTTCCTTGTCTTCCTTGTTCCACGAGACTGCGAAGCCGTTATACTCCTTGTGATGGCGGCCTGCCACTGCTTCGAACTTTTTGCCGCGAGCAACAAGCAGTTCCTTAACCTCGTCTTGTTTGGGATGCAACGATAACGGGAATGCTGAGAGACCGGTAATGGGAACTGTACCAATGAACTCCCTGATAGAAAATTGTGTAGTTGATCGCCCGAATACAGTACCGTTGAAATCGACTGCCTCGAGGCTTAGCGAATATACCCTGCCACATTGAGTTTTCATGTATTTTGCGGACTGGAGCCTGTAAGCTCCGTATGTACCGTGATGAGAACCGGAATAAATGATCGAGCCAGGCTGAAAGATAGTCCAGACATGGTCGAAATCCACGATACCATGGTCAACGTAGTCATCCAACGTCGTGATGACATCGTTGAGCTCAACTCTCAGTACGTTGTAAAGCAGTTCTATGTGTTGTGCTGTTGTCTCGTCAAGATCTTTCCTAGCCTTGTATTCGATAAGCTGCGACCAGCGATGGACGAATGGACTAAACGGTGCCTCGAATTCTAACCTCCTCAGTCCACAATGGATGCCAGGATAGTCCTGCAGGATCTCGGCGAGAGAATCTTTCAGCTGGGGTGATTGTATGATGATGGAGTGGAGTTCGAACTTTTTGCGTGAGTCGTTAGCCTTTTGTAGGCGTGTGATGATGGCGTGCTGAGCTGTCTGTTCATTCTCCGCAGCATCAGGGACGTCTTCGGGTTCCTTGTCAAGCCAGGTCCATTTCTTATTGTTGTCGGCCGGACCTTGGTATAGATTCTTGAAGGATGTCAAGGAGCCCTCGGTGTCAAGGCCATTTGTGCCGTTCGAGTCACCAACAGCGTGCGCCATCTCTTTGATAGCCATAGTAGGAAATCAAACACGTAGAGCTCCAGGGATCTCCAGCGAAAAAGAGAACAAGGAAGATGATATTGAGAGTGAATGCTTGATGAACGAAAAGAAGAAAGGTACTTCCATCAACTTTATAGGAGAAATGCAGGTGGAGTATTGACATGATTGTTACATATCCTCTCCCATAGACTTAGGCGTTCCATGTCCGCACGTGTTAGGCTGCAACATGGTGTAATGAAGAAATTGACACAGCTACATGGATGTTGTTTCATTCAACATCGTTGCCTGATCGCGACAATTACGCCACAACCTCTAACCCGTGATGTAGGTGCCTTGATGTCGAGAGGGGCTGTACTGGGAATGGTGGAATATGACGTAGCCAAGGGCGGTGTTCAATACAGTAGAGTACTGAATGGCAAAGGGCGGTACTTGGGGCGGTGAAATATGAGATGGCAAAGGGCGGTATTGAGTATGGTGGAGTATGTATCTCTACATGTTACATCGTCATGAAAGTGTGGAAGATTCTTCGAGAGTGACACCCGAGTTCTGGTGGGTGATGAGATGATACTGAAAGGATGGCGGTGGTTGAAGCTGTGGACGCCCGGGAAAGGGTCCCACGCTAAGATGTCGAGACCAAGCTCATCCCTGCAACCCTCGAGAGTCCGCTCACCAACAATGTCCCAATGCACTCTCCACCCGCAATTGCGCCTCAACCATGTCCAAAGACGAAGAACCCTCCTACATCGACTATGAAGCCTTTCTCGACCCGTCCTTTTCGGCAACGTCATTCGCCAACACGCTCGTCCTTGCGACAAACAACCCCTCAGACACCCCGCTAGACCTTTCAACACCTCTCTCCCGCGTCCTCTTCGATGTCCAGGAAGTCGACACGCATATCGATACTCTGACGACAAAGTCCGCGTTACCGTTGCTGCAACACACGAGGGATCATGCGGAGTCGAGTGGAAGAATATTGCAGGAGGTGGAGGGGCAGGTCGCGAGCTTGACCGAGTCGTTTCGGACATTGGAACGCGAGGTCATTGAGCGGTATGAAGTCGCGGAGCAGGTCCGCTTGACCGCTGAGAGGTTATGTGAGACTGTCAAGCTGGGTAGAGCTGTGGCAAGGTGTCTGATGCTTGGACGACAGCTGGAGGTGCGCATGTCTGAGCTGGGAGGAGTGGGTAGCGCAAAGAAAGAGGACCATAGGGCCATGGTGCGGTCGGCGGATACAATACTGTCATTGCGGCAGATATTCATGGCGTCAGGTGCAGGCGAGGAGGGGGAAGGGCTCGACAAGGTCAATGTGGTGCAGACGCTCAAGAACGAGCTGGTCGTTCCTGGGGAGCGAAGCATCGCGTCACGCGCACAGCAAGTCGTCAAGGAGTTCTCCATGTCCTCGTTACTATCCTCGTCAGGGCAGACGTCTGCATCCACATATGCACAAACAGAGGACACCAAGTCGAGAACAACCTCGGCGCTGCTGACACTCTACCTCGTCTCCCCTACCTCTACAAAGACAACCCTCGAGTCCTTCCACCCGACGCTGATGCTCAATACCATACAAGAGTACCTGCAAACGCAGTTGAAGTCCTCCCTAGCATCCCTCACCCGCTCTCTCGGCCAACTCCCCACCTTGGACCGCACCCTTCTCGAGATCTCCGCACGTTGCCAAAATATCACGTCCCTACAATACCTCCTTGAAGCCACGAAAGCACCGTCACACCCCCTCTTCCCCACAACACCAACCTCAACATCTAACTTCCTGCAACCGGTACTCCATGTCCTCGACACGTCCTCGTTACCAAGCTATTTCTGGCGCTCGCTCGCTAGTAATCTGTCACCACGGGTTCAGGAGATTATGAACCGAGGCGGCGTGTCGGCGCGGACGCTGAGGAGTAACAAGGACAGGGTGAGGGATGCAGTGCGGGAGTGTGTTATGAGGGGCAGCCAGGTGGTGGGAGGGAAGGGGAGTGTGGGGAGTTGGGAGAGGGAGGCTGCCGTTATGGTAGGGAGTGTTGTGGGGCAGATAAAGTAATGTATTTGCACGGCTTCGACCCTGTATGTAGACATGTAGAATTATTGACGTTTGTGGTTGCTGCCATGGTGTAGTACGAAGACAACCTCATCGATGGTCATGCAATGTCAAGATGGTCTGCACATGACTCGACGCGCAACACACTCACGCATGACGACGTTTGTGTCTCGTCGTTTGACAGCCCAGTCCGGGGCGTCCGTACGCTTTTTCGCCACTCCCATGTATCGCTTAGGGTTAGTCGTTTGCCTCTTTGCAAAGCGAGTGGGCTGGATGTGGATTGGACGTCTAGAACCGATTGCAGGGTGGTTTGATTGGGCGAGGCGAAACACTCTATGTTTCAGTGTCTTTTGACGAGCCTGGTCTTGGTTTTGGTGTTGGCCTCTCGACAAGATGCAGCGAGGACAGCCAGGCTGCGAATAGTTCAAAGTTGGGTACACCAGCGCCCGCTAAAGCGCCGACACGAGGTACGGGAATTGCACACGGCGCCACGAGGACTACTTAAGGCTGAAGCAACGGCTTGCTATTACCCTGCAGGGACGGCTCTCTCGACGTCCGATTGGGTGCGCTAAGGACCGAACGCTCTCTTCGAGACAGGCCAGCCAAAGCTCACGTCTGCCTCTGCCTTTGCTCTTCGCATCGAGCACCCGTCCTGCTCTCTGTTCTCCCTCTCCCGCTCCTGCCTTCCTTTCCTTCGTTGTGACTTTGCTATTCTACCGCCTCTCTTCTTACTGCCCTGCCAGCTCGTGCACGCCCGCCGAGCCCACGCTTCCCTGACTACCGTGTCCCCTGACCACCGCCGCCGCGCTTCGAGCTCCTTTGAGGCCAGTCGGGGACTGCAGGAGACACTCGAGCGTCTGTATCCACCGCAGAATTGAGCCGTGTGCCATTCTCCCTACACTGTGCGTCCGGCTCCCCTCGACGTCAGCCGCCCTGGGACATTGCGCTGACCGGTGTGTGCAGAATTTCCGACTCCTGCCACGCACGCACGCCGCGAGAGCAGCTGTAGCATCCCACCGCCATGTCCGCCAGCCATATCGCCTCCCACCGGAACAGCACCCCCGAGGGCTCGAGCTCGCTCCGCCCGCCCAACGCCCGCTCGTCGCTTGGCGCCGGCCACCATCTGCGCGCCTCTGCTGACATGAGCGGCTTCTCCTCTCCGCTCGCGAACCGCGGCATCCGTCCCGCCTCGGAGATCTACTTTGGTCGCCAGAACACGCAGTCGGGCAACCCCGACGAGATGGAGCGCGCCGCCCAGCAGTGGCTGGCCGACATCGACCAGTACGAGACGACGCTGGAAGAGATGGCCACGGCCACCATGGACCAGGACTTCAAGGACGAGCTGAGCGCCATTGAGCAGTGGTTCCGCGTGCTCAGCGAGGCCGAGCGCACGGCGGCCCTGTATGCGCTGCTCCAGCAGACAACGCAGGTGCAGATCAGGTTCTTCATCCAGGTCCTACAGCAGATGTCCAAGAGCCTGCCCATGTCGGGCGTGCTCTCTCCTGCCAACTTTGGCGAGAAGGGTGGGTCGCAGTTTCCCATCTATTCACACCCAATTCCACAGCTGACGTGTCCCAGACCCCATGACGCAGAAGCTGAGCGACGCCATGAGCAAGCTTAGCACCGGTGAGAACCGCCACTCCATGGTAGGCCGTCCCCCGCCGTCGCCTGGCGCGGGCAAGCGCAACTCGACCCTGGACACGTCCACCATCCACCGCATGTTCCCCGATGCTGCCGCCGCCATTGCCAAGCAAAAGGCCGACTTCACTGAGCACATTGGCATGCCTCCAGCCTCGAACCGCAACAGCACTGTTATCGACCGTAACTCGATGATTGCCCCTACCATCTCTGCCCCCGACGAGAACAGCAAGCGCGACAATGCTCCTCCCGCCTCGCCCTGGAACGAAGGGCCCTCGGTAAACCGTCCCAAGTCATCTGGCCAGCAGCATGCGCCCATGGGTCAGTTCACTGCCCCGCCGCCGTCTGCCGGTGGACTCCGCTCGCCTAGACTTCCCCTCCAGAGCGACAGCAGCAACGTGCAGACGACGACGCTCAATGCGCTGGAAGCGAACTCGACAGCCATGCCCCTGCTCTCGCCGGCCTATGCTGGTGGAAGCTGGGCTTCTCAGCTGAGCACCCCCATGGTCGCCAATTTCAACCAAGCACCAAATCAGGCTGATATGGTCGCCAACGCGACTGCCATGAAGCTCGCCGCTCTGTCCACCGTCAACAATCGCATCCAGCTGGACGATGTTCGTAAGTTCCGCCGTGATCGTTCGTCGGATGCGCCCGGAGCTGGAAATGCTCCGCTGTCGCCGGGCCTGCCCCACATGGGCAATGCCAATCTTCTCATGACCAACGACCTGGGTCAGGTGCTGACTCCGCAACAAGCGGCAATGCTCCAGGCTCAGCAGCTGGCTGTAATGAACGGTCAACGCTCTCGACCCAATTCTCCTGGCTTGGCTATGCACGGCCAGGGGATGGGTGGCATGGGCAACTTTACGTCGCCGCAAAATAACGGCTTCCTGGCTGCTGGTTATGGTGGCAATGGCCTCATGAACAATGGAATGGGCGCAATGAACATGAACCAATTTGCTATGGGAATGGGTAACGATAGCCAGTACATGTCAGACAATGGCGAGATCAACCGTGGGCGCTCTCCACGCGGTCGTCGCGGCAGCTCCAAGCCCCCGGAAGATCCCACCGACCCAACCCTTCTCCAGGATATTCCAAACTGGCTCCGTAGTCTCCGTCTGCACAAGTACACTGATAACCTCAAGGACATGAAGTGGCAGGATCTTGTCGAGCTGGATGACGAGGGCTTGGAGAAGCGCGGAGTCAACGCTCTTGGTGCGCGCAGGAAGATGTTGAAGGTACGTTTTTACAAGCCTTGAAACCTATACCTATACGTTCACTAACACGATCCCACAGGTCTTCGAGCAAGTCCAAGAAGCTAAAAACGACGGCAAGCTACGATAGATTCGTCGCTTGCTTACTTACTAGCTTTACCGCGTTGTGTGTCCCAGCTAGGGAGGGGGGCAGGGCCGGGCACGAAATTGTGCCAGATTTATCTCTTATTCAACGTTCGCCAGCTGGTCACGGAGTCCTTACTTACTCTTTCTTCCTCCGTCAGGTCTGGTGTGCAAGTATGATATCTATGTCTTATGCTTCTTTTGTTTTGGGGCAGGAGCGAGGGTTTGGATGTTGATGCTGATTGCTGATGTTGAATGTTTGATGTAAAAAGGGGAGGGGGGTTAGCTTATCTCTACCTTACATGGGCCCTTGTTTGTGTCGATATACCATGATGGGATATTTCTGGAGGTGGGGATATTCTTTATATATGTGGCCTTTTCTATCTTTTTGCTTGCTTGCTTGCTTGCTTGCTTGCTTGTTGAATATTTATTGGGTGTTTTTATTGAGGGGCGTGGATAGATCGTGTGATTTGGTATGATTAGGTATGGAGAGGGAGATGAGGGAGAGCGGGGAACATAATGAAAGGGTGTTTTTTGTTCTGGATATTTGGACTTGCTGGCTTGACAGTGATGCTTTCATCGTCTATATGACTATGATAGGGCAGCTAGGCTATTTGTTTGTGTGTGGCTTAACTCGCCTTGTCTGGTGTATATTGACCGATACGATACGAGATTAATTGGGTTTAATTCAAGGGTAAGCCCTGGATCCTGATTCTTGAGTCTCGGTCCTGGGTTAGACGTCCCGCTGTAACTACTGTGAGTTGATAGAGGGGGGTGAGATAATGAAGGAGGGAGTCTTGCGATCTCTGATTGAGGTTGCAATAGCGAGACTTGACATAGGGTGGAACAGCTGGTATTGTTACACAGTGCAGAGATGGCATGACCACACACGACTGGAGAACAGGAGCGTGAATGTGCTAGCCAAGTTTCTCAATCGTTGTCATGTTGATAGTCTGGTTGCAAAGCAAGAAAGCAATCTGATTTTACTTCGAAGTCCCTCTTGTGTGACACATGTTCATGTGGCCGCGTCTTGAGAGTCATCGGGACTCTCCACGTGCTAACTTACCCGATTCTTGACTCATGGAGGGCAGTCCTTCGACTCTGGAGGTGGGAGGCGCTGCTTGAACACTGCGGCTACGAGGTCATCTGCGAACCTCGCGTCGCCTAGTTCTACAACAAACGTTATAGGCCAGTGCGTTTGGTTGCGATGTACGAGGAAATCCACGACAAGCTTCCGGACGGGCGATGATGCAGAGGTGCCTCTATACATATCACCAATGGCCTTGACACTAGGAAGAACTTCGCCGTTTTCCACACAATCTATCATGGCTTGCATGACGGCATTTTGGTATGTTGTGTCTTGTAATTGTTCGCCGAGTATGTACGAGTCGAGCAGAGACGCCCAGCAAATGACCTCGTCGTTTACCCTGACCATGTAGGAATATAGGTTCGCTTCGAGCTTCACGGCTACCTTTCCACTGTAAAGCCATTGCAGGTACATCTGGAAGACTTCGGGCTTCTCGTCGGTGAGATCGATAGGCTTGTAATCTAGTCCCGTCCAAGCTGATTCCAAAATTGATTGGAAGAAGGCTGAGGTCTTGCAGAGGACGGACTTGTGGATGTGAAAGAGTTGCTCGTTTTTGAACCGCTCGACCTGGACGTTATCCTCACTCTCGTCCCCGCTCTCGTCGTTGTCATTGCTCTCACTCAAGGCCTCATCTTCTTTTTCCTCGTTCATGTTCTCTACCTGGTTATCCGTTTTGTCTTCTTGTCCCTCTTGTTCTTGCTCTTCTCTTCTCAAGTCGGCCAGGTCGGCCAAGTCTGCATTTATTTCTGCAGTGTCATCTTCTTCCTCGCCGAGATACTCCTCGTCGTCCTCTTCTTCTTCCTCGTTCTCATCCTCATCCTCATCATCGTCCTCGTCGCTTGTCGAGGACCCGTATCCGGAATCCCCAACGAGAACCTGAACAAGTTCACCACCAACACTATGAATTATCAGTCGCAGAGGTCCTGACTATTCGAGACCCTGTCTACGTACTCTGGAAGGTCGTCGGACATTGCAACTCTGTCTGGCAGATGATCACGTTTCTGGCGCTTCGCCGGTGGAGCTGAGTCTGACATGATGCTGTGGTTGCTACAGCACGCGATCGATGATCAGAGGTAAGTAATGAATAATCGGTGTTCCCTATCTATACTAACAAGACGAACTACCGCTATACCATAGGCAAGATGTGCTGTTTGAAATGAGAACCAACGTGGTCCCGGAGGTGATACAAGAAGAGGGGAAGGCTGAGCCTAACCTCAGATAGCTAGGTCAGAAACGCGAAATGCTCACGCTAACTGGTTGACTTTCTTAGACTCACAGTTGTGAACGTTGACATCCACAATGTTCAGGATGGATATCAACGTCGTCCCACCGCCCAGTATTCACTCGAACTAGTTACTCACTTGCCGAGATACTAGCCATCATATGACATTAGTTTGTAGACGGTAGTCTAACAGGCTGCTGTGATATCAGGGAGCCAACTTCTACATAATCAACGCGGGGGTCTAATCTGGTCAAAGAATTCCTAGTACTCATAGAAACCACAGAAATCACTAAGGTACCGCGTTAGTGTAAAATACACTAGGTTAGGTAAAATTACACCGCGTATAAGGGTAAATTTATACTTTTATACTATATCTAGCTAAATTTACCTAATATTCTAGGTAATTTATACTAATATTAAAAGATTTATATACTTTATTACTTTTAAATTACTACTGTATAAGAAATCTTTATAAAAGGAAGAGAGTAGAATAAGTAAAAATAAACTTTTATTTATAATTATTATATAATTACTACCTTCTCCTTCTAAGCCTTAACTAAATTATATATTCTAGTACAGTACCTAATAGATTAAACGCTATATTAAGGCTATATTACTATAAGTAAACTATTTATAGGTAGCTTAAAATATAACTTTATGCTAGTTAATAATAAAGAAGCCTTTACTTAACCTAAATACGCTAGGCTAAAAAATAACGCTATTAAAGTTATACTTAGTAGTAAAGAGTATAATAATTAGGTTTCTGCTATAGTTAAGTAAGTACTAAGTAGTAGCATTATTACTTAAGTAACCTATTATACTAGTATAATATAGAAGGAATATTATAAAGACTATATAGCTATACTTAGCGCTAGTCTAGAAATCTATAATAATATAATATTAATTATTTATAGCTAGGATACTGTTTAGACTACGTAGGATACCTAAAGTAGAAATATTATAATAGTATATATTAGATAAAAAGAAGTAAGTTCTAACTAAAATAGCCTAAAGTTACTATTAAAAGTAGGCTGTAGTTCTAAGGGTACTAGGTATTAGTAGTATAGCTATATCTAAGCTTACTTTATTTAGAGCTATAAGAAGACCTACTCTATTCTTATTATATATAAATATATAGTTAAAGGAGACTTATTAGTAGCTATTAACGTAGTTATCTTATAAACTATAATTAGTATTATTAATACTAAAAGTAAAAGGTTAGATTAAGGTTAGCTTATAGAGTAAGGTAAGTAAGATATATAGTAGATACTATTATATAAGAGGCAGTAGTAGAGGTCTCTATACCTATTACTATAAGTAGAGAGGTAATTAGGACTAGCGTAGGTATAGAGGTAAGTAGTAACTAATTAATTACTATTTAGACAGAATATAGAGACTATAAATAATAAAGAATATAATTAAAGATAGCTGTTTCTAAGTTAAAGAGATTAAAAGGTTAGAGTTAATAAATAACTATAGATAAGTTAAAGTAGGTAAAGGTATATAAAAGTAAGGTTATATATACGTAGGCTAAGCTATAGTAATATTTAGTTATAGTAAGAATACCTATAATTCTAGAGATATTAGCTACTTAAACCTACCTATTTAAATAATATTTATTAAGGTTATAAGAAGAAAAACCCTATATAATAGTAGTTAGTAAGCAGCGTTTACTTAGGCTATTATATAAGTTATACCTATTATTATAGCTTCTACTTTAATATAAGAGACGCTAATAAACTTAACTATTTATAAATACCTAGAGGTTTATAATAGTAAATAACGCGCCTAGAAATAATTTAATAATTAATACTTTGTATTAAATAAGATCTACTTTATTAGCCTTATACTATAATTCTAGATACTAAGTACTAATAATAGTAATATCCTGCGTAATTCTTAGAAGAGGTAAGAACTCTATATACTAACTATAGTAGAAGTTAGTACAGTTATATATAATTATTTTATATAAAGTATTTAGTAGACTACTATATTAACTCTATAATACTAGTTACTAAGTTTAAGCCTAATAGAGAGTTTAGAGAAGAGTAAGCTATAAAGTAGTTAAACTACTTAGGAGACACTAGATCTAAATAGAAATAATTATACCTATAGCTCTATTATAGATAATATAGATTACTTACTATTAATAGAAAAGTATATAGTAAAAAATTAAATATCTACGCTACTTAACTTATTACTATTATAGGCTCCTTTATTATAGAACTTTACAGATAATACTCTATATAAGTAAAGTATATTATCCTAAGTAATTAGATATATTTATAATATCTTAGTTTTAAGTAGTGTTAATATGCATTAGCTACTAGTGCTGCGTTATATTAGTATAGATATAGATAAGTATACTAGGCTTAAGGCTGTTACTATAGCTATAGTAGATATAGTAGTAGTACTACTTATACTTATAGCTATATATACGCCTACTACTACAGTTACTAGCTTATTACTCTAATAACCTAAAACTATTAAGTCTATACTGCCTAGTTTACCTGTAATAGTTACTGTAATTACTACTATAGTAGCTATAGTTATAGAGCTAGCGCTGCGTTCTACTAAGTATAGTATAGATTTACGTATAGTGTTATATAAGGCTATATAGTATACCTTTCTCTAAGAAGCTACTTTTAACCTTTAAAGTAAAGTCTTACAGTATTCTAGCTACCTTTTTAGATAGTAATATATAGGAAATATCTTTAGTATATACGCTAGTAAATCTTATAAAGTCTATAGTACCTAGCTAACGTTCTAGTAGCTATAAAAAATACGTAATTAATAAAACTACTACTATACTTATTACTACTTTCTACTATAGCTTTCTTAATAGTAGTAGGCTAAAGTCCTATAACTTTATATAAGATAAGATCTACTATTCTACTACTTATATTATAAATAATAAATCTATTATTAATTATAAACTAGGTATTTTATACTATACTACGCAAAGTCTTAAAGTGTATAATATAGTAGATTCTAGTTCTGTTATAATAATAATATCCTTAAGTTAAGGAAATTCTAATAGGTTAAAGCTAGCCTTTTTAACAGCCTAGAGTATATAGTCTTTTGTAATATTAGACTAGACTACTAGTATAGTTACTACTAGAGCAATAGGTAAAGATCTTTAAAGCACTTTTCTATACTTTTTATTAAGATTCTTAATTAAATAAGCCTTTACCTATATAAGGAAATCTGTATACTAGTATAGAAGTAATTAATAAAGTCCTTTAAAGCGCTTTTCTATACTTTAAGTTAAAGTACTTAATTAAGAGAGCTTTTAGCTAAACTAGAAAATCTATAATAATATTAACTAGTTGCTTATATACGCTCTAAGCAAATATAAAGAAAATCTTAGATATATATCTTATCTATTAGCTATTAAGCTAAAGCTTTATTCTCTAAGACACTATATTAAGCCTATAAAGACCTAGTTTATTTATTATATATATCTAAATTGTCTATACTAGTCTTAAACGCGTTACTATTATCTTAGTTATCTTTATTACCTATAGTGTTCTTTCTTATATTGCCTAGGTTAGTAGGCACAAGGTAATTATTTTAAGATAATATAGCTTTTAATAATATTATACGTTTCCTGCTACTAGATTTAATATTAGATAGCTTAGAGATCTTTTCTATATTATTACTACTAGAGTCTTTACGTATATTAAACTAACTATTAGCCTAGCTATACGTATTATATACGTTATATAAGGTCTATTATAACTTTACGTTTAGTTATAATTACCTTTCTTAGACTAATAATTTAAATTTCTCTAAGATTACTATACGTTGCGTAGTTATTAGAAAATCTATTACTAAGGAGTAGAACGTTTCTAATACTAATATATTCTATAAGGTTTTAACCTTTAGCTATATATCTTATAGGAAGATATCTCTTATATTAGAGATCTACTAAGCTTTATATATATTACTAATATACTTACTAGTATTTACTAATACATAGTTAGGTACTCTATATAGTAGTTAAGAACCTAGTTAGGTATCTACTTTATTTATAGAGTAGTTATCTTTAAGTGCCTATAGTAATCTAGCGTCTCTATTAGGCTGGCTATTCTAGGCTAAACGTTAATAATCTTGTAACTCTTATAATTCTATACTAGAAAGGTATATAAGTAAAGATTTAATGTTATTTAGCTTATCTACGCTAGACTAGGTAGTAGATATAGTAGTTTTATAAGAAACTCTTTACCCTACTAGGAGATAACTAGTAATAGTATTTAACTACTGCCTCTTTAATTAAGATAGGTATTTCTATATTAGCTACCTATTTAGATTATATAAGCTGTAACTACTAGAATATATACCTTTATTAGAGTATAAGGTTATACTATACAGAAGCACTAAGTCCTTAAACCTATTATAAGGTTTAGCCTTAGGCTTATTCTTATATACTAGAGGGGTTAGAGATAGCTCTATATATCTAGAAGTAGAGCTTAATGTTAAGAAGTATACTTTCTTAGTTTACTTATATATAAGTAGCGCTATTAGTTAACTTAAGTTTAGTAGGTTACTCTGCTCTCTAACTATAGCTATTCTGTCTTATATTTCTACCTTAATATATTCTTTATACCTCCTCTAGTAAACTTTAGTAAAATATTAGATATAGAGCAACCTCTTATATAGACTAATATAATATAATAATTTACTAGCCCTAGACGCCCTTAGTTAATAATTAATTAGAGGACCTAGGACTTCTTTATATAGGTTAGGTAACCTATATATAATTTAGTCTTCTTTCTCTTCTACTAGTCTTCTGTATTAGTATAATAAATCTTATATAGGTCCTAGTAAACCTACTCCTTTCTACTTAAGTAGTAGCTTTCTTGTAGTTTATCTATATTGTCTATAACGCCTATTTAATTAGCTACCTACTATTAAAATACTTAGATATAAATAGCTAATACTATA